GCGAGATATAAAAGTTGATTAATAGATGTAGATATCAGCATTGGTGAACACAAGTGAAGAATGATATATGTTCAAGATCAGCGGGACTGACTTCTCCAACTTAGACTATCTCATGATTTTATGAAATTGCTATTGGCAAATAAGCAGTCAGCTCATATTGTGGTAGGCAGAGGTGCATATTCGAAGAAAACAATCGTATATTGGAAGATATCCGTTTTAATTTTTTGGCAGAGTTCAACATTTTGATACGAAGCTAAACTTATATGATGTCAGCGCAAATTATTTCTAAAAGGACTGTATTTTCAATACATGATAACTGACCGGCAAAATTATTTAATAATATACAGCTTGCAAAAAAATATGATCTTATTATTGCTGCTCACTGTTAGTCGGGATAGGAAAATATAATTCTTTTTTTTGGGTAGTTCTGAAGAAGTAAACAGCAATAAACCTGTACTGATTTAAGGTCATTTTGATGAAAAGCACCTTATTTGTCTCATGAAAAGGACGATAAATATTAAAAAAAAGAAATTGCTCACTACAGGGATCGAACCTGTGACCTTGGCGTTATTAGCACCACGCTCTACCGACTAAGCTAAGCGAGCTTCTTGTTGAGGAGTGACTCTGTCGCAATTTTATTCAAATGAGCAACTACGTAATATTTAAAAGCCAGTTTACTCAGTGGATTATGGAGTTAATCATTTCAAATTTTGTCAGCTGCTTTATATTAGTAATAGCCTTTGCTAGCATGCAGTTATAGTAAAGAATACATTTTTTTGAGCCATATAATCGTCTTTTCCCTTTTTTTGAGACTCCGCTCTCGATCGCAAAATGCTAACCTGACGACGTCAACACCTGCGATGCGCTATAAGCATAGGCAACCCGCCGAATTGAGCCAAAATAAAAGTGTTCGTAATTTTTATTTAAAAAAAAACTCTGGAATACGTGGAAGTGAGGAAGCTCTCAGCGAAGTTATCTCATTCCTGTTTCAGAATCAGGAGCAAACCATCCTATTCACGATGAACAGTCTCAGCGTCATATGTAACTCAAAACTCATGGCTTGCAATTTATTGTCAGCATACATTTCAATCTACAAAGGAAAAACTTGGACAGAAATAAATGCGCCGCCACTGGGTAATATCGTTCCCCACATATATACTCATCCAGGATTTTTCTCAAAAACCTGTTTGCTGACCCAACTTGAAGCGGGATCGCATCTTCGTAGCCATGATCTTAACCTGCGATTATCCGGGATGTTCCGCCGATTGAATAGTATGGTCGACCATTTTATTTATGTGCTCTGTAAAGCAGTTTGAATATACATTGGCGATATGTCTTCTACTACTGGCGACTCCAAAACTCTGGAAGATCTTCAAAACATATGTCTCAGTATCATGAACGGCGATCACCGCAGCTCATCAATCGCTGTCTTTTGACATCTGTGCAATCTGTCCTTCATAATTGAACGCGCCCTCATCCTAAGCATAAAATTATGCGCACAACTCGAGGGCCTCTTTTGCGGACTGTTTGCTACTTCTTTTACTACCACTCGCTCCAGCATATATTCGACTCAACATCCTTCAGGAGAACCCTCTCCATCAAGCCTTTATATTTTGAATCTTCCCACTTGTAATCAGAAGCATCTGTGCAGGCTTTTGATCCTTTGCTTTTTGCTCAAAAGTAAGCGTTTTCTCTTATTGGACCTACGTGCATTAGTACACATAGGCAGTTCCCCGTTCACACTCCGTCGGCCGCTCTTTCATCGAGAAGCCTGGATAACCGCTGAAGAATTGAACAAAATCACCCGCCGAGAGAATATCCGCACATTCCGCCCTGTCGATTACGAAATGGAAGAGCCAATTAAAGAAAACTTATGAATATAAACATAGGATTGCTCATGCAAACGGCCTATCGGTCAATGCTATAGACGACCTTGTGTCCTATTGTCAAGACTTTTACTTACTGTCATGGTCAAAACCTAGCTACTGCCAATTAAAACCGGCTTTCCAACCACCTAGCGCCAACATAAATGCCGTGCTATTGAACCTAAAAGCAGCCTTAGAGGCTCTGCCAGGCCAGTATATGTCTCTTAGTAAATCCCTCCTTTTCCTTACACCGTCACTTTCCTTTCCTCATCATCCCGTTACCCTTTTGCTGGCTTCTGTCGGCAACCTAACCCTCGCATGTACATACCTTCCACCCGATTGGACTCCCGGAATGTCTAAACGTGCTGTCGTAAATCCCTAGCACACAAACACCATCATTTGCGGCGACCTCAATGGTCGCATCGGCGAATGGCTTGGTGACCGAATCTGGAACTCACGTGGCAGACCCTCCTATGATGAACTGAAAGACACTCGCTGCCCATTTTGAACCGACAACTTGCATTTAGTGTCTCGACTCTGTTAACACAGAAAGCAAAACCACCTTCTCCAGCATCATCATCGATTTTTCCTCAGCATTGGTCCACTCACTGACGCGAAGATGGAGGTTTTAACGGAACGTTCCTTATCATCCGACCACAAGATGGTGCACCTGAGTTCTCTCTTCGATGACAACGGTGCTATCTTGATACCCCAATCAATCAAAAGGACGTGGAACCTCCCTTCTCTGAAGAAAGAAGATGTTGAGAAGCTGTACAAGCAAAGTGGGGAATTGCAGGAGCACACTCCCAACCATTGGGATACCGATGGAGTCCCACCAAATGCACCATTTTGAATGCCGAAAACAACCGGTTCACACTATATAGGATATGCTGGGCGAGTTAAGCATTTACCTTGAGAGCCTTGCTCAAGTAGCTATCTAGCTTGCCAAGGTAGGCTACCGTTACTTGGACAGAAATTCCGTTCAACGATTATCTGCCAATTTGCAGGAAGAGCACGACTCTCGCAAACAGCCCTAACTGAACTCAAGAAGTTAGTACAAGGCAACTCACCTAAGATTGAGTTTGGGCCAGAGCTCCTCGACCTACTAGATATGGCCGGTGCGGTGGATACAGATCTTCAACTAGATTTTCTCTGGGTGAATGAAGATGGACAACAGCTTGCAGGAAAAGTTCTTGATTAGCCAACCAATTGCATGCATATCAAAATTTTTTGACTTCGGCAGAAAGCAATGCTAATGTGAAAGACAGGACTGAGCGGATAAATGGCCTGAAGAAGCGAGCGTACCCTTGTTCGAGAAAGGTTATACCTAACTTTTCCTCTCAAATCCCGGTCTATCCCATTCATATTGACGAACCTCCCCCCACCCACGAAAAGTAACTACCCCCGCCACTACTCCCGGTGTAGTGCTTCGAGTATGTAGCCTACTAGCCGCGCGAAAGGTAACATAATCGGTGACTATTTTTGAAGGACTTGGTATGTTTAAATATGTTTTCATTCCTCTCTTGTACTAAGATGTTTCTTACTCAAAAATTTAGCCACTTGCCTTTCATAGTCGGGCTCTGTAGAGCACCAATAAAAAAAACTTTACTTGAAGCAAGCGAGAAGGCTTTCTGACCTGTCCCAGGTTTCCATGGTAGCTTTTGCTCCCTTGTTTTCCAAAAAAAAAAAGTCTACTCGAAATGCAAGAAACCGCAAACTCGAACCAGAAGTTGATAATACGTAATGCCTGCATCTGGTCAAACACCTATGTTCCTTGAAAAGCGGTACGCTTCCAACCAACCTTGCTCAAGTCGTATACCCGATGTGTAAACGAACCGATTCCCTCAAAAACATGGTAACTCCACTTACGTCCACCACATGCCTTGAACAGTCAGAGGGGCAACATCAGTTTATTCGGTGACAAGGAGACTGGCTAGTATTCACCGCACATTGTACTTGTCACTACCGAGCTAAAGTCTTTGCAGATACTCAGTACAAGACAGACGTGTGACTTATGGCATGAATGCGACCGCACAGTCAACTCGTACGAACTTGCAAAACCTTGGAAAATTCCCAACCCAGATTGAATGACATGATCTAACCTTTGTAACGTTATTATCTTTTTAAGAAAAAGAGAAGCTCGAATGGACAGCCAAGTTGAATAGTTGGCAAAGGCAAAACAAATGAGAATTTTATTGGCCGCAAGCCAAAATGCGTTTTTAGAATAAATATACATGAAAATGACAAGACAATAGCTTATCTCAATAGTGCATTCGGTGGAGTAGAACTAGGTAAATAAGATGTTGATGCAAGTGCCGTTGGAGAAGAAGATAGATAAGGTGGCTTTACATCGACTTGCACGATGGGAATAGAACCCGTCGTGCCGCTTGGAGGAGAGTTCTCTATATCTCGGCTGGGAGTAGAAGATTGGCTACCAGAATGGCTCTTTTTAGCTTTCATCAAATTTCCACAGCGTTTCAAAACCTCTCGTGGGTTGAGCTCCGCGAGACCTTCGCCATAAGATAATTCTAGCAACATAGGCTCCAAATACTCGGGTATAAGACAGAAATCGATTTGGTGTTCAATAAGCATCTTCACTGCCTGAGCGCAATGCCATGTATCTTCTTTGTTTGGATCTTTGCCACGCGCCGACAAAACATTAGGAGCAATCACAGTTGCAATATTTCCAACGTCCATTTTGCTGCCATCACCGTCTGCAAATGTGGCCACATACCGCAAAAATAAAAACAGGACTTCCAGAGTATCTCGGTTTTGTTTTGGTAGAATGCAGCATGCCAAGTGAAGAACGATTTTTCTCTCCGCTTCATTTTCGAGCTCTGAAGGTAAAGTGTTGTTAGTTTTTCAAGTCATCCCAACTTTCCATCCACATATAACTTACTTTGAGAAACGACAAACAGCTTATAAAGCTTGTAGGTAAGTAGCGGTTCCGGAAGTTCTCTCAAAAACTTTTTCAAAAGAGCTGCAATTTGAACAGGTGTTTCATTGGCCAAATTGACTTGAGCTGGATTTTTATCGATTTCCTCGCTAAGTTCCTTGAGACGTCGAATGTTGCCGTTCTTTCGGAAGATACCTTCGACCGAAACGTCTTTTTATATGTAAAAAGTCAAAAGATGGAATACAAGTCAGCATTGCGATAGCCAAGGGACCGGACCGAACAAAAAGAAGCGTGTACATACCCATTTGTTTCAATACGGAAAGACTATCTTCGATAAAAGAAGGAATGCGCAAGCGGGATGGACCAGCACCCAAGTTGGATTCAACACCGGTCCGTTCAATCAAAACCTCAAAAGGTACACCAAAAGTGCCTTCCTCTGTGAGTAAGACAGAGTAAGTAACCAAAGTCTGCGCGCTATTTCTGAACACTGTGCGGCGGCCTTACCTTTTGGTTTAACAGCTTTCTTGTTTCCGGCCTTCAAACTGGTGACAAACTTGCCCCAGAGAGTTTCATTTTTCTTGTCGTCAATTAAATCCACTAGTTCTTCCAATGTAAAATACTCTCGAACTAGTTGCTCCATGTGCAATACAGCCAAATACTTCATCATAAAAGAATCCAGTGCACCGATTTCTGCGAGATAATGAGCCTTTGGTCTAGATGCTGACTTGCTATGGTACACACGTGGACGATAGGAATTGTTGCTGTTATCAGGACGTGCACCGTCGCTTCGAGGCGCCATCTCAATAGGCGATCCACCTCTAGGGCTTGTATTCAAAGACTGAGAGCTTCCAAAGTAATCTGCCTCGTTGGTAGGTACTGCTGTGGTCGGACTGGGTGTCTCCATAAGCACCGAGCGCTTACCCATGCGATAAGAGGTAGTCATTTTCCGACGCATGTGGGTGGATTTCATCCGCTTGATATCGCCAAGATGGATAGCAGCAGATGTATCATCAGCATTCGAATATGATTTGGATCGGTTGTCCTCACGCAGATGGCCAGCGGGTGTAACGCTGGTAGATTTGAGTTTCTGACCATCATAGTCCATGGTAGGGATATGCTCTAAAAGAACTTAACATTTAACACTTGGAAAAATAAAATATTTTCGAATCGAATGCTCCTCTCTCCATACCTGAGTAATCCAAAAGGGTGTAAAGTCGGCGAAGGGCAACTCGCAAAAGGAATGAATACTGTTGCAATTTCGTAACATAATCAAACTTTGCCTCAATGTTTTCCAGCTTTAAAGTAGTAGTGCAGGTGTTACAATAGATCTTCATGGTATCGAGATGCAATTTGGTGTTGTCCAAATTTGCTTGCAAAGGTGAATGACAGCTTGAGCATTTAAAGCAGTCGCAGTGCCAGCGATTCTGGTGATACCTGTAGCATTCTTCCTCACAAGTGATTTTACAAACTTGGCATAGGTCTGAAGTGACATGCAGGCCAGATTCCAATTCAGCTCTTTCTTCGCGTGAAGCTAGCTGCATGAGGTCGTTTAAAAAATTGGGAATAGCAACTTGAGAATGGTACTTTTTCTCGAGTTTCAAAGCCCCGCTCAATGCTATACGAATTAGGATCTTGAGGTAATGGGCCAGACCAGTAACAAGTGACAGCAGCTCTTCTGTAATTCCAATCATCTGCATGCCATTTTCCTGGGTATGCGACAACAACGAGAAGAAATTGACAATCTTCTTGCAGAGCCTTTTCGCCTCTGAGGTGTACAAAAGTGAATCGCCGACTTTTTCGAATTGTGATTTTAGCGAGTCGATGGCGGCGAACAAAATATCAACGTGGGTGATGAAGCGTTTTGCCATGTTGACACCTTCTATATATGCACCATTGGATACATGCAATAACATATCGGAGATACAAGCAGCAGCAGATTCTTCAAAAGCAGAGAGAACGGTCCAAATCTGATACATTTGATCTTCCATATCGGATTGTGCTTTTTTCAATTCGCTAGCAGTAGGGATCGGTTTGTGGACAGTTTCCGTTAGCCCATCCGGGACGCCTTCCGAGAAAGTCTGAGATAATTTGACATTCCAGAATCGATTGATCATATAACATTCAGGATGCCAGTGTTCGTTGACATTGTTTTTATCGATCTCGACGAATTGCTTGAGAATAGCTGTCTCACATCCAGCACAATTGACAGCAAATTGCAGAGAATAATGATAATGACAAAATACTTTGCCATCGTTTTCATAATAGGAGTCTTCCGGTCCAAAGGCGGTTGGGCACAGAGAGCAAGTAAAATGCTCTACGTGATACTTTTGACCAAGCGCAGTAATGTATGATCCTTTCAGGGCTTCTCCACAGCTAGCACATACAAGGTTCAGTCTTCTAAAATAGTCACGCTCGCATAAAGGTTGAACTTTTCCATCCACTTCGATAGGGAAAAAACTTGCTGCTACATCAATACCGCAGTCCTATAAACATAAAAGTTGTTAATGCACATTGCTCCAGGAACAAAAATGTAGAAATAAAATTGAGCTGGATCAGCTGGACTAATGCATAAACGGTATTTTGATGGGACCGGGTGAGATGATTATCACGCCAGAGTCCCACAACTTCGGATTATGCTGATAGTCAAGTGAGCAAAACTCGTTCCTTGACTTCAAAAACAAGCCAATCAAGGAAAGGAACTAAAAGATGGAAATGCACATGTAACTTACAGCACATGTAAAGCACTTGATGTGAAAAGTGCGATGAAGGGCTCTTATGAAATCACCAGTCAAAGGTTCCGAGCATTTCTCGCATTTGTGCGTGGTGGTATTCTGCGACTGGATTACAGTCGTTTCTGGTGTTGGTTCCGGTTCATGTTGAGGAACAAGTACGGAATTTGCAATATCGGACAGGTCATCGTGTTTGAGTGTAGATTCCATAGTTTTGAGCAGGCATTCAAGGATGCGTCAATGAGAAAGGGTTTGGGAGTTGGGACTTCAAAAGGATTGGAGGTATAATAAAAAAAGGAGAGGAGAGAGAGAGAGAAGAAAGGCAGAGGTAGAGAGAGAGAAAGCAAAAGAAGAAAAGTTAGGAAAAGGGCAAGGGACCTGAACGAGTATTTGATTCTAAATTAAGCGTTTGCTGAAATGAGGCCGTGTTGCAAAGCCTTGTTCGCTGGGGGTCGTTACTGAGGGGAAACTGGAGCGTAAGTAATTCGTTCAAATCTGAGTTACTGAAAGTATTTAAAAACGTGCCCAGAACGTCGGCAAGTCAATCCATGAGTACCTAATATAACACGCTCAAAAGTGAGCATAGCGGTATTCTTTTTGAAACCATTGCCACAAGATCTGCTAACAGAACTGAGATGCTCTGCATGCTAGTGCCTGAACAGCTGCAGGCACTACTTTGTTGCTAAGCCCTAGGGCTAAAATGGTTCTTTTATATATGCCATTGCAACCGTAATTTGTCCACATTCGACTTCCGACCCCACAACATCGGTGCTGATGGCGTGTGTTTCATTGTCAGTAGGAGTACTGGCTATGGCCGGAAGTCTCTCCCAATGCAATGGCGGCTTAGGATACGTTGGGGTTGTGCCTTGGGTTGACCTTAGCAGTGGTACTTTGGCAAAGCAAGAAGATTGAAGGCAAAGGAGTGGTACAGAGTTGAGTATGTGTTGTGTTCCCAGTGATCACAATGGCGTTTTCAACGCTGTTTCAGCCAGCAGTGTCAGTCCGTACAATCCAAAGTTAATTTTACATCTTCCGTTTACCTTGCCGACGATTATAAAGTATGAACGTGGTTTTTTTTTTAAATATATTTTATCTTTTCCCTACAGTGTAATTGAACTAAACCGAATGAAAATCAGTCTCTATCTGTTCAAGTGTTTGCAAGGGATGATGGACGTAGTCAAGTAACCCGGCCTGTGAACACAGCTTTTTTAACGCGATGTGGTGTTCCTCTATATTTTAGCATAAGAAAAAAAAATTTAAAGCAAGAAGCCGGGGACAATCGTCACAAATTTTGGCCTTCGCTGATGTCCCTTTATAATGGTGGCGATTTACATTCTCCATCAAGTTCAAGCGAAGCAGGAACCCCAAAAAGTCCAGTAAGTTATTACTGACAGCAACATGAATCAGTGACCTCGGTTTTGCCTAATTGTTTTGAAATTACAGCGATTCCTATTGCCAACCACATCCAGTCAGACATTTCATAAGAAGCGGAAGAGACAACCCTCACCAACAAGACGTAGCAAAAAGGATGATATAGTATGGGATAGATCAGGTAAGAAAGACGGGAAATAAGAGCGAAGTCCAGGTATCATTGATTGTAACCATATTTGAAGACGCGGGCAAAGCAGAGTACACAACTAGCTTATGGTTTGAAAAATACATCCCCAAATCAGAGGTAAGCGAGCGTATCAATTGGAAGCACTCAGAATAAGTAGAAGGGCTATAGGACACTTACTGCGATGTGAGCAGAAAGATCTAGCCGTAACACCTGCCAAGGTGCGTGCGGTGAAAGATTGGATCACCGAATCCTTGCGGACAAACACACAGAACGGGAACAAGGTAGATACAAATTTTAGGCAACAATTTCGTGGGGTTGAAATAAATGCTGAAAATAATATTGTTGGAAAGCTTTTGATTATCAGCGGTCCATCAGGGTGTGGTAAAAGCACAACGGTACGAACTTTGGCCCGTGCGATGGCATTTGATATACATGAATGGATGCCGTTTGGTCCGACAACAAAATGGAGTGATTTAGAAGATAAGCAAGGTAAGATGCTTGATAGAGGAAAGACGGTATTGTGATAGTACTACTTTTTAGTAACCGGAAGATTAGACCATGAGTCGATGATGTCAAATTTCATCGAGTATTTAACACGTTCATTACGGCATGACAAGGCGCTCCGAAGTACGACCTATTTTTATTCACAAGAACGAAAGAAGGTTATTTTGATAGATGATATACCAGACCTTAGCAATGAAAGTTCAAGACAGCGATTTCACAACTTTATACGGAGTATCTGCAAAAAAACTGATACTCATGTGCCTGTAATTTTGATGCTCACTACCATCGAAGAGAGTCGCGGCGATGAACCAGCTCAAGGTTATAAGAGACATACCTATGACTTTTCAGAAAGAGGGGCCATACCAGCGGACATCCTACGGTCCGCATTCTGTACAAAAATTCAGTAAGCGTTTGGACCTTCCTGTCGGTTCGAAGTATTTTGCAGATGCATGCTAATTCTAGCGATTCGTCCCTTCGAAAACATCAGATACACTTCAATCACTCCGAAAAAGCTTACAAAAATAATCTCGTCAATATACAAATGTGAGGCGCTAGAGGCATCAATAGATTTTGAGGCAATTGCAGCTGTGAGTAATGGAGATATCAGAAGTGCTATCAACAACCTTCAGTTTTACGCCACTCCAAAGCAACATAATGATAATATTGGTCATTTAGAGGCGAGGTAAATATGCTTCACGCTGGCAAAGTACTCAATCGACTTTTCATTCTAACGACAGCTGATCTTTCTCCATCTAGTACGATGAGTCGAGAAGCATCTCTAGATCTCTTTCACGCAATCGGCAAAGTTCTATATGCCAAAAGTAAGTCATGAATTATATAAGGTTGTCTTTGATATGACGTGCTCATGCAGTTCAATTTGACTTAGGGACGTCAAAGGGAATCTTAGAATCAAACCCAGAGGTAATTAGCAGCTTATATGTGACTACCGATAGATTATATCTCTTATACCATTGGTTGCTATTGTTATTAGGATATACTTGCTTCCCTTTGTGTTCCGGAGCAAACATTCATCTTATGGTTACATCAGAATTATCCTCCATTCATGGAAGACATGGATTCGTGTGCTAATGCTATGGATTATCTAAGTTTGGCCAACCATCTTGCTTCTTTCGGTGAAGGACATGTACGTCCCCTTTTATCCAGTTGTAACAAAACAAAACTTAACAGTGTCTGACAACGTTCCTTTCGTTTTATCATTTTAAGATTGGCACGCATTACGAAAGCTTGCTAGCAGTTAGGGGCATGATGCATTCTCGTAGATTACCAGCAAGTTACCATCCTGTTAATAAGCCTGAGTTCTGGGAATTTGTGGGAAGCAAGACTGATCTAGGTAAGGTTGTTTTTACCGACTCGGTGCCCGCCGGGAAAATAGTTTTTGGTCAGCCACGTTAGGTAATACAGACCAAAAAAAAAAATTCTGACTCCTATTTCCCTCTAGCAACTACTCCACGGTCTTCTGTGTTACATGCATCATTAGACTGCGGTTCCATATTGTACACCAATGGCTCCGAGGAAGACGATGAAGACATCATAGATATATGGAGTGATGAAGAAGCGGACGACGACATGTGGGGCGATCTTGATGATGACTTACTAGCAGCCCTTCCAGACTCTCAAAATCTAGAGACCGGCATGGAAATTTAAGAACGCACACTCAAAATAAAAACTCCTTCCCCGTATCCCACACTCTTCTTTCCCCGTATGAACACGTTGGCTACAGTTGAATAAGCGGTTATATTTATTTGTGTTATAGATACTGCTTATTGATTTTGTGGTGTAAGGAAGGAAATAAACCTTTATCCGCTATATAACAATGAAGGTGCTTTTTGTATTGGTTTAGTTGAAGATGGGAAGGTTGAAGCCATAGGTGACAGGATCGTTGAAGCGCATGTTAAGGTCAAGCTTGGCGATCTGAGCCATATCAGCCTCGGTCAAGGACCATGAAAGGACATCGTGGTTGGAGACCATACGAGCCTCGCTGGAGGACTTGGGGATGACAGCGATACCCTTCTCTACGGACCAGCGCAGCAAAACTTGGGCATTGGACTTGTTGTGAGCCTTAGCAATGTTGGAAATGACATCGTGCTCAAGGAGAGGAGCAGCGGTGATAGCATGGTCAACACCGAGAGAGACGAAGGAGGCAGGACCGAATGAACTGTAAGCAGTGATTTGGATACCTTGTTCCTGGACCCACTTAACGAAGGTGCTTTGCTGAAGGTAAGGGTGAAGTTCGACTAAAACATGGGGGAGACACTGTTAATCGACGTGACTATAAACAGGCCTTCTATTTTCATTTAGGCTTACCTTGAAGAGCAGCAGGCTTGATCTTAGCATAAGTCAAGAGGTCCATAAGAAGCTGAACGTTGAAGTTGGAGACACCGATGTTGCGGGCAAGACCATCCTCAACCAACTTCTCAACCTCAGCCCAGCACTCGTGCATGGGAGCACGGTCAAGAGTGACCTTTTCCTCACCAGGCTGGAACCAGCCAGGGGGGTAAGCGGTCTCGATGGCAACGTGCTTCAAGGGAACGGGGACTATGGAAATACGCTGTCAGTCAAAAACCTAACCAATTACCAGACCCTTACAGCATTTGTGTACTCACAGTGAACCAAGTAAAGATCAACATACTCAAGGTTGAGGTCCTTGAGTTGCTTGTTGAAGGCTTCACGGACATGTTCCTTCTTGTGGTAGGTGTTCCACAACTTGGTGGTGACTGAGCAGGTGGGGTCAGCTTTCTGTACAAGGGTTTCACGCGATTTCTCGCCATCCATACAAAAAATCTCTTACCGAAAAGTTCTTCACGCTTGACAATACCCTCGTTGATAGCCTTGTTGATACCACGGCCAACCTCGACTTCATTGCCATAGTCAGCAGCACCATCAATCAAACGGTAGCCGTTCTTGATAGCAGTGTAGATGGTGTTCTCAGCATCCTCGTTGGCAACCTTCCAGCAGCCAAATCCGACAAAGGGCATCTTGTCGCCAGTGCGGTTCAAAGTAAGAGTAGAGGCCATTTTGTATTCTAACGATTTTCAAATGAAAAGGGGATGAAAGATGATATTTTTGAAAGAAAACAACTCTTAAATAAGTCGAGCGACAAAGTCACGCCCCAGAAACCCCGCAAAGAAACTCGAGGAAAATACTCAAACCTTACGGAGATTTCTTCCGTTTTTGGATTGCTGGGTTGGCAGACAGAGAGATGGGATGGGGGAGATGAATGGGAAGATACGACGTCACCTCTTTATAATTTTTTTATGATCAGTCAGGAAGTATTTAATTGGCACGTCTATTTTAACTCAAAGACTCTTTTTAACGAGAAGGGAATCCAATACGGCAAGAATGGTCCACTTTCGGTTTTCTGCCTCAGGGAAGACTAATGATCGATCAGAGTAGAACACTTCGTCATCAACTTCTTCAGGCTTTCGAGGTAAGCAGTGCATGAAGATCCAATCAGGTTTGGCGCCTCCACGCTTAGCTAAGTCCATGGTAACTTGATAGCCCGCGAATTCAGCCAATCGCTTAGCCTTCTCCTCTTCTTGGCCCATGCTGACCCTAAAATATTTAGAATGTTTCAGTACTATTGCTTTTTGACCACCGAAAGTCGGCTATGACACAGGACATACCAGGTATCAGTGACAATGACATCAGCATCTTTGATAGCTTCCTCAGGAGATGTGGTGAAGATAAGTTGAGTGCCTTCTTTCTTAGCTTCAGCCTTGGCGATGTCCAAAACATCTTGTTGGCACTCATACCCCTTGGGGCAAGCAGCACTGAGATGAATACCAACTTTAGGAAGAGCAACCATAAGCTCTTGCAAGATGTTATTGGCATCACCCACCCATGCTACCTTCAAACCAGGAAGTGTTTCGCTAGGGTGTTGCTGATGAGCTGTATATTCGGTAGGGTTGAGTGTCTTATGATGACGATATTCGTGGAGTGTGACAAGATCAGCCAAGATCTGGGTAGGATGATATTTGTCGGAGAGTGCATTGATAACAGGCACACTAGACTCCTTTGCCAAAGTCTATAGTGAAGGGGGTTAACATTCATCTACCAGGAATACAAAAAAAAGGGGCCACACGTTTACTTACGACAATTTCGTCATGACCACCAACTCGCGCCATGATACCATCAACCATGGAGCTGACTACGCGAGATGTATCTAGAAGGGATTCGTTCACACCGAGTTGAATATCCTGCGCTCCCAAAAACATGGCGTGTCCACCTAAATATGAAGATCGACCATTATTTAGTTAGTACGATGGTGAGTGTAAGCATATTTGCTGATCATGATTACGCGTCCATACCTAAATATGCCATGGCAGACTCAGTGGCGACTCGAGTACGTGTGGAGCGCTTTGAGAACATAACGGCGAGGGTCTTTCCGGTGAGCGGACGAGTAGGTGTGGAAACATTATACTTTGCCTCAACTTTAAGCTCAATTGATCGGGTCAAAAGGTTATAAAGCTGATCCTTTGTCAAGTCAGCAGTTGACAAGAAATGTTGTGGTTTTGAAGTTTGGGTTGAGAAAGAGTTGGAAGAAGACATAGTAGAGTGTGAAATAGATGGAGTAACGATGCGAGAAAGGAGAGAAGAAGAAGTAGACTTGGACAGGGACTTTATCAGCGATGCCATATTTAAAGTCGGGAGGACCGGGTGAACAGATGAAAGTCAAACTCAACTTTTATATTTGCACGGAGATGTTCCATCTGTTTTGTGACTGCAACTTGACTCACAAAATGCAAAAATTCGATCTCACCACCTGCAAAAATTAGCCCGCTGGCCAACTTTTGGCAGCCATTGAAGATGAACGAAATCATCGTCAACGCGCATTTTTTATTTCATGACATTTGCAGATAATAAGCATTAGATCTCGGAGGGTTTACTATCATTGAACGAAATTGTCACAAGGAAAAATGGCAGTGATTGGCGCAGAGCGGAGAATGTTCGATCGAGAGAGGTGTGTCATAACAAAACGCTAGGGGGACATCTTGTGTCATCAAGAGAGTTTTTCATTCGGATAAACTACAATCCATTTAATTTGCAAAAAAAAAAAACCACATGTATTCAGTCAGTTATACTATTCATCTCATTTATGAATTCTTTTGTTCATTCGCTTCCTGTTCCTCAAATTGATCTTGCTGTGTAATTACTCGTAGCACTGATTTTTTACTGGATTCCTGCAACTCGCCAGCTATGAGCAGTTCGTCCAATATGAAATAAGCCTATAGACAGGTTGAAACATTCAGTAACTCAGATACAACTCATGGAAACACTAGACAATGTGTTGAGGTTACCTTGTGGAAGTTGAAAATTAGGTCAAGTTCGCAGACCTGAGAAAATGGTTGGTGATTGGTCAATTGTCAATTTCTACTTGTGCAATCTACAAAAGTACAAATACTTACATTGCCAAAGTAGCGGTCGAGAATTTCGACGTATCGGTGAACAACTTCAAGAGTTATCAATTCGTTATCGTTTGAATTAATCCCGGCTACGAAGAAGAGACTTGCATATCTGAGAGATAGAAATCATTCCATTGCTGGCTCAATAAACACATTCTGATCTGTTCAATGAAGATATATCAAACCGTTTTGTACCTTCGATAGACGATTTTGGTATCTAATGGTAACGTATATGCTAATGTTAGAATCTCAAGCGTGTCACTCCGCATTTATGAAATTGGACAAAGTGCATCCATTCACTGAAGCCATCCCATCCGTACCTTTATACTCGAGAAAGTTGCACATCTTGACTCTTCGTGCAAGAACGAGTTGTGTAGCATCCTTTACGATCTTTGCTTTCTCCTTTGGTGGGATGGTAATGAACCATTTTGTCAAGCGGACCTTGCCTTGCCTACTGACAAGAAGAAGCCAATTTATCTGAATGGAAAATGATAAGTACACTGATTGGTTCTGATCGTTCGTTATAAGTAGTGATGCATACTCCCATTGTGGCCTGCTGCTTTACTAGATGAATGAATGGGTTGAGATGAGCTTTAGGCTGTGTCCGCCATTTTTAGGCGGGCAACTTTGTCACGCACCACGCTGTTCAAACTCAGCGCACCAATTCAATCACGACCCAGTTGCAATATCGATTCAAGTGAAAAGCAAATTTATCTACTTTTGAACAAAGAAAGAGGAAGACAGGGAACAATTTAAAAGATGTTTGCAATTCTGCGTACGTATGTGGCAGGTAGGTTGAAAAAAAAAGAACAAATATACATTGTCGTTGTGCATTATATGGTTATAATTTTTTGTCGACAAGAAATAAAGCGTTTGCTAAGGTTGAAGCAATTCCATAGAAATGAAGTCGAGGCAGTGTTGTGATAGAAAAACTAGCCATGCATCGTATTTTTTGGTTGTTCAGCAAAGACAGTCAGCTGTCATGATCTAGTGAAAAAATGAGGTTTTCGTAGGGTCTTCGTTGGTGCTTTACAGTCATGCATGCTGTGTATTGCTACTAGAAGAGCTGGATTTTGAAGGTGATGCTATGGGTGTGGTTACTGGTTGTGTTGATAGCTTAGAGAAATGGAAAGGTGATGCTTTGCGCGAGAACTTGTCAGACTTGCTACCTGTTTAGACGTTAGGGATTTCGTTATTTACACAAGCTATCAGCAATACCAACGTGAACTACAATGCTATTTACTTTGCTTTCTATTTGGGCTCCGGCACACTTTTGTTGGTGTAGTACTACTAAACTTTGTTGGCTTGGTTCTGTCAAGTACTATGTTCAACTTCTTTGTCATGGTAAATCCCTTTGTTTAAGCGATCGCTTACCTAGATCGCGCATATTTTGGTATGTATTTAGGATCATATCCGATTAAAGGTGCTCCAAATGGCGGTGGTGTTCGTACTATACTCTTTGTAGGTGTCACGTAGTCCTAAATACAAATGAGCAGTGAGACTTGGGGAAAATTTGGAACGCTTGATCCACTGCAAGCTTACTAACTTCTTCAGGTCTTGACCTCTTAGTTGACTTTTGAGGTGTACGCGCAATATCAGTATCTGACTGCTGATTTGCATCAGAGTATGATGTTCCACTCATTTTCTCAGGCGTACGTAGAGGATCATCGTTCGTGATATTGCGCAATCTGCAGACGTAATCATTTATAAGTGAATCCCAATAATTCGTATGGTATCGTAAGATGGTACCTTTCGGCCTGCTTCATTGACATAGTTTTTGCTTCTTTGTCTCTGGAACACTTTATGCCAGGCGCGACTAAGCCATCGACACGGGAAGGAAAGCGAATCTCGGATAGCTTCCGGACGCCTTCTATGTGGGACGTATCTGTATCGCTATCTGAGTCTTCTCCTTCTGAAGACTCGCTCTCCCTTTCACTATGTTCTTCGTCATCTGAATTGGCTAATGCATTTATATTAGGTTTTTGCTGTCATAATTGTACAAAATTGTACCTGAACAGTAGCGTTTTTACCTAAGAAAGGATTATCGTTGTCTGTTACCGGCTCTGGAGCGCTTTGGTTGCTTAAGTTTGCACTGCTTGGCATGTTGAAGGAAATGGTGGATGAGAGCGTAGCTTCAATCGAATTACTTATTGTCTGGGAGATTGTCAGTTCGAAACTAAGCGTCTGTTTCATCCCGTGTCTCGCAATAGCTATACAAAGCGCGTTTAGGACGGCTGTTAAGAGGCAATTGTCGAATAGGAATTAAGTCTATTGTAATCCTTGCTATGACGATGGGACTCGCAAGTTTGTTATTCAAGACCTTTTGAAATGGTGAGCGTACAGGAAGTATGGCCGACTTTGCTGTAATTTGACGTTTTTGAAGGCAGCAGTGGTTTAAAGCTTGATCATTGCGGCTCTGAAAAAGCCGACGTCACAGTCACTCAGAGATTTTTCCTCTCAAAAAACGCGAAAGGTCAGCTACGATCAGTCTTGCCCTGTCCGTCATGTCTTTCCTGGCAACAAGCAGCTTCCAAAGCCAGGTGTCTGCACCTCCAGACGCTTTGAAGCAACTTTTTGAGGCAGGAAAAGTGCTTGAAAGGCAAATGGGAAGAGATAGCAAATACCCAGATCTTGCAGATCTCCTAATGTGTAACCTTTCGTCCAACACTTTCGACTCGAACGCTTTAATCTTCCTGCTGAAACCAACGCTTACTCTACACTTCTATCATTTTAGCTCCAACTTCTGGTGAATACGAACAACCTCTTGGCGCTTCTAAACAACCATTCATGAAAGCGGTTTCACGCCCATTGCCCGACGTACTTTCAGAACAACTAAAAGGTAAGGCATATCAACATCTAACAGCCTTAGCTTCAGCAAGCATTGATTTATAACATACTTGTATAGACATGCATTGTAGAAGTTTTATGGGCTTATTTCCGGAAATTGATCGAGCTTGGATAACTTTCGACCATAGACTGTTTTTGTGGAATTACGTGGACGGGTAAGCCATTTGATTTATATCCGCAACACGGAATGTACCTTTAACATGAACCGTTACAGATATGACTTTGTTTGCTATGAAGATCAGGATCAAGTCATTGTGTGCGTTGGCTTGGTAAAACCTAAACCAGGTATTAACTTCTGTTACAACTTTGCAATGAAAGCCATTGTCCACAAAAATTTGACCTTCAATTTTTTTTCTTTGGCTTAGAAATGATGATCGATAATATTTCCCATGTACTCGTCATCGCAACGCCGCTGGAGGTAATCTTGCTTGGTGTCTCAGCCGGGAGAGAAAACGCCTTGCCCGGAAACACTCTTTACACTACATATCTATCAGTTCCATCCGACAATGTGTCTATGACCAGCATTCATGGATCAAGTACTGGACGCATCTTTATGACTGGAAGTGATGGACATGTATATGAAATGGAGTACCAGGTATGTGCAAAGCGAATACTAAGACTACTTGTGAGGTAACCTATGTACTAAAAGGATGTCGACAGCAAAATGAAAGCTGGTTTCGAAAGCGCTGCCGTTTGATCAACCATACCTCAAGCTCATACGCTAGATATATACCAACTCCTCTCAACTTCCGCCCCGAAGGTACTTCAATAATGGTTTTTTCTTAACCTTGTACGCATTCTCTTTTACTGACAGTCATATTCCCTAGATCCCATTAAAGCCATTGCAATAGATACAGCGCGCAATGTTCTCTATATGCTTTCAAAGAAGTCCAATCTTGAGGTAAAGAATGTAATGCATATCAAAATGAACGCGAGGGACGGTTTCTAACGGTAGGTCATAGGTTGTGTATCTGTCAGTGGACGACAAGGGCTTTACTCGAGCAGCAAAGAACACTGAAGTTTGCAAATCTGCTCAGCTCATGTGCCCAACTTCTCCTCTACTTGAAACTCAAAATTTTGAACTTGTGTCTATCCACCCAATATCTGAGCGCGAGTCCAAAAAGATTCATCTCGTCGCTGTCACATCGACCGGATGCAGACTGTATTTCACACATCATCGCAATGGTTTGCGCAACAGCTTTCCCATACCACCCTCAACTCCTCCAAATGCTTTGGAACTGGTGCATGTTCGAATACCACCATCGCAACAAAATGGCAGATCATTAGGGCTTCTCGGCAGAGATACAGACGTCGCTAATATCAGCATAACCTTATATGAAGATGCCGTATTTTTGGCTGCCAAGGACGACAACGAAAGATGCGATACCCTTATTACTGCAGCTCCTGATACTGGCAAAATTATGCTTAGCTCTCAAACAGTAAGTATTTGCAATGGCAGGTGTCTGGAGAGAATGAAGTGTTGATTAACATCCGATTGCTAGCAGGCTTCTAAAATGCCACTGGCAGAGTTCAGTAACCGTATGGAGCTTCCTGGCAAGACGTGGGCTATTGCAGAGTATTTAAACAATACATCAAAACTGACCGACTTTGGCATTAGTGAATTAGGCGCGCATCTTGCAATGCCTCCTCGACAGTTCCTTGTTCTTGGAAACAATGGCTTAACATCATTCGTCAAGCAACGGCCGGTCGATACACTTCAACAACTGCTTATAGAGAACAGCTCCAATCTGATGATGAGGGAAAAAGAGCTCACTGCCTTCTTTCAGCATTACGGTCGAATAGAAGCTTGTGCGATGTGCTTGGAGATCGTTTGCTTTAACTCTAACGAGAACGGCGAGCCTGCCAACCCTCTCTCAATATCTGCTGCCGATGTCTTCTACCAGTTTGGTGGTGAGCCAACGCTAAAGGAGAGCAGCTATCCATCTGTTTCGAATGATCTTGGTCGACCTTTGGTACAAGTGGAGACTAGCTACAGTGGCCGACATGATGGCTTGGCGCTGTATCTTGCACGAGTTGTTAGACCAGCTTGGAAACAAAAGCTGTTTGAAGTCAAGTGAGTTTAGAGCGTTTGCCTAATTATTTGGGACCTGAGCTAACCATGATGTCGACATTAGGCCCACAGAACCTTCAGTGAATATACAGGGTCTCATCGGCGAGCATGTTTTCACTTCAATTCAAAAAAACTTGGCCGCACTGAAGAAGTTTATGGATTCGTAAGTTTACAAAGTTCTTCTCCGTGATATATGCATGTCTGCTAATATTCCTTGTTTACAGGCGGCCTTCATTGTATGCCTTGCCTAGTCCGTCGGAATCCAAGTACCAGTCTATAGATCGACGACTTTTGCAGCCCTTATTGGTAAGTAAGATAGTATTATGCAATGTCAATGGTGGCAGTGTCTGACACATCCGACTTTTCAGAATGAACAACAATCCCTGCATGATTTATACCAACTTCTTGGCCAGTGCATCGAAGCAATCTTCTTTATCCAAAACATATTTTATAATAATCCAGCAAAGACATTCCAAAGGTAAGCCATCGATCCGTATTGAACTGGCAGTCGCATGTTGGCCACATAGTAATTCTGGTCCAGTGTTTCTCCGGATGTGCAAAATCGCCTCAAGGAACTCACACTGGAGAACATCTTGATCACCGAGCAAGGGCGACTTTTGACACGAGAACTCGCAACTATTTTCATAAATTCCCGTACTGGTCAAGCATCCAACAGACTTATCAGTGATGCGCTACAAGCAGGATGCAGCACTTTCTGCAATGCAAATGATATTACGTATTACAAGGTGAGTGAATTGTATTGGTAGATAGCAATGTGGAATGTCGCATACTTACTTATCATTTGCTCCTATTCAGGCTGTCGAGTTTTTGAAACTTGCAAAGGACGTATCGTCAGAGGAGGAGAGAGAAGCATCTCTGCAGCGGTCACTGGAGTTGTTCAAGAATGTTGCTGGAATTATTCCTTACAATAAGTTGCGCGAAATCTGCCTCGACTATCGAAATCTTGGATTCGCCGTTGGTGGAATCCAACTTGCACTTGCCTGTGCCAGAGCTATCGATCCTCAAAACAGTGGTACATCATACTTTGACGAAGGCAAGCCAACTCCAGACCCAAGAGAAGCAACTTATTCTTTACGCTGCCAGTGCTACAGTTGCGTCTTCGATCTGTTGGTTGACGCCAAGTATTTGAGCGAGTCACGCAAAGAGACTGTGGATAGAAGGGTCTGCCGCGGCGATCCTATAAAATACAAAGAATCAGTGTTCGGTCAAGCACTTGCATCGGATGACCGTGTATTCCATTTTGAGCTGTACGAATGGTTCCTCAGAGAGGGTATGACCCAAGAATTACTTGAGGTGAGTACCCATGTAAATTTGGTATACATGCACACATAACAATGTGATCTAATATGTATCTGGTAACTTTCAGGTCAACACTCCCTATGTTATTCCTTACCTCAGATCCCATGGACCGTTCTTTTCCGAAAAATCAAGCTTACTATGGCAATACTATCGACGAAATGGACGACATGACGAAGCTGCTATTTGCCTTAAGCAACTGGCCACCTCCGATGCTGAAATCGATCTTAACCAGCGTGTCGAATATCTGTCGACTGCCATAGAAAATGCCCGCAGCTTCAAGGCCAAATCGTACCAAACAGATATCACCAATCTCTTGCGTGTACTAGAAGAAACGATGGAAATTGCTGAAGTACAAGTTGAAATACGACAGGTATTGCAGCAAACCATGGACCTAACCGGATCATTGGCCGTTATCAATACACAGTTACTGACTGTGACTGAGGTATGAACATAGTACCCATTGTTGCAATGAGGCGTTTTTTTAGTGGAAAATTAACCAACCGTTGTTGCTTTTCTCCAATACCTGTAGTTATATCATAACTTTGCTGAGCCGTTTAACATGTTGGAGCAAATGCTTCTAATTTTCAAAGTCTCCAACAACAATGATCTATCATTGACCACTCATGTTTGGACTGAAATCATTCGGAAAAGTAAGTTTTGAATCGTCAGAGTTTGAGGTTTTATTACTATGGCTAATCAATTCTGTCAAACGTTTCATAGACGAGGAATTCGCCAAGCAGCAAAATAGAAGTGCATTGGCGTCTTTATCTGCATATGTTCGAAGACTTGGTCAACGTTTCTTCCCATCTAGATTCGCCTTCCCACTAGGTAAGTGTTTCAATAAGCTGTGTAAGCAATACTCATTGTCACCATTGACATTGTATTCTACGTAGATGTGTTGTGTGAAATGCTCGAACAATTTGCATACTCCTACATCGATCAAGTCGAGCCAGGCTGGGTCATCAATACCATGCGAAGTGTTGGTGTACCATATGAAATGCTCTTTGAGGCTTACCTAGTGATATTCGATGCCAAGGTTTGTGAAAAAAATCTGCTCAAAATTAGATCCAGCTACAGTACTAATGTCTGTATTCATTACAGCGACCGGCATGGCGTGGCCAGCACGAAATAGACTACTTGCTGACCCAGATACTATATCTGACACGTTCCTGGTTAGATTATTTGGCTGGACCAAGTGTCACGGAAGCAGAAAAGCAAATGCTCGATATTAGCAACTTGCGATCGGCTATTAATAATTTTGAAGAGGTTTTGAAGAATGGTCCACGACACTTGGTGGACTCCAAAGTTAGAAAGGATTTGTTGAACGGCTTTCACGAGGAGCTTGCAAGAGCAAGCAGCTGAACGACTACACATTGCCTTTATCTTAACAGTAAATAAATGTAGCAAGTTACTTCAAAGTTCTGATCTCATATGATAGTGTTTCGTCTGTGGCTATGTAACAAGTGAACACGCGACGGCCTTTCCAGCCTGAACGTAAAAATTTGGGAGGTTTTTTTGGGAGTTAAGAAAGTGTATATCACGTGTATTGTGACTGGCAGTCATAAGCTTCGATTTTTTTTTCTTTTTTTTTTTTTTTTTCTGAGAATTGTTCCTCGAGTATAGCAGACGGCTCCTTCTTACTGTACACTTTAAAGAAATGTCATTGTACAACTTCAAGAAAATACAGCCGGTGCCGACGTCAACCGACTTCGTCGACATTGTCTTGTCCAAGACCCAGAGAAAGACTCCTACCGTCATTCACAAGAACTACAATATTGGCAGAATCAGACAATTCTACATGCGCAAAGTCAAGTTCACTCAAGATTCTTTCGATGAGAAGTTTAAGTTGATCTTGGATGAATTCCCTAAACTCGATGTAAGTTTCGTTAGCTAGCCAATACTACCAATGTTCATTATACTTAAAACCTTTGGCCCTGCTTTAGGATATCCACCCATTCTATTCTGATCTGATGAACGTCCTTTACGACAAGGACCATTACAAACTTGCCCTCGGTCAAGTCAACACAGCTCGCCATCTCATTGATCAAGTCGCAAAGGATTACTGCAGACTGTTGAAGTTTGGTGATTCTTTGTACAGATGTAAGCAGCTTAAAAAGGCCGCCCTTGGAAGGTAAGAAAAAAAATTTAGGACCGCTTATTACAATTCGGTTTCAGAGCGTTAATCAAATTATTTTTTTTCGCTAGAATGGCAACAGTTATGAAGCGCCAAAAGGACTCGCTGGCCTATTTGGAACAAGTTAGACAGCATTTGGCTCGTCTTCCTTCCATCGACCCCAACACTAGAACTCTTTTGATTTGTGGTTATCCCAATGTTGGAAAGTCATCCTTCATCAACAAAGTTACTCGAGCTGATGTAGATGTCCAACCTTATGCTTTCACTACCAAGTCATTGTTCGTCGGTCACATGGATTACAAGTATTTGAGATGGCAAGTCATCGATACTCCCGGAATTTTGGATCATCCTTTGGAAGAGCGAAATACCATTGAAATGCAGTCTATCACTGCTATGGCCCATTTGAGATCTTGCATCATGTACTTTATGGATTTGTCTGAACAGTGTGGTTACAGTGTTGCCGATCAGGTAAGTTAGCCATACACAATGGAGCAAACGTTTGTTAGAAATGAAGGCTTTTACTAATCGTTTGTGTGTAGGTTGCTCTTTTCCACAGCATTAAGCCTCTCTTTGCCAACAAGCCAACCATGTTGGTTATCAACAAAATTGATCAGGTTAAGCCCGAGGATCTTCCCGAAGATCAGCAAAAGATGATTCAGGACATTGTCGACCAGGATGGTGTCACCATGGTCTCTATGTCTTGCTACTTGGATGAAAATGTCATGCAAGTTCGTAACACCTCTTGCGACAAGCTGTTGGCTGCTAGAGTCGAGATGAAGATGAAGGGTCAAAAGATCAATGACGTTATCAACAAAATCCATTTGGCCGAACCTGTTGCCAGAGATAATGTTGACCGTCCTGCTCAAATTCCTCAGGCTGCCGTTGGTCGTGCCAGATTCGACATGAAGGATCCTAACAGACGTCGCCTTGAACGTGACATTGAAGCCGAGAATGGTGGTGCTGGTGTTTACAGTGCTGACTTCAAGAGTAAGTTTCCCGGTGACATAATGGTCTTTCTCGATACACATTTACTGATCTATTTGATTTACACGTTAACAGAGAGATACGACCTTGCCTCCGAAGACTGGAAATACGATGTCATTCCCGAATTTTGGGAAGGTCACAACATTGCCGATTTCATTGATCCTGAAATCGAGGAGAAGTTGGAGGCTTTGGAGCGTGAGGAAGAGCGCTTGGAGAAGGAAGGATTCTATGAATCTGAAGAAGAAATTGTAAGTACACAGAAATATAAAGCGTGAGTTTACACAATTCGATAATGGATATTAATCATGTCTCGTTTTTTTAGATTGATTCTGAAGAAGAAGAGCTTAAGGCAACTGCTGAAACTATTCGTGAAAAGAAGAAGCTCATCGTCCAAGCCCATCGTGCAGCCAAGGGCAATCGTAACATTATACCCAAGATGGTCGCAGGTCGTGCTAGCACTGTTGATGATATGAATGATCACTTGTCCAAGATGGGCATCGATGCCAGTGCTGTCGTGGACCGTGCTCGCAGCGTTACACGCAAGCGTGCACGATCTGAATCTAGAGCCGATGATGCCGTCAGAGAGGCTAGTGTTCTTCCACGAGGAGACTCTATGATCAGAGATAGAAGCACTGCTGGTCTTCGTAATGTTAAGCAAAAGGTCGAAGCAGACAAACAAAAGAAGGTGTCTCAACGACGATCAAATCTCTTCGCTAAGCGTGGTGAAGCCGATCGTGACATTCAAACCAAGATGCCCAAGCATCTTTTCAGTGGTAAAGCTGCTGTTGGCAAGAGAGACAGACGTTAAATACTGTTATATGATTTCACATTTTTTCCCGCCCGTTTTTATAATTTCTTTTATTTTTTTTCTTTTTTATCTTTCTCGCATCACCATCCTCTTTGATAGAACGTTTCATTTGCTGCATCTATTCCACAGAAATAAAACTGCATCTTGTATTACCATATATCTTGATCTTTTCATGAGCCAAAACCGCAGATAGATGACAGTCATGCAAATGGCAAAATTACCAGCCACTGTGGGCATGGTAGAAACCTTCTTCGATTTAAAGTATTTGTCATATTTTTTTGAGTTCATTCACTTCCATTTCTGGCGAAGAGCCATTCATACGACAGTGCATGCGAAGACCTGGCGTTCTACAAAGGATAACTTTATTTTAAAGTACTGTTATCTGGTATGCTTTTATCTTTGTGCTGCTGACAAGGGCAACCTTTACTGGTGCCTTTAATTCTCGCCTCTTTTCTCTAAAAGACGTTGGATATGCTCGCTCAGCTGGAAGTTCTTCAGTGTTGCGGTATTAATCTTGCTTGCTCCTTGAACTGTTTTGATGCACTGCAATGTATTTCATCCTGTCAATATTTGTTTCTCAAGTACTTTTCCACTCCCTGACATGTACGTACCGAGCTTGAACCGCACCAGCAGTCAAAAGGTTGGGCTAATATATACAGTAGCATCGTATGTCAATATTGGTTGTATCCGTCGTTTGTATAACAAATTTGATATCTTACCCATGTCCCATTCGGTGGAAGGATAAAAGAAAGTAATTTCATCGCCAGTAGCAAGATCCACATTAGCAAGGACTGCTCTTCTCTTGAGGTCTAGGACAGCAGTGGGACTGCAAGAATGATTCATGTAAAGTAAATCACTGTTGAGTTCTACGTGCTCGTCTTCACTGATTTGAACGCTGGAGTAAGCCTTGGGTCCGGCAGTCAAGCCTTCAAGCGAGGCAATAACCTCTCCCTTCTTGTAGCTTTTAGCAGTAAGAAGCTTTGAGTTGTAATTTTCAGGATCGCCAATCCATTTGACTAGAAATTGCTCAGGGTGAGTGGGTTTATATGAAGTTGAAGAAGGCATTTTTTTTTGAAAGTGAAGACAGTGTGACTAAACAATGACAGACGAAAAAAAAATTGGTTCCCAAAGAAGTTCACTCTCATTTAAATCATTCCGATCAACAATAAATATGGCTGACTATAACGAGTATTCACGTGTAGACGTAAATGTATGGGGTCATAGTACATTTATAACAGCCAAGTACAATGCCCCGACTCTGTGTGATGCTTTGGAAGCACAGGAAGCCTTACGCAGAGGTCAAACACTCTCCGCTTGTTCAATGTCTCAAAAAGTGGAGACTTTACACGTCTATATATTTATAAGTTTTGGCGATTCGACAGTAAGTGAGATTTTGCAATAAATTCATTGCATTAATCTGCGGTCGTTATGCAATCTACAAGAATTCTGCAAATATATTTGGGTCCCGATAGCTGTCGTACTGTGGCAAACAATAATTGTAGTCCGACGACCGCAGGGAGCAGCGATATGCAGGCTTTACGCCATGCGCGAAATCTCCGTACCGTACATTCCTGACACTGTGGGTCTCGTTTTGCTGAGGAGATCCAATATTATCGCATCAGTCATACCCATTTACGATCAAATTGATACACAAAGATGTGTACAACTATGGTATAGCGCGCAAACGCTCATCTTAGGGAAATTTTTTTGAAAACCTTTATGAGTCGTCTGAGTTGAGAGATCACGATGAATGTCTCAACGGCTAAACACTTATATTTACATCTTTATTCAGCAGCAATTTTATGACAGCAGTGAAGTGATCGCCAATATGGCCAATTCTGGCTCCACGATTGATAGTGAGATTTTTAAAGACGCCAAATACATTTCTCATCTAGGACCGAATATCCTTCCAACCGCCGGTGTAATTTTTGTCAATATAGCCCTTACATTATCACCCAAACATGATACTTTTGATTCTGCGTCAAGCTTGCAATAGGTGGCTTACTGAATGCCATGGTGGATAAAGAGCCCATTTTGCTCTCTAGATATTCTCCTAGTGCCTATATCAACTTCATAAGAGTTTTCAAGGACACAATCAAATATAGGTAGGTAAGAACGGAGCCATCAACAAACTCATGCTAGCCTCATGTGTATGTGGATGAGATAAAGGTTACGGGGTAAATTGATAGTGTTATGAGGAGGAAAATAAAATTACAAGAAATCTTTGATTATCTTTAAAATATATACAAATTTTATCTCTAGCTTTCGATCTTTGACGTCTCAATGATTTACTGCAGTTTTTTGAGACAAAGGATAGCGGGTTGTGGGGCTTTGCGGGGCTTGTGTTTTGCATCTGGTGGTAAATGTCGACTAAGTCAGCGTGGGGAAGTTACCTTATTCCCAACCGTAAGGCGAAGAGAGCATACATGTCTTTATAAGATGATGCAGCATTTGCACTGAGCATTATCAGCTTGCTTTTTCGCTTCTGTAGGAACGATGATGGTCGACAAATATTGACATTAGTTGGCCGAATTACATCATGATATGCTTATCACCACACATCGCCTTACCATCCTCCTTCCAACTGGTAGCCGTACGGATACTTAGATGTACCGTAGTCATCCTTCCATTTTTTATATTATTCGCTGTAGTGATAACGCAAAGATTAAATATTTCCTGCCGTACGGTTACACAAATGAAAGCTGGGCAGTATCAAATCACCTTCCAGGGTAGTATCGTTGGCCAAGAACTTGCCCAAATAAATGACATTCATTTCTTCCACTGTAGTCGGTGCATTGATATTCCATTCTGAGATTGGTCAGTTAGCAAGCTGGGATTATATTTAGAAGACGATGACAGATAGCCTACCTTTAGGCCATTGCTTCAACACCTGCATTTTCACTTGTGTGATGGTATCATTCTTTTCTGTATCAATAACAAGCTTTTTGCCCGAAACCAGAAGAAGATTCAAGCGCACTTTGTCGCTTGGTACAGCTGCTTCCTTAGGCTCACTGCTGCATTGAGAGGTGGTTTCTTCGTCATTGTCAATTGCGATTTGCTCAGTCGTCTTGGGAAGGTCATGCACTGTTGCTGGCTGCATTTCCATACTGACAGCTTCCTCTGTTGAGGATGGGGCAGTTTCCGTCGGTGGCATGATCAATGCTTCCAAACCAAACGGGTAACCTGGTTTTTTTGAACCGCCATATGTCTGAATCACACATCACGTGGCTGTTCATGCCTCCGTCGTACCGCCACAGCCTTCCCAAGCACAAAGGTTCAAACAACTATACTGTTGCTTGATTAACGCTTGTAAGCAAATAGTTGAGAACAACTGAAAGATAATAAAGTCGTAAAATGAAAGAGCAGATCGTCATTTACTATCAGAACGAGCTTAGAACCCATGTTACCACCATCAAGGTTCGGCACAACAATACCAGTCATGACACGCTGGCCACATGGCGGAATTTTAAAAGTTTCAAAAGAAAAGGAGAACAAGCTTAACTGCATGCCGTAGAGTTGATGTCGTCCCGTAACTCGACTCAAGAGTACTATGAAAGGACTCTCAAGGAAGCGCAACGATACTACAAAGCAATTTCCTCTGCTTCAGATTGGGCAGAAATAAAGCAACGGCCTGCCAAAATAGCAGCGGATCGCATTCCACAACTGCATGTATTCAAGCGACGAGAATTGAATAAAACTATAGAAACATTTAGAGCAACTCGTATCGTTGATTGCGAAGATACTCAAGCTGCTTTGGATAGCTGGCAAGGTATACTCGATAACTCGGAATGCAGAATACTTTGTAAGTAGTGATTTCCAAGCTATAAATAAACGTAAAACTCTGCTCAACCTTACTAACGAATTTGTTACGAAAGGGGATTCCACGGTGGAAGACTGTACCGTGCTAGAGCTAGCAAAAAATAACGCAAGAATATCCAAAATACTACTGAAGAACAAATGGAGCTCAAAGTAAGTACTCAATCGCCGAATGTATTACCGTGCCATGGTTCTGGTATTAATTACGGTACAGTCCTAGAGATCTCATTCTGATAGAGGGCGGCCAGCGATTTGATCAATCTTTCCTTTACATTGCGTCATCCCTACCACCATCGAAGGATCAACCTAAAACATTCAGACCGGCGAATCCGTATGTTCGAGCCAACCTTACACTAAGTGCCTTTCACATTGAAGCAATCAGCCGAAATCAAATCAAAATCACAGTATATCATCAGCTGGATCTCAAAGGATGGATAACATTTTCAATATCGTCCTATTTATCTCGTATAATACCAGACTGCCTTGCGACAATGGAAAGTCATGGTATCCCACCAAGCATATGTTGCTGTGGCACTGCTATCCAGCTGATTCACCGTCGATACAACCCTGCAGACAAAAGTCTCGTCATTCAATACAAAACCGAAAAGGGGCCATCTAAGCAACACTATTCCAGTGAATCGGACGAGGAGGATTATGGAAATAACATGCAGCAATTTGGTAGATCCATGCCTTCCATTGGAAGTGTACCGATTGAGCCTAACCATCCTATCGAACGAAAACGGAGTGTATCCTCCAGTTATGAAGCAAATTCATACTTATCTTCCTCAATGAACCGTGGAGGATTTATGAACCCAGGTTTTATGTTGTCATCTTCACCTACGTCAGGGATACGGGCAAGTTTCGGCAGCCGATCAAAAAGCGCATCCTTCCACACAGGCACCCTCACAGCCAGCCGAAGCTTCTCTAATTTAGACTACAGCGCAAGGAACCAACCAACAAGCAAGCTCGACTATTGTCCTGAAAAAAGTATTCAGTTGAACGTCTTATCGGAAAAATGGACGGAATCACGCGCAATCGATATTGAAACATCAAGCCAGAATGATGACATGCTTGAGCAAGAAGAAGCCATACAAAGAAACAATATTGCAGCAAAATGCTATAGAATGCTACGACCCAAGGTGTATATGCTGGAGATTTGCCAAAGCCAGCTGTCTGTCTTTAGTTCTGACAGTATGGATGATCACTTGGGTAGTACTTTAGATGGAGTAGCGGTGTCGAGCACTAAGCAAGCAAATGGGCGACAAGGTGATGGTCCTGATGTCGTGACCATATCCATTACACTTCGATCAGATCCTTCAGTGGATGAAACAGAGACCCAACAGCCTGTTTTTCTAAATGGTAAAGAAGTTGTTGTCTTGGACTATATTGGACAAAACAGACGCTGGAGTAAATCGGAATCTGGAACCTTCAAAGGCACATGTTATTTTGATATTGATGGCGACATCTTTGGTGACATTATGGATATTCACGATGAACAACTGTCTGCTTCTGATGGTTATTCAGACAACACGGCCATTGCGAGAAAAGAGAAGCCGTCCACCGACATGCAAATGCAAAAAAATCTCTTTGGGAGCCAGGCTTTTGGTGAACCTACTGGGCCGCTACCTGTGCAAGAACCAAAGCCATTGGTGAATGCACATGACACAATCTTTAAGGCGCTGGAAATAGAAAGCTCGAATGATTTGACTACGAAAGCTTCGGCAACCGTGAATGGCATTATCAGCTATGAACGGGATCTTGCGGATGGAAGCAAAATTGCCGTCTCAGAGAGTATATGGGAGAATTGTAGCATATGGGACGTCAAGGCAATTGTTGATTGTCCTGGTATCGCTGCACAATGTAAGTTTACCTATTCATTTCAATTTCTTTCTGAATGCTGTTTTAAATACCTCCTTGCATTTATTAGGGGATCCCGCATACGATAGTGGCCAAGTAATTGGTAATCTATCACCTCGATGCACAGTACACTCGTCCTATTATAAATCGTCTTGGAGGGCTAGGTGAGTGGTGGTACGACGAAAAGTTAAAAAGGTGTAAGTTATGGCCTACTAATTATGTTCTTTAGCTTGAAGGAATATTTGTCTGTAAACGCCACATATGCGTCGTTATCTCGTCTGCGATACGTTAGTCTATCTTTTGATGGAGTCAGCGACGGGCAAAGCATTGCCAAGCAAACAGCCGGCGATGGCAGCTCATATTTGTTGAACGGCTGGCAAATGGACTCACTTGATGATGGATCGTGCTCTGTCAAATACCTAGCTCAAAAGGATGGCAGCAAATCTTCTCCTAATTATGTTTCAAAGCCAAGCGAGCATCTTATTCCTGATCTTCTATCAAAGGCAAAGCGAGATTTTGTCAGCGGTGATACTCCACCAACACTTGCGTACATCGTAAATGGAAGCCTTAATAGCGTGCAATTCGATTCGCGAAATAGTAGCTGGCGATGTCAATATGAACAAAGCAGTGCTCAAAAGACTTCATCATCCAGCCACCACAGCAGCATCGTATATCTACGATTACCTGTACAAAAGGATTCCATGAAGCAGAAAGGATTTTCCGTCAGTATCGATCCTCCGTGTGATCATTTACTTACCGTCATCAACCTTCCAAGTGACAAGGCTGGAATTTGGCTCCGAATTGAACACAATCAAAATGGTATGACTCACGACAACGGAAGCACCCTATTGCTTGTCAAACGCTCTGAGAATGTTGCCCAATTGCAAGTTAATGGCTCAACTCCGCGGCTTACAGACTTTAATAATTATGCTGAAGTCGTGCATTTCGTTTCACAAGAAGACTTGCCCTTGCAGTTGTTGGAGAAACTTCAATCCAATATGAAGAACATTTCCGCGACCGATACTCTACCTTCTAGGCTGGCTAATGCATCAAGACTGAGTATGCCTATGTCAGATAGCTCTTCTCATACATCAGCCAAAGCCGGTAGTGTTGAATCAGATCAACAAACTGTAGAGGATAGTACAAAAGATGTGACACCAAGTATATTTGATGAACTGCCTGTCAGCACTCATGATCAAGCGGCTGCTGCATGCTTGTATTTACATCGTATGAGCGATCAGCATTTTGGATGGGTCCATGTATCTGATCGGAATGGGATGCGGATACAAAAGCGATCTGGAGGCGAAGCTGCTCCTGTTGAAACGGTTGCATTGGATACAAATGCCACTATAATATCAGACACATTGGAGCAACAGTTCCCTACTATACCGGCTCATCTGATGCTTATGAAAGGCACTAAGGTCATTGAGAATTTCTCCGTGGAGGAAGTTGCATCTGTGGTGGCAGAGCCTGGTTACATTCGAGACGTTTTTCAAGATACCGTTCTGAATGTGGATGTTATGAAGCAATTTGTGAATGGGCATGCGTGCGTAAAAGCACAATTGAAAGCATGGTTTCCTTTCAAGTAAGTAACGAGATAAAATTGTGTATTCGCGTATGATCCCTCATTCAACTTCTCTATGTTTTCTCCGTAGGGTTCGAGATGTGTATATAGCGTCCACTACAGCAACAGATACCAGTTCCAGCGGCCAAACAACCAGAATAATACATGCGGCCACCTCAATCTCCAATTTCAAAGTAGATATCGAGACATCTAATCCGTTGGCACATCTTTACTTATCAGGTTGGATATTGGAAGCGGTTGACCCATACACCACTACTACCAATCATCCGATACCTTCTACTCGAGTCACTTACATGGGGTGCATAGATCTTGGTCAGAGTATTCCAGCTTATATCAGCAATATGGCGACTTCTAATTTGATCAAGAGCATTGGCCGTGTCGAATCCCTTTTGAAAGCTAGTGGTCCACCCCCGAGGCTACTTTCTCCCATCCCATTTGCTGATCTACAAGGGGGCGAGCTTCGATGGAGTGGGAAAGGCATTGCCTTTGCCGGAGACCAACTTGTCGAGGTCCAATATGTACCATCGCAAAAGCATTGGATGGTTTCAAGCTCTTTCGATCATGCTAAGCTCACACTGCCTCAGTCTGCATCGGATCCATCTATCAAAGAAGATGCTCCGCAGACACTCAAGCAATCACCAATGACGTCTATCTCCAGCACTATGATTAAATCGCCTCTTTTATCTGAGCGAAGAGGTTCGGCTCCAGGACGGATACCATTGGGAGTTTTGTCGAACAAGCCAAAGATGGCGCATTCCAAGTACCCTTCGTTCTCTAACCTCAAGTCAAAAGTTACATTGATGGATGTAGTGGTGGATCTTAAGTCATTTGACAAGGGATACCACTGCGAAGTTAGATTTTCAGTGGAGCCTGGCCATAGTATCGACTTATCCGACAAATTGACCGCTCGTATAGAGCAATTGCACCCGGAGCCTTCTTATCTTGTTGGCAGTGCTGGTTCACTACCTCCGATCAAACATCATATAGAAGTCAAGCTGGACTTGGAGAGCGTCACCAAGGAGATGAAGCAACAGTTGTACAGTGAATTACATAATTATAAGCTCACATTCATACTTAACCCAGTGACCGATACTCACTTGCTGGCGAAAACCAACAAGCTCACCATATCTGGTGTTCTTGGTGAAGATGAGGATAAATGGAAAGGCATCAACTTAATCAATGGGCAAGAAATAACCTTGAATCAGGACACCAGACTGACCTCTTTGAGCGGCAGCCATGCTACCGTCACAGATGCACGTCCATCTAAACAGGAAGTGGAAACTGGAGAAAGCGAAACAACCATCGCTGCTGTGTTTTCCAATGTTGTATCCCATCCTGCATTATCTTGGATAACACATTTAAGTGGAAGTGCTGCTACCAATGCCACTGTGGAGAGGGAAGAGCAGACATCTCCTGTGTTGCCAGCAACAGCCTCAATGCAAGACGCCATCGAAACGGAGCCTATGAGCAAGTCAGTGAGTTCGCATATTCAAGATATCAGTAATATGGTTTTATCACCTTTTATACCTGGATCTCCTTCGCCTCCACAACTCTCTCCATCCAGTGCTGAGATCATGCATGAGCTATACACAGATGGCAAGGACATCACCGGTTCAGACGATAGGAAATCCATAAGATCTTCTACTGCCGAGACTCAGACGGTCGTTGTAACGCCTTCGCATTCAAGGTCGCATGCGCTCTTGAGACAATTTGCCGTCATCTTCCTCTTATCTATTCTTATTGGAGTTTTAATACGATCGTTTGCAATATTAGCAATCGACTCTGATAATGAGGCTGCCACCATACGACTCCTTGAAACCGATCCAAGTAATATCAAGCAAATATGGCGTATGCGATGGTTTGGTGGATGGGACGTAGAATTCATTGCCGTCAAACGTCGTTGAGGCATTGTAGATATGTATATAATCAAAGTCGTTGCCCAATGAAATTGATAAAGAACAAACGATTTTATATTTCCTTTATAAATCTTTGAAAAATTGAGGATGTACTCCTCCCCTATGATAAGGTATGCTGCGATGTTAGTCCTAATACGCATATATTTGCAACATGGCCGCTAAAACAGCATGGAATTCCGGACAGGAAATATACAAAGACAAGGTTTGAATCGATGTCCGCCTATATATTTGAAAACGGCTAAAGTGATATGATAATATACAGACGATGATTATGAACCAGGAGATGACGTTCATCTACCATGATAGCTGCCCAACGTTACTACGGCATAAGGTACAAGGTCTATCATTTGGCGCCGCGTCTCTTGGAATAGCGTTTCCACTTATGCGACTTGAGGTCATAGTCAGCATCAGGGCCTTGATGACCTTCTTTGAAACAGTGATTACAATATACGTCGTCGTCGCAGTCAATACATACAATCGTTCCATCTTCATTGCAAATACCTGTCATGACATAGCAAAGTTACTCTGAATGTTCTATACAAAACCGCATAAATGGTGCGAATACTTACAGCACCATCCTTCTGTTTCGTCTTCTTCATCTTCTTCGAATGGCTTAGGTGGTGGAACGTAGACACGGTTGTATTTTATGGGTTCAGCGGTTCCAGATGCTGGTTTGGCATTTTGCAAGACAGCCTTCATATCCTTACTGAACGCAGCAAATCTCTTTTCCAATATATCGTCGCTATCACCATGAAGGTCTTTGTACTTCTTTTCGAGCGCGACCTCCTCTCTGACTTGTCGGACGATGTCATCTTCCTCGGCAGTAGGCGCATAATCGTCCTCACCAAGGAAGGCGTTGACAGCGGCGTTAAGTTTTGTGTTATGCATACCTGCTTTAGCAGATACTTCAGGGCCACTTCCTAATATATCGGCAAGGTAGTCTTCATCATCATCCGACGAAACAAAGTCGGCTCCCATGCCATCGTCGAGCTATAAAGAAAATATTTCTCAGTAAGCGGTGAGAAAACGATGCCACACTGCAAGTCCTCCGTACCTCGTTGCTGGTATTGTCCGGAACGGAGTAGTTCAACTTTTTTTTATTCGCAAGAGGCTCGTGGCCGAAGATAGCCATAAACCTCGCATTAAGAGCCTCATCGCTGGAATGCTAGAAGTTAATTACTGCGTGTAGGAGGACCATCCAATATATACGGTAAACATACGTCAGTTGGCTTGGATCTATATCATTGCTGTCCTTCAAGTTTGCAACCCTCTTGGCAATGTCATCGTCATCTGACGGTCGAGACATGAATAAAGGTGATTAGGTGGATTTCTTATTTATGTTGATCCGTCAAGTGATCGTTTGAAAAGAAAGCTCATAAAAAAAATAATGTACAATGTGCGGTGTGATCTATTATAGTGGCCATTTTTTCCTCTCTAAAACTCTAAGCGGTCAATGTCCTTTGAACCAGCTCAGTTATACCAACGTCGTTTGTATTGAATTCAAAGCAGCCCCAGATGACAGCCGCTGATGTGGCTTTCAATCCCCATCCCAAGTATTTGTTTGCTCGAGGATAATTTCTTGCAGGGAAATAATCTGTGATACATGCGTCGAAGCCGATGTGAAGGTGAAGAGGGAGAACCAGCCCAAGTACGCCATCCAGAACTGGATGTGCTCCGTAAATGACTTGGGTACTGATCAATGGTATCAATGCTACTGAAGCTGCTCTTTCGTAGGACCAGTGGAAACTACCGTCGACATAATTTGGCATTACAAACTTGGACACTTCTTTCTCGTCCTTCTTTTCATCCTTCTTTTCATCATCCTTCTTTTCGTCGCTTGCCTTCTCAGAGGTTGTTTCATCCTTAACAGCGTCTGAGTGCGGAAAAGATAAACAGGTTATTGATATAAACATTAAAACGGGTTAAGAATTATACTTGGCACATACCAGCTGTCGCCTTAACAGGCTTATCAGGGGATGGGTTGGAGGCTAAATGAATAGCGAAGATTCAACAAAGGCGAAACAGAGCAATGGCCGGGATGTTGGTAGACTGCTTACCACTGTATGGCCTTTTTGGCATATGAGCAAAGGCACTTCCCTGTCTCAAGTGTTGAGACAAGCGCAAGCTTCTTAGCAGAGACATTGAATTGAGCTGGATTCAAGTAAACAGAGATCTGAGGGTCGTTGAGGCACTCTTTGAAAACATCGTTTTTACAGGACTGCTTCTTGGTCTTTGAAATTTCTCGCCCATTTTTTTTTTGCGAATTGAATCTACCTGTCAAACGATTTCACAGCAAACAATACTTTACAACTTTTTCATTCATGAGTGAGACACCTGTAGAATTGAGAGGTACATATAATAGCTTCCACCTTGAGGCATTTTAAAACATCGCCGTCTTGCAGTTTGCTAAATCAACCATTCTATACAGAATCTAAAAAGCGACCTGCTCCCGCTTCAGAATCGTCAACGTTTGACGACCTCAAAATACAAGACGATAGTATACTGCACAAACACAGCGATCGAGAAACATGTCCAGACTGTAAAAAGAGCGCAATGTACTTTTGCTACCGGTGCTTCAAGCCATCGACTATTAGTGAGGGTCATATCCCGCAGTTAGAACTCCCAATACCAATGGATGTGTAGGTACTACAGAATATTGCAGATCGACCTACAACTTTTGATCTAAACATTCTACCAGTATAAAACATGAACAGGAACTAGATGGAAAATCGACAGCAGCGCACGCAGCAGTTATTGCTCCTCACAATGTCAAAATATACAATTGGCAATCCATCCCACAATACGAGAACCCTGAAGAAGTGTTGCTCCTCTTCCCTGGACATGTAAGTTAAAATGACCACATCGTTCGTTTTTCGAGATCTCAATCGCAGAATCTAATCAAGCTACCAACCAATTTTAAGGACGCTCATACACTCGAGGAAATACCGAAAGGGTCGTTCAAAAAATTTGTCGTCATTGATGGAACATGGAAGCAGGCTTCAAAAATAGTTCGATTGTCTCCTCAGCTACAAAATGTCCGCAAAGTCACTATAGCGCCGAGGAAGACTTTGTTCTGGCGGTACCAGAGCTTGAGTGAGAATTACTTGGCGACCATAGAAGCTATATACTACCTTTACCGCGAATATGCAGAGGCATACGAGATGAATGGCAAGCCTTATGATGGAAGATACGACAACTTGCTCTTCTACTTCAGATACTTCTATAATTTGATTCAAAGCAAGTACAAAAAGGAGAACAAGAAGTACACTCATCGACAGCGTGAAGGCTACATTCAGTACGACGACTCAGTTGATGCCAAAGTCGATGAAAACAAGTCTGTAGACGCTTAATCTCATATATTGTCCAATATAACCCTGTAATAATAAAGGAAGTGGGTAGCCAACATTCAATATCAGGATAGTCCAAAAATGCCCGTGGACGCGCATATCTTTGCTTTTTAGATTTTTGATTTAATGTACTGTGCTGTGGTGTGTCATATTCATAGACCCAAAAACCACACGAGAATGAGAGTTTGCCACAGATGATAATTTTAAAATACCTCTATAGCAATGGAGGTCAACGTTTTACATATCCATAATGAACTGAGATAAAAGAAAAATTTTCTATAGCAAAAGGTCATCGAACGCATTCGTAGATGGTTTAGTCTGTTGCTGCTGAGCAGGTTGACTGGTGAAACTACCAAAGTTGTTCATGGGAGGCTTTGAGGAGGCGTTAGCCCATGAGCTCCACTCTGACGCTGTTGCACTGCTCTTCAATGAATTCATGGAAGGTCCGACAGTGGGCTTGTTTTGGTTGTTACCTTTTCCGAGGGAATCAAGAGAAACCAAGCTCGATGCTTGGGACCATAAGTCATTGCTCTTTCCTGCCGTGGTAGCAGGAGGGCTGGAAGGGTTGTTTGCAGTTACATGTTGACCCATGGGTGCCATTGAAGACATATTTTGAGCATTCATTGTGGCAGGAGCTGCGCTAACATTGGAAGGAGCGGGTGCAAAGCTATCATCGCCAAGAAGATCAAACAAATCGTTGCTTTGAGCAGGCTTGGATGGTGCAGCCACCTTGGAGCTTGCGGCAGATGGTGCTGTAAATGTATTGGTAGAACTGATGGGGGCGGCGCTTTGGAAATCATCAAAGTCATCTATGGAATGGTAGAGTTAGAATGGGCAAGGTAAGTCTATGTTATAATCAAACCTTTCTCTTACCATTCGCAACTCCACCAGATGAAAAGGTACCCCATTCATCATCGTCAGCCACGTTGGAAGTGGGCTGTGTGCTGGTGTGTGAGGTTGTGGGCTCATCAAAATCAAAGAGATTAACCTCTTTAACGGGTTGCTTGGCTGGCTTAGGAGAAACAGCTGAGTTGGTATCCGAGTTTGCTGTCTTTGTCTTACTCTTGTCGCTTGAATCATCATCTTCAAAAGATCCATCATCATCGTATTTTCCTTTATCGTATGAATCAGAGAAGTCATCATCAAAGCCTCCGCCGAAACCACCACTTCCGCTATAACCGCCACCTGCGCTGAAACCACCGTTACCACTGCCACCAGCAGTGTAGCCGGAATCACTGCCAAAGCCGCCATATCGAGAAGAGCTACCACCGCCACTATAACCACCACCACCGCCCGAAGAGCTAGAAACGGCTGTGTACTTGTTGCGGTTATGCTTGGCCTTCTTCCTCTCAGCCTTTATCTTCTCCACATCGCTAAGGAGTTCAGCAAGCTCCTTTGCTCGGTTACGAACTGGTGTGTTGTAAACGAGTATCAATCGTCAAGACTTCCAAATGATAGTATTTCCCAGGGTGCAAATTGCGACATAACATACCATTGATTCCTTGATCTTTACCCTTCTCATCTATGTAGTGGAAATTGCGTAGTATTTTAATGGTAGCCATATGCGATCTTGCCTCGTCAATGACACGCTCAGCGCCGTTCTTCACCAAATATTCCAGTAAAACGAGTGCCTGAAATTAACGATACAAATACCATTTCTTGATCAATCGTCATACTTATGCTTAAATTGTTATCAAATAGCATGTGTTATACGCGTACCTTGTATATCTGTCTCCATTGTTTAGCTTCTTTCTCGGTGAAGCGTTTGAATAGAGTGGGCATAATCTCGTTAAAGTATTGGCTATACGAAAACATCAAATGTTAAACAGATATCTGCAAGTGGATGCCCATAGTCAAGTAGTCAGCTTACTAGTTGAAGGTTCCTTGCGCGATTTCCTGCATCAGTGTGCTTGAGGCACCCCAAGGCTCGTTATTCGTCGCTTCATGAACTTTAGCTTCCATCTCTGTGTAATTCAAGACGACATTGCGTCTATAACATACGACATTAGGTACTTTTATCTTCCTACGTTGTCTCCCGACATGAGATAAGCATGCAACTGAGTCGACTTACACTTTGTTGATGACATCCTTAAAGTGGAAAGATGAGTAAAATTAGAATCCTTAGGTTTAGATTTGGAATCATGACACTCCCAGGCGAGAAGGAGTGATTTCATGCTTAGGGTTGCAATGCCTTACCTTGACTTCCCACAAGTCTGGAATCTGGAATTGTGACAATGAATTCATTGGTAAGATGACGAGTCAATGGTTGAATAGCACCGCTGCAAGGAATAGCCACCCCCTCGTAATGCGGCATTTCAAAAATTAATGGCGCACATTTTTCGTGCCAACAAGTTGAAAGGTTTTTTGTGTGTGAACCGGTTTTATTTTTTTTATACACATTGAACTGCTTGTAAATCAAACAGTTATTTCAAGAACGTTTGCTTTCCATAAACTATACAAAGGAGATTGCTATTGTTGTGGGAACCAAAGCACATGGAGTGGAGTTTTCTAAGCAAGGTAGGTAGAAGCAGAGACATTACCACCACGGCCAGTCCAGTTGGTGTGGACCCAGGTACCGGGCTGGTTGAGGAGCTCGTAGGTGTGAGCACCGAAGTAATCACGCTGAGCCTGGAGAAGGTTGGCAGGAAGCATCTCATGACGAAGACCATCATAGAAGTTAAGAGCAGTGGACAAAGCAGGGGTGGGGATTCCGAGCAAGACAGCGTTGGCGACAACGGCTCTCCATGACTCTTGAGCCTTGGCAGTGGCCTCCTGGAAGAAGGGGTCGAACAACAAGTTCTCGAGGTCGGGCTTTTGAGTGTAAGCATCCTTGATCTTTCCAAGGAAGACGGAACGAATGATACAACCACCGCGCCACATAAGAGCAATACCGGCGTTGTTCAACTTCCAGTTGTTCTCCTTGGCAGCTTGACGCATCAACATGAAACCTTGAGCATAGGAGACAATCTTGGCAGCATACAAAGCTTGACCGAGTTGGTCCAAGAACTTCTTCTTGTCACCAGTGAACTTGGCGTCCTTAGGTCCATCGAGGATCTTGGAAGCACGGGTACGCTCATCCTTGAGGGAAGACAAGCAGCGAGCATAGACAGCCTCACCAATGAGAGTGACGGGGATACCACGGTCCAAAGAGTCAATGGCGGTCCACTTGCCAGTTCCCTTTTGACCAGCAGTGTCACGGATCTTCTCAACAAGAGGAGAACCATCAGTGTCCTTGAACTTGAGGATATCACGGGTAATTTCAATCAAGAAAGAGTCAAGTTCTCCCTTGTTCCATTCTTCGAAAACAGCAGCCATCTCGTCGTGGTCCAAACCAAGACCTTCCTTCATGATTTGATAGACTTCGCAAATAAGTTGCATGTCACCATATTCGATACCGTTGTGGACCATCTTGACATAGTGACCGGCACCAGTTTCACCAACCCAGTCGCAGCAAGGTTCGTTATCAGCCTTGGCAGCAATAGCCTGGAAGATGGGCTTGATGGCGGGCCAAGCAGCGTTGGAACCACCGGGCATGAGGGAAGGACCGTAGCGGGCACCTTCCTCACCACCAGAGACACCGGAGCCAACGAAGAGAATACCCTTCTTCTCGAGCTCTGCAGTGCGGCGGATGGAGTCAGGGAAGTGAGAGTTACCACCATCAATGATGATATCACCCTCCTCGAGGAAAGGAAGAAGTTGATCAATGAAGTTATCAACGGCATCACCAGCCTTGACAAGGAGCATGACCTTGCGTGGGCGCTTGAGCTTAGCGCAGAGCTCTTCAATGGAGTGAGCTCCAACGACATTGGTACCTAGTTGAAAGGGAGAATAAAATAAACGCCGGTTCGTTACACATGACTGTCAAATACTAGTTTTATCGCGATGAAAAGAAAACCCAGTATAAAATGTCGGAGGAAGAATATCGATTACAAATTTAAGCTGACGAAGTTCGATTGTCTTTGCTGACATAGCATCCCCCGTCCATACGCGCATACACGTTGTAGAAAGAGGAGGAAAGTGACTACTTACCCTTGGCTTCGTTTTCCAAGAAAGCGTCAACCTTGGAGGTAGTACGGTTGTAAGCACAAACGACGAAACCGTGGTCGTTCATGTTGAGAATCAAGTTTTGACCCTAAATAGAGAGCTAGAGTTAGAACATGGATGATTCTGAGAGCCCAATGTCAACAACAGTTGAGTGTGGCTAAATTTCGGCGTCACAACCATGAAACATGCGTAAGAGGTGGTTTTGGCCCTCTTCCCACTTTGGTGACGTTCAACCGGTAGTAGTACCGATGTTGCCGTCGCCATTTGACAATAGCTACAAACTCTGTGCAAACGCCGAAGACACATAAACGAAGCCAAACCCGCAAGGTTCCATTGGTATGACGGCCGAAAAAAGAATGAAAGACGCTCACCATAACGGCCAAACCGATGAGACCAATATCAGCACTGGGAGTAGCATGGATATGACGGGAGAGAGTGTGCAGTCGATTGCTTTAGTTAGGATCGCTACTTTTAAGCACTATGCCATGCTTAACATCAAAAATTGGGAAATAAACCATGACACTTACACAGCTTGAGTGGACATATTGGAAGTAATGTAAAGTTGTTAAGAGAAAAGAGAACAACGCGATTCTCCAAAATTGATGCTTTGATTACATTTTATGCCGCCCGACGGCAGGGGATTGGATGAGATGAAAGCCCCGGACTGACGTAAGCTTTCACTAAGCTAGGATGATTTTTTTATGTAGAGAAATCCCCCCAAAATTTCCCGCAGCCTCCCGAAGACGCTTAAAACTGCATGCATTGACTCCGCGAGATATGAAGAACTTGGGACTATTTAATGATTCAAGCGTCTACAGCTATCCTGTTTACCATTTTGCAAGATGGGTGCGGATATAAAACGATCAAAGGCTATATCGCTATCCATCATCAACACGGGACCGTTAAAAATTCAAAAAAAAAAATTATCAAAAGTCCGTAGACTTTGGGGGCGCTGAGTCTCAACTTGGTACGGTGAGCCCATCAAAAAAAAAAGGTTGGGAATTTGCAATAGATGGTATAAACTCCATATGGAGCGTAGCGGGCATACAAAGCTAAGCTTTCTATTGATGTTGATGATCTTGGTAACAGATTTCGCAATACAGGAGTTATAAAATAAACGATGGTCAAGTGAAAGGAATGATTTGAAACGGTATATCCTTCTTCCCTTATGGTGGCAAGGTAAGGGTTAGCCCTTCGGTTCTTCAAAAAGCACGGTGGAAACAAAAAGGTTAATGATATTGATAACCAGGCACTGGGTATGGATTATAAATAATCTGTTGCTGATGTTGAAGCATCATCTTTTGGTATTGTGTCGCAGCGAGGTAATCAGAGAAGCTGGAATAGGTGCTCTGCTGACGGTAACAGCGGTAATGCCATTTAAGCTCATTATCTTCATTCATAGCCAAAATATGCTCATCCTGATTCTCTTCTGAACAGACCTGCTGTGTGCGACGAAGAGAGCTTTCGCTTTTCCTATGCTTCACGACGTTTTGCGGCTTGACAGTTAACTTTGGCTCAGCATCTAGTATTATGGGCACGTGGTTTAGTCAAACGGGTCTCATTTGTCATCGCACTGGTGAGCAACTTACCTGAAGAAAGAGGTGTTTTGACTCTTTGAGGTGATTCGTCGTAGAGTTCTGAAGGAGTGAGTGGCAAATTGGGGGTATCACTTTCGTCGGTGATGGATGAATTGTTGGATGATATCCTGTTGGAGGTAGGCGATAATTGGGCCCGTTGCTTAACGTGACTGTGATGGTCATTTCTGACACTATCGAAACCTGGCTCAGAAATAGGAGAAGCGGGCATGGGCGGTAAGTCATTGTCTATGTATCGCCTTCTGGCGTGTGGGTCGCTGCTAAAGCTTTTACTCTTACGCAGAACATTCTCTCTGAGCATGCCCTTTTCGCTTTGATGACTGAGCCTGATCTCATTGTTGAGTCGTTTCTTGTGGTGATATTGTACATGGGATGCAGGTGAAACATCACTGATAATTTCCCGAGATGCATGCGGTGGTCGAACCATTTGTTCAGGGTACGACGGAGCTGTTCCAAGATGATCACGGTTGAATGTCTGGTAAGGACTGGAATAGGCTATAGGATTAGCTCGGCCACCATGTGGGTTAGCAATAGGCTCGCGGTCATCCATCCTAGGACTCAATTCTTGCATAGAGTGTACGTTCGGTAGACGATGAGTAGGTGAGGGGTAGTTAATCGGGAGAGTTGGCATAGGGTTGGTGTTCATAATATTAGTGGAGGGAGGAATGTTCTGTAACGAATGGTAGCGACTAGATGAAAACAAAGGATGCTGCTGTAGCCTGAAACTCTTGGATCGCATACTGGCCATGCGAGCTTCTGCTCTGTGTCTCTCTTTCATTTTATCAATCATTTCTTGTTGAGTCTCCGCTGGTGCCTTCTGTTTGTATTTGTTCTGCAACTTCAAATGACTTGGTCTACCAGGCACTTTATGATTATCACGGTATTCATCGTCAGAAGCTTCAGAGTCTTCGTCTTCTTCAGAGTCAGAAATATCTGAGTCCAGAACGATTGGCGCTTTACGTTTGTCCGCCGACGGAGTAGACTGTCTTTGTGGAGGTAAGGGCGGTGGTTCCTTTGTGGCTGGCGTTGAGGAAGACAGCGCTGCAGTAATGCTGTTGTAATCGTTTAGCCAGCTATCAGCCCTTGTGTTGGAGGCGAAAGAGGATCCACCGCCGTATATACTATTGGAACCAAAGACACCGTTAACTCGACAATGGCCGGAAGTGCTTGATGGCTCGTGTGCAAGATTATGTGCCGCGTTGGCAGCCACGTTTGTTGTGTTTGCCGTCGTGTTGTCTAGTTCTAAGGCGCGAGCTAATTGGAGACTCAAGCTAACATCACTTTGTAGATCATCTATTGTAAGAATCGCGTCAACAAACATTGTACATCATCAGAACAGATGATCGATTGTTTTGTAGGCGCTAACGAATGGTCATGAACAGTGTTCAGCAAGCTGTTTGGTTGGTAACAAGCACATGCCAAAGCACGAGTTGATTGACTACTAATCAAATTATTTTTCAAGATACTTCCCTTGACCAAAACGCTATCGCTACTACGACGAAAGAAAATATTTCGATCGTTTTCATTCGAGTTTTGCACATCTAAACATACAAATATCATACCTAGTGGCTTCCACTTGTTTTCTCCATTCGATTGCACACTGAGTTCTCCCAAGATATCATCCATAAGACTGGTGTTCTGGGTATCTGCCTTAGTAGCCAAGGCGAGAACAGCATCAGTATTAGCGACAGTCACTTCTAGCACATTTTTTTCATCGGCAATTTTCGCAGTCGTTGATATTGGTGGTGCTGGTCTTGTAACTGGTGCAACTGATTTGGATGATTTTGTTTTCTTTCCAAACGTAAAAAAGCCCATATGAGTTGGGAGTTGGGCAGTTGAAGAGTACTGTTGGGAAAGGTTATGTGTAAAAAAAACAAAAGCAACGGAGGAAGAAAGTGGGAAAAGCTAAAAAAAGAGTAGGAGCCGATCAAGGTCGATTTTTGACAGATACTTCATCTGATGAATTTTTGTTTTTTTTTTCCAGTACGAGAGGGCAGTCCGCATGTCGAGGCCCATGTATCCGTGAAAAAACGTGGGACGCGTTGAACAAATGCGTCATTCCACATTGAGCCGGTACCCACATGAGGGCTTCCAGTCGTCGCCTTAGCTATTCATCCAATCGGCGCAAGAGTGTATACCATGGTTTAAAGAACGAAAGGCTTTCTACAGTTCACTCCTATTTGAATGTGTAAGTAAATATCGAAAAAAACTTTTTTAGAAGTATATTGACAGTGGTTGGTTGGTCTCTCTGACATGTGTAACATCCGTGAAAAAGCCATTAGGAGGCATCTAGCGGTCGATCCGAAAGAACCACCGACCGCATATCGCCTCTAAAATGACAGTATGCTTGCCGCGGCATGCGTTTGTGTTCTTGTATCACTAAATCGGATGCCGGGGCAGTAAACATGGTTGAATGTGGTAAGCACATCGTCGGTATACAGACCATTCTGTTCCTTGTGGTTTGCCTGCAATTGGTCAAACCGGGGGGTCTCATCGTCTAACTATAACAAACTCATCTGCCATGATGGACTGTACAAACGCGTCTATATATTTATTGATACACTACAAAACGTCTAGAAAAATTTGGTATTGAAGAAACGTTCCAAAGGGGATTGAACACTAGGGAATGATTCAGTTGATAATCTGAAAGACGGCAAAGCAAGGCAACGACGACGGTTAAGGAATTGAAAAGGGGAGCTTTGAAGGGAGTGAATTGTACTTACGAGCTGAACATTCTTCTTTGAACCCATCTTCCATTCAACTTTTTAGCGGTCTTTGCGTTGTTCCGCGTTCTTTGACCACGAACTGGTAAGCTCATAGCATGGCGACGTCCAGCGTAGGTGTTGATGCTACGATGGTGCATGACATGGTCGCGCACTTCTCGCTTAAGATCGGTTTCAATGTTCATATTCGCCAATACGTTAGACAAAGAGTTGATTTGTGCTTCCGATAATTCGGCCAGTTTGCATTGTTTGTGAATGGAAAGTTGATCACATATCTTGCTAGAGCTAGTTGGTCCAATGCCGTAAAAATATTGCAAAGCAGTGCTTTCAAAGACAGAGAGAAAGCAGAATTTAGAAACTGTTAGATTTTAGCTTATGGCATGGAGTGATGCATACCTCACTAGCTTTCTGTCAGGCAAATTGACACCTAGTAAATGCAGCATGGTTGTTGTCTTCCTTTATTTTTTTACAAGCAACAACACAAATTCAAAAAAGGCCCTGAAGCCACCAAAACCCAGTCACAATACACCACTTTTTTTTTTTTGTGTCTTCGAAAAATTATTACCGCCTCCATTTGATTCAACACCATGTCACGGCCAGAACACATTGCGCCTCCAGAAATTGTAAGCGACGGATTATAATTGCTTAGCACTAATGTGACATAATTTTTGAACCTCGAGACTGACTCACTGTCTCAAATCTTTTAGTTCTATGGCGAGACTGAGGCAGTTAAATACACTGAAAAGTAGGTCTTAACTATGTGCTTGCTTGCCCACTGAATCTCGCTTGCACGACCGAACCTCTTACTAAAAGTGTTATTCCTATTGTAGCTCTCGAATAGCTGCTATTCAGGCAGAGATGGCATATCGTGCTCTTGAATTGCTCAATTTACCAGAAGACGAACCTGCATACATCCTTGATATTGGCTGTGGATCAGGATTGAGTGGCGAGATATTGGAAGAAGAAGGTCATATATGGGTAGGCATGGATATCGCGCCATCCATGCTAGGTAAGTTTATAAATTTTCAAAACGGAAAGGCAGGGCGATAGCACATGAAATTCCAAAGAAGTGGTTACTCACGTATTTCCTAAAATGTAGACGTCGCTAAAGAAAGAGAAGTCGAAGGAGATTTGTTCCTCCAGGATGCAGGACAAGGAATGGCTTTTAGACCAGGAACATTTGATGGAGCCATCAGGTATTTAAAGCAAAGAGGAATTTGGGGAAATTCCAGTATTTTACCATATACGGACTCAAATCACTAATTGAAGGAGGGGTTCCCATACAGTATCTCCGTATTACAGTGGTTATGCAATGCTGACAAACAGATCAATAATCCAAAGGCACGAATCGCAAGGTTTTTCTCAACGTTGTACTCATCTCTCCGAAGAGGAGCTCGTGCTGTCTTCCAATTTTACCCAGAGAATGATGATCAAATCCAAATGTTGACAGACACAGCAAGTAAATGTGGTTTTGAAGGTGGTCTTCTAATTGATTATCCCAATTCCAAGAAGGCCAAAAAGTATTACCTATGCTTATTTGCTGGACAAGCTGATGGACACAAGAACCGCATGCCCACTGCATTGGGAGAGGATGGCAGCGAGCATCCGGCTGTGGCAAGTGTGGAGTTTGAAAAGCGAAGAATCAAGGAACGTCGACGAAATGACAAGCGCCGACCTGTCAAAGATAAAAAATGGATCATGCACAAAAAAGAAACGGTGCGAGCAAGAGGCGATCGTGCTGTTGTAGCTGATTCCAAATACACTGGTCGTAAAAGAAAACCTCGCTTCTAAATAATCAATAAAACAGAATGCTGAAGTATTTATTCTTGCCAATTGCGGACTATTAACCGAAAATATCTGGGTTTCTCTCCCAGAAATAGCACTTCACCCACTCATTCATCTGCTGCCTCTGTTATTTTTTTTTTATTTTTAATCCTTTTCTTTTAAGCTATAGGATCTTCCTCTTTATCTCAACCACTACTTTACTCAAGACAGTTTGTTGGTCGACCAGGATCTTCTTGTTTAATTTTTGTGGTTGAACTATAACTTGATCAATACCCATTTTTGCCCTAATTTCTTCGGCTTCTATTTTTTTTCTTCTGTTTACTACTGTTCGTCCTTTTTCTCTCAGCTTACCGCCTTCTGATTTTCATCCCATCAATCTGCATTCTCTAATTTCGAATTTAGCCATTTGCTGACTTCGCAATGCCCAGAGGAAAGAACACTGGTAACAAGGGTGCAAACGCCCTCCAAACTGTCGACCTCAGCAAGCTAGAATCCACTACGGACGAGGACTTGACTCAAATCTTGAAGGCTCGATATGAACAAGATTGCATCTATACACGTATTGGAGATCAAGCCTTGGTATCTGTAAATCCTAACAAGAGCCTCAGCATTTGTACGGATGATCAGTCTTTAAACTATGTAGCAGAATACAAAGACACTAGTGGTCAGAACGCCAATCAGCTACCCCCGCATATCTTCCAGCTGGTCAACCAAACATATTTGCACATGCGAAGGACTGGTGTGGATCAAAGTATCATTATCAGGTATGTAATGAAATTGCCCAAGGGTAGGGGGCTATTCAGGGACCCCGTTCAAAAATTTCGTGTTTGAGGACGCCTATCTCTGATCACTAATTTTTTTTTTTTTATGGCAGTGGTGATTCAGGCTCTGGTAAAACCGATGCGCACAAGTTGGCTCTTCGTCATCTGGTCGCCCTCAGCAGCCATAAGAAGCCTTCCAAGATCCAGACTCAGTTGCTGCATTCTCAAGCTATTCTGGAGGCCTTTGGAAATGCAAAGACCACTCAAAACAACAATGCATCTCGTTTCGGACGCTATACGGAAGTTCAATTTTCAGAAAGAGGTCGTATTACTGGTGCAAAACTTTTAAATTACTTTTTAGAAAAGCGCCGCGTAACAAGCGCTCCAGAAGACGAACGTAACTTCCATGCTTTCTACTACCTCTTGGCTGGTGTCCCGGCTGAAGAGAAAGCAGAGTTACGTTTATCCGATCATTCCAGCTTCGCCTATCTCAGTCGATGCCGTTCTCAAACAACCGCCGATGACGCTACCAAGTTTGAGGAACTTAAAACTTCCCTGAAAGCCTTGGGGTTCCAGAAGAAGCATATTGCTCGCTTGATGCAATTGCTTGCCGCTATTCTTCACTTGGGAAACATTATCTTTGTCGACGATCCTTCCAAAGGACAAGACGCAGCCAATGTGAAAAATGTCGAAGTTTTGAGTTTGGCAGCTGATTTCCTAGGCGTGGACCCCCATGCACTTGAATTGGTGCTGACTTACAAAACTAAATTGATCAAGAAAGATGTGACAACCGTTTTTCTCAATGCGGAGCAGGCCAGTAAACAGAGGGATGAATTGGCAACAGCATTGTATTCGTTGATGTTCACTTGGATTGTTGAACAGATCAATATTAAGCTGTGCAACGACAATTTCCACAGCTTTATTGGTATCGTTGATCTGCCCGGTCCTCAAACCACCCAAAGTTCAGGTCAGGCCAAATTTGAACAATACTGTGTCAACTACTCCAACGAGAAATTTCATGACTTCGTTTTGCGTCAAATTTTCGAGCAAGACAATGACATTTATGAACAAGATGGTATCAAGATGCCCAATGTGCCCTACTTTAGCAATGCAGCCTGTGTCCAATTGTTTGACAAACCCTCCAATGGTCTTAACGCTATTCTCAGCGAATGCACCGCCAAAGCGCAAAAACGTACAGACGACAATATGTTGGATTCGTTCGTGAAATACAATAACAACCACGATTCCTTCTCCAATCGAAATGCTGATACCGGGGCAAGACAATTTACCGTTCAGCATTTTGCCAATCAAGTTGCATACACCCCTTATGGCTTTATCGAGGATAACGGTGATGCTCTTAGTGCCGACTTTGTAAACTTATTCCGAGGCAACGCTGAAACATCTGGATCATTTAACTCGTTTGTTCTGAACCTCTTCTCTCAGCAAGCTGTTTCCACCCAATCTCACCCCAAAAGCTCTGACGATATTGTGGCTGCACAACAAATCGCTAAGCCTGGACGCGCTCCATCCATGCGACGTAGCAAGTCACAGCGAAAGTCGGGAACGGGTAAGACGGACCAAGACAATCTCGTCAAGGTGAAAGGTGATACCAAAGGCACCACTGCGGCATCGATTGGGGTCATATCACAATTACAATCGGCATTGGAAGAGCTTATCGCTACTCTGGAAGAGACCACACCATGGTTTATCTTCTGTCTCTCCCCCAACACGTCTGGCTCAGTAAATATGTTTGATTCCAAACGTGTCAAGGCTCAAGTGCGTTCTTATGGCCTTCCTGAAATTGCCAAGCGATGGGCAAATAATTACACCATGATCTTGGACCACGAAGAATTCCTTACTCGCTATCAGGATATTCTACTCAGTATGGGGGTTGAGGAAGACAGACTTCCACGATCGAAATGTGAGGCGGTAGGCACCATGTTTGGATGGACCTCCGCCCAGATGGCTATTGGTAGTATGAATGTAAGTTAAATGAAAAACAACAACAACAACCATGTATCCAAGCGATCACGAGAGGAGCTTGTCTCTAATTTTGAACCCCTTTTAGGTATATTTAAGTGAGTCGTCATGGCGAAACCTAGAAGACAGTTTGCGTGGCCAAGATAAAGAGGAGCAGCGAAAGGCTAAAGAGGAAAGAAAGAAAGACGATGGTATGCAGGCGTTAAGTTCTACTCGTATGGGTCGCCTGGAGAGCGTTGATAGGCTGTCTAACCAATCTTATGGATCAGGATCAGAATTGATTCCAGCAGTAGCAGGTGGAGCAGCTGCTGGTGGCCTTCTCAACGTGTATGAAGAGAAATCAGGCTTTTCTGAAGATCAACACTCATATTACTCTGAAGACGAATATGCTCAAGACGAACAATATAGCGGATATCAAGAGAATGAATCCACTTTCGGCTCAGAGGCGTATGGAAATGTTCCTGGACGTGAAATGGAAACCAAGCGAATGCTGCCCAACGATACCGACGCTGTTGATATCGACCAAACAGAAAACAAACCAACGGCTGGTCGTCGAAGGTGGCTTTGGTTCGTTATGTTCTTGACTTGGTGGGTTCCCAAACCTTTCATGATCTGGTGTGGACGAATGAAGCGCAAGGATATCCGTGTGGCATGGCGCGAAAAGTTTGCTCTGTGTATCATCATTTTCTTGATGTCGGCATTCATCATTTGGTTCTTGGTCTTCTTTGGTGAATTGATTTGTCCTCATCAAGATGTCTATTCGCAATCCGAACTTCAATCTCACAATGACAAAAATGGTGCCTATGTTGCTATACGTGGTGAGGTATTCGATCTGACGTCCTTTGCACCTCATCATTGGGCTATCGATGTTATCCCAGTTAGTTCAATTCTCAACAATTACATGGGCACCGATGCAACCAACTTGTTCCCCGTGCAAGTCTCTGCCTTGTGCGATGGTACAACTGGCTCCGTCTCTCCATTTGTGTCTCTCGACTATCAGATCAACCTTACCGATACCAATGCTCAATACCATGACTTCCGTTACTTCACAAATGATTACAGACCTGACTGGTATTTCGAGCAAATGCAAATGATGCGAAAGCTCTACAAAGTTGGCAGAATGGCATTTGATCCCAGCGATGTTTACAAGCAAGCTACCACCAGTACAGTTATGAATGGCATTTCAGCTTACCGGCAATGGGCTATCCTGAACAACAACGTCTATGATCTTACTTATTATATCATGGGTGGTCGCTACTTGAAAGGCCCCAACAATCAAACCGCTCCCGCAGGAACGTCAACAGACTTTTTGGATACCTCAGTGGTCGAACTCTTCCGTCAGCTGGCCGGGCAAGATATTACCGATAGTTGGAACAAATTGCCATTGGATTCTGCGCTTCGAGATCGTATGGAAGTGTGTCTTCAAAATCTCTTCCAAGTTGGTGTAGTCGATAGTCGCAATTCAGCTCGCTGCTTGTTCTCAGAATATCTGTTGCTTATTATCACTGTTCTCCTTTGTGCGGTCATCGTCTTCAAATTCCTTGCCGCATTGCAACTTGGAAGTCGGCGTGAACCGGAGGAGTACGACAAATTCATCATCTGTCAAGTACCTTGTTACACTGAAAGTGAAGAATCTCTCAAGAAGACCATCGATTCTATTGCCGTGCTTAAATACGACGACAAGCGAAAGTTACTCTTCATTATTTGCGATGGTATGTTGATCGGTAGCGGAAATGACCGTCCAACACCTCGTATTGTGTTGGATATTCTTGGCGTTGATCCTAATGTCGATCCGGAGCCACTTTCTTTCCTTTCTCTTGGTGAAGGTCAAAAGCAACATAACATGGGCAAGGTGTACTCTGGTCTTTATGAAATTGCTGGTCACGTTGTGCCATATATCGTGGTAGCCAAGGTTGGCAAACCTAGCGAACGTCAAAAGCCTGGTAACCGTGGTAAACGTGATTCTCAAATGATCTTGATGCGATTCCTCAACAAGGTTCACTTTGACTCTGCCATGACGCCTATGGACCTGGAAATTTTCCATCAGATCAAAAACGTTATTGGTGTGAATCCTTCCTTCTATGAATTCATTTTGATGGTGGATGCTGATACGGAGGTCTTACCTGATGCTCTTAACCGTATGGTGTCTTGTTTTGTACACGATGCCAAGGTGATCGGTCTGTGTGGAGAAACTACCCTGGCTAACGAAAAGGACTCTTGGGTCACCATGATCCAAGTTTACGAATACTATATTTCCCATCATCTTACCAAAGCTTTCGAGTCTTTGTTTGGATCGGTCACCTGTTTACCTGGTTGTTTCTCCATGTATCGCGTTCGTTCAGCCTTGAAAAATCAACCTTTATTGGTTTCTAATCAAGTTATACAAGATTATGAGGTTAACGTTGTCGACACTTTGCACAAGAAGAACTTGCTTCATTTGGGTGAGGATCGTTATTTGACGACCTTGATTCTCAAGCACTTTCCCAACTACAAGACCAAGTTCACTCCTGACGCTACTTGTAAAACTAACGCTCCGGACACCTGGTCTATTCTTCTTTCCCAAAGACGTCGGTGGATTAACTCTACCGTTCATAACTTGGGTGAGCTGGTCTTCTTGCCTCAATTGTGTGGTTTCTGCTGTTTCTCTATGCGGTTTGTTGTCTTCATCGATCTTATCAGTACCCTCGTGATGCCTGCTACCGTTGGTTATATGGCCTATTTGATTTACGAATTGGCGACCTCTCCTAATGGTGTTCCCGTCTGGTCTATTGTCACTATTGCTGCCGTTTATGGTCTTCAAGCCTTTATCTTCATCATCAATCGCAAGGTATGTTCCATTCACATTTCTTTGGCTTAATGTTTTACAGTGTGTAATAGCGATAACCTAATATTTTATTGAACTTTTTGCATTTTCATTAGTGGGAACATATTGGATGGATGATCGTCAGCATCTTCGCTATCCCTGTCTTCTCCCTCTATATTCCAGTGTACTCTTTCTGGCATTTCGATGACTTCTCTTGGGGTAACACTCGTGTTGTGGTTGGAGAAAGTGGAAAGCGAGTGCTTGTTCCTGAAGATCAAGGCAAATTTGATCCCAAGTCCATCCCAACCATGACCTGGACGCAGTATGAAGAAGGCTTATTCCGAGAAGACGGAGCAGGAGCTTGGAATGATAATGCATCTGTTGGATCTCATCGTACGGGTTACACTCAAGGCAGCTACCGTAGCCATCCTTCCCACCAAATGGCCGCCCAGTCGGCTTATGGCGAAGGAGCCTCCATGTATGATGAACAACTCTATGGTGGACGTAGCCGATCAAGGTCGCCCGCACCTATGGTACCTTTCAATGATGCTGCATCTTTCCATCCGTCTCTTGGTGGAGGCATGGGTATGAATCCACGCATGTCTACGGCTTACTCTGATATGATGAGTCAACGCGGACCTGCATTCGGATCGCAAGCAGACTTTAGTGCTTACGCTATGTCAAGACCTGGTAGCACCATGATGCCGGCGTCATCGTCAATGATGGACTATTACGGAGCAGCAACCTCTGGATCGGTTCAAGGCGAGGCCATGCCATCGAACGAGCAGATCATGGACGAAGTTCGTAACATTCTTGCCAATGCCGATCTCATGTCCATTACCAAGAAGCAAGTCAGAGACAGACTAAGTGAAATGTTCGGAGTTCCCATGTCCAGCAAGAAGGAGTACATCAATAGCTGTATTGAGACCGTCTTGCGCGGAGACAACTAAACCAGCAGCATTTCATCATGATATCCGGATGAATCAATCCTACCTACAAAAAAAAAAAAAAGACTACTACAGCCCCTCCATTATTCTATAACTCCCAACATCGAATAGACAAACACCCATTTCATATTCCCTCTTCATTCACTCTTTTCTTTCACATATGCTGTTGTATTTCTTTCCTTGTCTTACCTTGTCTATTCATACTGATCTTTTATTTGAAGTCCTCCACAATTGTATACAACACCGCAAATTTTTTCCTTCTTCTCCCACAATTGAAAACCAATTCACCTAACTAAAAAATTTCAATACACAGCAAAATAAATACATTGCATCTCTCATAAGAGGATTTGTCAAAACTGGATTCTCAACATTCGGTCATATCGCCGCTGTTAGTAGAACTTATGCAAGTCTTCATGTTGCACCAAAGTGCTAATTGAATTCGATTGGGTAAAACGTGCAGTAACAAATGAGCTGGAAGTCTGGTTTGGTTCTCGATAGTATGAGCAGATTAGTTCAGCCCTCATTCATGCCTATGATCTCTCGAAGAGTGTGATCCATACCAGTACAGAAAAAGATGTGCATGAGCATAAAACATCGCTGAGAAGGTGGAAATGAAAGCCAGTAATGGAAGCTGAGTTTGACACAAAAAGATCCTCAACGAGCAACTTGTGCAACACCAGGGAAATTGTAATTATTTTTTTTATATAACATCCAGATGTTCTCTCGTCAAACCAGTTTTCCCAACCTCTCTTTACTTCCTTCCCTTCCTTCCCTTCCTTACGCCATTTCGATCAGATAGCGGCCTCCTTACATTCCATTCCTTACACTGAACATTAATACAAAGACCAACACTCGTTTCGAATGAAGGTTTTCACTCCCCTATCGATTGCTTGCTTAGCACTCGCTGAAATCGCCCAAGGAGCTGGTGTGACCCTCAGCTTCGGCCGTAAGCACCCTAGCCCCTCCGAAGCTTTGGCTGCCAACAAGGCTCGTGTCGAAAGTTTGGCCAATGGCCACACTCGCAGCCTTGCCGCCGGGTCAACGACTTACCCTATGTTCAACTCGATTTGGAGTGTATGTATACGAAAAAATATTTGGTACCTGCATTGAAAAATGAGATCGACAAATAACACTGTCTATATTTAAACTAGTACTTGATCGATGTTGATGTTGGCACTCCCGCAAAGCCATTTACTCTTATTTTCGACACTGGATCTTCCAACACTTGGATTCCCGACAAGTCCTGTGGTAGCAGCTGCAGTGGTGCTTCTCACGCATTCAACTCCAATACGTCTTCCACCTGGGTTAGCGATAGTGGCAACACTATGGATATCCAATATGGCTCTGGATATTGCTCGGGAGTTCTTGGAACAGATACCCTTGCTTTCGGTAGCTCACTTAAGGTGCCTAAACAAGAAATTGGTTTGGCTACAACTGCTGCCAGCTCTATCACCAGCAATGGTGTGGATGGTATTCTTGGTATGGGCCCTGATAGCTTGAGCGCTGGATTCAACAGCGGTAAGTGGAACCATTTTGCCAACTTGCTTATTGCATGCAAATCAAGAAATTCATTTCTATATAAATAATCAGAGGGCAAGGTCTTGAAGACCCCTGTCTCCAACATGGTGGCAAATAATCTTGTTACCGAAGACGTTTTCAGCGTTTATTTTGCTCCCGAGCCCGAAGGCGATTTCTCAGGTTCCGTTAACGGTCAAGTTACCTTTGGTGGCCTTCCGGATTCCAGCTTATACTCTGGATCTATTCAATATGTATCCTTGCTTACAAGCGGCACCGCATCTGTAAGTGACCACCAGAGGCTGAAATTCAGGGTTCCCGTGTAACCTGATGCACATGTATTTACACAACCTTTTCTCAAAAAGAAATACTGGGGTATTCCTCTCGACAATGTCAAGGTCGGTAGCGCTGTTGCCGTCAGTTCCTTTGATGCAATCGTCGACACTGGAACCACTTTGATTATCCTCAGCTCTGCTGCTGCCACTGCTATCTACAACAAGATTAGCGGTTCGCAGTATAACAGTGATGCCGCCATGTGGGAAGTGCCTTGCAAGACCCTCAGCTCGCTTCCTACTATTACCTTTACCGTCAACGGTAAATCATACCCACTCACACCTGCGCAATACACAGTTCCTAGCTGGGAGGTGAGTAAAGCGTCTATTGTTCCGCATCCTAACAAATAATAGTAATACTGACTTGCATTCATTCTGAAGGTCACTTCATGGGGTACCCCTGACACTAACATGTGCTTCTCATATATTGTTGGCGAAGACATTGGTATTCAAATCATTGGACAAAAGTTCTTGGAAAACTACGTGTCAGTTTTTGATGCCGATAGCAACCGTCTTGGATTAGCTCCTCGTGCTGGTAGCGTCGATTCATCCGTAGCTACAACGACCACAACCAAGAGTACTACCACCGCGAAGAAGACTACCACCACCACCAAGAAGACTACTACCACCAAGAAGTCTACTACTACCACCAAGAAATCTACTACCACCACCAAGAAGCCTACTACTACCACCAAGAAGTCTACTACCACCAAGAAGTCTACCACCACCAAGAAGTCTACTACCACTAAGAAGTCTACTACCACCAAGAAGGCTACTACCACCAAGAAGACTACTACCACCAAGAAGACTACTACCACCAAGAAGGCTACCAGCACAAAGTCTGCCACTGCCACTTCCAGCTGTACCAAAAAGTACACTGTAAAGAAGGGTGATACTTGCTCCAGCATTGCTTCCAAACTTGGTGGCACTACTGCTGCCAAAATCATCAGCAATAATTCCAAAGTGAATAGTGGCTGCACCAACTTGGACATTGGCCAAGTATTGTGCGTTTAATTAACAAGATATAACCGTATAATGAACACGTCTCCTTCATCAACTTGTTTGTTCAAGCATAATATTAATGAGAATAACATTAGTGCTTTTCTTGTCGTCGTATAACCCTGTCGGTTTAAAATTGCAATATCATGTAATGTCATTGCCGAGTCATCATGACCGAAAATTTGACTGCAGCACTTTTTTCTTTTTTGGGCTGATCTTGTTTGCCACCCTCTGAACTCAATACCCCACACTTTATAACGTAACAGAACCAATGTGCCAAGATTCCATTGACCAATCGGCCTATAGCGATCTCTTGATTGAAGAAAAGTTTGACGATGACTTATACAAATATCTCTGTGACAATCACTGCCATCCCCACGATGACGTTGACAAGCTCGACGAGATTGCAAAGTTACGGACGGGCCACTTGACGCTTATGGGCGTGCGTGAACAGGATTGGGATACAGTCAAGAAAGTAGTTGATCAGTCATCCATAGACGATGAAGACGGCGTGGAAAGATGTATCCCGAGTTTTGGTATGTTCGAGTTTCAATTGTAGGGTAAAATCGATGATAACGGCCAGCTAACACCTATCATTTTAGGTGTGCACCCATGGTATGCGCACTTGGTGCGAGGGGCGGCAAGGAACCAAACAGAAGCAGCTGAACAACACTACAATCGTGTACTGACATCTAAGGACGACTCGGAAAAAGCAGATTTGATACAACATCTACCCACACCTTCCAGCGATTGGCTTCGAACCTTACGGGCCAACCTTGAAAAATATCCACATGCACTTGTTGGGGAGGTTGGATTCGATCGATCCGCCCGTTTGTTACCGGCTGGAGCAGAGCACTGGCATGGGGTACGACCGACGGAAGTGAGATGTACTCCAGAGCATCAATTGGAGGTTGTGTCCAGTCAGATTGAATTAGCCCGAGATCTGAATCGGTCCGTTAGCTTACATTGTGTTCAAGCACATGGGATGGTGTTGGACCTGCTACTGCGAAAAGCAAATGAATGGAGAAAGAAGGATATGAAGACTCCGTTTCGCATCTGTTTGCATAGCTACGGTGGTAGCCCAGGCATACTACCTAGCTTATTTGACATCAAACGTCCTGTCAAAGTCTACATGAGCTTTTCTGTTGCTATCAATGGTCGATTAGGGAACAAGCTGCTCCAGTTGATCGAAAAAGTTCCAGACGACCGAGTTTTAATCGAGTCAGATTACAATACACCAACTGGTATCGACGATGCTATGGTTGATATCACCAAGGTTGTTGCTAAGGCTAAGAAGTGGTCTATTCAGCAAGTTGTTGAAATAACAAGAAGAAACTGGTTGGAATTTATCAATATCTCTGCTCCTAGCGGTGAACATCGTGCTTAAAATAGCGATCTACAAGAGGATAAAAACGTAGAATGTTCTCTAAACGATATTGTATTTTTGTTCTTCTAAAAAAACATCATAATGGCATGATATGTACAATAAAATCGAATATACACACATCTTATTAAGACTAGAAAATTTACAATGTCTCTAATGTTGATGGATAGAGCGGTCATGCGGAGACTAGCGCGCTTGGTCTTGTAGAATAGCCATTCGTTGATAGAAGGGCTGTATCGCTTCGATTGGAATATTCCGCCTCGTCAATCTCATCCAAAGTCAAGTTTTCGGCCTGATTTCCTAGACGCGGGATTCTAACGTAGGCATCCGTGCCAAATCCATCCATGGTGAGAACGCTGAGTTCACCTCCCCAGTACTCAGCATACACTTTGCTCATAGGAAGTCCAAAACCAAGTCTCTCGTCGACGGCCTGTTTTTCACGTTCAGCCATGCTACCTCCCATCTTCTTTATATTCTTGAATTTCTTGAAGTCGTTCGGTGCACTGGAATAACTCCACAGCGTCTTAAACACTTCGTTTGAGATGCCTCCAGCATTGTCGGACACACGAAATAAGATGTCCGTCTTGTTCTGAGCAATGGTCAAGCGGACTGTCTTTGTTTCCGAGTTCTCGCACTCTACTGAATGTCGAATGGAATTGGTCAGCAATTCATACAGGATGTATTCTATATGCTCTGGAATATAGGCGAACACCGCTTCATTTCGCGCACTGCCGTCGATGATAACATTGACAGTTCGACCGTGACTCTTCAATACATGCTGCGAAGAAAGTGCAACACACATTTCTGCCATTTCTCGTGCACAGCATCGAGTAAAGATAATTCCAATATAACCTTCTTCATCCCATGCGGTGTTGTGGTTGGCAGTAATGGCTAAATGCTGCTCAGCAATGACCCGTCTTGATATCCTTGATCTCAGCATAGTATTCATAAATCGATCAAATGACGCGGGAGCGATGAATCCTGTACATTCTGTCGCACCAAGAGCAAGTTCCGGTATGACAAAAAGACCATCATCAAGCAAGCCGTTGAGCAAGTCGCAGAAGTGTTCATTATCCTCCAAGGTCTTGATGGCGGGGTATTGACGAATCTTTTCAAATGCCTCCCAGTACATTCGATAGATCCGCTAGTAAAAACAAACAATAAAGCCCTATATTAGACAAGTTGTTACGCCGTAACGCTGACCTTCTTCCTATCCAACTCACCTCTATGTGCGGATTGGTACCAACAATAAATGGTAGTTTCTGGAAATCTCGAATGCGGTGGGCCAAGCGGATGGTGATTTCAGTGCGGACATAGTTGGCACTATCGATCAAGCGATCGTCTGTCATATGACGCCCATAAAAAACCAGTTGGCGAATGGTGTTGGGATTGACGCTTTGATCGACGTACCGATCTAATACTTCGTTATGATAAAAGCTTTTCGGTGCAGCGGTATTGTGCCGACGTTGCTGCCAGTTAGCTGGCATCTGTATATGACGAGGATACGTCATTTTCGGGTATGGTCTAAATGTTGCAGCCAGTCGACCGTATGCTGGCTTGAACAGCCTTCTAGCTGATAATTGACATAACGATCGATTCATAGCTTCAGTGGTTTCTCGTCCAAAAGAGCCATCCGACCCCGGTGGTTTAACTTTTTTTAAATTTTACTTGTCTGAGTTGAGAAGATCATTCTGACTCACCCACTATTGGACCAATGCTGGTAAGATATGGTATCCGCCATGAATGGAAGCAGAAAAGATTTAGGGCATAATGGGCACGAAAGAATAGCCAGGGAAAAATTATGGTTCACAAGTCATCACCATGGCTTTGGAATTCTCGGCCGAATTTTCCTTCTTGGTTGCTGTGGGTCCACCACCTCCACCAAAAAGATAATCGAGACCAGCAGCAGCCTGTAGCTGGGATTGGCTTACGTACACACGAATTGCATTTGGCTTAGGCACAGGAAATTTAAGTGCAATTGCTGATCGTTAGGTTGGCAAACCATGTTCAAAGTTCAACCATGGCTGCAGTCTTCTGCAAGTCATATGCTCATCTTGGGACCATCATGCTGACCGCCAAATTGAACAGCGGAAGCCGAACATAACCTACGTATTGCTCAGCGCTTGTAGAAATGAAATACAGCTCTAAATGAATGGCTCTCTCAATTCAGCCGAACCCAAGAAGTACTTGCTCTATTCCATGGGTAATTTCAGCTCTTTTACCGAAAGATCTAGCAAATTACCGAGCCGTCCCCGCTAAAGGGGGTTAGGTAGAAACCGATAGGGACACCCGAGCAATTGTGCATTTCTCGCGCTCACCCAACCGTGACCTCATCTCCTTTACCACCGCTCCCACTCTGACTTCCTGATCGGTATACGAAATTATCGATAGACGGTGGTATGACGAACGAATGCGTTCCACCAGAGCCGAGAAGCCTTGTAGCAGGTGTGGCTGAGTGGAGTAGCATCAAGTGCTTCGCTTGTAGCACTGGCCCCTATCACTTTTTTTTTTTATTTTACTTTTTCTCTTCACTCTTCCTCACATATTAGTGCTTCTCCCCTGTTCGCTTTCTTACATATCCATCCCTCTCGTTTATATTCACTACCCTTAATACTACCCAAGAAAAGCACTCGATCGAAAAATAGTAATGTCGGTAAAGGTAATATAATCTGAAAAATAAATAGATCCAAGGTCGCCTGCGAAAAGAAATCGAACGCTGACTGAATTTATGCTAATCGTTACTTTCCCCTAGACACTTGAAGCACGACTCGAGGATCATGGATACATACACCACTGTAAACTAGTTCGAATGCTCCCGGCATCATCCAATCGCCTATCAACAAGCGAGTACAGCGACCCAATAAAAGCGCTGCTCGACAAGATTGAACGTCCATTGGTAAGGTGACATTTCCTCATGGAGTTCAGCATTCGCAATGTCGGGGTTGACATAGATCTTTTTAGGCACAACACGTCGACGTACTTCTCAGTGAAGCTGGGCGTAGCAGAACCGAGGGTGAGTGTCATAAATTTTGCTCTTCTTTTTTTTTTCCCAACACTCCCTAGTAGCAAACCGACCTCGTGTCTGTTCTATTGGGATCCTCTTGGATATCAACTTCAAATGGTTTACTCACACACTCATCACTACTCAAAGAGGAGCAAGAGTTTTATCAGCAATTTATCAATGTTATTGGATCCACCACCTTAACGGCCGGTATATCCAGTTCTCGTACGAACAAATATGTAATCGAACCACGTATACAGCGCGAATATGTTGCCGTAAGTCATTTTATTTATTTATTATTTATTTATATTGTGGTTCACTTTAGTGCTCTCCCAAGCAGCGATCACTCACAATTTCGTTTTGCTACGGTGCTTCATCCAACTAGAATGACGAACGACGATCGTATGTCATCCGAGAGCTCATAGAAACCGAAGAAAACTACGTAAAGAATATGAACGTACTCAGCGATGTAAGTCACTTTTTTTCTAGAAACGCCTCTACCCAATGACCCCAGTAGGGTTCCCTTTTTAAAAAAGGAATGGTCCCTAAATTGTGTCATAGGTGTTTGCACGGCCCTTACGTGCCTATGCCAAAGACAAACGAAACTTTGTACTAGGCTTGTATGAATGCAACAGCATGTTCATGAACATTGAAATGCTCGTCGAAGCTAACCAAGGATTTCTGGATAACCTGTATCGTTGGAGACAACCTGGGTCCAATCTTTTATTTGGTGATATATGCGCCACTCATGTACGGTGACTTGAATGATTTATATGCCGTACTCTATAGGCGCCTCCCGCTAACGCACTTATCCCTCCATCGATATGACTAATTTCTTTCTTAGATGTTTCGATGTGAATGCTATAGCAAGTTCCTGTCTGGCGTCGAAGATGCTCAAATTATTAATTTAAGAGAACAAAAAATCAATCCTGCTTATCGAGCTTTCTTGGATGTAAGTAGCCTGCTCTCCCTTGAATGGTAAAACAGTGCCGGGACACGTCCTCAAATGTTTTCTATTTCTTTTCTCGTAGCGAGCAAAAGATCATCCAGAAGCTAAGCGCCAAACCCTACATGATCTTTTGGTACAACCAGGTCAGCGAATCGGCCGCTATACTATGATGCTGAAAGGTAATCATCCCATGCTTGCGTTTCTTACACACCTAGCCCGCCCGACCTTCTATTTTAAGCGGGAATACTAACCTCCCCCCTCAATCTTCGTAGAATTGCTCAAGTATACTTCAAATGATCATCCTGACTACCCTGGTCTTTCAGCCGCTTTGAAGCGCGCCGAAGAGATTGCCACCATGGCAGACGACACAAATACCAGATTGGCCAAAACATTTTTCAACATGCACAAGTCGATTGAAAATTGTCCAGTGAGTGCCATTTCCTTCCTAGTCTGTGGTGTAACGATGTACAGTCATACCAACTTTTTCTTTCAAGGCACCGTTAATTAATCAAAATCGACACCTCATTCGACATATTGACGCAACCGAACTTGACATCATCTCAAGAAAACCGCTGAGACCAGTTACCATTTTCCTTTTCACCGATAAGGTTATGGTTGTCCGTCGTCCTGCCTACAACGTCAACGGATTTGAACTATGCGGACTTGTGAATGGCCCTGAAGTCATCATGCGCACCAGAAGCAGTTCAACCAGTGGATTGGAGTCCTTCCTTCCGAAACGAAATGATAAGTCCAAACGAAATAGTGTTCAGGAAAAACGTCTGAAATTCAAAGGATGGGTTGGCCTTGAAGCTGTGGAACTCCTGGACGGATCCGGTGACTTGCTGCCGTCATTTATGCTGCAAACCAATGCCACATCAATGTCCGCTGCTGCGAAGCAGCCCGCATCACCGACCGTGGCCGCTAACATGGCTCTAGAAAATTATTTTCTCGAGCAGCCATTGAGACTTTTCTCTACCAGCCCTCCTCAGGAAGAAGTACCCATTACCCGATCGCAAATATCCGTACATAACCAAAAGAAGGAAGAGTTTTGTAAACAATTTCACAAGTCCAAGGCCATTTTGAACCAAAATGGTGAGCCCTCCCCCCAGTTACACCTATGCGTGTCATGCCACGGGTGCCTCTCTTCACTGTCAAATCTAACCATGTCCTTTATAGATTCTACTTTGGTTACCTACTACCGAATGTGGAAAGAATTCAACCTGTACAGTAATTTTTATGATATAGACAGATACCCTGCTGAATGCCACAAGGTGAGTTGGAAAAACCCCCCGTGAGAATGATATCTGACAATTTGACTGACATGTGTTTGCTATCTCGTTCATAGAGCAATACAGCTGTTTTGTATGTTGACGATCCTAATTCCGATGTCCAGCAATGCCTAGCCAGAATGAAGAACCTACCACCTGTCCTTGGTATAGTCCAAGTGGTACCTGATGAAGGTTTCAGGTAAGCATTCATGCACGAAAGAGGAGAGAGGGGGTTTTTTTGGTTGGCACTGGCTGAACAATGACTGACGCATACACTTTACTCGTAGGTTTTCAGTTCGCAGTCGGGTTGCGTTGGAGGTCGCTCGCGAACGAAACGTGAGTTTGAAAGGGCGGGACCCTAACGCGAATAGCGACCACACTGATTTTCAATCCATCTTCTGGAGCAATATCGTTGCCTATGGTTGGGCAGCCAAGCAACAACAACTGATGGGTCTACAGAAGAACCTTCATTCAAAGATTCAGCGACACGATTCCCGGCCACGAAAGGCCAAAAGCATCACCACTCTCACCAAAATATTTAACCCCACTGTACACACCGGTATCAACCCTCAATACGTAGCCTACCTCAATGCACAATCCATGGCAAGAACACGCCCTATCTCCACTAGTGGCCCTATACCCCATCATTCAGAATTAGAAGTGTCTCGATCCATTTCTACTTCCAGCACCGTACGCAGTAACAATAGTGTCTCATCCAGAGGATCGTATGAAAGTAGCACTGGCAGTGAAGTGTCAGATGACTATGTGCCAAGTGACTCGCCCGTATCACCTGCCAGCAATCGTCTGCTCAGTATGTTCAAGCGCACTGACGAACTACCGAAAGAGGAGATGTTATTCCGAGTTGTCACTCCATCGTCCTCTCCTGCATCGCATCGAACCATTTCGCCTCTGGGAGAGATTTCCGCTCTGGAGGCTCACATTGCACAATTGCGTGTCAGCATTAATCGTGATACCGAAACCAAACGCCAGTATGAGACGCAATTGGATGAAATCCAATCTGTTGCAGGCAACATCGATAGTACCATCCGTTCCATATCCAGAAACAGCATGCTATCCAGCTCAACATGGAGCAGTGCTCATACCGGTTTTTCAACCATGGCATCTGGCAGTAGTATCAGTAGTGTTGATGAAGAAATGATTCGAAAGTTCGATCATGACGACCCATATACTATGGGCAACAATGAAGTGGCTGTGGCTATGGAGCGACTGAGAGAAGAGTTTGAAGAAAGATGGACGGCTCTCGCCAAGAACTGCGAAATCTTAGGCTCTGAAGTAGATGGTCTTGCCATGCAATTGAAAGAGGTATAAAAAAAAAATCCAAGTGGATGGAAAATCCCAAGTTCGGAGCGCTAATGCTTGCTGTCGTCAATAGAAAGAAAAACAGCTTGTTGATCTCAGAGCTGATTACCAGGACTCCACCGATGAAAATAAAATACTATATGAGGTATGTGTGAGAAACAGCCCCGCCCCGTGCTTTGGCTTTTCACACCCACTTACCACTTTCCTTACCAGACGTTCAACGATGAACTGGAGCAAATTCTCTCCGACTCCCAAAGTGACGACGGTTTATCTGTTCGGCCATCCCATCCTTCGCCTGAAATCCAAATCAAACGCAAGTTGAAAAACGTGTTACTAGATCGCAACTCGTGGCGAAAGCGAGCAAGGTAATTTATTTTTTAATTTTTTCTGCCAATTTTTTTTACCATGTGCCTGCTCTAACCTCTCTCTTACAGTGAGCTTTCTCGAGAGTTGAACCAGCTTCGAGAGCAGTATGGATTGGAGGAGCGCACAGACATTAGTGACTTTTCACAAGCCTTCATGGAGGAGCCTGGTATGGAAGAGGATGATGGCGCCACCGAATATAACGAAGAACAAGCCAGCCTGGTTCAAATTCTCAATGAATTGAAAGCCGAGGTGGACTTGAAGTAAATTATTTATTTTTGTTAATTTGATTTTTTTTTTATTACCATCATGTTAAACTACTCAAATGTAAAATGGTTCGATGTATTACAATATTGCTTTAAAATGTCACGATAGTATGTTACTTGTTTGTGTACCTTCAGCGTTAGGACTTGTCCTTCCATGCAGCTAGTTTGTGAGCTCTATTTGGCTACCGAGTATGTCCATTTTAAGGCTCTGGCGCTTTTTGTAACATCTATTCAATCCTCTTCCGAAACGCTATGAAAAGTTTAACACATCAAAAGAGCTCAAAATTTGAAGAGTGTCATCGCTCTGAGACGCTGTTATACGCGCAATCTTTCCTTTTTTTTTCGGCATAAAATTGAATGGCCTGCATGTTGTTTTGACCTGGTCTTATCACGCCATGGCTTAATCACGGGTCTCCCAATACAGGCAGTACACTATAAGACCAACTGATGGGTAGAGGGATGCTGTGGAACTTTCAACATGCTAGATAGGAGTGAGGTTAGTTCTCAAGGATTGTCAAAGACGCCAGTAGAATAGATCGTTGCTAATCAGCCATTGATTGCCTATAATGGATGCTGACAACATTTCCAGAACATTGGATTATGCGAAACGCATAACCTTTAAAAATAAGAGTCCCTTTCTTCACTTCCTGACTTAACCCCTTTTCCACTCATCATACTCATTATCGAGGTTTTTATACTCTTTCCATTTTTCCAACTATGGCCCCGCTTGTCGTACTTGCTGCTCCATGGGAGTTTAATGGAAATGAAAGCTCAATATCTTTCTCGCGGAAGCTGCAACAGCGCGTTTCTGGATTCAAGAGTAACAGGACCTCTGCCTGTGTACCCAATACGTCACAATTAATGAAGCATACATGAGTGTTTTACAGGATATTTGCTATACAATAGGGTGAAAGAATAAAAGTCAAAGATTTTTACGGTTGTGTCGTTTTTTGCCTGTCATTTGTTTCAATGCAGAAGGCGCTTCCAGTCCATACAGCAGTCACTAAAAAGTGATAATTCAAGCTTTGAGCCGGACCCCAACTTTCCTACCACCAATGCTGTCTCATTTTACCCGAAATCACAGGATTTTGACCAAGACCTTGCCCAGAGTCGCATCAGCCTTAGTTTCTTCGAGAAACTATGCTATCATACCACCCAGCACCCCTGCCCCGGAAGCCGCTGGATTTCAAGTCTTCCATAGAGAAGCCAAGCGGAAGCAGAAGGATCGAGCAGCAATCAATGTTGAAGAGAGCCGCGTTGTTGACTATCTCAAAGACGAAATAGCAGCTCGTGTTGCTGATAGATTACTGGTACAGTTTGAAAACAACGCTTATGATACTCTCAACTGAACACGGGCTGACAGATACCTACCATTTCTTTTGCATCCGCATCACAGGATATCAAGCGTAACTTCAACACCGTTGTAGACCTCGGATCTGGATGTGGTCACATTGTCAAGCATATAGATTCTGACACCGTAGACAAAGTGATAATGTGTGATACATCAGGTATGTGGAGGATGGGTTGCTATTAATCCTCAGGTTTTCCTGAACCATGCTAACCCGGAAGTTCAGAAAATGCGTTGAATAGAGATAAGGATATCAAATACGACGGTAAAGGATCTTGTCTGGTTGCATTTGGCATGAAGTAACAAAAAGTCATTACCAAGTTTGTACTAATGCGACAATCAAATGCCCCAGTGGAGGTGGAAAGGATGGTAGTAGATGAGGAGTTGTTACCATTTGAAGAGAACTCTCTTGAAGCTGTTGTGAGCAGCCTGTCTATGCACTGGATCAATGACCTGCCAGGTATGTGATATACTCAAAGCATTCGTACAGTACGCATCATTGCTCATTTCCAAAATGTCAACGATAGGTGCTTTAATCCAAATCCGAAAAGCCCTGAAGCCGGATGGTGTCTTCGTGGCAGCGATGTTTGGTGGAGACACTTTGTTTGAATTACGGTTAGATTCTCAGCTTCTGTATACGTGAAAAGCCGGTAAACAAAGCACCTAAATCTGGATTTTTCTTCTAGTACTTCATTACAGCTTGCAGAGTTGGAACGTGAAGGTGGCATCTCACCCAGAGTTTCGCCACTGACAGGTGATGATAGGAGGAGCATATGCATGTCTAGATGTAACCCTTGTATTAATGCTATGCTTCGTATATAGACTCCAAAGATATGAGCAATTTATTGACCCGAGCAGGATTTACTTTGACCACGGTGGATGTGGATGAAATTCAGGTGAACTATCCATCAGCGATTGAACTTATGCAAGACTTACGTGCAATGGGTGAAAGCAATGCCGTTTTGAACCGGTAAAGATCATTTGACATATAACGTGGATCTGTTTACATCAGCACTCAAAACGTTTCAAATTGTAGTCAAACCATGATGAAGCGAGATACACTACTTGCTACCTCTGCCATCTATAGCGGTGAGTGATATGTATCGAGGTGCTGTGCCATGTAAAGCTGTAACTCATGTCATATGTCTTATCAGAGCTTCACGGAAATGCTGATGGCTCCATTCCTGCTACATTTTCAATCATTTATATGGTAAGTTTACGCCATGAAATCAGGGCATACGAAGTGGCAGCCAAAATAGTATACCCCATCTGACCCGCCTCATAATTAGATTGGCTGGAAGCCTTCAGCAACCACCCCACAGCCCAAAAAGAGGGGATCTGCGCAAAAATCACTTAAAGACGTTTTATAAAGTTTTTTTTGTTCCAGACTGCATCATGATTAAAGAATGAAGTCTAGAATATACATACATTGTTCATTTCCAATTGTTTTTCTTTTTATATATATAAAAATGAAAAATCCTCTTCTCTCTCATCACTCACACGCTCAATATCGCATGGTATGAAGTCAAGCCGGGATCATTTTCTTTGAAGCTGTCCGTCAAGTAGATTGATAGGCGTGGCTGATACCTGGTAGAGCTGGGCGATGCAGTCTTGCCACTGAACGCTGAGGGTTGGAGGCTGAAGGATAGCACCTAAGCCAAGCTTTGATAACTCGTCCCTGGTCCACACTCCCATTGGGATTGCGTAGTACATCTGGTCTACCGCGATGTGTTGGTCGCTCGGTGGTGCGGGCATTGGTGGTGACTGGATTTTGATTTCTCGACGCTGCACGTAGTAGCGAGTGCCAGGCATGCGGAGATGTGTTTGAGCGACTCCAAAGTATATTTTGGCGGGGTACTTGAGATTGCTATCTACGATATCAATACTATGACTGTAATGAGCCCCACGGCCATGGTATTCCATCTCTATCAACTGGTTGTTGACATCATCAAAGGCGGTGAAGTGTACATTTTCAAATAGGAATCCCCATCGATAGGTTTGATTTTCTTCTGGTACCGACATTGGTATGTAATCGCGCGTGTTGGGGGTGGGGATCAATAATATTAAGACGTGATGGTACAAACGTCCAATGCAGAAAAGAATCTCTCGTTCGGAGACTTCTGGAGGCTTCCGTTTAAATGGTGATGAGGATGCTCCACCATATTACAGCTTGGTTTATATAAAAAGCAGAACATAATATGACCTGACCTCTTGCAATATTGGCAAGGGCATTGTTGATTTTGGGGGGACTAACGTACTTGAGTAAAATGAACAATTTATACCGCTCCCCCATTCATTACTTTTCCTTTTATCTTCATGCAACAAAAAATAACCAAAACAGCTCTGTTGTCTACCTGCGGCTGATTGACAGCTGACAGTAGAAGCATTTGAAATCATCATTTTAGACTTGAGTTTGTCAATTCCATAGCCAAGTACTCAAGCTAATGGTTCTAAGAGGAGTGTGGCAGGAGAGTTGGATGAGATCGGAGGATCCGTGCTCAATTGTAACTTTCGGCAGGATATGCATGGACATGTCGTGTGCTACGCCCATTTCACCGAGACTTTTCTAGCACCAGATTTGAAACACGGCAGTGTTCAAGCTATACTAGTCAGTTTACCATCGATTTCTCGGGCCAACTGGCAATCAAATCAATTTGCTCTATTTTTCTACCGGGATTATACTCTCGCTTTATACTCTTTCCATCAAGTTATGGATGAAAAGTCTGGCACGGAGTTTTCCCATTTAAGGGAATTGCATGGCTGGATGCCTAAAGAAAAGAAAAGGTTGAGCTTGGACGTTCGTGACCACGGGAAGACACATGAAGACAGAATCCAAATTTGAGTGAATATGGTAGGATCAGCAAAATTAGAGAGTGGCACGACAGAGGTAAATGGAGAAACAGCTGAGCTCGCGTTGCCGACAGCCCTGTTTATTATTTTCATTATAAACGTTGGGTCACATGTACATGGCCCAATGCTGATAATTTTGTGTTCTGGTACAATGTCTCGAGATTAGCCAGGAGGTGCGGGTTATTGACAAATTCATATCCATCCCATCAGTCGACCCCCCGTTCAGGAAAGAGCGAACCAGAGCCCAAGCAAGAAAAATGTGACACGACAAGCATTAGGGCTGAAGTCATTTGTAGCGCTGCTGGTTGTTTGATAGCCTTCACTGTCTGGCGATGATGCCGATGTGTTGTTACTACCGTTGACCCCAGATGGCGCCGCAGTAAGTTGATCAACGCTCAGACCAGTTACGCTGGTTATCCAGTTCAGTTGGTATGCAACGTTGACATATCCATCCTCGGACTGCTGCATTTCGTTATAGGAGATAGCACATGTTGGAGAGTTGGGTATAGGGTCATATGCATTCAATATTCTGGCCGTCACTCCAACGACTTTCCATATGCCATCTTGTTGCACAACCAAAGGTCCACCTGTTTACGCCAGCCACGCACATAAAATAAAAGACAGAAATCTTTGAGCAACCCCAATTTTTCGTCATTGTATTGACGTGATCCCAAAACCTGTCACTTACCGGAGTCTCCATGACACACGCCAGAATAGGGCGCTGTATTTGCTTTAATCAGGTCAGACGCATCTGAGTCTACATACGATATCGTTTCATTTATAGTTCTAAGTGAAGATGATTCATTTCCGCCTATGGACGTAAATCCGTATCCCATTATCCAGCTTTGTTGGCCGACTGTGAGAGATGCAGCATTGGAGACAAGTGGAGCCCTTGAAACTCCAGAGCTGGCTTTGATGGAGTTGTTGGCGATTTTAACCACAGCAATATCATAGCCGTAGTTGGAATTATTTTGGGCATACTGTGGGTGTATAGTCCAACTTTCTATGGTGGCAATTTGTGATGTTGACCTAGTAGCGTTCCCGTACATGACGTAATATGAGCCATTCGATGAGGTCGATACATTAACGAAACAATGTGCAGCAGTGAGAACCCAAGTGGGATTGAACGATATAAAGGTGCCTCCACATAGACGGGGATTTCCTATGGCTGCATAGAAGGGGTATTGAGAACCGTTTGGAACAACGGTACCATTTTGAATGGCGTTTGCGAAATGTAGCAGACAAATATATACATAAGATAGAATAAGAAAAGTCATATACACATAAAATTAAGAGGAATACAGAAAGGAGACAAGCAACTGACAGCCAAGAAGAACGACACGAATGGTTATAAATGTCATGGTTTCGGCACCAGCAGCCGTTCGATTGAAATGATGCATAATATAAGTTTCGGTTAAATCGGAGACTCAACATCCAATGATGAGGCAAGTCCGTAAGGTGAGTGCCAAGCAAAGACACTGTTGTGGGTCCACTTTTTTCCCTGGTTGACGGTTAAGCTTTCTAACGAATCCTATAATTATATTCTTCACGCGTACCTGTAGCTTCAGGAACGCCAGTAGGTGATCATCACCTGAAACATCTTCTATCTGGCGGCATATAGAGTTGTTGCACTTCTTTTGACATCTTTGAACAGAGTGCCAGAAACAGTTTATTACGTATTGACTTGTATTCGTATAAAAATTACTTGAATCGGTAATTCTCAAAGACGTCTAAATGTTTGCGCTGTCATTATGGTCCCAGCTCGGCCAAGACTCTGGTAAAAGAGCAATTTAAGAAGAGAGCCCATAAACAAGAAAGAGGTAGAATCTAATTCGTCTGCGCGGTTATGAGCCGTCATGAAGATTCTCGTGGAATTCCCTGCTATTCAACCATGAGAGCTACTGGCTCGAAAAAGAATATTGCTAAAAAAAGAATATCCCAAATTTAATAGCAGTTGTTGTGCTAGCTTGTAGAGCATTTGTGATTTTAAGTTTGCCGGCTCAAATTTTTATCGTCTATAAGCCTCTCTAGTGGCTTTAAGAGGCCTAGACGTGGCGTCTATGGAAGGTCATGTAAACGTTACTATCGTCAACCCATTCTGATGCTTAACAGGCGAATTTCTTTGCTTATGGTGTTGTGAAATTTTGCAAAGAAAACCTCAGCGGTACGTAAATCAGTGCATCGCCGTCGAGACATATACGAGCATGACATGAAAAATACAGTCTATATTTCAGATACAAAAAACTTTCTCGTACAAAGCAATAAAAGGAAACGGAGGTTATGGACGTAGTCCAAATAAATGAAAGAGCTTATATAAAACCCAATATCGGCGTCAATCTACTGGGAATTCCAAAGACCGCTGCCTCCTGGAATTAATGGTTGTTCCGAGCTAACGCGAGGTCGAGTTTGCTCTAAGAACTGAATACCTTCCTGTTCGAGCTCGTGCAAGATGGGTTCATACACGTGTTTTGCCGTCGGCACAAGAACGCCTTGTTCGGGGATACGACCATCCAACACGAGTTCCACAGCCATCGCACAAGGCAAGCCTACCGTTTTGGCCATAGCAGTGTGCTGGGAGTCACCATACGTGATTAAAGTCGATGTCATGGTCTGTAACTCTCCATTGTGCTGAACCACTCCAAACTCGTGGTGCATGGCAATCATATCTCGTTCGCCAGGCTGGTAACTCAGCTTGGAAGCCAACAAGGCGGAGAATGCATCCAGAGGCGCAATTTGTTCAGCAGCAGGGAATGCCGTGGCGGATGAACCGTTACTGTTGGTCAAAGAAAGCCATTCTAACGCCTCAAATATCTTTGGTACAAGTGGGTTGCTAGGCGAAAGTTGAAGGCGGTCCAGGATAGCATCACGACGAGAAGCTGCATCTGTGTGCTTTATTCCAACCACTGAATCGAAGAAGGTTGCCTATTTTACAATGGTAGGTTAGAGCACATTCATCCGGTCAACACCAAAATCATAGAATCCGGCTCAAAAAAACACTTACCCAGGTGTCACATCTTCCAACCGTCTTATTAGCATCTAGCAAGCCTAGTTTCTTGAAGGCGTGCATCAGATCGGAATATCCCTATGCGCCACATGTTGGGTTAAAAGGAGTGATCGATTGTTAAAACCGCACCTGATTCACTCTACGACGTACCTGATATCTTAAAGTGCCTCTAAACATGGTATCCATGGTTTTGGTAGATCCAAGGTTATATGTTTCAATATAAGACAGAGAATCGCGGTTGGCAACACCTTCGAAGGCAAATCCCTTGGTTGGTACAGGAACGGTTGAGAAATGCTCCTTCAGTAAATCCGTGCCAGGGATATGGTAAGTACGTCCGTTCATGAGGAAAGTGGCATCATTGCCGCCAGCTGTAAGAACACCACGAGGGGACCAACTAAACTTATAACCAAGAGGCACACCGGATGCTTCTGGCGCAGGAAGGCCACCACACCATGACACAAATGAGTTTACTTGACCGCCTGATTGATGAACAGAGTCAATGATCTTCATGGCCGAAAGATGGTCAATACCGGGATCCAATCCAATCTCGTTCATAATAAGAATGCCAGCATCCTGGGCACTGGATAGAGGACAATGTAATATTAGTGACTTGCCTTGCTACTTGTATCTCTTAGACTGTTGAAACCTTACCGTTTCTCCAATGCCTTCATTTCCTTTGAAACATAGCTTGCGGTGACCATATGTTTTCTCTCTCGAATGCAAGATTCCGCTACTTTAGTGTGGAGGAAAGCCGGTACCAAGCTATGCAACGGGGTTATTAGCAACGATGTGGTATTTACCTAAGGAATGATAGATCGGCTTGTTTGCTTACCTTATGACTACATCAGCGCCAGACACAAGCTTATCGAGGCTCTCAGTATCTGCTATATCTAAGCCGGCAATACTGGCGTTCGCATGACCATATGCTAGAGCCTTAGCTTCTGGTTGGGAATTACTGGCTGTAGATGAAGAAAGACGGACGAAATCAAAATCAAAATTAGTTACCCATACCACTGAGTACAAATGTAAATTTAACGTAGTTCAGCACTCACCAATCTTCAAGTGTACATCATCACGCTTCAAAAGTCGCTCAACGAGGGGCTTTGCAACTAAGCCAGAACCAAGCAATAGTACTTTCTTCTGAGGCTTGACGCCAGAAGGAGTTCTTGATCCAGATGGTGTTTCCAAAAATTTGTAAAGACCATGATGTTTCTCAGTCAATTTACCTTTGTCGGCAATAACAGCATTATCCAAAGTTAGCTTCGCCTCTTTGTTGTCACCGTTCTTCAAAACAAGCTCCTTGAGATAGGGACTTAGGACGTTGCTAAAGTGTTGGCTGCTTTCAAGTGGTAGTTCAGCAGGGAGGATATCAACACCTAGGATCTGGTAGCCTGGCTTTTCCACATCCTTGTGAACAATGTCCTTGACCGCATCATAATAGTAGAATGGATCGTCCACAGGAGTTGCGTGCGAAAAGCACTCGAAGGCTCCATTTACATCCGCCACAATGTCAGTCAATGCAATGACTCTTCCCTTGTCAATCAATCCCTGCTCTTTCTTGAGCTGCAATTCCTTCAGTTGTTCATTGCTGAGTAGTCTAGGGTACCGTGCATCCCAATAAGCGCCGGTGATGGTGCTCGTAGTATATGGAGCAACGTTGGTATGATAGTCCGATTGATAGAGCTCCGGCTTAGCTAAATATTCACTTTGATCAAATCCAGAGCCATCCTTTCGACTGGTATAATCTCCAATAGCAGCCTGAGTAACGTACAGTTTTTTCAAATTGGGATCTTGAGAAGTGAAAAGTTAGTCGTTTTGGAGGAGTTTTGAGGTATGTAATTTATCAGCCTTCACAACTGGGTGCTAAACCTACTTTTGTCCTGTACAATTTTTGGAAGATCGATCACAGGTACGACTTCATGTGGAAGTGTGCGGAAAACCTCCAAAGCTCCCTGTAATTTCGTTTCACATTGAACTGTAAGCAAACATGCACCGAAGTTTGAACTCACAGCCTATTAAAAACCCACCTGAGCGACATTTCCAGCACCTGTAAATGTGAACGTCAGAGGTCCAAAGTCCTTTGGTGTTCCTTCGCTTTCTATCTGAGATCCGATGGCGCTAATAGCAGCCTTTGCGTCTTGTAATGTGCGATATGTATGTGCACTTGCGGCATACTAAGGTGACAAGGAAATTAGCTGAGAGTAAAGTACGCCTCCCGTGGCAACGGAGGGGGACTTATCTTACCATAAAAGGTGTGTTATATCCCAGTCCCAGAAACCGGTGGCCAAGTCCATGTAGTGAATTGATCATGCCTTGGGAGGGAAGGTATCGCACAGGAGAGTTATGGGTCTGAACTGAACAAACACTTTGGTCCCATTTCCAATCCTTACCTGCATTTCCAGCGTACTTTCCAAATGCAACAACACGCTTACCACTGGCAGCTGTCATCTGCTCATAGTCGATAAGAGTGATATTCTACGAGAAACGGTCAGTGTGTGCGTGAAACAGAAATCCCTCATCACCAACACCTACCTTGTCAAGGATAGACTGAAGCATGGGCATGTTTTTCGGTGTGCCTTTGTGGGTATGAGAGAAGAACATGTAGGTCTTATTGGGAATCAGCTCTTCCACTGGCACTTCCTTGATGCCCAATATGACATCCGCGGAAGAAATATCCTCTGCAATTTGTGCTCCTGCCTATTGAAAGGGGTCAGTAGAGGCACTAGCACACCTCTTTGTTTTGAGGAACATACCTTTATATACTGTTGTTCATTGTACACGCGGTTGGTAGAGGGCTGAACAAGGACCTTTGCACCTGTTTCTTTGATAAGCGACTCAACGCCCTGGGGAGTCAAAGCGACTCTCCTCTCCCACCTGCTCTTGCTTTCACGACGAAGAGCAATCGTCGTCACTGAACGAGTTTGATGACGCGGCACAGCTTGTCTAAGGCGATACATAGATAAATTATGAAGAGAAGGAAGGAAGCAACAAAAAAAAAGGTGGATGGGAGGCGTGCGACAATTTTACTGAGCTCCAAAATGATGAATTTGCTGTCAAGACCAGCCTCAGTTTCTCACGGTCATGCATTTTTTGCAAGTCAGGCACCGATAAAGCTCAGCAGGCAAGAAAAAAAATGAAATTTATTGTACAAAGGCATGGAAAAGGAACAGTATTAAGAAGGAGGACCATTAGCAATTTGATCTCGAAGACTATTGCGAAGGAATTCCTTGTAAATGCCAACAGCATGAGGAGGATCTTTGGAAAATGCCATTCCTTTGGCTTCAGCTTCGTGCTGTTTACTGTACCAAGAATCCAGCTGTCGAAAGAATTCAGTGTGCACATATCCTAGAGCTGTTTGCACCATTGGAAATAAACATACAGTCCATACTTCTGCATTTTTCTTTTCCTTGACTACGATAATGTTATCGTGTTGATCAACTGGCCACATATGCGTTAAATCATCCACAATAAGCGGTAATGAGAATCCACAGCCAGGTGCCTTATCGTTGACGGCACAGAACGCATACAATGCCAAAAGATCTTTGGATGGCCGGCGTGCATCGCTGGATTTGCATATATATTCATATTCTGATCGAGCCGAATAATAAATTCCTCTAATTCGACTGTGTGCTGGATCAAGGACGGACACTACCATATCCACATAGTTCTGATCACTGAAAGAAGGAAGTGTATTAGTGACTTATCCACAAAGTCCTTATTTCCAAAAAGATGACTAACCCAAGCGAGCACACTGATATATCGTAGTAGTTTTTGGCCCAGTCTAAGAATTCATGGACGTGATCGGTAAGGACGACCCTGCGTCCATCTCGTAATGTTCGTACGCGGTCTTGACCTGATAAAAGTGATTAGTCTCTACCCAACAAAGCAATCCACCCAGTCTGTATTTGCAACCACCTACATAAGTGAAGTTGGTCTTCTGGTACATATCGGCCGGTCTCATTACCCACCAGGCGCACAAGCGTGTCGTCCAAGTCGAGCACCAAAGGCAACCTTCTTTGCCGAAGAAGTCCTTCTTGCTGCTCTTTGATAATACGAAGCATATCAGAATGCTTGCACAAATAGCCAAATAAATTTCTGCAGGGTAGATGAGTACGCGGTCAACCGTCCGTGCCACATTTAATTCAACTTACGCTTTGTCGCGTGCTGGCTTCAAATGAAGTTCCCAAAGGTCCCCTTGTTCACTTCTTAAGACAATATAAGCACTCTGTCCAGATGATGATGAGTATATGCGATGCCTAACATGGGCGAGGGTTCTTGAGGTTGATGCTCACCTTGCGTAAACCAGCCAAATCATGGAACCAAGCATGATCAGGAAAATCGAAAATAAAACTATGGGCAATTCCACGGTGTGCCATGACCACAAAGAAACTACGCGGCACAGCGCCAGGTACATCATAGGTCTCCTCCAATAACAACTTTGGATCGCCCATCTTGTGCAAAATTTCGCGAGTCACAAGCGGTATGGAATCGTTGGAGTCAGGGAGTATAAGCTGAGGTCGCCAGATAGAAGGATTATGTGTGATGGCTGGAAGAAATCGAGGGCATTTGATGTTCTCTAGTTGTTGTGGCGTGAGCGTTTCTAGTTCGCCGCCATAAAAAGAGAACGGCAATCAGACGAGTTGTAGGAGGTCTGACAGAACGAGCGAAAGGCTTACCTGACGTTGAGCGTGGTAAAGACGGTTTCACTGGATATACAGAAGTATCCATCTGCACGGCCGCCGCTGGTCTATCATCCTGTCTTGGCCGTTTTACGCCTGCTGCAATGGTATACTGGAGTTGAGCAGCCATGTTCAACACAGTGTTCTGTTCGATACCGCGAAGGATTTAGTTACAGCCGTTGCATGAGTCACAAGCGTCATTAAAGAGAGCTGTACCTTCTTTTCACTCGTCTTGGGTTTGGGCACATCATTGAGGATGCTAGCTACATTCATCATAGCGCTCAGCCTACGCTGTGTCGGTCAGAAAGTGGTGAGCACCAAGGATGTTTATTTCCATTAGCCAGTCTTTCGCCGCTTTAAAAAAATCAGTCACCCATGCAGGGCGCCAATCCATCGCTCAGCAAGTGGCGGCCGTCTACTATTGCTGGTGTGGGTTCCCTATGCTGCATGCTCGGACGAAAAGTTATTATCATTTCATCGATCCACTTTCGGTACTCTCATCTACTGTACTTCATCGCCGCAAAATATAGCTGAGAGTAGGTAACCACACAGGGGGGTTAATCGATCTCTACATTGTGTTCTCCTAATGTGTTTTTATTTCAATGGGTTTGGTTTTTTAGGATAAGGAATATTTGCGATGGATGTAAACGTCTCCAGAGCATAACCGGCCAATTTGAATTTTTTTTATTTTTTTTGGGTGAGGTAGTGGTTGCAGATAGAAATTTAAGCGCGGCGAGCAGCTCTTCTTGCCCGAACACCTTCTCTAAGTCTGTCAAGTACTCGGGAGGTGGATTCCCAATTTATGCAAGCATCAGTAACAGACTGACCATAAGTTAATCTATGTGCGCCTTCAGCAGGAATATCCTGACGTCCTTCAACAAGGTGAGATTCAATCATAACACCAATGATGTTATCTCCAGTCTCCTTGGGGTGTTCGAGTTGTTGTGCCTATCAAATCAAAAGAGTCAATGGGGCTATTTTCTACCGTTCATCATAGGGTGCTAATCACTTACAATGCAATCGGCCACAATGGGTTGTCGGTTGTGATCCTTGCTGCTGTTACCGTGACTGCAATCAATCATGACAAGGCCAGGAAGCTTAGCCTTCTCCAACTGAGTGGCGGTCTTCTTGACTTCTTCAGCATCGTAGTTGGGACCAGTCTTGCCACCACGAAGAATGACGTGGCAGCTATCGTTACCCTCAGTCTGAACAATGGCGGAAAGACCTTGCTTTGTGACAGAAAGGAAATGGTGACCATTGCTGGAAGCCTTGATAGCATCAATAGCAATACCAATGGCACCATCAGTACCGTTCTTGAAACCAACAGGGCATGAAAGTCCAGAGGCAAGTTCTCTGTGAATCTGTGATTCAGTGGTACGTGCGCCAATAGCACCTATACACCAAAAAAAGAAAGTTAGGATTGGTGAGCTGAGTCATCTTGGCCAATCATATGCAAAAGCTTACCCCACGCAACCAAATCGCCAGTGTATTGTGGTGAGATCTAGAATGGAGGGTGGATTGTTAAGAAAGGAAAAAGAGAAGTTCAACGCAGCGGTTGATAGTGTACTTACGGTGTCAAGGAATTCACAACCAGTTGGAATACCCATCTCATTCTGTAATAAAATAAAAAGAGATTTACACGTGAATGAGATGTCCATCCACCTATAATCTGTCACATTTTTTTTTGACAGTTCTTACCAAGTCCAACAAAAGCTGGCGAGCAACACGAAGACCCTTGTTGATCTGGAAACTAAAATGATGAACATGATCAGTATGACCATTGCCATCGATATGCACATGAATCAACGCCTGCTTTACCTGTTGTTCAATTCAGGATCGTTGATCAAGCCCTTCCAGCCAACAGTGGTACGTGGCTTTTCAAAGTAGACACGCATAATGATGCAAAGATCTTCCTTGGCAGTTTCGTTGTACTCGATCAAAAGCTTGGCTAAAGTTGGAATGGTTAGGCTACCGAGCGCTATCCATGAAGAGCGGGCAATACGTACCATATTCCTTTGCGGCGTTGACGTCGTGGATTGAGCATGGGCCAACAATAACCAAAAGTCTATCGTCTTTTCCCTTGATAATGCTCTCAGCAGACTGTCTACCCTCGACAATAGTCTGAGCAGCCTTGAGTGTAAGTGGGATATCCTCGACCAAGATCTGAGGCGGGATCAAAGGACGGATTTCCTTGATTCGCTTGTCGTCGAGGTCATTTAAAGCTTTTTGGTCCGAGAATGTGGTTGACATTGAGTTTATGAACTATGAGATTAGGTTGAAAAATAAAAAGCGGTTTTACCTTGTCTGTAGACTGGCATATTTTTTAAAATAATAAATTTTGAGGGTTTGCAAGTTGAGAAAAAAGTGTCCAACGTCGCAAATCCATGCTTTAGACTTGTGCGGAGATGAAAAAAGAATCCAGCAATGACTCAAAGTGAATGACTCGACTCCACTGGCTCAAGAAGTGGCTTGGAACAGCGCCAAGGTGTCATTGATAAAATATATACATGGTGGTTTATTTTTTTTTCTAATATTCACAAATACGTTCCAAAACATAATTACTTGCACAAACCAGCAATGGTGTTGGCTATTTTTTCAGGGAATTCTCGTTCCTGGAGAGCTTTGACAATGTCCTTGCACGCTGGCTTTTGACCATTCTGAAGCAATGCTTTGATCATGGCCTCATAAGTACTAGGTTCACGAGAGAGACTACTACGCTTGTCATCTTCCATTTTATCGAAAACTTTTCTGGCCTTGATGACATTGCCTGTCATACCGTAACCTTTGATGAAGAGATTTTCAATGTACGTATTGGACTTGACGCCTTGGCGTAACATTTCCTTGTAAAGCTTTTCGGCCTCGTCCATATTGTTGTTTTCAATGTAGGTATCCAAGATAGCTTGGTATACTGTTTCATCGCCTTGCACATTGGCTCGCTTCATCTCTTCAAAGACGCGCGTGGCACTGCGAACATCTCGTTGTCGACAACCATAAGAGTATATCAAACTTGCGTAGTGAGTGGCTTGAGGCTTGAGACGGTCCCGTTTCTCCATTTCTCTGAGCATAGAGTGCGCGGTAGGCATATCATAAGGAGCAATGCTTCCGTAAGCCTCCATGAGCAATTTGTAAGTGTGGTGGGAAGGTCGGATTCCTCGCTTACGGAGTTCACGGAAATATTCCAAAACGCGCTCACGGTCAGGATGTTGGCGGACAAAGTGTTGCATCATATTGTTGAAGGGTCCCACTCGGGGTTGGTAGCTAGGGTGCTGAGTCATTTCCCGGAAGAGTGCAATGGCTTGAGACTCAGAGCCAGCTCGAATGCAGGCAGAAATGATAGCACCATAGGTAATGGAGTTGGCAGCCACCTTGAGTTCTTGCATTTCATCAAAGAGTTTCAATGCATTTTCCAGCTTGCGGGCCTTGGCCAACTTGGAGATGATAACGTTATAGAAAAAGGTGGTGGGCTTGATGTCATGTCGCTTGGCTTCTTCATAAATGAGAAGCGCGTCGGTAGCTTCATCAGTGGTATCCTTGGCACTCCCTAAGAGAAGGGATGCGTAGGCATTTCCATCTGGATATTCACCGAGTTGCTTAACTATAATTTTTTTGAGTTAATCAATATGTTTTGAGGGGATTGACCAAGTTTGACAATTAAACTTACTGCTTTGATAGTATTTCTTGGCTTCTACCATATCACCCATCTGGGCATAACCAATAAGGACACTGTTCATTGCCATGTGCTTTGCTCGCTTGATCTTGTCTTCATCTTCGAACTTTTCATAAGCCTCTATGGCAAGCTTATAGATGTAGGTTACGGTGTCCATGTTACCTTGTTTGGCAACCAGGACAATGGTGTCACGGATGGCCTCAGGGGTAGGGATCATACCTTGCTCAATGATAGCATGCTCCAAGATATGAACAGCTTCATCAAACTTGCCACGAGTAGCAGCCTTGGTGATCTCATTGGATTGAACATCAGCTTCAATCGACATAGTACTAGAACGGCGACGCACAGGATCAGGGCTCATTCTTCCTTCGATGAATTTGTCAGTCTTAACATGCCATTCCTCAGCAAGGTCTTCATCTCCGTTCTTCAGCAAAGCCTGATAGATTCTTGAGCACAGCAGCTTGTTGGGCTTGTGACTGAGAGATCGCATGTCTTGGAAGACGTTGAAGACAGTTTGTTGAAACTCGACAGGTTCTCTTTCAGCAGCGAGAGCTAATTCCAAGAGGGCAGATAAATCCTTGTGGGACAATTCAAGGTCTGCAATGTCTTCCTTTGCATATTTTTCCAAGATATCAGCAGCAATGTCAGCCGAAATGCGAATGCCAAATGGAGATACAATGTGGACGACAGATAAGGCTTGAGAAAGGGTAGAGCAGTGATTCAGAAGCTGCAAAGCTGGGCCAGAAATATGAGCGGTGGACTTGATAAATGACTTTTGAGCTACTGCCGTGGTAATGGTTTTAAGAGCAGCGATGGCGCTTGAGATGTCATCGTGGACGGTAAAGTGGGTGACAAAGCGTTCACAGAGGGTCACATCGGGCTCTAAACCAACAGCACGCATATCAGAGATGATGTCAAAAACTTTTTCAGCATGGCCATTGGAGAGGCACAAAAATGCGAAATTGGCCATGTTTCCGTAAGACTTGGTGATATCTGTCTTGAGCATGGCATTGTACAATTTTTCGGATGTTTCAAAGTTGTTCTGTTGGCACATGGCTGACAAGACAGGGCCGTAGGTGCTGGCGTCAGGATTAGGGAGACTGTCATCTGACTCCATGCGAGCAATCAAATCATGAGCTTCCTGATAACTAGCTCGGTTGCAGGTATCTCGAATGACCGAGTTGTAAGGGATAGTAGTCACTTGGATATCATCTTGTACCATATCTTCTTCAATGACCTTGAGGGCACCGGGGACATCGTGGCACTTCAGATGAGCATCCACCAGAGCATTGTAAACATAAGAAGCATCATGGCTGCCAAGGCTATTCTTGCATTCACGATAATCTTGGAAGCATTCAAGAGCGCCTTCAAGGTCACCAGCACGACCATACAGTGTGATAAGGGCAGCATAGGTGCCTGAATTAGGCACAGCCTTGTTGGAAGATTGTAGTTGAGCAAAAACATGCAGAGCGTCTTCCGTGTTCCCATAGTGTGAAAGAGTTCGAAGCATCTGATTGTAAATCTCGGTTTCAAAGTCTTGAACCCATCCAGTACGGACTGCAGTCTCAAAGACAGCAAGTGCATTTTCTATGTTCATTTCACTTTCCAGCTGAGAGACATCCTCGGGCTCGGTTCCATAGCGAGCGGACTGTCTCTGAAGCATAGCCATGGTCTTTTGGACTTCAACGTCACGCTTACAGAGTGTTCTGATAAGCAGGGCATATGTATAGGAGGTAGGGTGAATGCCAGCTTCGATCATATCAGCATAGACTGTCGGGGTATAAAATTTTTAGCATGAGAGGAAGGTATTTATCTGATGCTGAGCTTAGCACGAAATGAGGCTTACCTTCCAAAAGACCAGCAATGGGAGAGCCTTCACGGCGCAGTGTAGAATGTGCGTCAAGCACCATATTATAAGTGTGGTGAGTAAGAATGGCTCCTTGTCGCTTCATAGTAAGAAAATAGGACATGACGGCCTTGAGGTTGCCGTCCCGCTTAGCAGCAAGAATATTGGCATTTCCTTCGTTGGTGGCAGCGGAGATGACTTTTCCGACGGGTATGGCGACATAAATATCTTGCTTGTTATGAGCTTTGTAAGAGGGGGCGTGACTAAAGCGGACGGCATTAGCAACCACCTTCTTTAGTTGATGCGAGCCAGTATAAGAATCTTGCATATAATGGAGAGCGCTTTTTCTAGTTGACTTCTTGGATGGCTTTGGAGACGTAGTGTAGTGTGTCTTTGCACGTTGTGAGTTTCCGGTGGACACCGTTCGAGATGACAGAGCTGCCAGGAGCTGAGATGCGTTATCTTGTGTTGACATAGTGTGTGCGTGGCCATTCGATGAGGTAATTTGTATAGAAGATGTCTTAGAGGGCATTATATATAAGAAAGAAAGGTGGATGGTACTTTTATTTTGTTGAAAGTATGTGGCTCTTTATATATTTTTTGGTTCACTGAGCGGGACACGGAGCTCTGGTCAGCCAATCAACGTGCGGGCGCCATATCAGATCTTCTCTGATGAAGATTTTCAGAGGGGTTATGTATTTACTTTTTCTCTCAACGCATGCTTTTCTTTATCAGATAGCATTATAATCCCTTGTGCTGACAATTTGCATATAATAACACTTATTTGAAGCTTTCTTTTTACAACAAAAGTCGATACTGGACTGTCGGCAACTTAATAACATGTGGTGTTGGGAAATTTTTTTTTTATCAGATTTTTTTTAGGTGGCCTAATTGACCGACAACTATCTCCGCTGCCTCCTCTGAACCTTCCGGAAACTCTGCGCAATCTATGACCGACCCAAGACAGTCTCGCCGCTGTCGCCCGTTCTTGAATATAACAAGGGTCTGAAGTGATAAAGTCATGGATGTCTACTCACTTACTTCATGCTTAGCCGCGGCATCTTCCAAACGATGTCAACTATCGTGAGACTAGGTGTTTCTGCAGTCAGGAGACAGCGGGCCATGCATAGTCTGGAATTGAAAAAAGTTATCAGATCTTTTTCGTCGTTTATACGGCTGATACTGTAAAGCAATCTGAATATTGCAAGGGTACAGTGTCTGGGGTTATCAGATTGTTTTCGGACTTTTAGATGAAAAGCAGCTGCTTCTGAGAATGAGCAAATATTGCGCTGCAAAACGGCCAATCGGAAATGGAAAAAAGGATCTGATAAATTTTTTCTTCCCTTGTGAAAATTGAATCTGATAATTTAGCCTTTGCCGTTTTACTTTATAACCATCAACGACGGTGCCAATATAGACTCTCATGGATCATGTTGAATTTATGTAATGAATTTATAGTCATATTCTTCCTTTTTTTCATGCGAAACTTTTGTTCGTATGCACAGCTTGTTTCATTCACGGCGGGTATTGCGCGGAAACTCGGCAGCCAATCATATTATTCAAAGTTATCAGATCCTCTGATCCTACAAATGTGAGGCGGAAGATAAAAGTAGCCAAGCGTTGGAGCCATGCTCGTTGTCAACATTTTGCATAATGGCGTCTTTCCGTGTACACTCCGTGTTACATATTTTCCCCGACTAAGGAGTTTCGCAAAGTGAATATGAAGCATAAATAAGCCAGAAACTTCTTTGTTGGTGCACAAGCGCAGCAAGACAAGCGCTGCCCCTGCTTGGATAGTGGTAATATGGTTGTATTGCAGAAAAGAAATTGATGCCGCAGTCCACCAATACGGTGATCATACCATTTAAATCTCACACACGCAATTTGATTAAGAACATCGTATCCATTCTTGTAAAGAAGAGCACAGCGCAAAATATATCAATTAGAATTCTAGGACAGCCTGACTTCCTATCTATTGACCAACCAGTGTTCTGGGACCATCTAGTGTCCTAGATTTTCATTTTTGCGTCACTTTTCTGCCTCTCGGAGATTAGCTTGAATACTTTAACACATTCCATATGAAAATATTCGCACTATGTCATATGGTGTCTAAATTCGTGACTGGTCGATACCTTGAACTACACTGAGGCTAATGATCAGGCTAAAGGTTAGGCTCATTCCTTTTGCAGTCCGCAAATCATTAGACTGGATAGCGAATGTACTCTAGGGAAATTTGCCTTAGAAGACAACAAGAGAACGCAGCATCACATATAAACGTGTAATGCACAGATCGTTTGCGATAGCATACTTTGATTGCAAGTATGATCGTGTGTAGCAGAGGATGGAAATGGGCTTTGCAGGTACTTATTGTGATTTCCTGCACTTTGAATCACACTGAGCGAAACTAATCTATAGTACCAAGCTATAAAACCAGCAGCTGTAGTCTCTGCCGCAGTTACTGTGTAACTGGATGGACATCCGATGAGGATACTTGTCCAAAGAATGCTCTTAGTATCTAGCAAAAGTAAGCTGACTTGACGATGTAAACATCTGCAGTGCGCATATATGTACGCTCGTACTCTCAGAAGTTGGCTGTCTAAGCACACGCAGAAAACTATAAAGTGCTAATTTGCAATTCTCATTATTGTCACCTTTTTGTCTTGTTTGGTCGCAGAAGCGGGTCCACAGAAAAGCAGGATCTGGATTATCGAATGTCCCAGCACTGGAACACACGACTCTGGCCACATCTTGCATGCTTAAGGGAAGGTAAAGGAGGACTCCACCATCATTTTCAAGGAAGGCTTTAATTAGCGTACGAAAGATTTTGCTCTCACCAGCTTGCAGAACCTCGATGTGGAAATGCGGGAACTAGTCGGGTTTGGGGGTGGATCTGCGCTAATGGTTCACATACTCAATGTATCAAGAGTTCCAAATTGTTAGCATGGCCATGATGGTGAGTGGCCATAACATCCACTGGGATGGTTTCAGCACCGGTGTTGTCTATGGAAATGGCGAGATCTCCTATGAAAACTGGAACAGTGTGTCGCAATGTTGGGAATTGTAGCGGCACCGTTACTCGGTGCTCAAACGTGGATGAGTTGGACGCTGACTGCAAACCTATTTCTCTTTATAATGCTGGTATGAACAAACACCGGCGGCCACATCAAATCAGTAAAACTATGCATCTGATAGAGAATTTGATTTATTTATTTTCTCTTTTTTCTTTTCCGTGGTTTTCATCCACAACGATCAAAAGCAATAATACTAAAGGAAAACCAAGTGCTAGTGGTCTAAATGAATGTTTATTACAAAACAGAAAGAACAAAAATATGATGAAGAAGGAAGAAAAATAGAAAAAAGGGATAATGGGGAAATGAGATTCTTTTTAAAGGTGGGGATGTGTAAGGTTGGGTTTTGTCTTGGGGATCAAATTTATTCGACAATCTCCTCAGTCTCTTCAACGACTTCCTCGATCCATTCTTCAACAACTTCAAGCTTGCCTTCATCCGATGCGGTCTTGATCTCCTTACCAACCTCAGCACGCTCCTCGGCGACTCTCTTCTCGGTTTGCTTTCTCCAAGTGTACCATTGTTCAACAAGCTTTCTTCGGGTAGCAACAAGCTTAGCAGTGGCAGCATCACCAACAGCAAGATCTTCTTCCTCAAACACCTTGGAGTATTGGCGCAAGTTCTTGCGGACCTTCTTCTTTTGTTCTTTAGACAGGAGGGATTCTGGGCGAGGACGCCACAACAATTGCTTGAATTTGTCAATGGTTTGTCGGAAAAGCAACAATCCCTTGAAGTCCCACAGGCAGTAACCGTGGTCAGCAGTGTGTCGCCACATACTGGATCCTGTGATAACGAATCGACCGGTAGGATCCCATTCAACATCAGTAACACCATAGTGCTCTTGTGTTGAGATCAAATGCACGTTAGCGCCAACATCTTCCTTGGCAATATCCTTCTTATCCGCAGCTGGTTCAAGATCCAAATCATAAAACTCCAAATCGAACACAGTTGTGCTTCGGAGGGTAGCAGCAACAAGATGTCGTCCCTTTGGTGACCAGAAGAGGTGATTAGAGGTCTTTTTGTCGAAAATTTCTGTAAAAAACATGGGATGGAAATTTTGTCATCAGCGTTTGTATAAATGAGAGCAGGATGAAGGCACTGGGATCCTTACTAAGAGGTCGATATGCGACCACAGCTTTGCTGTTATCGAGATAATAGAAACCAACACTCGTCTTCAATATCGCGGGTGCTTGACCATTGGGACCGGCGCTAACGCCAAGGTTAGGGTCAGATGTAGTTATAATGGCGAACCGGTCACCCTTTGGCTCCCAAGCGAAAGCAATGACAGCCTCCTTGATTTCCAAAGTTTCAACTGGGATTTCCTTTTGACACAAACGGAAGATCTCAAGGTTGGTGAATGTTGACTTCTTTGTCTTTGTGTGGCGGTCAACCTTGACAGCGAGGTAATGACCTTGTGATTGCCATTGAAGTTTGCACTAGAAAGAGAATAGACAAAAAGGTGAGTTCATGAATACAAATAGGTCAGCATAGGATGGTGAATGCATCTGCCTGACTTACATCATTAACGTTGAACAAGTTCTTGGTTCTAATAATTTCTTTGCTGGGAACACCCATAATGGTGACTCTGGCAGGTTGGTTACCGACTTCAGGAGTCCAGTAAGCCAAGACTTCTTCCTTTTGGAAAATCTTATCGTCTCCACTGTTAGGATTGGCAGGTGACCACTCAAAGTCAGCAACACCATCAATCTTCACACTCTTCTTGCCAACCAATCCCATAGAAGGAGCTTCATAAATAGAGATTTGCTGACCAGCAACAAGACGAGCAAAGTATTTTTCAGTGGGTGCCCACTTGAACATAGGCCAGCTGATGGCCTTTGGTGCGTCTCCGGTTTGAACAACAGGGAAAGATCGAAGCAATGCACCGGTCAAGGTATCCCAGATAACGATTTGGTTACCTTCATCTTCTTCAGTGAAAGGGTTGACAGAACCTTCAGGAATGCGAGAAACATTGATAGGCTCGTTTGACCAGGTGACAAGATAACGTTCGTTGGGAGAGAAGTCGATCAATTTAACACCGGGATGGACGAAGCGAACGATCTTGTTCCAAGAGGGTCCTCCCCAAAGTGCGATACCTTGTCTGTGGAAGGTGGTGAGATAGGTACCAAGAGGTGACCATTGGACATAAGTTTCAGTCCAGTTCTATGCAGAGAAACAAACATGCATGTCAGTATTGATCTCGTTCTCCCCGCCATCAAAATCATCTAATCATTCTTACAGTTCTGGAATATTCATGTTCAGGAGTTTCGGTCTTTCTGTTCCAGAAAATGCTAACATCGTCGGCACGGTACATAACCCACTGATCACGGGCTTGGGAGTCGGTCAACCAGCTGCGAAGATGTTCCTTTTGAACAAACTCTTCTTGCTCAGGTTCAACATATTGGTCGTTCATAGCAGTGTACTTTTCAATGTCGGTCAATCGGTTGACAGCAAGGACGTGGGATTTATCCATACGATGGCCATCAAGATTCTTTATAGCAGCGTGGGCGGATTCGGCATTTTCGAAATCGACAAAGCAGTATCTACATGGAATGTAGGATGTTAACAAAGTAATCAGAACAACACAAAGGCGCTGGATGATGAGCAATCGATACATTACCCTTTGCTGACTCGCTTTCCGTCTTTGTTTTCAGTAGGCATGAACAAGCCGTTTTCCTTGATGGGACCTGCTGCCTTTGTGATCAACTTCTTCAACACTGTAACCAATTTCTCTTCCTTGGACTGATCAACGACGGGAACATTATCAACAACAACGAGGGAGTCGAAACCCTCATCTTTGGGGAGAGGGTAAGCCTGCTCGATATCAGTAAAGTCGATATCTTCTTCCGTTTCGGGGAAGTTCTTGGGATCAAATGTTGCCGCAGGCATGATTTAACAAGAAGGTAGGTGGAGCAATTTTTTCCACAGGCCGCGTTAATATTTGTTGGGCCAAAACCCAAGCCTTGCTAACAATTCAGTGGCTTAGGCACAATTTTTTTTCTATGAGAAATGTTCATATTTTTTTTTTTTATTATTATTTCAAACGTTTCATTTTTTCATCTAAACGTTCTCGTAAGCTTCAAATTCGCCAAAGTAACCGCGACAGAGCTGTCTTATGGACTTTTCATAATTATTGGGTGAGTGATCTAGGAACATACTTCTAGAAAAGATTATTTCAGAAAACCGCTTTTGAACATTTTCGCATTTACGAAGTACAACGGTATGGGCGCGTTTGGATTGAGCGGTTCGCTTTTTGGTATACAACGTTTCCGATCGTCCGTCAGTGTGCTGTACAAGTTGGGGTATCGATTCAATGTGGTATATAGTTGAGGGAGGGTAAAGCTTTTCCGAATTCATATCGGCTCTCATTGTTTTGATAAGAGCCCAAAACCATTGTTCGTCGTCATCGGGTTGGTGCGTTTCTTCGGGTTGCTTGGCGGCTGATTCTGGTCCGTCTGCAGTGGATCCTTCAGTTCCATTCTTCTGGTACCGTCCGATGATTCGACTGATAATTTCGTCTGTGACATGACTTTCATCATAAAGACTGATAGCAACGTTCTTGAAATCCTTGAGTAATCCCAGACTGAGACTGGATACAATATCATACGAGTGGATAACGCTGGTGACCAGACCACGACCACAGTATTCGCTCAGTTCGATGGACATTACGCAAGGTGGTCCGAATGTATAACAATGAATGGGTCGTCCGGGAGGTAACCCTGACTCCAGATTGGTAACGAATGGGATTGTATCCTTTGCGGGAAAGCCTGAAAGTGCGCGACAATACAGTTCGCCTTCCATCTTGGCGAAATCATCTGTCTCTTGGCTCCAAAGTACACTTAAAAGGGAGGCTACTCCAGCACCTAAAGAATGACCACATAGGATCAAACCGTAGGTTGGCCATTGGTCTAGAGCATCGCAGATCACACGGTAAACTTTGCCTTTCTGTTTTGCTAGGAGTTGAGCAGCGCCAAGCATTCCTCCATGAGCCGTGAACCGACTTTCCTTTCCATCTGGACCAGTTTGTGGAAGAGTGAATTCTGAATATTCGCAAGTCAAGTCCGTCAGAATATCGCTTAGTCCAAGTGTTCCTCTACATGTGAGAACAACTGCTTCAGCGGCATGGTCAACCGTGACATAGTGAACAAGGGCGTTGATTTGAGGATTTTGAATGGATAGTAGTGAACTATCGGTATACGATGAGAGTAAAATGTCTTCGACGGGTACTGTGGTATGGTAAGAGAAAGCATGATGGTTCGGATGATGATGGTGCGATGCTGGTAAAATATGAGGCATGTCACCAATGCCAAGAATGCGCATGAATGACTCTCCATAGGCTGCCGAGGCATAACGCATAAATCTGGCAATGTTGGTGACCAGATGCGCTCGTGGGAAGTTATGGCGTATACTGACATCTGACAATGGTTGACTGTTTTGTCGACGTTTGCTTAACTGACCCTGAACAGGAGCAGATGGCATTCGTTTCAACATAGGAGAAGGTGGAGAAGAGGGTCCTGGGGAAGTTGTGAAGGTGGTGGTCGTTGTGGTTCTTGCAACGGATTGGATGGATGTCATGGAGGTGATTGAATTTGAACGTGGTCGCCTTCGTGATGATGTGGATAAAGTAGGAATGGGCGTAATACTATGAGCAGAGGAGATGCGCTTATGGCCACCACCAGATACTGGTGTCTTGGTTTGTTTTGCAGGAACTGGAGGAGGAGGAGTTGTTGAACGAGATCGAGCTTTTTTACTGCTGGGGACCAGATCACCCGATCCATGACCACCGTTTGGTTTTTGTTGGAAGATGTTGGTCATGGATTTGTTCTTGGCGACACCTTTGAGTTTGAATCGACTCCAGTTCTTCTTTTCCTTCTTTCGATCATCATCGTACAACTCATCATCCGAAGAATCCTGATGACCTTTTGGTGGAACAGTCGGTGCTTTGTGAGGACGTTCGTGATATTGAGCAGACGTTGATCTAGTTGTCGTCGATGTGCTTGTCATGGTGGTTGTTGGACCAACTCTCTGACTGGAAGGTGAAGAGCCGTCGAAAGGCTTACCGTTGAACGAAGACTCGTCAGCAATTTGTTTGTGAAGACTGGCTGCAGCATAACGCTCCTGACGCTCGATTTTCTTTTTGTTGAACTTTTTGGACATGGCAGAAAGCATAACACGAAAGCCTCGTGAAGTTTGCAGTTCTGATGTAGTAGATCCAGGGTCTGCGCTGGTGATGAGCTTTGATGATTTTGCGGCGTCGATTCTATCCGAAGCGTCCTCGGAATTCTGGCGATCCACTATAGCAACAAACGATTCCTGCGATTCATCTTCTGACTTCACAATGACATATTTTGCTGGAGCAGGCTCACTATTATCCTCTTGGCCCTGCCGATATGGATTTAAGGGTCGAAATGAGGTGGTTTTCGTCGTAAAAGTCTTAGTGGTGGTCGTAATCTCATAAACATCTGCGTCATATGTTGATGAAGTGGACGGACTTGAGTAGGCAGAATCAACAACCTTGTCTTTAGTACCTGCTGGTGGTGTCACCTTTAGCTCAGCAGAAGATTCGTCGTGGGCCAGGATGCCTTCTAGTTCATGTATGATATCTGGATGCTGCACCATAGGATTATCATCATTTTCGGAGTTGGCGGATCCCAACGAACGATTGCTGTCAGCCACCTGAACCGATGTGGACTCATCTTCTTCTTCTTCGATAACGAGTCCTTCCCAAACAACTGTCATTGGCATAACAGCCATCATTCTTTGATGTGTGACGTTTTGAAGAATTGCGAACGAAGTCAGCGCCCGTGTTAAGCCCGCTAAGATGGCAATCTTGCCATTTTTAGACAAAGTAAAGTCAGGATCTTGCAGTAGTTCTCGATGTACTAGCGATACGAGGGATGCTATGGCGCGAGACGTCTCGTTACTTCCGAAAATGCCGTCTAATATGCGTACTGATTCTTCCGCAGTCTAAAGTGATGAATATAGATTAGGAAATCGTTCAGGTGAGTGAAAATTTGTCATGGTATAACAAAGTATTTTTGTTTTTGACATTCTTTGACCATCGCTACTTACACGAAAGCCTGTTTTGATGGTTTGTGTGGTCAAGTGAAATCCTGTCATGGCAAAAAGCTCGGCAAGCGTGAAGGAATGATGGACAATATAAACGCCAAGGTTAGTGTATTTGTCTAACACCTGCAGAAAGCCACCCCTACGGTACGATGAAAAAAAAAGGGTTTAGCTATAGTACAGTCAGCGTGAAATCGATAAGAACAGATTCACTGACCTTGCTTCTTTGATCTCTTCCTCAGGATGTGTTGAAAACCGAATCATATGCAAACGTTTTGCTGTACTGAGGGCTGCAATCAGAGTTTGTCTAGACATGCCCAACGAGAAGGCTGTGCTGTATCTAGCTGATTCTAGTAGTGCCTCGATAAACAACGACGAACATCTGAGCGAAAGGCGAGCTGCGATGGAGACGGCTGTGATGAGACTTGCGACGTTCTCTGGGAGGAGTGTTGGCGAATTGATGAATGAAGAAGTATGATATGTTGCTAATTGTAGTGCCATGGTTTTTTTCTATTTGATACAGTGGTTGATTACAAGTCGCAAAAAAATGCGAGATAATAAGAGTGGTTGATTATCAAGCAAGTGTCGTATAGCTTGATGCGTTGTAAAACTGAGAATAAGAGGTTCTTTCCGTAGTGTTTGAATTCAACTTTAAGAAAAAAGAGTTGAGAAAGGAAAAAATAATTGGGGCGATCGCTTCGCGACTTTCTTTTTTTATTAAGGGCAAGTCCATTTGTCACATGCGCATGCTCTTTCCAACGAGAAGTCATTACCACCCCAAGTTGACGTCATCCTCCAACCAACAGGAAGGCTGGTAGACTTTTACTGTTGATTGATCACAGCACAAACACTGACAACGCGAAAATCACTTCACACTGCTCTTTCCTTCCATCTTGGTGTCGGGTTATCAAGTCGTACAAAGCGATCATACTGGTGCATGCGCGTGGATGGCAGGTACCTGGAAATTATCATATGCTTGAGATAGGATGAATGATACCCAAAGCGGGTTACCACGATGATTCCGCACTTTCATCATCACGGACCCTTTTCGCTTGACCACCAAGACAGTGTTTCTCCAAATGCTTTATCGACCGGCGCTGAGCGAGCTGAACTTTAATTTTGTAAGAATTTTGGTCCCACCGTAAATTGGAAAATCCGCTAGACAACACCTATGTAAGAGCAAACAACATGGAACACAACAACGTTGCTTCTATTGAAGTCAAAAATATAACGTTGTGTGCTCTAACCACATTTACAGATTTCAACATCCCACCAGTGGAGCCTTGATGGAAGAATGATGCCCGCTAGTACCGCAACAGGTATTTTCATTAGTGGCAATAGTCGTCGTGAAAATTTCTCTGCGGAAAGGTTACATGTACAGAAACCAAGAGAACTCATACAGACCATACTCTTCGCATCAAATTGAATAACCTGTTTGACTACGTGGTTAAGCAAGACAATGCGCGAAAGATGCTGTCGTTTTGACCAGATCAACATTAGGACAGCCCAACACTAATAAAATAAAATAACATAACGACGATAAGGGCAGATGTTTGCCGACAAGTGGTAGAAATTCAGGAACTTTGAGATAAGGCTTAGCTAACAGGATGTCATTTTCAACGCTTGACGGGCTATATTGACGAGCGACGGACAGCTTTAGTGTCATACATCAGAACTTACGGTGTGTCCCTGAAATTATCGATATCAAGACGTTGTTTACATAGATACCTCGTCACCATTGTCCAACGTTGCTTTCAACCTAGCCTTGAGCCTTGTTCGAGGGTGCCTAATCTCCGCCCAACCTGTCTGCGCGAAGAACAATTAACAGTAGTCTGCAATGGCCCTGCTAAGATGTAAAAAATCAAAATTGTATGTAGTCAAGGTTTATCAATGGGGCTATGGCATTGGGATATGGCAGCAGGAGGCAACCTTTGTCTAGTCTGTAAGGTTGGATACGCCGTTCAACGAAACACTCCGCATTAGTTACAGCTCACGTAACCCAGGATGCTGGTAAGGAGTACATTTATTTGCTGTAATGGCGAGCAATGGAATTTTATCCTGACGGTAAATTCCTTCCAGTGGTCTGCGTAATTTGTAGAAACTTCAAGGCTCGAACGGCGGCAAGAGCGTTATCAATGTGTAGGCAAACAAACCACGACAGTTTCTATTTCCCTTAGTAAAATAAGAACATTTTCATTCTCAAATAATTATTTTAAAATTTAAAAGACAGCCAGACGGTGTAGATCACTTTGTAACATCTCAACTGAAAAGAAGACGTTTTGAAGGAAATGAATAGATTGAAAGTAACATCGGTTGAGGTCATTGCAAAAACAGGACAATGTGATAATCAAACAGGGCTTGGAGATCCCAAGTGGTTTTGCTATTTTAGCACCCGCTTGGATCTGGGTTACACGAACCGAACATTGACTCTTTTCCATTTTTCTCAAAATTCTATTCCTTGATGAATCTCCTGTCCCTTTGATGTTGTTGTGTGTATTGGCGTTGCTTTCCTTCTTTTCCTCGTTTGCCGCTGCTGACAGCATGGTAAATCTGGCAACTGTCGACTGTACCTGGCCTTGCTCTTCGAAAGAGCAGGTATGTCAAGTTACTTCTACATCCATACAGTGCGCTCCCCCTAGTAATTCACAGTAAGTTCTCGCTTCACTCACTCCCTTTCTCACTTTCTTGTCCTCGTTTATTGATCATTTTACGACACTTAGATGGGTCATGCTCTCTGAAAGCACATCGCCAGTCTTTACGGGGGATACAGCAACACTTAACCAACCTTGCATATTTGCGCCACAGCCAAAATTGAATACCTTTACGTCCAATACAACCTATAGTAAAACTAGCAACACAACCAATATCATTTGGCAAGTACCCGATGGTATCCATCCTTTCGACGCGTTCCTTTCCAACTGTGACTCTAGCACCTACTGCTCTATGGACACTTCACAATGTGTAAATCGCATTGCCCGAGGAGGGAATTGCGAATCGACCAATCAATGTGCTGACTCTGTCCAATGTGTCTCTTACCGTTGCAATGGTGGTGAATCGACATGGCCATCTCAAGGAATTCCCACTTCTCATATCCTTGCTGGAACGCTAAGTGCAGTCTTCGCTGTTATAGCTGCCCTTATTGCCCTCATTATACTCCGGCGACGACAAAAACTTCATCAAAAGGCTGCCAGCTCGCAGAAGGGAATCGTACAAGACACCTTGGCTAGCTTTGAGCAATGCTTCGAATCAGACTCTCAACACACTACACCATCTATGCAGCAACGAAATCTTCAGATGCGCCTTCAACAAGAACACTCTGTAGGAGACAAAGGAGATATGTCATCCTCACCTCCACCTTATTCTCCTTAACAGCCCATGAAACACCACTGCAATTATATTTTGGACCTTTAATCAATCTTTTGTTTTTTTTTTTACCCCATCTTTTCTCCCAAATCAACATACACATTACCTCCCCTCCCCCCCCCCGACCTAGTCGTTGTAATATTCCCACACATCACTGTAAATAGTTATTGCAATTGCAGCGTTTCAGAATGAAGATCAAAGGCAGGACCACCTGAAAACTGAAGTGAGAATAATAATAAAAATAAAAAAACATGGCACAGAAACTACGATTTTTTCTAATGTGAGGCAGACCGATAATTAAGCATTGGCGAGTGAGGGCTCGGGTGCAGTAATTTTTTCTACTGCAAAAAAAAGATTATTTATGGGAAGCTTTCTGGCGTTTTGAAAACCATCTTGCCCTTCTTCTGAATTGTGTACAATGCGACTCATAATTCGACAAGATTACGACGAAGTGTCCTCTTATGTTGGTGTGTATTTCCCAGAGACATGTCCCAATTTATTGGTATTGCTCTCCTAACTTTTGACCTTTCTCTTTTTCCGCTGAACTGCCCTGGGGGTGAAAAAGCTCACTATATCCGCGAGCGGATCTTGCAGTTTGCTCCTACAAGGGACAGACCATTTGTTCTCGGACTCCCTACAGGCTCTTCTCCAATAGGCGTGTACCGAAAATTAGTAGAGTTCCATGAGGCAGGCGAAGTATCCTTCAAGCATGTGGTTACTTTCAACATGGATGAATATGTGGGCCTTCCGCGGTAAGCTACGCACAGAAATAACCTCAGGTGCTCTCCGCGGAACGTCTCCAAATTTAGTGTACTCATATTTTTCTGTTGTTTTAGTGATCACCCAGAGTCGTATCACACCTTTATGTCCACACAACTCTTTGACCACATTGATATACCTAAAGAAAATATTCATATGTTGGATGGAAATGCCCTAGATTTGGATGCCGAGTGCCGACGATACGAAGCCACCATTGCAAAATTTGGCGGAATTGAATTATTTCTCGGTGGCATTGGCCCAGACGGCCACATTGCCTTCAACGAACCAGCATCTTCTTTGACTTCAAGAACTCGAGTGAAAACCCTTGCTTATGAAACCATCATTGCCAATGCTCGATTTTTTGATGGCGATATTAGCAAGGTCCCAAAACTGGCGTTGACGGTTGGAGTAGCGTAAGTCCTAGGAATCTTTTTTGCACCATGCAATTTCCACCAAACTGTGCCACTAAACCCACACCTTTTCTCTAACCTATCAGGACTATTATGGATGCTCGCGAAGTCTGCATTATCATAACCGGTGCTCATAAAAGGTAGAGACATCGATTGGGATGGAAGGAAAATGCCTTATTCGTGAACATTTACCTAATTTGTCCCCTCCCCCACTTGTTTCACCCACAATAGTATTGCTCTCGCGAAATGCATTGAAGCAGGAGTCAATCATTTGTGGACGGTCTCAGCTATTCAGATGCACCCAAAAGGTCTTATTGTCTGTGACGAGGATTCAACATTGGAACTACGAGTAAAGGTGAGTTTTGACAAAAGTTTGTGTCACCGCGTGAGGTCACCAGTCATGCCTAACCATCGGGGAAGACGGTCAAATACTTCAAGTCCATCGAACATGTTCACCAGGCTTTGATCGGGAAGGAAAATTTGGGTTTACAGGGTGAAGTCTTATCAGAACAATCGAAAAGACGCAGACGAAGGTCTCATATCAGCGACGAAGGCTGGTCCGAAGGAGCTTGCACTACCGAGACTTACGATGAAGAAGGCTATCATAGTAGTAGCCCACCAAAACGTAGCCGTCAAAGAGAATGATGCCATGTCACTTTTTCGAACTTTTAGCGCAGGATACGCTTGATTCATCTGTTTATAATGTATTTTTTTTTTTTCGTTGTTATTTTGTCCTTTTCGTTGAGCCTTCGTATTTTATGGTAGTTGTATCTTGTGTGATTCAACTTCGCTATAGTATTTTAGCAGACCAGACTTTGCATGGTTGTTATAAGACCTGTAGAGGGAGAACTCCACGAGCTGTTTGTGCTACAATTTTCTTTTTAAACTTTTCTTTTACACGTCTAAAACCGTCAGAGTACCCCCATACATCTGTTACGACTTGATCCAGTGAATCTACGTGTGTTTGCTTTGTGGAGGTGGGAGTGGGTTGTATACTCGCTCAACCATCATTGAACATATCTATTTCTACAACATATACTAGCTGGAGACCAAATGATTTGCTCGAATGGCAATTTACCTTTTTTTGTCTCATTTTTTCTGCTGGTTTTCAATAATTGAAGGATCCCTTGCTTGAAAACAAAAATTTAACTGTCGCGGTCTGCACTGGAAAATTATCAGCTTCCTTCTTTATGCCTGACCTACAGCCTAGACAAAGAAAAAAAGCTGCTGCTAAAAAGCAACAGAACCAGCCGCCTGCTGAGCCAAAAACTCGAGCTGCCAAGGCTGCCGCTGCCGCTGCAGCTTCTTCTCCGAGGTGAATTGAACTGAATTTATACTATTGCCATGCTATTATGCAAACGCTAAAGCCTGCAATCGTCTTTTTTACCTAGTGCGAATTTGGCACAGGCACGTCAATTGGTGGAATCTCAAGCTTGGGCACCTTCATTTAAGAATGCTTTTCGGCTAATCTTTGCTGTACGATGTGCGGCCGCCTTGTACAGCATTCTAAGTGACTGCGATGAAGTCTTCAATTATTGGGAGCCTACTCACTGGCTGCAATATGGATTTGGGCTGCAGACATGGGAGTATTCTCCAGAATTTGCCATCCGTAGTTGGAGTTACGTCAGTTTCCACGCTATCCTTGGCTGGATTGGTAGCTGGTTTGCGAAGAGCAAGGTGAGCGACCCTGCGTATTGTCAAAGAAGGACTTTGTTTCGTCGACCTAATTGTTTACGCTATAGATTCAAGTATTTTATTTCATGAGAATTATGCTGGGTGCCATGTCAGCGTTTGCTGAAGCGAGATTCTACCGTACCGTGGTTGAGGAAATCAATGCCCACGTTGGTCGGTACTTACTTGTTGCCCTTATTGGAAGTGCTGGCATGTTCCATGCCTCTGTATGTAAGTGTCTAATTCAAACTGAACAGCGAGCTCAAAGTGTTATCTGTTGGTTGACCTTGTTATATCTAGCTTATTTGCCGTCCTCCTTTTCGATGGTTACCACCATGCTCGCATTTTCGTTCGTGTTGCAGCCCCCAACCTTCTTTACTCGAAACCGTACCTATGGAGCCACTTTTTTCTTTGGTCTCGGCGGATTGTTCGGATGGCCATTCTGTGCTATTCTCGGTGTTCCATTTGTAATTGAGGAGTTGCTTGTTTATGGAAGGGAAGTTATGGTCGATGAGAATGACAAGGTCGTGCAAATGGCTCGTTCACCTTATTGGAGGTTAAACAGAGCTTATCGTCTTGCTCAGGCAGTCGGGCTTTCCTTCTTTGCCATCGCGGTACGTAGTATTTCTTGTCAGTGGTTTTTTGTGAACGCAAGTTTTCTGATTAGCAATACGTGCATTAGATCCCTATCCTGGCAATTGACTATTACTTCTATGAAAAACTCGAGTTTGTGCCTCTCAACATTGTTCTTTACAATGTGTTTGGCGGACCCGACCGTGGCCCTAATATATTTGGTACTGAGCCATGGTCGTTCTATATTGTCAATGGCTTTTTGAATTTCAACATCATTTTCTTGTTGGCTCTTGGATCTGGCGTGTGTGTGGTAAGTCATGAATAAGGTGGACTGACCGGTGGAGACGACAACTAATTGAAAAGGACGCAGCTTATCACAATGTATGTGGATCGCAACCGTGTCAGCAACAACGCTACCCCAGGATTTGTGGATGCAGTTTCGCCGTACATACTGTTGGCTCTAAAACTTGTTCCTTTCTACATTTGGCTTGCCATATTTACTTTACAACCACACAAAGAGGAGCGTTTCTTGTTTGTAGCCTATCCTCTCATCTGCTTAAATGCATCCATAGCCTTATTTTTGGTGAGGGGATGGGTTCATCGCGTGACGGGCGTGTTTGGAGCCTCTATTTCCACTAGACTCTACACTGTCAAGTACACCACTGCAGCGTTTCTACTTATTTCCACCCTCCTCTCACTCTCTCGTATTTTGGCTTTGGTCAAGTACTACGGAGCTCCCAAGGAAGTCTATAGTGCACTATGGAATTATCAAGCTGATGCACGCACTCTTGACTTTGACTACTTGAATGAAAAGTACCGCTATGATTCTACTATCGGCGAAAAAACCCTCTGTGTAGGAAAGGAATGGTATCGTTTCCCCAGCAGCTACTTTTTACCCAATGATGTACGACTCGGAATTATCAAGAGCGACTTTGATGGACTTATGCCCAAGCCATTTGCGGAGGATCTAGAAGTTTTCGAGTACGAAGATACCAATTCCGGTAAAATGATTTCACAAAAGCTTCGTCAATTTAAGTTTGCTGGAGCAAGTGTCATCCAGCCAGGATTCAACGACCTCAACAAGGAAGACCCATCTGCCTATGTAAGTGGTTCTGCATTGTGTAAGGTTTGGCGTAAGTGAATGGTAATTGATCCTATTTTATGCAGACCGATATTTTTCAATGCGACTTCCTGGTGGATTCAGATTTCCCTCTGCGATACATTAATGGCAAAGCGCCTTCCAACTATGAACCCCGTTATATCCAGGACACTGACCATTGGAACGTGCTGAAATGTGTACGATTCCTAGATGCTGAGAATTCCGCCAAATTATCTCGAGCGTTCTGGATACCGGGAGTGAAGCGCCTTCAGTGGGGTGAATACTGTTTGTTGGAGAGGAAATAATCAGCATCAGCCAAACACATCCTGTGCATATTGAATAAAACAAGTCACAATAGAATTTTCTTTGGCATGTTCCTTTTTCTTTGATGGTGATGCTTTGTCGGCGTTGACTTCATTTTTGCGTCAGCTGACGCAAATCCTGGGCCTTTGTTATAAAAGCAAAATTTCTGTTAAGTGAAACGCCCCTACACTCTTGAAAACTTACTTTTCTATTACGCCCAAAAATCAAATATGACCTGCCCCTGTATGAAGGATAACCAGTGCACTTGCCAAGTCTCTGAGTGCAAGTGTGGAAAGGAATGTGTCTGCCAATGCAGCCAGAAGGATCAAGCCTCTACCCACAGCTCTAACTGTGCATGCAAAAGTACGTGATATTGAAGTTTGCTGTCAGATATTGTGTCCTATGACTAACTTGTTCTCATCGCTGTAGAGTCTGGCGCTGACTGTGGCTGTGGTAGTTCTTGCAAGTGTTAACTGGCATGTTTGACGCGTGGCTGCCAAGCCCATCAACACTGTCAAAAAGGAATATCAAATCAAACAAAAAACAAAGCAAAAAAAGGGACCAAGGTGTGAAATATGGAGGTTTAAGAAGTACTCAAAATCTTGTAAAAACTGTAAAAAAAAAAAAAAAATAGTCTTGTAGTTTAGGATAAGGTGAATAGGATAGGTAATTGATAGTGTTAGGTATACTGGAAGCAAGTAGTGCATGAAGTAAAATAAAATGCTATTTTGTAACAAAGCATGGTTGATGTTGAATTTTTTTTTTCTCTGGAAAACCCCAAATTGCCCGTAGCAGATGAGAAATTGGGTATCCCAAGCCAAAGCAGTATTGCCTCACAATGCGGTTCTTGTGACTCAAGACACCGGAAAGCGATGGCCATTTCATGAACGGCGAGTGATAGCGGATGTCTACTCTGATAAACATTCTCTTTTATTGACTGGATATTCAACTGATCCTGCCCCTTACAAGGATAAAAGGGTCATTTGAACCATTTCAGCTCCACTGGTAAAATCGAAGGCGCGTGCAACGGCAACAACTGGCTCTCAGCTGGAGGTAGCCACTCACATTCATAATTGAAGACAACTTTTATTTTGGCATAAATATTTGCAAAAGAAAGGTAACCTTCCTCATCCAACTAAAGTTTAATAGCAAGTTAACATTGACCATGTTGTAACCAGCTCTACTGTTATCCTGTTGCTGCATGGCCTATATATGCACGGTATCGACTGTAAATTACTTATTGCAGACATAAAAATAGTCTCCTTTCAGCATACTGGCACTATTGTGGAACTTCTGCACGAGCCTATTGCCTCCCACAATGATGGGCCTGTCAAACACATCATAAAGCGGAGTTGCGGACAAAATATAGGCATGGGCGAGTGACTTAAGGACGATATAGGAATGAGGCGGTTCGTATGCGAACAGACACATGTTCAGAGGATATTGGTCGGCAACTGTCAAAGAAGCTCTTCTGAGAAGAGAATAGAGGCTGCTCTGGAAGATTCCAATAAAGAAAAATATCAAGTGTGGAGGAGAAGCGAACAACAGGTGGGTCTCGACCAAAAAAAAAGTTTCGCGTGTGCTTCAAATTTGATAGCTTGTGTCTGTTCTTTTATTTTTCTTGCTCAATACATTTCATCTATACCAACACCCATTTACCAACGTCCAAAATGAACTTTATGAGCTTTAGGTATGCAACCGTTCGAAACCTCAATCTTTGCGAACAACCTCTTCTCCATCTTGAAAAAGAAGCTATGATGCTTCCATTTTACAATCCCCTCTAAGACAAATCAAGCTAAATCCCATCTACATTATAGCTTAGGTGGCAAGAAGAAGGCCCCAAAAAGCAAACCAACGACTAGCGGTCCAAACAACAAGCCATTGTTCCTATGCAACCCGTTTGTTAGTAATATGCTAGTGAAAGGAAGCTTCAAGACGATCGTAGAACTACCAAAATATGTCGACGCTAATGAATGGCTAGCCTTCAACAGTAAGCAAACACACCAACTCAGCCATGGTTGTTCAGCGTGTATTAACGTCATTTGATTCTTTTTGCAGCGTTTGAATTTTTCACCTATATCAACCTCTTTTATGGATCTATTGCAGACTTTTGTACAATACAGTCATGTCCCAGCATGTCAGGAGGCCCAGGGTAAGTGTGGGATGAGTTTCAATTCAGAGCTGGCTGTAGTTCAACTGAAGCTTTTTGCCTGTTAGCATTGAATATACGTGGACAGACGCACAATCAAAGAAAATGAAGTTGCCAGCGTCACAATATGTCGATTTTATGGCAACAAGTATACAAAATACTCTTAATGACGAGACATTATTCCCCACCAAAGCCGGTAAGGGTTTTTCGGTTAGAGTTTCAGCTTTTTCAGGACAAAAAGCCCATATTAATTGCATTCCCATTGGGGTAATTACAGGCCGTGATTTTCCACGAGAACTGCCCATAGTTGTGCGAAAGATCTATTCACAGCTCTTCCGAGTATTCGCACATATCTACTACCATCATTATGAGAAGGTCTTGTCACTGCATGAGGAAGGACACTTCAATTCACTGTTCGCGCATTTCATTTCCTTCGCAAAAGAATTTGATCTATTGGATAAGAAGGAAACTGCACCATTGCAAGAGCTCATTGATGTTATGGAAAGGAATGGCGTTATAGCTGCTTAGGTTTAGACCTCCAAATCACGAAATACAGGCACAACTACATACACTTTTTTATTCACCCATATAAAATCAAAAACCTCCCAACCAACTACCCAGCCTGATTCGATCAAACCGATCTAAAATATCAAAAACACCGTGTATGTTGTTTCTACGTTAACTGTGGCTTCACCGCGATACAAATTACATCGATGAAGAGTATGCAACATTTGTGAATATGACCCAGTTTTGCTATAAAGTTTTGCGGGATAATGCCATTCAATAACAGCCTATGACAAATCTACCACTAACGAAAAGCAGAGGTTGGGATTCACCTTTGGTTATTTGCTTTTTGCCTCATCTTCAACGCATGGAAAATAAATAGGGCGTAATGTTCACGTAAGACATGTAAAAACTCTTGGCCGCTTGATCGTGGGTACTGGCTTCCGGCCTTTAACACCTTAGAAATTCATTGACTGGTAACTTATGTCAAATACACATCACTTCAAGCGACAGCTTTCTCTATTATATTATTCTTCAATGTTCATCTTGTTGTTTTCCCTGCGTCGTTATGACATTTTGTTTTCATTTTTTAAGACTTTTGAGTTTTTGCAACAAAGCACTGCCTCCCCAGAAAAGGAAATCGCTGCTCCTACTTTGCCGTTCGTTCTTTTTTTTTTTTTTATTCTCAACTTTCTTGCTTGAAACTCTCAGCTCTTCCAGATCACATTCCTCACTTCCATAATGTTTCGCCAAATTGGAACCCCCAGTGAGCGCGATCTTGAAGACATTATGGGTGAAGAATACATTAAGGAATGGGATCTAGATAAAGTGACTCTATGGCTAGAAGAGCATGGTTGGGGTCACATTGCTCCAAGGTTCAGAGGTAAACTCCGAGTGTAGTGCACATACCACCTTTTTCGTTTGTACTCCACTAAGCTCCTATGTTCGATACCCTGCAGACGCCAATATATACGGAAAGAAGTTTTTTCAAATCACTTTAAGCGATCTCGTAGAAACTCTACCACGTCCGATTACAACCTATGCCGATAGACGTCGTTTACTGAATGAGATTAGAGCTATCGGAAGACCTGCCGATATTGGACCAAAGCAGCGAATACGAGATCCTGTGAGTCATTGTTTCTCTATTTTGTATTGCAACCATTGTGTTAGACTAAACAGTTTCCAATATGTTGATCAGAATATTCACATTGATACCAATTTGCCGTTGATGATATCACCTGCAACTAATAGTTCGAGCTCCGGAAGCCCAAGTCCTGTGAGAGCACATACTCCATTATCTGCTCACCTTTCTGATACGTCTCCCATCACCCCATCTTCTCTATCTCGTACTTTAAATCAAGCGCACCTTGATTCTCACTATGAAGACCATGTTTCATCGCCAGAATCACCTGTATCCAAGTCATCGAAATTCCGTGGCTCTCCATCCAGTCACAGCGGCTGGTCTATGTTTTCCAAATTCAAAAGCTCTCATCAGCCTTCGCCAAAAAACGAAGCCCCTGTCGCTTCAGCACCTCATCCTGTCACGTCTTCTCCAACTCTCACGGACACAGAGGTGGAAGATTATGCGAAAATAGCACCATTCATTCCTTCACGAACCTCCTCCACACCTGATAAGATCTCCAAGATTCTAGGCTCGTCAGCGACCTCGTTCATGGGTTATAATGTTCCCCCTAAATTAGTAGGGAAAACCATTGCTGGTACGCAAAGGAATATGCCAAAGTCGACATCTTACCAGGCTCCATATACCCGGTTACCTAAGCGACATGCACATACGGTAAGAACTCCACGGCGCTGAATTAAAAAGTTGGAATAGACAAATGCTCATAAGAGTTTTCGTCTCAATCTAGCCTAGCAGCCCTGAACAACGAATTCAAGTTACAGATGATGGTGAGGTTTGGTATAGTCTGATTGTGACTGGGCTCAACGATGCGGCTACGATCAAGGAAAGCATCTTGAAGAAAATGGGGCTGAAAAACGATCCAGATCGATACCACTATTTTCACGAGAATGGACTGGAACCAGGTTAGTCTATACTTGGAAAGCGTCAGCAACAACAAGCCGGACAAACACGGTCATACTCATCCCATTCAAATCACCAATAGATGTCCCACTACAATCCCAAAGTCTAGTCCAGTTATGTCGAATGGCAGATTATTCGGCAGCAGATCGCATATTAGTGCAGCCTATAAAACAGTCAACATTTGCATATTTTCAAGAGCAAGTATGGAACAACTTTGCTTCACATGGAACTGATCCAAAACATTCAATCATATCCAACCCTCAGTTGCAAGAAGAGGCTGCTGCTAACCCATCACGGACAGGATACGACAATCCTCATAAATTTACCACTCCAGACGTTGGAGTTTCACCATCTTCAAGGCGCAATCTCAAGATTAAAGATCATGCAGCCTCCCCTACATATCCTCGGTAAGAGCCTAGCGCTATATGTTCTAATTGACCTGCGGTAAATCGACCTTAATTAACATATCATGCTTATAGGAACTATCTGTATTCGACCCCATCATCACACCAGAATTCGCCAGATTTGACATACGACACTAGTCGAAGTCAACAGTTGCGTGCATCTGAAAATATGGCAGCAAATGGACATCCTTATGTCAATCAAACTGGTTTTGAGCACAAGGGCGTACAATTGTCAGATCCACCTACTCCTCAGTTTTACGTAGATCCTCTGGAGGACAACCATCATGACCCCATATCTGGTTATTTTCACGATGGAGGTGATGACAGATTTGACCATCATTTCGATAACAGCCATAGTATCCCTACTGGTATTTACCAAAGTGATGACAATGGTGGATTTTCAGGGGGTGAAAATGATCCAACATCCCCCGTAGCAACAACCACTGCACAACGGCCTGCACCGTGTTCCGTCAGCTTCTGGGCTGTCCAGCCACCGTCCATGAAACATAGCACTTCAGATTCCGGCGTTAAAGCTTCTTTTGACCATCTTTCTTTTAGTGAACAGTCGCAAACACCTCCCATACCGAAAATCATCACTCAAGATCTATCCGATTCACAAAATACAGATTCGGCTGGAGGAACACCCCCTCAAACACCTACCGCTGACACTGGCTTCTTACGACCAGCCAGCCAACCCTCTGCTGACAAGTTCTGGGGTGAAAGACCACCGGTAGAGCTGATGCAAAAGTATTTGGATAGATACTTTTCGGGCCATGATTTGGACAAGGAGATCATTGTCGAGACTCCACCTGTCGTTGAACCACCAGGTCAACCTAACGTGGTTCCTAATATGAACCGACAGCCTCTTCGACATAAGAAGTCCATTCGTGTGGTTGCCAAAGAAGCAAGTCGGCGATGGAGTAATAACAACAACGCGCCTGTTGGTCCCATGCTGCGAAGAAAAAGCACCAAGATGTGGGGACAAAGAGTTGTTGAAGTGAAGCCTGGACAGAATGCTTCTGAAACACCTACTGTAGACAGAGCCATGGGATACTTTGCAAAATCGGAGGCACCAGGTAATCAATCAAATTTGAAAAAAAAAAAAAAAAGGAAAAAAATTTCGATGATCTACCAACCAAACAATTTTAAGAGATTCCCCATGTTTAACCCTTCTTTTTTTGATTTTTCCCTAGTTTGTACCAAAATTCAATGGATCAGGGGTGCATTAATTGGCAAAGGATCGTTTGGCCGAGTGTATCACGCCTTTAACGTTGCCGCCGGCGACTTCATTGCCGTCAAACAAGTGGAAATCCCACATACCAGCGGCGATCGTCTCAACCAACAGCAACAAGATGCTGTCGATTCACTGTATCAGGAAATCACGTTGCTCAAGGATCTCGACCACGACCATATTGTTGAATATCTCGGCTATGATAAAGACGACTCAGAAGGTGTCATTAACATCTTTTTGGAGTATGTCTCTGGTGGTAGTATATCAAGTCGACTGGCACGGCATGGTGCCATTGAAGAGCCAGTAGTCAGACATTTTACCAGACAAATTTTACTTGGCCTTGAATATCTTCATGATAGAAGTATTTTACATAGGGTGAGTAGTTACATTGCATGGGCATCGCAGTGACTTGGGTGATACTAAATATTCATGGGTATAATACAGGATATCAAAGGTGCCAACATCCTTGTGGAAGAAAACGGTATTTGTAAAATATCGGATTTTGGTTTATCGAAGAAGAATGATTATGAAGATCCCTATGATCAGAACTCACACATGTCGCTACGAGGTATGGATTCATGGACAAGCAGGACGCTCAGCTTTTATAGCCTATTGTTATTAACTAACATTGTTATCGCTTTTCTTCATGATTATAGGGTCAATATACTGGTAATTGTCGTGAAGCAAGCATAGCCAACGCCAACTGTAATTTGTCTAATATCTGTTTGTTTTTAAACCACTTAGGATGGCGCCTGAAATGGTCAAGAGCGAGAAGTACAGCGCAAAAGTGGACATTTGGTAACGTATCCTTCGACGTATATCCCCCACAATACCTTTTATTCATCTTTTTCAATCGGACAGGAGTACTGGTTGTACCGTCATTGAAATGTTCACTGGCCAACGACCCTGGCTGGAGCTTAATCAGTTGGCGGCTCTCTATAACTTAGGTCATTACAAGACGCCGCCTCTTCCTGAAAACATATCCGACGTTGCTCGGAACTTCTTGGAACTATGCTTTACCATGTACGTAGTCGTTCATATATACCTGGACAATATTATGGTTGGTGCGCTAACTTTTGTGCTTCTCTAGCGATCCAGAAAAACGACCCACTGCATCGGAATTGTTGTCCCATCCCTTCTGTAAATCAGACGTTAACTTTGAATTCACGGTACGTATTACTGCTTGTGGTCTTGATTCAACCTACACATCTTTAATGACGTTACTTGCTGCCTTAGGACTACGTCTCGTCTGGCAAGATTTAATATCAATTGCAGTGGTCCCGTTTCTTAACTCATACGTAATTCTAACCATTAACTTAAACCCCCCGTCTTTGTCTTGTTACATATACATCTCCTTTACCTCCATTGCGCTACTGGGGAGCGCTTAGTACATAGAAATCACTTGTAATTAAACATTTCCCTTAAAACTTGCTTTGCAATAATACATTTGTTCTTCTAATGCCATAGATTTATTTTGAAGGATCGTACTCTATAATAACAACGAACATGACTTAGCCCAATGGATCAAATAGATCAAGATCCGAAGACTTTTTGTGGTTGCCCGATGTCTTGTTGACATTCGCTCTGACTGAACTCGACATAGGTGCCAATGGCTGCAGCATACCCGACGACATCGGTTGGTGTTGTGCAGGCATTATTGAGGGTGTGGAGTTAAGAGAAAGGCTTTGCATGGCAGCATAGTTGGGTGTAGTGGATGGCGCTTTGCTAGAAAAGCCTTGTGCAAGGTTATTGCTTCTGGGTGGTTGGAGAGCAGGAATGGACGTGTTTGCATTCCAGTTGATGGCAGGCTTAGATGCCTGGTTACTTGACATAATAGGAGGTGACGTTTGGCCAGCAAAGTTTGGAGACATTGAAGAAGACTGTCCGAAGCTTGACGTCTGCTGTCCATAGCTTGTGGTTGGTTGCTGTCCATAACCTGTGGGCTGAGATCCGAAACTTGAGTTATGGGACCCAAAGCTGGAGGTTGTACCTCCAGTACCCATTGGTCTCATTGGAGCCTGCATAGGGCTCATGGTGGCAAACGATGGGCTCGCTGATTGTGGTTGCTGATAAGCTGAATATGTTGAAGGATTGGTACTGGTACTGTATAACGAGGCTTGGGTGGGTATGGATTGATTCATGGGCTGTGGTGAGTAATTGAGGGGGCTAGGCGAAGGTACCGACGGCTGTTGATAGAAGGTAGGGGTGGTAGGTATGCTACTGGTCATATCACCAAATATGTCGGAGGCAGCAGCATGTTGTTCAAGCGGGTTGCCATTACCCATTTTTCCGTTCACCAAGCTTTCAAAATCGACTCCACCGCCATTCGTAGTTGCATGACTCCCGCCTGTCACAATAGCCGACTGTTCAGATGTGATCCTCTTCGTTTGCTCCTCCAATGACTTGACCTCACGCAAATGTTTCGTATGAGCTTCCTCTACTCGGTTAGTCAATTCTCGGATTGTTTTCATAAATTTTTGAAACTGTAGCAATTAGGTCAGTAATTTTCAAGTGCAATTCAGCAAAAGTGTTGACGATGTATTGTTACCTGCTCGAGAGTCAATAACGGTCCAAAGCTCATTCGCCAGAGCTGTGGTAAGATCTCCGTTGCAATAATTTCCTTGTCCAGATGTTTTCCCATTTCATCATAGACTGCCAGAGTAACCAGCTAATAAGATGAAGTTAGTATAAACGCAGCAAGAGAGTCAGACAATTATGTGTACTACAAATATTTACCATGACAGCAGGCTCTTTTGTCTTGATCCCCTTCAACAATGGGACTAGCTTTTCTTGCATAGTAAACTGCAAGAAAAAGGGTTCGCAAACGCGCCGTTAGTGCCAACTGCTGGCTACTCTATTGACGGAACTTGAGCAAAAGTACTACTCACCTTGTCGATGACTTTGATCATAGCATGGAAGCAGATAAGCGTACTAACTTTCACAGAAAGTACCGTGGTAGTCACAAACAATGACTGGGTAATGGTTTAATATCCAGGGTATCACGATGAAACATATTCAATGGAGGACTTACCTGTACACGTGGAAACAATGAGTTTTTGACAGTAGTATAATCCAGCGACTCTGCTAGTACAGGCACCATTCTCAGGGCTTTCTCTTGCACTACTGGGACTGGATTTTCAAGTGCACCATATATCAAGGGCATAACATCTAAACCAATAGCAATTAGCGACAGTTTTACCAAAGGGAATAATATCCATGCAGCAAATACTGACCATCGCGGAAAATCTCTCTTGGTGTTTTCTTTTGGAAGATATCCAACTTTTCCAGTAGGACAATCATATTTTGTGGTGGATCACGAAGTGTGAAGATGGGCTTCAGGGAAGGCAGAACTTTTTCGCAAAACTCTTGCTGGTCCAACTTTTCGGTAATTATAAAGATATTAGGAAGGGTAAATGGTAGCAAGCTGTGGTCTTTGAGTTCTTCCAAAAGAGAAGGGAGAATCTACATAGGTCACGAAAAGATGAGTATGAGCTTTAACAACATTCACACTTCATGGAGGTGAATTTTTTTTTTTACCTTTCTGGTCAAAACACGATCAGGGAATTGACCCAGGACTCGCGACAAGCCTTTCATGAATTGAGATTTCTCTTCCCTGGTCTTTTCAGGGAAACTTTCAAGGTATTTCATGGTGGATACCAAAATATTGTCAAAATACTTGGAACTTTGAAACTCCATCATCGTCATTCGCATAGATGGCTGACGAACAATCAATCGACGTAGTACCTCTGTAATGGAAGCGTTTCCTTTCAGCTAAATGTAAGCGACCCATGCATAATTTTTTTAACCATCTACCGACCTTGAAGATGAGCGGGAACGTTGTCGTAAGTAAAAGATGTGAGACTTTCTATACACCTTTGGTATTTCCGCATATTATTAAATGTCCCAAACAATGATTTTCCTTTGTTATGCACCGTGTAAGCAAGGCATCCAAGTGAAAATGCATCGTTGGTCACCGCTATATCGTTATCCAACACGAATTCAGGTGCTAAGGAATGAGATTGCCAATATGAGAACTACTGCCAATTGCATACAGTCTAGTGGGTAAAGTTATTTACCAGCATAGTCGAGATTCATCTGACAGGAATCTGGCATGTACTCGCTATAGTCGTCAAAGGATTCGGCAGATCGATCGGGGTTGTTCAAGAATACGCTGAATCCAAGCCTATCATGAAGGATTGCTTAATATGCGAATTAAGAACTAACCTCACTCTAATCAAATTTTTCCTCACCCTCCAATTTTCCAGTCACCCTGTTGCAAGGTCAATGGTGAGTTTGTCTGCAATCAAGTTCTTGATCTACAGTGTGGATGGTTACACATACCTTGGCGTTAACGAAGATGGCTTCAGGTACCAGATTTCGATGAACTACTTTTGCGTCGTGATTCAAAAACTGCAATCCCTTTCCAACTTGAAGAAGACCTTTTTGAATCTGTCGAGTAGAAATGAATTGATCAGCCTTTGCAGAAAAAAATCACCAATGAACCAATTGTCCACTCTACGAACTTCCAACTCATCCAGTTCGAATCCAGATATCTCTTGGGGAACTGGTCCATCAAAGCCATCTATATTTCCCATTAAATTGTGAAGTGACGCGAGAAGAGGTTCTGTTGCGAACGCAATCGACGAGCGTGATTCTGTGACGGGTTCAACGACTTCCAAAATGGCTGGATGTCGCAAGCGAGTCAAATTACTCGCCTAGAAGAAATGACTTATAGTAAGTACCATGTTCTTGTAGATTTTTTTTCAACCATCTCCAACGACACATACCTCCTTCTTCAACATTTCGTACACTCGATCGGTGTCGGCTTTGGAGGCGCCCCTTTCTCTTCTGGATCCAGCTTCCAACGACCGCTTTTCAAAAATCTGCAATAAAGTCACATTACAAGTCAAGGTATACCGCATGATGCCATAATTTTTACATCTACACTATGGAATGGAGCACGTCGTTGACGCTGCACGGCAAAAGGATACGAAAATAGCGACTTGCTGACCGGTTGTTTTGCGATTGGCAGAATAAATCTTCCACAAACCGGCGGATGCGATTTGGCTTTTCACATCATACCTCGATGTAATGTTATTTGTTATAGAGCTGATAAATGAGTAGAGTGCTGAACTCATTTGTAGCGGTTAGTGGAAGGCGAGATGGAGGGAAGAAATACCCAAAGCGGGAGATTTTTCTGGGCATGAAAAGTTCAGTGCCGAGCCTTAAAAAAATAAAAAAGTCATTGTGCTCGCGCGCTTGTTCCTCAGCTTACTCAGTTTTGATCATGAACTATGAGCGATTTTGATATTACTACATTTCGTTCCAAGTCCAAGAAAACCGGAAAGAAAACTCGTCGACTAGATCCTTCATCCGTCACCACCTCATTTACCAAATATCTTGAAAAAAGTGCGTCTAATTCTGAGTCTTATGGACGTGTCTGAAGAGAAATCTAACATTTGCATTATTAGGAAAAGAATTAGGATTAGATGACTCAGACGAAGATGCTGAGGAGGTGGATGTAAAAAGGAAATCACAAAAGCTCTCTGAGAATAGCCAGGCCAGCGAGCCGGAAACCACTGAGAATACACAGCCCTCAGGGGAAACTGCGCGTTCAGAGGAAGCGGTGGGATCTACTGTCGTTATGGCAACCGTCAATGCCAGTGTCGAGACGGAAAAAAATACATTGTAAGTTTTTGACAACGGTGCAAAATAAGTGATCGGTCCTGGTCGTTAACCTAAACCTATCAGTATCATTTTGGATTCGGACGACGATGATCAGCCAGCAAAAGCACCTATGCCACCAGTCGCAAAATCACCGGTAGATACCACCCATGACACCTCCATGGTTGAGAAACCAAAAGAGGACGAATCAACGTCGCAGAAAGAGCCAAGTTCACTTTCACTTCTTGATGATTTTGACGACTTAGATCCAGATCTTGCATCGTCCTTGATGGAATGCCCACCCGATCGTTCTTCTCGAGATACATCCATACACCAGTTACCTGCAAACAAGATTGCCCTCAAGTTTCAAATGCAATTATACCCTGTACTTGAGACTCCTCATTCGCCGGCTGTGCAGGCTCTCATCAAGATCTTGAAAGTTTACGTGCTGGATGTAAGTACTTCATCGCATCGATGATCAACACATCAATGGTTCTTTATGGTCATACTGACATGTTCTATAGCGCGATACTCTGGAACAAGCTTTCAACGCCTTTGTCCGCCACAAAAAGTTGGAGGGGAGCAATTTAGTCTTTATCTACAATAATGCCAAAGTTTGGCCAATCGCTACCCCTGTCAGCTTAGGAATGCAAGTTGAGGATGTCAATAATATCGGTACGTACAGACGTTCCAATGGCTGATAACATAGGAAAGCGTAGGTGAATTGATACTTAGTTTGCTCTGTAGATGTATATTTTCACGAGGCGTGGTTGCAAAAGTTAGAGTCGGAAAAGCAGTCCAGGCAGGAACGACTTGCGCAAATGCGACCGGAAGAAGAACTATCGGACGATGAGATAGATATCCATGGTGGATCAACTCAGCCCCCAGAAGAAGACAACGGGCTTTTCCTCAAGATCAGAGGTAAAAATGGTAAAGATACAACCTTGAAAGTGAAGCCGGTAAGTGTGCAGCATATTTGTGTTATTTAGTATGGCCTTCCCAATCTAACCTTGACCCTACACAGACTACAACAATTGGCGCGCTGCTCAAGCATTATCGATCGTTGAATAATTTGGGCGACATACCCATAAAACTCATGTGGGATGACGAAGTTTTAGAAGAGAGCCAGCAAATTCAAGACACCGATCTCGAAGACGAGGATATGATTTCGGCGACTTGGTAGAGTTGATGTATAATAAAACCACCAGGCACACAAACCCAGTGCATTTGTATAGTATATAATTTGACATGTAAAGTAAATAATTAAAGAATATTCTTCAAACTAAAAAAAAAAAAAAAGGAGGGAAGTTGGCGATTGACAGGTTTATCTTCTACACTAATGAAAGGTGAGCGAGTTCAAAACAGGGCTTACTTTGTCTAAAGACTTCCTCGCGGTTTCTTTAAAACACATATGTTATGGTACACTGACATCGTGGGGTAAGAATATACACTTTTGGAATGCGTTGACACTGGAAGCGGAGGAGACTGCGACAAGGTAGAGTGGAATTACGGGGTTCATGACCGGTGTAGCCTAAACATGAAATGCGCGGAAAAGCTGGAGAGGCAAAATTAGAATTTTACAATAATCCGTCTAGTGAATTTCTTCAGCACCCCACAGTCGGCTCCAACCTTATTCAAATCAAATAAAAGAGCGCCAGAAAAGCTGCAAGTGCATACTAAACTTTTTTAATATTTTTTCGATGGTGAAAATCACAGACCAGCAGATAGAGCAGTGGCGTCGCGATGGCTACGTGCTCATCCCCAACTTTTTGTCAAAGGAGGAGGTAGAGGCCGCCCGCCAGGGAGTGTTTGAATGGTTCTCCCCTTCTTGGGATGAGTACGTTGCAGCAGGTCGAAAGGTCAACTGTCCAGAAATCAGGACATTCCCATGGAACAACTCTGGTCTCAACCAGTAAGTGTTTGGTTATCCATATATTCTGAAAAATGGTAGACGATGGCTGATTTGGCTCCATAGGATTGTTCTCAATGATGATCTTATTGATGCCGCAGAACGGATTCTTGGTACTAAGGATATTCATTTGAGGTGAGTGTAGAGAGAGGGCATCAAATGTTGTTTTGTGCATTGAATGCTAACATAACTCTATGACAGTGAAGCTCATCTTGGCATGAAGTATGCTGGTAATCCAAGTAACAACAGTGCTCCTGACGACTTCCATCAAGGTAAAGTGAAGTTGGCTCAAGATGCTCTGCAGGTTGCCTCAACGCTGCTAACGTTTCGACATTTCTTATAGATTGGCGTAACAATACTATTGGTCCTCATCATGCCGAAGACTTCAACAGCCCCGCTTTCTTCTATTGTCTTGATGATGTAACGGAAGGTGAGAGAGGAAACACCAGCTGCTTTTGTTTCGTATTGACCACGGGTATCTAAAGCACTCTTTATCTCTCTTTCAAGGAATGGCTCCAGTACAAATGGTTAAAAACGGGTTGGAACCCAACCCTCAAAATGTAAGTTTGAACCTACAGGCAGCTATCATCTCGCACATTAATCAAAAAGTGCTGAGTTTTTTCCCTTTCTAATTTCAGGCCGAGAAATTTTACTGTTCTGCGGGTTCACTTTGTATCTATTCAACTTGGACTTGGCACGCCTCATCTGAGTTCACTGCGAAGGAAGGTCATCGACCAACAATGTGGCTAGGCTTCAATAAGAATGACCGTATGGTGAGTTGAATTTTTCATTGTAGTTGACTATAAGTATGGTACTGATGGTTCTCTGCAGTGGGAAGGTGGACGGTTTTTCACTATCAAGTCCACGGGAACTCCTGATGGATGGTTGCGTGCGATCGGCGAGGCAACTCCTCGTCAACGAGAGCTTCTTTTCTTCCCTCCTGCAGGAGATGAAAGATGGACAGATGAGATGATTAATGGCATGGAAAAGCGTTATGGTCCATATGGTTTTGACCCTAAGCCTTATCGACAGGCTAAAGCGGAGAAGGTGGCTCAGGCTTAAGAGTGCAGTGCGCTATGCACACTCATGTAGCACGTTCGCTTTTTACGATGTATAATGATGAAATAAAGCTCTATGTATTTTTGTATCCAAACTAAACATTCATAGTGTTGACTTAATGTTTCTGTAAGGAGATATGGGATCCATCGCGGAGAAAGGAGACACGATTTTGAACGAACGGCAAGTCACATGTCTGATCAAAACACACACACAAAAAACGCGTCCAAAGTAATTTCCATCGCGTAACTTGAAATCCCTATTATTTTATTATTTTTCTTTTTTATTACACGTAACACGCTCTCCCAACACCAATTCCAATGAGTGATACGGCAGCAGCGCAAATATACTCTGCCGTCTATTCGGGAGTGCCAGTGTTTGAAATGAACGCTCGCGGCATTGCTGTGATGCGTAGACGAAGCGATAGCTACCTCAATGCCACCCAAATTCTAAAGGTTGCCGGAATCGAAAAGGGCAAACGAACAAAAATCCTAGAACGCGAAGTCCTCATTGGTGAGCATGAGAAGGTACAAGGAGGTTATGGTAAATACCAAGGCACCTGGTACGTAGTTACTACCCATTTCGCTCATTGTATGGACAACTCAACTCATATAAACTGGTTTTTATTTTTAGGATTCCCTTTGAGAAGGGCAAGGAGCTTGCTGAACGCTATGAAGTTGCACAATACTTGATACCGATATTCGAATATGATCCAGCAGAACATCAAGATGAATCAGGAGAAGATATTACCCCTACCAAAGATGAAGCCATGGGTATTCGTAAACCCAATACGTCCAAATCGACTATCACTAAAAAATTAGTGTCCAGCCCACATGGTCACAGTCAAGATACTAGAAATCATGATCATCCCATGTCGTCACCCCACCGCACAACAGGAAACGATACACCTGCACGCGCGTCGTCACCCATGTATCGCTCATATTCAAACATTGAGGAACCTTTGCGAAAACGCCTTAAAGCCATGTCACCATTTGGCAGTCCCAGTCGAACCTACACGTATGATAGCCAGCAAGAAGACGAGCATGATACCCCTGGAGAACGGCATCGAGCTGTCCTAATGTCACTTTTTCTCAATGAAGATCCCGATCATGTTCCTGATCTGTTCTTGGAGCACAACACTCCCAGAGATTTGAATATTGAACTTGTGATAGACGACCAAGGGCATACCGCTTTGCATTGGGCAGCCGCATTGGCTCGACTCAAGACTCTTCGACAGCTTGTAGAACGTGGTGCCGACATACAACGAACCAACTTTGCCGGCGAAACAGCTTTAATGCGATCTGTGCTTGTTACAAATAACTATGGTCAACAATGCTTTTCAGACCTTCTGGATATACTGTTTGATTCTATCAACAGTGTAGATCAGCAAAAGAGAACAGTGTTGCATCACATGGCTCTGACAGCCGGTATCCCTCGACGTGCCACGGCCTGTGCATATTATATGAGCATCTTAATCCAGAAGCTACATGAGAAATTGGCTGAAGACGAAAGATCGAGATTGCTGGAGGCTAGGGATAATAATGGTGATACAGCACTGAACATCGCTGCAAGACTAGGAAATCGCAAAATGATGGTCACGCTGATTAAGGCTGGTGCGGATCGTTATGCTGCCAATAATGTTGGTTTGAAACCTGAAGATTTTGTGAATGATTTGAAAGTGAGTGGTGTTCATCGTACGGAGCTATGCACAAGATGTGAGTGTAAATTAACCTCTTCTGCCACTTTACAGACTGGCGACGGCGATTTGGACATGGAGGTGTTTAACAGTAGCCAAGTTTCTGGAACCGATAGTCTATTCAGCCGAATCGACAGCACCCAACATGACACATTGGACACTTCCCTATCCTTTCCAGCGCCGAGTAAACGCAGTCGAGAAATCGTTTCTGGTAAATATGGACGCTGCTTTCTATATATATTTTGCAGGCGCAATGTCTCACCTGCTAAAAAATCCTTTTCTTCATATCTTCAGCTGTACAAAAGATTGTGAACGACTTAGATGCGGAGTATACCGGAGAGTTGTCACTGAAACAACAAGAAATACGGGAAACTCGTGAGGAACTGAGATTGTTACAAGCTCAATTGGATGAAGCTCAGATGACAACAGCCACTTTGAAGGGACAAGCTTTGAAACTTGAAGAAGCAGAGAAACGAATCAAAATGCTTGAGGCTGCTCTCAATGGCCGAGATGGTGGACTGTTACACTTTGACAGTTATGGAGGTAACATGGTGGAAGACCCGAACTCTGTGTTAAGTGTTCTCAACGAGGAGCAACGCAACGACAGTCAGATGCTCATGACCCACCACCCTGAAACTGAAAAGGAGAATTTAAGCGACAATGGAACCAGCACGCCAGCGAATGGAGCCGTCCGACGAGCACTTCTTCAGTCACCACGCCCTAGTAATCAACTGTTAACGAATGGCAATGTAACGGACACTGTACAACAACAGGAAGCCAAGATACAACAGCTACAACTCAAGATCAGCAGTTGTACCAAGTCGGAACTGGAGATGAAAAAGCAGTTGGAGGATCTGGTGGCAAAAACGAGTGAAAAGGAAATGCAATACAAGAAACTTATCGCTGTATGCTGTGGTATTACGTTGGAACGAGTGGATGATCTTCTACAGCCTTTGATTCAAGCCGTCGAATGCGAACAAATGGCCAACCTCGATATTGGAAAGGTGGAGGATTTTATGGCCACCGTTCAGCATGATGGTGGAGATGGGACAGCCATGTCTATGGACGATACCATGACCATGGCGGATGCAATTGGCCAGCAGTAAGGAATTGGACCCTCGGTTACCCTCCATTTTAATGCGTGCGCTGGCAGCACCCGACCCCCTCCCATTTTCGCACACTCGCCTGTTTAAAAAAGCAACTAGTCCCATCGTTTGGCGCTAATTGGCTATTCTCACATCCCTTCTCGCTCTGTCTGTAAATAATATCTCTCTATATTCCCAATCACATCAATTAAACACGCCTGCCATTCTTTTTTGTTGTTGAAAAAAAAAATCTAATATTTTGGGCTTGTCATACTGAGTTCATATAAAGTAGCATAAGTTTTTTTAAATGGGGTACCATAGGGAAAAGAGAGTAGGTGTTTAGGAATGAAAGAGATTCAAGGTATATAAAAGTAGATAACGATATAAAATATGTATAAAAAAAAAAAGCCGGAGATGTCTATATATTTTGGGGCAATTGGAGAAGATATCATTTGGATTTACTTTTTGCGACTGAATAGATCAAATCGTTCCTTGTTTTTCTTGATGGGACTTTTTGAGCCAGCTCTATTTTCTGTGTCTTCAGAGTCTCTAGGAGGAGAATCTCTGTTCTTTAAGACAAAGTTTCTATCGGTGGTATCGGGGCGATAGTAGTTGAACTCGACGCTGAGCAAAGTTTTGCAAAACTCGTGGATCATCGACTTCAACACCTCATACCGCCGTCGTGAAGAGTTGGACACGGACATCTGTGCATCGGTGTGCGGGTTGGTGTAGAGCAAGTCATGCTGACGTTCAAGGTATTGCAATAAGAAGTTGACGGCGCGGTTACGGCAATTTTCATCATAGTAGGTATTTAAGTCTCCACAGTTGGTGACCATAGCGTCCCATACGTTAGCGGAGGTAAAGCGGTGGAAACTGTGATCCAATAATCCGAAAACAGCTTGTTTGGCTTGGTCAAATAGGCCATCCAGGGCTTTTGCTTCCAAGTCTTGGACCACGTTTCGCTTCACTCGATCATCCAAATTCACTTCAAAATGACTGTTACGTGTCAAGTAAGCTTCATAGATATGCTGGGCTGTGGCGAGTTGTTGAGTTTGCGTTTGGTATACAAAAGACTCATACTGTTCGACTTCGATGAAAAAGAACTGGTAGAAAAAAAAAAAAAGGTTAGTATCACCACCAAAAAAAAGGAAGCCAAACCGAAAATGATTAATTAACTCGGCCGTCATCGAGCACACGCCGCAAAAAGTAAAAAAAGCATTATTCAAAAAATAACTTACCAAGTTTTCTGATGAGAACTCTTCCAAAAGGTGATAAAGGAAATAACACAAAGGCACCTTGCTCTGCAAAAGGGCCTTCAGACCCTCCTTGCGAATTTCACGAACACAAATATCCAGGGGAGGTTGTTCGCCAAAGAAATTGTTCAATTTCCGGTTAGTCTTGGAGGTTTTGACTTTGTACAGAGTATGACCATCCGAATTAGACAATGTGGTAATGTTGGCCAGACTGGAAAGAGAGCAAGAGCGGCTGCGGCCCCCTGAGGCGGGTGCTGCGCTAGATTCTTCGGGGAAGTAGGAGATGGATTCTGACAACAGGTTGGGAGTAAACGGAGGAGCAGAAGGGTTGGTGTAGTACTCAGGAATAGTGTTGTTGGATGTATTGCTACTTCTTCGAGACATAGTGAGTTGCTCTGCAATAGACTGTCGTCGTGATGACGGTGCCTTGTTGATGGATTTAGGGGTTCGTGGAGAAAGGATGGTGGCATCATTGATGTTCACTGAAGACAAGCTGAGACGAGATGGACGTCTCTTGATGGACTTTGGACGATGTGGTTGTTCGACTTCCATTGGAAAAGAAATAAAAGAAAAGCGAAGAAATTTTTAATGGGCCAGCCATTATTTTATATAGTCATGGCGGAGTAGCATCTAATTCTGGCAAGGTCGGTAACAACGTGGTGTACGGAGTGCGAAACCTTTTCATTGTCTTTGAAATTGAAGAGAAACACAGCCAATGACAATGAGGATAGCTAATGTGGCGGGCAAAAATAGGTTTTGTTTTTTTTTTCTCTTTCGAAGGTGAACCCTTCGATAATCTGTCTCATACACGTCAATTGAAGCTGAGAGTATTTCTGGGATGATCTTATCCGTCACCTTGTAGATCCTCTTCATCTGAAACATGATATTTCTGCTAAGATTTTATCAATTGTATGTGTTTGAAAAAGCACCCCACTGAGCAGAACATCGTTTGTCATACGTCAAAATGAACGCCAGGAAGTGGAGCTAACATTACGTGTCAAAATATATGGAACCAATTAAAAGCTGGAATCCTTTTACTTCCGCTCTCAGCGTTTTTATTTTAATTGTGAGTGACGTGATTGTGAAGCAATTCTAATTGCAATAGCGTTAAGGTAGGGGTCAGCCTCTATCACGGCACGTTCTAATTTCCATGCACGTCGTGCAGTACCTTGTTCCGTCCATCCGATGAGTGTATCCTTCTTGAGTTGGGCCTCTCTTAATTGCGAGAGCATGACCTTCCCAGTTTTGGTCTTTCCCATGGCATTGAAGGTTTCCATCTCCAGCAACATATCCTTTGTAATTTTGACATCCTTTGTTCGTCGAATGTTTCGAGGTTGGTCATATACAATTAGTTTGGATACATAGTTTCCGCTCAACCAATGAATGAATGCTGTCGGCGTGACAGCCGATATACCCGCTAACAAAGACGGAATTAGTCACCGAAATGATTATTAAATAATTACGAGTTCAGCTGCAGCCTGCTCACTTACCCAATACTGATGCCGCTACAGGAGCCTGTCCAGTGGATAGCAGTGCAGGGACAGCGCACATTCCGCAAATGGTAAATAATGAAGCTGTGATTTTATACTTTCGGATAGTCTCAGCAAACGGTCCTGGTCAAAAGAAGAAGAATGAGGGAACAATGTGAGCATGAAAGAGGGAAAAAAGATACGCGACGTAGTTTGTATATGTATGCTGGCTGGAATAGATTGTACGTACCTAAATACACCAAGGTCTTATCTTCTGGCTTTGAAGTTGAGGCGATCTTGCTATTGGATGTGAATGGACCAGCAGCTTCTTTTGGCAATGCCGATTGCTGCCTTATGAATGAAGTTGCAAAGCATCGAGAAGGGATTCGTGCCTTACTAATAGCGTTCCTGCAAGTTAAAGCGTACATGGCAATGGTGGTAGAATGCAGTTTGATCCTCCAAAGCTCGAGCTAAAGGAAAAGCGGTCCCTCAACTAAGCCCCCGAAAAATCCCACAGGTGGAACCATCAACACAACACAAGAAACCACACCATAGATGATATCTTTAAGAGCAGAAATCAGCAGTAGATTACGAATTGAATCTACTATAATGGCATGGGCTCCATACTGTATGCTGCTGCTTCAACGAATTATGGCTTGTAGACAGAATTTTTTTTTTGACTATGTAATGGAGGGACGAAGGAAACCGGTAGCCATGTGCCACGGTTGCCACGCTGAAGCCATCCATATAGATACGCTGGCCAACCCTATTTTTTCACTGTTATCAAATCACCCATCATGCTAGTCACTTTTTTGCACTGCTTGCTCCACCGCAACTTTTGAGTTTGGCGTGTGTAGCGTCCGAAAGCGCCAACACTTTCTCCCGCACAAATACGGAAGTACCGCAACGACGGTAGATCAAAAAGCTTCTGTCTGGTTCTTTTTTGTTTTGCACGTCGCATTTTTTATTATTTATAGGATTAAATCGAGTGGGTAAAATAGATAGCATGAAATACGGCAATAACATGCTATTAGAAAGAAATACAACACACACTATATCTTTTAGCGCGCTGCATAAGATATAGATATGGCTCGTGTCCATGTGTATAATAGGAATGGTGGGGATTCTAAAAATGAAAGATGTGGAGTGGGATAGTATAGGGACCCATAGGTCGCTTACTCACGAAGGGGCAGAGGAGTTGCGGACAAGCTAGTCATTAAAGCGAATATAGGAGTATTTTTCCACATGTTTGGTATCGTTTATGTCGTTCATGAATCCAGGTGCATGGCACAGCCAAAGGTGTATCGCTGGGCATAAAAGTGCAAGGAGGCGCGATAGTGGAAGAATATTCCCAAACAAACAAAGATATGCCAGATCGCATGGCTATGAAGACCAGCAAAGTCGAAGCGGCCTGGGTACATCTTTTCCGGGAAGCGGTTTGCATCTAAATGGAAACGGATAAAAGTTCAGTCACGGGGGGTTTTGCTGTACTACACATTGAAGCCCAACAACTTACAGATTGCCACACCGAAGAGATACATAGCTACACTGTACCACACAGGCTTCAAGAATTCCCAGGTGCTGCTAGGGCCATTCAAGAAGGTGATGTGGACCACAGGTACCGCCGAGCTAAAGGCCATTAACAAGAACACGCCAATACGAACAGGTCGAAAAGGTTTGGTGTCCCAAAATGGGAACATGGGCATGACGATTCCAGTGGAACCAACCAATGCCGTAAACATCATGTAGCGAAACTTTGCAACAGGTCGGCAATAATATGAGTAGTACTCGGTCATGAGAACGGACGCAGTGATCAAGATAGATATACCAATATAGTCAAGTGTGGCTGTAAAGCTCTTGATGGCATGTTGGGAGTGGCAGATGAAAGTGTGATAGATGGAGGAGCAGATCAAGCACTTTAAAGCAGCCAAGAAGAAAGTGAGCGTGATAGCCCGATCATTGGTGGTTGCTTCAGGAAACTGTTTCTATAAACGAGATAGGTGGATTTGAATTTAACTAGACATTCTTCCGAGAATTCGTCATGGGAGAGTTTGTCCACTTACGTTGAAAGCGTAGACACCTAATCCAGCAAAGAAGACAAATCCTATAAGATGACTCCAGATATTCATAGTTTCGTTATGAAGAGCAAAAATGGACTTGAGGCAAGCTCTGTTGCTTTGGTAAAACCGATAGCTGAATTTCAATATGAGGGGTTTTGAGTTCGTTAGTCAACATAAAAAAAACACAACAAAAATTTAGGCTCTGCAAATAACGAAGGGGTCCAGCGACTTACCCAGTAAGAATGTATTGGTTCTCTTGCCATTCGTTAGGAAGTTCATCGAAGGATAGAAGGCGTTGTGCTCCTACCACGGCAGCTTTGGCCGTATCCCACTTCTCGTGTACCTGATCATCCACGTATCGAAGGATGCCCGTGCTATCGGCATCTTCAATTTCACGGATTTTTGAATTGACAGAAGCCAGCAATTGCTCGGTAAACGAACCGTCTTCCTGTGATGGTAGAACGGAGGTGGACAGTGACCGTGAGCGACTAGGCTGGTCATGTTTCTCAAGTGACTCAGAGGCGGTGGACTGAGAGTGTCTACGTGTATGTAAACGTGGAGACGGAGGCTTCAGAGTGATTACTTGTGGCTTGCGTGGGCGAGCGGTAGTAATAGTTGTCAACGCTGATGTCGACATTGTGAATGAGAGTCTGTGGAGAGAGAAAGAAAGAAGAATAAAAAAAAATATCGGGTTTGACATAAAACTAAATTGCAGTTGTTTTATTTTTTAGATGCCAGATCAATTTCGGAGCCAAATGCAGCAATCACCAAGATTTTCCCCAGTTTCGTTGTCAACACCAGCCCTTGCCCAGCCGTAGCCTCACTATCCTGAGGCTGCTTACGCAGGCCATTTGCTGCTAAGACGCCGTTATCACAATCTCCTACATACAGTTACCTTGCATAGTGGTCGTCCTAAGTGACGGATCACTCCCTATGTCCCTTGCATTTATCAAAAATCAGCCGGAAAAGAAACCAAGGATAAAGTAAAAAAAAAAAAAAAAAAATCATCTTGGTCATCCCCGTTAACGGATAGATACTTACCAACGTGATGAGCTTGGTTCGAAATGGCAGGCATCCAGAGGGTATCTTTTGTTTGTGTTCTTCGCACCACCCAGCGAATAGTAACGACACAACCACACCCATCTGCTTAACTAGCCCCTAGTCACGTTTATGTGCAAGTAAACCTCTTTGTTAGCACGTGTGGATGGCCATAACCATCAATGTCTTGACATCATTTTTTATTCTCGCACGCACAAAAAATCTTGATCCACAGTCAGAACAGTTGTAAAGTCGATAACTAGACGTATTTTATTGAGAATGGAACGGAACGGCACGCATCGGCCCAAAAATGCCGTATTTTACTACTGAAATAAAAAATTTCGGCCCTGCTACACACCATTGGTCCAGTACGTTTTCATCTGACACCAATGAGTATCTTCTTTTGCTACTGATGTTTCAGCGGGTCGTTCCTAGCACGTGGAGTGGTAAGGGTATGCCGGACCACTTCTTATCATCAGGGCATTTGTTAGAGGTTGTGTAAAAAGTCACGGGAAAAGACCGACGGGCGCGATTCCGTCGGTCAGCATGTTACTTCCTGTGACGAGCCTTGTCAAGTACCGTTGCTTGGCCCATGCATGCTGCCTGAGTCTATTTTACCGTTGGTCCAGCCAGAAAAGTCATTTGATATGCATATGTACGAATGGTCCTCCTTCCTCTATACACTAATACAGTACTGAAGGGTCAGTGTACCTAGCTGATTTGACCAGTGATATTTATCACCGGCAACACTAAGAAAATTAGACCGAAAACTTTGATATTCAAAAATTTTCCTAGCCTAATGATAAAAAAATGAAATCCCACTAAAACCGTTTGAGGATTGGAGTCATCAAAACAAAAGTCTTTCACACAGTCTCTCATTATAACATTTTCTCGCTTATCGGCATAGTACGTTTGTTATGTTTAATTCTATTCTATTGGTTTCTGATGATACATGTATTATAAGCAAGCAACGACAGCCGTTCTAATATATACATTCAATATGATGTTTATTTTTTTGGTAAAACTGTTTTGGTTTTTTTTTGTACGGCTATGACAAGATATTGCGACACCAGGCCGACTAATATCTTGGTAGCAAAATTGGCAGATGTTTTTACACTGAAAAAAAATACATTCTATAGGTGGGGGGGACCTGACCATCTTCTTTTTTTTTACATGCAAGGTCAGAAAGAGAATGAACGGTTTGGGGGTTGGCTACTTTGTTCTTTAAGCCCATTCCCAGGAGATGGAGATACGGCCGTCAGACATGTCACCAATCTTTTTAAAGGCAGAGGGTGAGAGATCCAAGCTTCCACTGTCGCACTCGGGGCAGGTGTCGACGATCTTGACAGTAACAGAGCCATTGGGACCCTTCACTTTAGCGGACTTGCCGCAATACTTGTTCTTACCCATTTGGGGTGCGTTGAGAGCAGCTACCATTTCAGAATCTTCGTTGGTTTTTCCACAGCTTCCTAGGCCAACGGAATAGTAGGTACCGTCACCTGAATATTGAGATCTGCGTTGAATGGATGCAGCAGGAGCGGCCATGGCGCATGAAAGGAGGGCTGCGAGCAGAACAAAAATGTAGCTAGTGACTTGCATGGTGTCGTAGAATTGGATTATATAAAAATGAAATGAAGGAGAACGTCCAGCGTTTGATGAAGAAGAGAGTGCTAATGAATATGGTATGAAAGTAATCCGCTGGCCCTTTTATACATTTTGACCAAGAGGTCTCGACACGCGAGCGGACACATAAAAAAGTCTTTTTGACGGCGGAGATGAGAGGGGACCCGACTCGAAGAGTCTTATAGCTCGGTACGCTGAACTACTTTTCAAGTTCTTTTGTCTATGCGTCGGTCTAGAATTCAATACTTTACCCTCTAGTGCCTTCTAGCGTAAATTACGATGATCAACAAATTACCTGTTTCATAACTCAAGGGAAATACCTCGTAAACGTGCCCATGCGTTAAGCCTTTTGGTCACCACTGTGAAACGTTGCGCGATATGACAGACTCCATCATATTTGTTCAGCAGCATGATGTCTCAGCTGGAGATGTGATGAAAACAGGGTCCTTCAGTGCGAGCATGAAATGTGTTCTACTGTGGCTAATTAAGATTTTGGGTCCCATAACCCCTTGCAGCAGCTATTAAAAAATGAAAATTGGGGACCATTCACAAAATGTACCGCATATTAAAACAGATATTCCCATGATGGTATGTTTGTAAATATGGCTCCCATAAATTTATGTATTGAACGGGGAATGCTCTTTCAATAGCCAAGGTCCCAGAAACTCCACATGACGTGTAAAATGAACAGTCAAAGCGTAAGACGTGGGGACCGCCGCTTTGCATCCGTCAACAGCGATACCCAAGACTCGGGCACTAAGACCAGTAAACGGGTCTGCCACGCTCGTCCTCCCAGCTAAGATCAGGACCCTAGAATGCAAGTATCAGAAACGAAAAAAAGTCAAAATAAAAAGTGTAGGGATTTCGTTCTGGTCTGTGTTTTAGGAAACGCTTCCTAAAAAATTTTATGCGCTAAACGCGCTTCTTGCGAGCTTGACGGCTCGAGTGCCAATTTTGGCAGGTGCTAACGGAGTAAAATACTGTTTATGTGGGTATTCGCTGAGGCAACATCGCTCTGACTGCGGGAAAAGACGAGCCACCCATATTTGTACTTATCTCCTCGATGTAGCGCATCGATGTAGCGCAAAAAATAAGAAAAATGGGCCATTTTTTTTATATCACTTTATTACAAAAAAGGGTTCCTTTGTTCTGGGTCAGTCCATGGAAGCGTTGACAAACATGGGTGTTTCCATTCGTAAGCAGCAAATAGACTGGTTTCATTTACATTCGTCATTATTCCCGAAATTTCCACAGACATACTGGATGCCTCATGGCAAGAAATAAATGAATTGCCTTCATGTGATTATCATCCAAGCGTCCTTCAGCATTGGTGCCAAACAGCACACAATTTTGGATAAAATCGGAATACCCTGAACGAGTGTGTACATGATTTGAAAACAACTATCAAACATGACGTACCTGGCGAAAGGCGTACTGACTCGATCTTGCGAAAGCCTTAAGGGTCTGCGGTACAAAATGGGTGGGTTGTGCACGGCTGGCTGCTGAAATTATATAGTCGGCACATGATCTAAGTGGTTCAGATATCGAGATTTCCGCCAAGACAAAGCAAATTTGACAAAAGGTCTGTAATGCCATCATCGGCATTTCCTTAGACTTGTTCGATAATATTAGCTTCATGAAAGTGGGCGAATGCATTTGTGGCTTTCAGTAATATGAGCCCATAGGAGCTGTAGACTGCCTTGGGAAGCTGGAATCTTTTTTTTTTTTTTTCACGATATCACAATCCAGTAGCAGTATGTAGAAAAATTTCAGCTGCAAGCATAAGATAATGAGCACATCATCTCACCCCCATACAATATTTCTATGCATCTCCAATTTAACAATTGAAGTAGAACAGAGTTTCACACATATCTATTATAAGGTGTGAAGTACACCTGCGTTGGGGTTTAGCATTCCCATATTGTATTTGTTTGTTCTGAAAATTCAATGGAAAAATGGGGCTACCAGCTTGCTAGACAAATCTTTTTTCGGCCATGATCTGGCGCAATACGCAGAGTTGACATCCTCTTTGATGGGGGCATCTTTTTAGCACACTGCATCCTCACGGTCTGCTAAAATGGCAGGGTCTCGTATGACAGAGTACAGGTTGTGCTATAGACACTAAATCTCAGCGTTGAAAATCAAGCAAGGCTGATCGACACAGCTCATCGATAAATCACATGTCTGAGAGGGTAAGCATTTTCACGTGGAAGTTTTATCCGGCGAACGAGCCAATCCAGATAACCTTTTTTTTTTGGGTTGACTGCAGCCCTTTCTTCACCTTCCTGTCTACTTTAAGCATTTAGCTACATTTCACTTGCATGGAAAGAGTGTCTTCGTTTCAGAAACTGCATTCTATTCCAAAAGATCCGCACCACACACTTAATGTCGACGACTGGGCCGACGAAGGTTATAATTCAACTAGTCCATCACCCGATGAAAAGTCAAAATCCTTTGACAACGATAAACGAAAATGGGACCGAGAGATCCCTATTATGAGAAGTGCAGAGTCAATGTAAGTGGAAAGGAATCTACAATGACCTTATAGCCGTATTCATGAGCTCACTAATTTTTTCTGCCTCCGATTATAGACGTATGTCATATACCCCCATTACCTATCTGCTTACTATCCTAGCTATCGTCTTTCACTTCACGTCGTTGTACAGCCGGTCTACCAATTATACGTTTCCAGCCGTGTACGAGATTTATTGTATTGTATTTCACACCACTCATGTCTTCGCTCATTCTCTCGTCCATCTTCGATTTGAACGGATTTGCGTCATCTATGGCTCTTGGCTCGTTTGGGTCGGCTGGGTTCTCGGAGTCATGTCCTTTTCTGAACGACTTCCTTTGGATTTGGCTCATCCTACCATTGGTTTCTTCGGCCTCTTGATTTTGGAACGAAGAAATGCCTGGGGCATCATTATGTGGGAATTCGTTAGTCGTCTTGATGAATTCGATAGTGTCCCTGGTCGCCGAGCAAGAACAAAGTCATGGCTACTGCCACGTACCCTGCTGTCTTTCTCGGAAACAGGCGGTTTTCGAGTTGCGAGCTATCGTATTTGGTGTCTGTTAGGATGTGGTAGCGTTTGGAGTTTGATCTATGTGCCACTGGCTTGGTCCGATGGTTTCTCCCTATTCTATCTCCTTCATCCTTGGAAAATCTTGCGAGTCTTCATCTTAAATGTACTTGCTGGCGTTGCCATGATTTGTTTCTGGAGTTTCTGGACCTTCCAATACCGAGGAGTTGTCTGGCGAAGAGAGTTACGTAAAGGCGTCGCTGTGTGGTATAGCGAAGGTCTTGTACGAGCAGGCGATGTTGTTTAGAATATACCAATAATAGATTACCCAAGGTTTTTTTTTAACTTGATTCGGGGGAACCTACAAGTTTCATTCACATTCCTCAATGTAAATACTCTATTTTGTGAATAAAAACTAAGATGTCATGCACCACTTCAATTTGGATTAGAAAGGTTATTGAGAACCAGTATTTTGAACGAGTAGGATGTCCGGCTACATTCGTACATGGCGATCTAGCTGCGAGGGAGGGCCCACACGGTTGACACATGGTAGCAAAACCGTTACATTAGTAAAAGAATACCGTCTCAGCATCCCTACCCTTCCGTTCAACATCAGACGTTGTAATCCTGGCATCGCTCGATCCCTGTATCACCGTGCTGCGCACAAGTGTGCCACAAAATCAACACATGGAAGGAACCTTTGGGATCGAAGTAGCGTAATCAATCAAGAGCATGCATACTTGCTACGAACCAAAAAAATAAAAATAGGCATCGTATTTTTGACGCTTCCATGCAAGCAAAAATTGTTTATGTAAATGTTTCTCATAAAGCGCAGATTAAGGATGTTCATGCCACGCCTATTGGGCACCGTAAATGGAACTGATTCTCTTTGTTCGACCCGTCTCGTCACCGGCGGCGTCCAGCATCGCAGGTTGGTGTTGGGAAGGACTCGTGGCATAGTCAATGCAGTGCTTGGGGAACACACCTTTGACACCCCCTTTACTGACATTACGGCCAGTGACCCAGCCGTCGTCATATTCAACCAAAATCTCGACACGGTCACCGGGTTGAATTTCGAGTTCGTCACCTAAAGTAGGGGTGTATGTGGATATAACAGTATAAGTGCCGAGGGGTTGAGATTCAGCTTCAACTGGGGCGGCGGGTGGCATAGGAACAGGAACGGGTTGGGATAACATGGGTGGTGGTTGTGCAAAGGAGGTATCGGTCATGGCATGCGACTGCATGGGTTGTTGTTGGTAATGTGCAGGAGGTGGAGGATTGTTGCTACCGAAACCCATAGTGAATGGATCGACTGACATAGTTGTATTACGTTTCTGGGTCTGGTTTCTTTGCCGCTTTCGACGCAACATGAAAAAGGCGCCTGCACCTATCACCACAATCACGGCCATAGCTGCTATACCGCCAATAGCAGCTGAGGAAATTCCTCCAGAGCTAGTATCAGCAGCAGGAGTTGCAGTAGATGAAGCAACGCTAGATGTTGGTGATATGGTAGGAGGCAACGTTGCCGACACCATGGTGGCGGGTTGGGTAATACCACCAGCTGAACTTGAATCTACGACTGATGAATTTTTGGCGGCTGCAGATGATGATGTAGTAGATGCATGAGTAGCGGCAGCTGATGTTTTTTTGGTCGTGGACGTTTCCTTGGCTGGACGATGATAGTAAATAAACAGATCTCAATGTTCCCTTTGAAAAAGGAGGCTACACATACCGGAAGTCTTGCTAGTCGCGGCCGAGGAAGAATTAGCAAACGTCTCACGCTTCACCTTCTTCACTGGGCTTCCCTCCACTGGAATGACCGAGGCAATCGACAAAAGGACGGACGATACCAGCAACGATGACATTGACGGGTAAAATAGAAAAGGAGAGGAAAGGGAGAGGAGATATAGAAAATGTAAGGATGTGATATAAAAAGAGATATATAAAAAAAAAACCGGGTCAAAGGTCCAAAAAATCGAGCCCTGTCTTGATTTGGTGACTTGAAGTGCCACAACGTTATATTGCTGTCTCTTGTTAATCAAAGCGCGGCCACTGTAAAGGCTGGCAAATGCTGACAACAACATCCAAAGCAACGACAAGGTGTTTCAATAAGTAGTTGGAAGCAAATGTGATCGGCATAAGGCAGCATTCGTTTGCCATGTTCCTGATAAACAAATGATAACAAATTTGTCGCAAATGCCCCAGTACCACCACAAATTTTATTATTTTTTTATATAATTTGGCTGGCTGGCCCGCCCGCTATTATTGCTCAGTATGTTCCACGCAACGACCAGAGCGCTCGCACCTCGTGTACGCTGTTATGCGACGCGTGCAAACCTTCGACCTATTCGCTCAACCAATGCTCTCGCCATAGGTGCTGGCCTTGGTCTCCTTCTCACTGCCGGTGGCATTGTGCATAATGATGCTGCCAACTGGATTCCTTGGAAGAAATCTGTCCCAGCTCCACAAGACGCAGCAGCCACTCATGAAAAGCAAGATCCTAACATTACGCCTACTTCTTGGGATCAACAAAATCAAGTCAATCGTGGTTTGAATGAACCTGGACTTTTCCTTTGGGGTGATAATACGTATGTACTTTTAATGCCTATTTTAGCTGAGTCGTGCTAATAATTGAATTTATCTAATTGCATGTTACGTTTATTTAGCACTAAAATCATCCAGGCTTCAAGCTCCAAGCAATCCTTTCCCTATCCTCACCAACACGAGTTCTTCCGGGGTCAGTACTTGCGAGACGTTGCCTTTGGTCCCGATCATGCAGGTAACTTCCACATAAATTATGAAACATGGGCGCCAGCATCGATCGCAGGCCATTGATCGATCTTTTTCATAGTGACCGTCGACTACCATGGTAATGTGTATCAATGGGGTGTGGGTCACTCTCAAGTTGAACAACCGAACTTGACGTTGGCCAATGGCGATATTGTGCAAGTCGCTGCAAGGTAAGGCATTTGCCATATTCTGAAACCATTACACTCGATGGTATGAACCATCTGTTTTCCCGTATATGTTAGTGCATCCAACGTCTATGCATTGTCCAAGTCCGGTAATCTTTATGTCCTTCCGGCCGCTGCTTCGTCTCAAGAAGAAAATGCCGATCGCTCTTTGCCCAAGGAATTGCAAAAGTCAAGCGGTTCATGGGTATCATGGTTAGTCGGTGGTAGTAAACCAGTGAATGGACAAGGCAATGCGTACGCGGTTCCTATGGAGCAAAATATGCTCAAATCAGGTGAACGGTAAGTGTGAATGAAATTAAAAGTGGAGCAAGGCGAACGTAAAGACGGGCATTAATATGCGCATACATTGTGAACAGCATTACAAGCATTTCCGCTGGCTTGCACCATGTTTTGGCAGTGACCTCCAGCGGTAGAGTTTTGTCAGCACCAGCTGATGTTAAAGGTAACGATCGTGGTCAACTTGGTACTGGAACATTCGACATCGAGGCTCCTTCAGAGTACGGCTATATCAAGTGGAATGTTGTGAATACAACATTGGACGGTTTCAAGATCGTGGAGGCAGCTGCTGGCCATCATCACAGTGTAGTTCGGTGAGCGGCATCGTTATGATGATGGCATGGAAGCTATATACGCATGCTAACTTTTGAACGATATATGTCGTCGAATCTCTAGCTCTGAAGATGGTCGAGTTTTCACTTTTGGTGCAAATAATTTTGGAGTAAGTTTGCGTTCATCTGAGTGCTTAAAGAGATATGATGTTTATTCATTGGATTTCCTTAGCAATTGGCACAAGGCGATGTAGGTGTGGCTAAAGGACAATGCAACTATCCATTGGAAGTTAGGACGTTGTATTCGCTTTCCGGACGTTCTAGTAAGCCGCCAGGCTTGGCTTGCTCTCGTATCGCGGCTGGTGGAGACAACAGCTACTTCGTAGTTGACAAGATTGGTAAAGACAAGCGACCGGTCACCGAGGTGTATTCGGCGGGTATGGGCCAATACGGACAATTAGGCAACGCCATGTACAGTCAGCTCCAGCTCACACCTGTCAAGGTCAAGGAAATAAGCAATAACTCAGAGTGTAAGTCCACCTCAAGTGGTATCTAATGTAATTGAAAAAATTTACTTACTATGTCACCTACAGACGATGAAAAATCAGGCAAAATGGCTCCTATAGGTATTGCTGATATCGTGGCAGGTGCTACCCATGTGTTTTCGGTGTTGGACAATGTCACCAACGTTGATGAGCGTACTGTAGATACAACTAAACCAAACTTCGGTCACGATGTATATGGATGGGGCCACAATTTCCATTCACAAGTTGGAAATGGCAAACGTAATAATATTGCAACGCCTATCCATCCTGAAACCCTCATGGCTGAACAAGAACCCCACAGCAAGGATGCCAACAGTGTCGTTGTAAACCGGTTACAGCTTGCACCGGTCACCCACGTCAAAGTGAAAGTACCTGGATCCAACAAAGAGCAAACCGTTCGAGTCGATCAAAAGATGGTTGCTGGTGTTGGCATATCGACAGTGTACAGCCGAGTGTTGCCGTAAAGTAAATCTGGTGAGCAAGATTGAGCCTAAGCATTCTGTTGGAAGACGAAGACCTTGTTTTCCTCTTTCTCTCCCACTTATCCCATTTTTTCCATGTTTCATTTGCAACGTCTATAATCAAAAATAATGTCGCTCTTACACTGCAATAAAAAAGTACATAATATGTTTTCCTCCTTTTCTTACACATCTGCAACAATCATTTGTAACGTCTATAATCACAATGATGTCGCAGCAGTAAAACATAGTACATATCTTGTTTTCCTGCCCATTCTTTCAATCTTTTACACTCAAAACGTAGGATTAGGTAACAACCGCATGCTTAGACATAGCGGGCGATAATTTATTTTCCAAAAAAGTCAATCATCGCAAACTACATGGCATGCGATTCTGTCAAGAGACTTATTTAAGCTTCTTGATCTTGACCCTTGAAGACATAGGTCAAACCGCACTTTCCGCAGTATTGACGGTCGTGGTGCCAAGCCATGAAGATACCAGCACCGCAGGTAGCAGTGGGGCACTCACGACGAAGACGGGTGATCTTACCAGACTCGTCAACCTTGTAGTACTTGAGAACGGCCAATTTGACCTTCTTCTTCTTGTGCTTGATCTTCTTGGGGGTAGTGTAGGTCTTCTTCTTACGCTTCTTACCACCACCGAGAAGCTCGGCGTTCAAGTGCAAGGTGCTGTTGTTTTGAACACCATACAGAGCGAGCTCTTGACCGTCGGTAAGGGGCTTACCGGCGAAAGAGAGGCATTGGAAACCAGAGGCGAGACCTTCACGTTCTTGGATCAAGGCCTTGACGGCGTCCACAGAGGTGTGGGCGGAGACGTCCAAGGCAAGGGTGTTACCTTGAAGAGACTTTACAAAAACTTGCATGCTGGCTTATGTGACAACTGGATTGTTTTTCAGCTGAAAAGGAATCTGGGTGGGAAACGGTTGAAAATGTTCAAAAAATGGATAAGTGATCGGTTGAAATCATGTACGATGCAGCTACTATAGTTGCTTTGATCATTACCTTCGTCGCTATCCACAAGCTAAACAAAGAGGAAGATCTCACCATCCGCAGCCTCTGCTGATTCATAAAGAAAAAAATTTCTGCTTTCCAAAAATTCTTGTGACGTCACCCCTTGGTGCTTTCACTGGACAAAGCGACACTGGCAAGCACACCACAGGGAAAAGCTTGAATTTGGCAAGGGAAGCGAGTAGATCGTTATTAAACAATATGTCGGACTGTAAGTATATCCTATGGCAGTTTACTATGTTGACAATACTAATTGTTTATGGTATAATACAGCACATGCTGGACAGATGACAGCACCCGTAAAACGAAAAGGACGCCCACAGAAGAAAGCACATTACGGCTCGGATGCGTCAGGGAAAGAAGATGACGACGACATGACCGACCTTTCATTCCACAGTGATACCGGAGATCAGTTCAGTGAAGAAGAAGAAGACGCTCATTCTGTTTCCGCTTCCATTGGCACCGGTCGTAAACGCGGCCGACCGCGATCCATAAAGCGAGCTCGTCCTGAGGAAAGAAAGGAAGAAAAGCGAGAAGAATCCATTGCTGAAAAAGTGGTCAAAGCTGTCATGGGAGAAGGAGAGATCGATGAGTTGGGAGAATCAAGAGTCGACAAGGACGGCCATTTGCGCGATGGTAAAGTGATATATGCTACTGTCAATTTAGTATTGCTGCGCGCTTATGATATGATGTAAATACTAAAGTCATGTAACATACAGGTCGTGAATACAAGATACCAGCATTCTCCATGCCAAGTCGAGGCGACGAATTGCTTATGCTTGGTAAAGATGTGGTTGCTCTGTTGAATATGCGTGATAGTTTTGTACTTGTCAACAAGAACCCTCTGGTCGTCAAGGTCGACGCTACACAGGAAGATAAGAACTACCTTATTGAACACGGATATTTAAGATCGACTTTTCGAACGAGAGATATCACCATTGTTTCAGCTCGTTCTATATTTAAAACTTTTGGACATCGTGTCATCAAGAAGGGACGACGCGGTAGAGATGATTATTTTGCCACGGGTGTACCTGAAGAAGACAGTGAAGCAGAAGACGAAAAGGAAGAGGCAGAGGAAAAGAAGCGTGCTCGACTTTACACCAAGGCATCCGAAATGCCTCAGGACACTGCTTTCGGCGCAGGAGCATCATCGTTATCGTTCCGACGAAGCAATCTAACGAATCGATTTGTCCCCAATCGTGGTCCACCAAATGATTTGAATTGGATTTTCCATGCTGCACTTTCTGTTCGAGATTTTAATGCTCAACTTCGAGAGTATCGCTCTAAGAACCCAACGTTCTATGATGTACACACCCACATTTATCAAACTCCAGCATCCATGCAACCTCAATACGCAGTCGCTCCCACTGAAGAAGCGTTGAACGCTGCTGCTGAAGCGTCTGCTGCAGATCAAGCTGGAATGATGGGCGATCAACAGCAGAGAGCAGAGTCTACCAAGCCTGCTGTTATACCTGACACTATTCAACAGCATTCCATGTCACAGCCTCCACAAGGGTACCCCATGCAAGCGTACGCAGATCAACAACAAGCGTCTTATGGGATGAGCATGGCAAATGGCCAGATACCTTTTGCAATGTAAGTTGAGGATATAATGGGATGATAAGTGACTTGAATGGGGATGTAACTAATACCCTATCCCTTTCTTCTTCTTCTCGGACGCTCTGTTTTTTTTTTCATCTCTCTACAGGCAGCAACAAGCTCGATTAAACCAAGCTGCTGCAGCCAAGATGATACCTCCCAATTCACAAGCGGCATATATGGCATCGATGTCCGGTAATAACCCTGCTGCATTTCAAAATTTGCCCCCTGGCCAATCGACCGCAGCTTTAGCCGCTGCACGACAACACCAAATGGCAGCTATGCAAGGTATGTCTGGGCAACTCCCTAATGCTGGCATGCAAGGTCAGCGATTATCACAGCAAATGCAGAATCCTTATGGTTCGACTGGTTCGCCCATGCCACAGCAGAACGCTCCTCGGTTTGGCGTGAAGTGAAAATGGGGGAACCAAAACCCAATTTCAACCATTTAGACGACGGCGGCTACTTTCTGTTCTCTTTCTCTCTCTCTATAATCATATTCTGGATAACTATTTGATGTTGTTCACTTCTTTTTTGCTGTACATGATCTTGCATTTGCCTGCTGCTCGTTTTATAACCTTCATTATCAACCCCCTTGTTATCGCAAAATCATATCCCGAGTACTTTGTAAAACCTTTCCACCTTATTCCATCTTTCGTTAACTGATTGAACAAAAACCAATAATGATCAAGTGAAAGTTCAAACAGGGTCCGTGTGTATTTACATCGTCTACGTTTCGTCTTTATTTATGACAAGGTTACATGGCGTATGCAGTTAGCAGGAATATGTACGATCAGGGGAAGCATTTACGGCTTGGGGATCTTCAAAGTCTTGGAGACCATGGCTGTGCCTTGGATGGCGAAAAGCAAAGTAAAAGCATGCACTTGGCCAAGCTTTGAGTCAACGCCTACCAACTGAGCCAAATCAATCACGCCGTATGGGAACTGGTCAGCGTGCAATAAGCCCTTGCCAATGACAAGGTAGGCAAGTACGGCAACCAAACCCAGTGAACTTGGGATGGGAAGACCTTCGAAATGTGAGATCTTGCCAGTATTATCTTTGGGCAACAAAGCGACTGTGGCATTGAAACGAGCAAGACGAGCGATACCGCATGAAACGAAATATGTCAAGATGAGGGTATCCAAAGTTGTACGCATACCCACTTAAAAGAGAATGTGAGAAATTTGAACCGAGCCACCACACAAACAATCTCGCATACGCATTTACCTGTGAACGCTAAGGCAGCTGGGGCCACACCAAATGAAATCTACACGAGGTAATAAGTATGAGATCACGCGAAAAATAAACGATTCAGTGCTCGACTCGAACACTTACCACATCGGCCAAACTATCCAGCTCTTGTCCGAGCAAGCTGCTACGGTTCCTCCACCTTGCGACTCGGCCGTCCATAAAATCAAAGAAAAGACCAAAAGGCATGAATCCCATGGCAGTATAAAGGTCTTTTGGATCGTTGGAGACGAGATAACGCATGTTGGAAAATATGGACATGGCACCGCACACTCCATTCAACAAGGTGATCAAGTCAGCGAGTTGGAAATTACGGACCATGGAGAAGTGACCAGTAGGGTTGATCAGGTTCTGATCGGTCTCTGAGATTTTTTTACTTGTGGATTCTGCTTTCTTGGACATGTTGAGAGCAAGCAGCGAAGTGAAGTGAAGAAAGAAATATGTCGTATTGCAATAAATACGAGTTGGCCAAGCGTGGCTCAAAAAAACTGAGGTCACCGATTAAACCCAGAATTTCCCATTAAAGCTAATGATCATTGTGTCATCCTTTCCACTCCCACTTCCATCCCCGCAACCCACTATGACCCAGACAGAATCCTCCACTACCGTTGAAGTTTCCAACAACGCGAATGTCCAGGGCAATCTGCTCCAAGGAGGTCTCCGGGAATTCCATATTCCCTACGCTACTGTCCCTAAGCGCTGGCGCAAGGCTCAACCTTCTCCTTTGTGGGAAGGTACACTCGACGGCAGGCACCAAAGGTAAGTAAGCTTCTTGTCAAGCAAGGCACCGAGACTCTCGCTCATCCGGCAATCTAGACCAGAATGCCCTCAGCCTAGTGAAGGATTCTTTCAACGTCCTCAACGTGTTAAAACCGTATATGACGAACTCAACTGTCTCAATCTCGATATTATTTCCCCTCCGCCATCCGCTGACGGTTCGTTGTATCCTACCATGGTCTGGATCCATGGTGGTGCATTGAAGAACAAGAGTGGAGGACCTGATGCCTACAATGCTACCAAGTTAGTTGCGCACTCGGTGGAAATTGGCCGCCCTGTCGTCGTCGTCAATGTCACATATCGTCTCAATGTGTTCGGATTCTTCTCAAGCTCCGACTTAAAGAAGGATGTAGAGCAGGATGGCGAGGATGTCTACGGTAGTTGGGGTATTGATGACACTCGTCTTGCCGTCCAATGGGTAGGTTTGCCTGTCGTGGTGGCCGGGATGGACACTGACTAACGCCATTTCCCCATTTTAAATATTTAAGGTTAAACAACATATCCAACACTTTGGCGGAGACCCCGATCGTTTGACTGGATTCGGAGAGTCGGCCGGTGGCACCATTCTCCATCATTTGCTGTTGCTGGACGATGCACCCTTCAAACGTGCCATTCTTCAGTCTGGTATTGTCAGCGTTATGCCTGCCAAACCACCGTTCTTCTTTGACAAGTGGTGGAAACGTATTTTGGACCATTATAAAGTCTCCTCGGTGGACGAATTGAGAAATATCCCGGCAGATGACCTGGCACAAACCGTAACCGACCTCAATTATCAATACAGTGCTATTTTAGATGGAGCAGTATGCGAGGATCCCTTGAAAAAGTACAAGGCGCCCGGTGCTTACCCTACTTTGGAAGCCCTCATCATAGGCGATAATACAGATGAAGGCACACTTTGGACAAGATTGGGTGGAGAGCCCGCACAAACCTACCGCGGTACAGAGATCATCATTCCCGCCGGTCTTTTGAGCAGATTCCATGAACTCTACCCACCGTCCACTCTGGAGCAGGAGGATGCCGCCCTCCCTATGTTGGATGACATCTACGCCGAGCGCTTGTTCTTGTGTCCTGCTGAGCGTACCGTGAACGCCATTGTCACTGACGACAGCTCTAAAGTCAAGGTGTATCGCTACAGGCTGGACCGCGACCTGGAAGTCTCTCGCCCATACAATCTTGGAAAACACCATGGTGCGGACGTTTCCTATGTGTTTCTCGGTGACCGCATGAATGCAGAAGAATTGGAGGCTGGCAAGATCATCCTCAGCCATTGGTTGGCTTTCGCTTATGGGCTGGACCTGGAAACCGAGGTGGGCTGGAAACAATACGACAAGGCCTCCAAGCTTTGTATGGTGTACGGACAAGATGGGAACGAAGTCAAAAGTCTAGAGGATACCAAGGATGCTGCTCGTTACAAATTCTGGGAAGATGTCGAGGACCGCATTCACGCTGAGTTGCAAGACAAAGCTGGACAGCTACACAAGCAGAGATTGTAATGGACGGTCCAGAGGATCCTGCTTACCAATGCAAGGTAGCATTATCAACGCATAATATAATTGACCTGGATGGAAAAATAAAACGATGGATTGTTTCTAGCATTCAATCAAGGTACTTTGTTTATTTGAAATTTAAGAGAGTTTGTATAATGGATCGACTACAATACGACCACCGCTCCATGGACGATGAATAAGACGATTATGCAAACTGGGAATTTATTGCAAGTGTGTGCTTGGCGGGTGACAGATTCGGTGTATGGATAGTAAGTACAAATGGATTGGATTTGTTAAGACACAAAGACAAGGAAAAAAAAAATTACACCTGCTCTTGAGAGGGCGGGATAGAGCAAGAGGGGATGAGAGGAAGGTATACTCGTTGTTTGATCAGAAACTACAATTTGCTAAAAAACAAAGAAAAAGAAAGACAAAATACAATCAAAATTAATTTGAACCAGAAGGTTCAGCAACATCGGCCTGACTAGCCCTTCGCTTGGCTTCAGCGACGGTTTCCTTCGTCTTTTGCTGCCAGTCTGGATCCGACTTTTCAATGACAACCGTGTCCATGGTATCGTTCGCATCTTCAATAACCACACGATGATGTTCCTCCCAAACTTGAATACGGGGACCAAGAGAGGCATGTCCAGGTTCGACCATCTCCTGTTGAGCAACCTCCTCCTTCTCATTACTACCAGATGATGCAGGTTGTTCAAAGAGCCCGCGCAGGGTTTTGGGTATAAATCCACCCATCGTCGTTCTCTTCGCCTTGGGTTCAGTAGGCGTAACAGGTTCTTGTGCTTGATCTTGCGAAGGTCGCGACTTGGTACGATCTTCAAATTGTCGCATATTTTCACGGTCTTCTCGACTGCCTTTGCCAAACAAGTTACGAAGACTGGTGACGCTCGTTTCGTTACGTTCAACATTGAGACTCGTTTGAGTGGATGACCGTGGCTTGACGGGTTCAAGGAAACGGATACTGCTCAATTCATTAGCAGAACTCTCCCGTTGATTTTCTGCTGTTGGTTGGAGCTCTGCAGGTTTGATCTCATCCGTGGAGCTGGGTTGAACAGGTTGTTTTGGATGTACGCCATAGGTTTGCTCATCAAAATCTTCATCGTCATTGGGTAAGAACTCCTCATCGGGCACATCGCTGTCCTCATCAGAATAACGTTGTTCACCCATATCTACGGCCTCAAAGTCCTGTTGACTTTGACCTTCAACAGGCACCACGGTTGTGTCCCCGCTACTATCGCGATCAAGTTCATGTCGTCCGGCTCTTGGTCGTTCTTGAGGTGTATTAAACAAAGTATTGCGTTCTGTTCTGCTGAGGGACATTTCTAGATCGCGGCTATGACGACTGCGTGCATCATCATCGCGGCTGAAGCTGAGAGTTTGACCAAATTGAAGTTTTGGCAACCGTGAGACTTGGTTATGAGAACTGGCGATGGAAAGCGTGCGAGTATGGATACGTTTTCCAAGTTGAAACATGGGAATTGTAGTACCGTGTACCAGCACGGAAGAAAGGACGATGAACAAAACAATGGGTGCTATCAACTCCACGGAAGCTGGATTCTTTTCTGCGTGGACTTTTTCAAGTTCTTCCTTAGCCAAGATGGACAAGAAAACAGCTCCAACGCCCATGGGACCAAACCATCCAGCAAAGAAAGCTTCACGGTAGGTCTTGAGTGCGGGCAATACGGGCTTGAGCAACAGAACAATAGGCAGTCGTCTGAACAATAAGATCAATATAGCAATGACGACTAATCGCCACGGTTCCACACCTAATTCAGGCATCGAGAATGACGACCAAGGCTAATATCATATCACATATGTTAACAGTCAGTTCAGGGAACATAAAAAGGGGTGGGGAGCAGCATGATGATATCAAAATCATACTTACAATGATGCAGCCTATATATACAAAGACTGCTAAATTAAGCATCATATCAATGACATCTTGGAAATGTGCCTCCTCGGTTTCTTGACGGAACCAGTCATCCCATGAAAATGCGTTACCAGCTACAAAACAGGCTAGCAAGTCATCACTTCCTGTAAAGCCTGTCATGCTCATCAAGAACAACTATAGATGGTTGATGAGAACTCAGTATGCAAATATTTTGAAAATCCCCATGAGTACTTACGGCCAAGGCGATTGCAAAGCATAGAAATGAGGGCTTGTCAATGTAATGACTAGGTTTGAAAAATAAAATAAAAAGGAAGCGGGGGGTAAGTATGATGCAGCAATGTATACAATCGCCTCCTTGGTTATTTTGGTACTTACTGTCTCTCCGACCATTGTAAAATTTTTCTAGCAACATAGCCCACAACAAGACCAATGACACACGACAGAAGAATTTGGAATAACCAAGTGAGATAGAACCATTTGCCAATAGCTTCGCCTACACTATCTTCACTCAATAGATAGACTGCTAGAAAGAGGAAAGGAAATCCCATGCCGTCATTAGCACCGCTGGAGACCAAAAATAAAAAAATTGAGTACAAAACATTCTAGCATGCAAAGCAGCAGTGGAATTTTTGGCAGTACCTCTCGGCGGATAGCGCATTTCGGATATGAGCAGGGACATGCTTCTCAGCAAAGCGGCCCTTCACTACGGAATTTGCTAGAATCTAAATGGGGCAACATAAGGTCATGCGTTGTAGAAGGATGGTTTTAGCCACATGAAGACTTACAGGATCGGTCGGGGTAACGCAGGCGGCTATGGCCAATGATTCAAGCTGAGAATTAAAAACACAATCAAATAGAAACATGTTAGTTTTCTAGATTGCTGCGTTCATATAGGGTGGATGACATACGTAGTTGAGCGGTGGTATCAGCCACCAGATGAACAAACCGCTCATGAGCCACATGTAGACCATGACGGGCCCCAGTAATAGAAGCATGGTGAGCCATTCTTTCTTAAGATAATGTCTAAAAGCAACAAATGGGAGGTGAGTATACAAGAGGGGGCCCGGCGGTGTTACCTGAGGAAACATAAGAAAGACGGGCGTTTCTTACTTTGGTAATTCGATTCCAGAAGCCATGACCTGCCAGACGTTCCTTTGAAGGTTAGTAGAGGCAAACATAGCGCACGGTATCCAAGTCATCCATCACTGCACCTGAATGGCAATCACACAGCGAGTGAGTTGCTTCGTTATCTCATCTGTATCATTCCAAGAATATGGGTTGATTCCGTTGGCCACTAATGGACCAGCGATGATACCAACGACGACGGCAACAACTAGGGGAAGAATCATAATACGTTATCAAATGCAGCGGTAGGGCAGAGTCGAGTAGAGCAGGGGAACCTACAGGCTTCGGAAATGAATAGTTTCTCTTTGACGAACATAGAGACAAACCCAAAGATAACGATAAACCCAGAGAGCACAGCAATGGCCTCTGTGAATGCAGAGATTTCTCCGGGGAAGACAGTGATCCCTGTCATTGCAAATGAGCGGCGGGCGGGTTCTAAGAGAGAAGGAAAAATAACCCTAGTTGGCGGATTTAATTTTTTTGGGAATAGAAAAAGCAGTTTTGTGACAACTCAAGCTTCTGCGCACCAACAGCATCAGCGGAAATTTTTGACACCAACTCCATCAGCTGGGTTAGGGTTCTTTTGGTCGCTCATACGATTATTTTTGAGCCAAGTGACGAAGGCTCATTTTCTCTCTCACAGCTTGTTTTTCTATACACCACTTATATGAGAGAGCCAAACTTTTCATTCCCTGCTCAAAATAAGGCTGCTGTTTGCATTACCTCGGCTCTCTACGACCGACGAGCTTTGGATTGTACCGCCATATTACCACTCATCAATTCGCTGACTCATCTGTCTTATCTGACATCGACCTCTCCTCGCATCAGAGAGATTTTAGTACTGGATGGTGGCCTAGAAAGACTGATTCACATTCTCAAAACATGCCAGCGATCGGATAAAAGGTCAACTTGGAAATGGTCTCTTGCATTTCAGTGCGTTGTCAATGTCGGTGTCCGCGGCAATGAACAAATTCGTACCAGTGTGGTTGAAGCTGAAATGATTCCTGTGGTTATGCAACTACTCGGCAACTTTCTCAAGACGCTAGACCAACTCGGTACAGACAAGGCGTCTACTTTCACCTCGTCAACAGGTTACCATGGCCTACTTGAAACCATGCCGGCCTCTACTTTGGAAAAATCACCCTTTGCCCACGATGATGGTATGTTCCCAAATATTATTATTTTAGGAGTGTGGCCATGTGGTACACACCACACACACAATGCCCCCCAAGCATCAGATGTTCTAACGAACTAGAATTTTATTTTCTTTAGTATTACCCCCAGCCTCTACGCCCGCCCGGCGGAAGACCATCTTTCGGCCTTCTGTCACTCGCCTTGCCACACCCTTCCCCCGACCTGCACAACAACCTTCCGACGTCAAAGCCTTTCAACGAGAGGAGGATGTTTTACTCTCGCTTCAGCTACTTGCATATCTTTCAAAATACCCTCATCTCAGAAAGACTTTGCATTCTAAATACGAAGAAAATGTGTTTAGTGTCGTCCAGCAATTCACTCACCGACAGCATCCCGCCGCCATTCAGTATTGGGCTGGAGTCATCATGAGAAACGCATGTCGGAAGGATGAGACCAACGGAGGTATACGCCAATGCGCCAATATGCAATGCGGCAAATGGGAACGTTTCCCTCGCGAATTTGCTAAATGTCGCCGATGCAGAAAAGCCAAATATTGTAGCAAGACTTGTCAAAGTAAAGCTTGGAGTGAAGGTCATCGATGGTGGTGTGTTGAACGCCATGCCCCCAGTCTCCCTACTAGAGAAGAACCTCAACCCATTGCCAATGAGCCAGAAACTGCAGCCGTTCAACCTATTCTTAATCAGCCTGCACCACCACCTGAAATTTCAGTGGGCGAGGTGGCCACTCCACCACCAAGTTCTCTCACTGTCTTTGATCGCTCTCTCAATGGTGCCAGCAGTAGTAGTGATAATACCCATGGTATTTCTGCCGATGTGGACCAAGACCAACGCCATGTCATGATGGATGTGGATCCTTAAACCCCGTTACCTCCTTTCTCATACGCATACCACTCATCCGACGAACCCCCATCCTTTGTCACGAAAAATAATAATTTGGGAATCGACAGTATTCTCTATGGTGTGATTCCCATTTTATATACTTTATATATTTCCGTCTCGCTTTGCTCTGCTGCTGCTCTTTCCTTTCCTTGTAGTATCGACGTTCGCTGCTTTACCACAGCCCATTCTCTATATGTTTTCTTCCTTTCCTGTTGGTCGTTCTTCTTTCATGTTTGCTACTGTACAACGCATTTTTTTTTTCTTTCCCTTCCCAACACAAACTACCTTTTTTTTAACTGTTGCATGCTTTATTCCAACCTGGTATCCTTCTTTTTGACTGAACTGAATTTCCCTCTCTTTTCCCACAAGCAACCCATAAAAACTATTTTCGCAGAATGGGTGAATGTCCGACACGTGACTTTGCTGATCTTGACGTCACGTAGTCTGTCTCCAGTATTTTTTTGACTTGAAAAAAAGTGACGGCTGGGGGCTGTCTACACACATACACACACACCACCATGGTCAAACTCGAAGAAGTTTCTCCCGATCACATTGATGAGATTGAAGTCTTGTCAGAAGACGACAACTACTCCGATTACTCTGATTCCGAACTTGACGAAGACGAAGAAGAGTCCATCCTTGATCGCATTGCCGCTCTCAAGGATATCATTCCACAAAAGCAGCGAGATCGTCTTTCCTCTGGATTCACAACTATCTCCAGCTGGTCCAAGACCGGTGCTACATTTGTAGGCAAGAGCGCTTGGGTTATCACTACCTCTATGCTTCTTCTTGTCTTGCCCTTGGCGTTGGAGATTGAGAAGGAACAGGCTTTGGTTGCATATGAGAAGGAAGCTATGCAACAACAGGGTGCTGCTCAACAGGTAAGAACCGTTCGATGAAAAAATAGAACCCCAAATTATACAGTGATGCTCATTTTCTTTCTTGTAGATGATCAACCCTGGCGCTCCTTTCGCTCAACCCCAAGTCCAACAAGGTCAGCCTCTGCAACCTCAAGGCAAAAACTAAACAAACCATCCAAGAGAACCTAAAACTCCTTTGGGCTTCTTCACAAACATATCTTTTGTCTATAGCAATGATTTCTCCAATTCCCGGTCCTCCTTTGCCCACTCTATATGATAGATGAATAGCAGCCATAGAATAGCGTTTTGGGCTGGTACATAATGTTTTCTTGTTTCCTGGTGTTGGTTTTTTAAAAATAAAAAAATTATACATTCCCCCCCTTACAAAAAATTATCCCATCCTATGAATGAAACAATACTCGGCAAGACGATGCGTCCCGATCAACCGCTTGTTTAAGCGCGCATTACCTTTTTGTATTTAGAGAAAACAATGAAAACAAGGAAAAAAAAGGCGGCAAATCCCCCCATAGTGAGCATACTCTTTTGTGCGTTATAAAATCATATATCCGGAAACCAGCTCTTTAATATCATTATTATTAGTCGTTTATGTCTGCACATATAACGACGTATTTAAAAACAATGGGTCGTTTATGAACACGCATAGAAAACTAAATGGGTCTACATGTTCTATAATTTAAAGAGTTTTGCAGATACCGTTGTGGCAGCTCTGATGGCAGTCATCGCTGGCGGTACAGCAGGCGCCGGTGGGGCCACCACCGTTACGCTTACCACTGTAACCGCTGGTGCAGGTAGGAGCAGGGGTGGCGGAAGTGAGGGTGATGGTAGCGATGGAAGGTTCGGCGGTGGCAGAGGAAGGAGTAGAGAGCTTGGGGACGGTGACCTTCTTGGAGGCGGTGAAAGTCTTGGAGCAAACGTAGTTGGTGAAGCTGACGGGGACGCTTCCAGAACCAACTTCGAGGCAAGGATAGACATCCTTGTCAGCGTTCAAAACATACTCGAGCTCGCTCTTTCCAGAGACGAGACCGAAATGAGCTGCGACACCAGAGCAGTTGGCATAGTAGATCCAGTCAATCTTGCTGTCGAGAACAATCAAACCACCTTGAGCACAGCTGTTGCCAGCGGCATCATCGATCAAGGTAGGGTTGACGTAGGTGGAAGTAACAGCTCCAGTGGGGGCTTTGGTTGTTCCCCATGGCATGAAGTTGACTGAGTAGTAGTCGGCAGTGGCGACGCTGGCGAGGGCGGTCAAGGCAAGAAGAGAGAACTTCATCTACGATGGATTCAAAAACAAAGTGGTTAGTCGATTTTGCTGATCATCCTAGAGTATAGTGTCAATATAACGTACGATGGTGATAAAAAAGTTGTAAAAGAAAGAGTGGAAGTGGGCCTTTCGTGCTCAAGGTTGTCCAGCCAAGGGCTATTTAGGGAAGTAATTCAGGCATTTTTTGAAACTACGAGTTTGGATCTAATGCCCTTTTCATTACTGTACAACATTCAGACAAGTCTTGACGTGCCACCAAGGAATTACAAGAACGAATGGCGCAGATTCGTACTATCCACACATTTTCCACAACCATGGCTTTAACCTATCTTCCACGCCCGTCGCCATTTCAACCCCCATAAAGAGTCCCTTTGGACGCGACAGAGAAGTAAGTTCTGGTATCATTTCTCGCAAGAGGCATTATTGTTGTGCAACCTGAGGAAAACCCGATCTGACTATAAACTTAAGGGAACGACATGTACTCTTTGTACAACTAGAGGTTAACCAATTTGTATCCTTTTTCTATCACTAGTCCTTGCGCTCCAGGCCATAAACATGCTGAAGAAACATATGGGGCATGATTGGGCAGAGCCATTCTTGGTCAGATACCAAAAGTGTGCACAAGCAATTTAAACACTCCAAAATTGTAAGGTGTGTACGACCCTCAGGCCATGGTCCCAGCTCTTTTATTTCTCCTTCTAGGCTAATGATTTGCATCATGTGCTGTTAACGCGGTGGAAAAGAAACGAATACTAGCAAGATGAAGGTCGACCATGCTTAATGTATGCCGTGGGGTGATATCCTTCGCTTTTGGCGAGCGCCTCTGCCAAAGAAGTTTAATTTCGTCGACCATAACCGACCACTGATATAGCTGAGATTGATATTTTTTGGATTTCCGGAAAAACTATTTGTTCAGCTAATCCCTTTAGCGAATTGACTCAGGACAAATTTATATTTGATGCCTATTAAGAAAAAAAAAATTGCAGCACTTCAAGAAGGAGGGAAAATGTACAAAGAACCATCACAACAACGATGTTTTTAAAACGTGTAAAAAAAAAAAAATTGCGTTGAGAGCGTGGTGATGCCTGGGGGTGGGGGGATATTTACGTCGCATCAGCGTCCGTTGAACGCTGTCGTCCTCGGCCAATGACTAGTCCAGACAGCGTAGATGCTGAAGAGTCTTTTCGCTCAAGCGGCCAAGGACTGGAGTCGTAGTCACTGTATTCGTAACTATCATGGCTATAGCTATGATGATTACTCAGAATGCTCTCCTGATCTGCTTCAAAGGTATTTTCGAATTCAGGCATGACATTGGATGCAGGCAGATCAGCTTGTCCATGAACTTGTGCATTTCGCAAATTCGTCAAGTTATCAGCTACTTGTTCGTCACCACCGAGACATGGCAAATCCTTATTGCGATTAGCAGAAAACTGGATAATTTCAGGTGTCGGGCGACCCGGTGTGGGTGAGGATGATGAGGAAGCGGTCTTAGAAAGGGGTGAATGGCTTTGGGGTGTATTGCCCTGACTAGATAGGCTTTTGCCTTTACGTTTCATGTCGAAGGCTTGCGTAAAATGGGAAATAGAGCTCGAGAGTCGCTGGATACCACGGCGTATCTTTTCAGTAATGGTGACAGCTCTAGACACTTCTTCGTCCGTCACCTCAACTGCTTTGTAATGGCGAGGATCCGCTTCTTCTTTCCATAATGCCGGATCCTCCAAATCAGCGGTTACCCAGGGATGAAGTCTAACTTGCTCCAGCGTAATACGTTGCTCAAAATCCTTGGTTAAAAGTTTGCAAAGTAAATCTCGCAGATCATCCTCAATTTCGATATCCGCTGGGAATTCTAATGGTTGGATAGGTATCAACTTGAACAATTCGTACTCTGTTTCTGCTTCGAAAGGGCATCGGCCAAACACAAGGCAATAAAGAGTCACACCTAACGCCCACACATCAATGGCCTTGGTTATTCGCGCCGCCGTATCATCTCCAACGGTACATAGTTCGGGTGCGAAGAAAGCTGGGCTGCCTGCGGTTTTGGCTAGTTCACGGGTGATGCGACTTCGTGAAGTTGCATCCTTGTTATCGTACGAGCTGTGATGATCTTCAGCCAATAGTTCGCTGAAATAGGATACTCCAAAATCAGAGATCTTGACTATATGATCAGCAGTGAGGAGCAAATTCGCCGGCTTGATATCGCGGTGAACAATGCCCTGATAGTGAACTAGGTAGAATTTGCATTGAGAATAGATGTTCAGCAACAAACCAACACCATCACTTGTTTGAAGATTACTCACGATAGTCCAAGCCGCTCACAACGTCCCGAAATACCGCGCGCGCATCATCGATAGGCAAGATGGGACGATCATCTTCATCACGCCAGTGAATTTCACCACCTTCCATATATTCCAAAACTACATAAAAAAAAAACGTCAGATCATAAAATGACATCCAAATTTAACTTTCGACTGTTTTACTTACCCATATAGATCTTCCTACTAGCTGGATCATCAATGACTTCGAATAGCATGACGACATGAGGGTGTACACACTTTTTCAAAATAGCGATCTCTCTCTGGATTTTTTGCTCGGCAGGATTGTTGACAACCGCTCTCTCCTCTTCATCCACACTTTCACGGAGTGACAAGCCTAGCTGGCGTCTTCGAGATTCCTTATCAACAACCTTAATTGCCTAAACAAGATAGAGATTATATCAACAATGGAGTCATGAAAATAAAATAAAAATTCAAACAGCCGAAAAATAAGGATCGTCTAGCCATTGCCATTTTCGGATAACTTACCACCAAACCACCTCTTTCTGTATCTTCAGCGAGCTTCACCTTGCCGTGAACACCACGGCCTAGTTCCTTGATGATAAGATAGTCATTGATCATCTTTTTTCCGGTCAATGGGTCGTATTCCTTATTGATGGTATGAGTCTCAATGACTGGTTTTGTCCGAGGTAAAATGTCCAGTGGTGGGGGAGAAGATTGGGCTTTTGAAGACCTTCGCGATCGGGGAGTGAACCATGATGTTGAATCGGACGATAAATCTTCACGGGCATTGGGGTATGGTGGAGGAGTGTAGTCGTGATGAGATGCAGTGGATGCTTTCCGAAATAATGGCGAAAATGAGCGTCTACGCTGATCAGCCAGGTCGGGAATTGATGCTTGTGAATGGGTGGTAGAAATGTCTATTGGTAAGGATTCTAAGGATGGTAGTCGCCGAGCACCAAATGGGACCCGAGAATGTGGGCCATCTATGAATGGCGCTGTCGAAGCAGACGTCGTTGCTCGCCTTCTTCTTCCCACAAGTCCGTGGTTGGGAACAGGCAGCATGCTGAGTGGTTACAATAAAACAAAAAGCACTTTTGTGCCAACCAAATAAACAGTTATGTAAAAAAAATATAGTTAACTTTAAAGGCGGCCTCCGTTTCGCGTCATTCAAATCGGACTTTCAATCCTAATCCGTATTCGGATAGGATGTGAGTTGACAGAGAAAAGCAAAAGGGAGAAAAGATAGGATGGTTGGCATCAACTGCAATGAAGTGCTGGTGTGAGCATGTCAAAAACGAGACCTTTGAATGACCTTCATCCAGAACGCTGTATTTCAGACCTCTTGAAAAACTTCTGATACATCATGGGGTCTGTCAGCATTGTTGTTGGTGGAGGGAGTGTGTGTGACGCTCATTGAGAGGTTCTTATTTCCTCACTCGCTTTTGCTCTTTTTCCCTGCTGCTCTCTTTTTTTTTTTCTTTCCCTTTTTCTCTCCGCGTTAGCTCTCTCACATTCCTCTTACAATGCACACTTGGCTTGTCTACTTGGCATGCCTGACGTGCTGCTTGTTTTCAGCTCATGCCGCCGTTGTCGTAGTTGTAAGTAATCCTGACTCAGTCTTGCACTCCACAAATATCCCTCATTAGCTTCAGTGCACCATGGGGGGTTTTTTCCCTGTTTTCTTGGCTGTTTCTTTTCCTGTCTATACACACCTTTATTTTTTCAAATGATGCATGGACCATACATATTAATTCTATTTTCTTTTCTCTGCAAGGCTACAAATGAAACCTACTTAGATCGCATCGCAGCGTTTGGGCCACGAATTCCGGAAGAAGGTATCTATGGATTCTTGATAGAGCCATCAGATCGCTCTGGCTGTTCAGTAGTGGAGCCTGCAAGGTCGGAAAATTGGATAGCATTGTTAGAACGAGGCGGCTGTTCATTTATTGAGAAAGTGCGAAACATGCAAAGTAGTGGCGCCATTGCCGTCGCTGTAGGCGACCCTGACCACATTGGTTGGACTACCATGTTTGCTCCTGGTAAGTACTTGGTTTCCCGTTCATGACACATGGTTTCCTTCAACTCATGCTTTTTTAAACAGGTGACACTTCGGACGTTGAGATTCCCTCCGTGTTTTTATCGCAGCATGAATATTTGGCACTACTGTATCTGTCAAAGCTGTTCAGCACTCCTATGCTGGTTCAAATGCTTCCAGATGACCTTCTCACATGGCCATTGTTGGACGTTCTTGTTATCGTTATTCTCTCTCCATCCATAATGATGATCTTTATTTATATCTCATGGAGAGTTCGTCAACGCCAGCGCCGTCAAAAAGATTTGGCTCCGCAAAACGTCGTCACAAACTTGCCGGTCAAGGTCTTTCGACAGGTGGAGAGGAAAGAAAATGAGCCTGAAGAGTGTGCGATCTGCCTAGAGGACTACGTTGATGGTGAAGAGCTGAGAATACTACCTTGCAGGCATGAATTTCATGTTGGATGCGTTGACGCATGGTTAACAACTCGAAAGAAATTTGTAAGTCCTCGTCTGAATTGGAAATACATCCGTTCATCAAAACTGAATCTTTATGCTACAGTGTCCTATTTGCAAGAGAAACGTCATGGACGACCACTCCACTGAGGCCACGCCCTTGTTGGATGTTTGATTTCTTACCTACCTTTGTTGAATAGCACAGTCCCCCATTACATACGACCCAATACTTACACTCCTTGTACACTGTCTCCACTATACTCATCGCCTTTTTAAATGCGATCAACTTTCCTCATCCCACTCAACTGTAACTGTTCAAAGATTTGCATATGTAGTCACCTCAATTTCATTCCGTTGGTCTGTCGTGTCCATCATCTTTTTTTCTATATTTTTCCTTTGTTGTACTGTACACTCTATTTTTTTCAAGGCTTCTCTTTTCTATTACTCTCATGGCCAAGTTTTTCCTAATAATGAATGTGCTTATAAGCTTTTATCATTAGATGAAATAAGGCATTGTTTTGAAGTTTGAATGTTTGGCGCAAAGACATGATTCAGTGCAGCCTCTTTATCTGCCGCAGCATCAGGATGCGCAGCAGCGACCAGTTTGCGGGTAATCAGGTCAAAGTGTTCGTGCTTGACCCAACCGAACTACAAACCCTGGGATATGACTTTAGTTGTGTGTCATACCTTATTCACTGCGTGTGGGGACGGATAAATTCGATGACGTTGGAATTATTCATCTGCATGCTATAAAACTATAAAATTTAACGCAACGGATAAATTCCATGAAACCCTTCAATTTGTAAGGTGGGAAAATTATAGCCGCGCTCCAGAGGATCAAGAATATAAGACAACCCTTTAGCTGATATTTTTGTTCCCAAGAAACTTCTACAATTTACAAAAACGCCATTCACCACATACAATCCACCCGACGCATCATGACTGGAACCGTCAACGCAAATCGAAATATGTTTTGTCCCCAAATTCCTTCTAAAAACATCTCCTTGGCTTTCCCCGGTATTACGGAAGACGCAAGAGACACTGTTGCTGATTTGCTATTGAAGAATCATGTTGAATATCATTGCTTTTTTAATGACAAAAAATTCCACAATCACTTGTCTCACGGTGTTCTCGCTGCATATTCACTGGGAGCCAAGCCTGACAGGATTAAAGCCATTTATAGGGACCATGCAAATTATCAGAGACCCGTCGGTTCCGTGTTAACCACTTTTACAGAGTCCGATTGGAAATCCCAGCTTGGCAATGCTGAATATTATGCTTCCTATTTGGAGTTCTTCCACAAAGAAGTGCAAAAACTCGGCCGAAACGAAGCCTTCATCAAGTATGCTTTGGATCCCGATATGATTGGCCGTTCCTTCTCTGGAGCCTTCCACCCTCTCATTCATATGGGATACGGTTTTGATTTTGAGGTGGATGGCATATTGGTAGAAGGGCTGGCTATGGCTGCCCTATCGTCCACCTTGATGGGCAACGTCATCGTACGGCCCACCAGCTCCATTGAGAAAGTCGCCTCTAAAGTCGCTACTCAGCTCTCCCTGACTAAGAGCAGCAGTGAACCCAAAACCATTGTGGATATGTTAACAAGCATCCGAGAAGACCGTAATCTGGACGACGTATGCCCATTTTCACAGCCAGACAAGACCGCACATGGTGCCAAAAATGAAAAGGCGATTAACAAGATCCAACAATGCCTAGCAGCGTGGGACGTGGATGGTACTACTTCCATTTCTGTTGTGCTTTATATATTCTCTTCTATTAACCAGTTGCTTTATTCTTTCGACTGCTTTTAGAAACAAAGGAAGATGTTGCAGCCAAGTCTATTGAATTGTACAAAGCATGTATACTGGCTCTTGGTGCCAGTGGATTGAAGTTTGGTCAAGCCAAACAAGATTTCTTTTTGTAAGTCCACATGTGAAAAAACTTTCCTGTCACTTTAGCTGAATATTAACTTTTATATCATAGGATGCATGCTGTAACATCTGTACTATTTACTCATAAGATCGCCAACAGCCTGCCACCCAGCTATGCTGTATCGGTGATGAAATCCCATCTTGGTGTTGTTCTGATGTATTACATCTCACACGGACGTGCTAAAATAGACATTGACGCTCTGCTCAATTACAAAGGAAAGCAAGAGCTCAATGCCACCAATCCATGGCTGTCTCTCATCCAGCGAGCCATCGATATCGATGAAGTCCATGTTACCAAAGTTGTTCGTGCCTGTGCATTTGGAGACCTTCTGTTTGGAGCCGAGGGCTCCTTCGATCAGATATGCGCCAAGACAGCTGAGGTGGCACTTGACTTGAACGGTGATTGGAATTTCGAAGGTGTCGGCTATGATGAGATTTACAAAAAGTGATCAAACAAACCAGTGTCGTACCGCTGCACTTCTCTCGATAGTCAAGTACGATAGCTCTCGTATTCCATCCGTACGATTTATACCTTAACATCCATTGTGACCGAAAAGCGATAGTCTATTGCAAGTTATAGCTATGAGCATTATTTTTAACTGTATCTCAAACTTTATATTTTTTTACGCAAATTGGAAAAAAACATATCATTAAACCTTGGTATAAAAGGACCTTTGGTATCAAAAAAGTAGGTGGATAGCGTCCAAGATAAAAAAAAAAACTATAAACAAAATATCAAATCATGCTCAACGTGCGCCATCTACAGGTCATAAGTAGCATTTGAGAAGGAATAATCGTCCTCTGCTTCGTCATCTGTCTGTGATTGTTCAGTTGGTGATAATGTGCTAGTGGACACAGTGACCAAGTCCCACAATTGATTTATATTATCTTCGTATTTGCGGTTATACAGGAGAACCTGAGCCCCTGGTTTGAGCGAATTGCCCTGATTGGCAAGCATTGTTAATAAACATCTTCCCGGAGTGATCCCTGTGGAGGTTGCACTTACCCGAATGTCCAGCACAAGATTAGGGTCGTTCCGAGGATAGAGATAGCCATCCTCTCGGTAGAACCATTTTTGATCGTTATTGCCCTCCACCATCTTGCGTTTCTGCTGTACAATCTGGCGATCATTCTGAAGGACTCCTGCATTGTCTTTTAGACCTAATATTCCACTGTTCATCCTCAAATCCCCTCGAGAATCCTCAACCTACCTCCATGCACGTCCAGAACTTTCATTTTGTCATAGTAGTATGTCAGTAGCTTCCTGCATTAATGACTCGTTCATTCTTGGCATAACCCTTACCTAAACCCGAATTCTTGTTGATCAAGTAGCCGCCATCATAGCTCCACAGCTGGAAGAAGCAGTCAGTTCATGTTATGCTTCAATTCGGGTTTTATTTTGTCTTGTTAGACTTGCCTGGTTATCGTTTAACTTTTCCTTCTTGGGCCAGACGACGATTCTGGCTGCGGACTATCGAAAAGGCGATCAGTTTCGGACGTCTACCTTTTCTAAATCATACGCGAAAATTACTTTAATGGAATCCCATTCAACGTCGATCACCATCTTGTGTTCGCATCTTGATTGGATATAAAACCAGCCGGGAGGAAAGTTGCTCATAGTTACTCTGTCACAACCTGGTATCCGCTCAAGCCGTTCTCAGTATTGCGATTTTGGCAGAGCTGTCACGGGTGATGGCCAATCAAATTGAGCCATTGATCTTGTATGAGCAAGGTGGACGATGGTTAATGGCTAGTTAAGCATATGACGTGCATTTGCACACCTGATGACATTCCAAAAGATAACAGGTGTCTTTTAGAGAGATATTGGGGGGTAAATCTTATGATACAGAGACTATGATCGGGCTACCGTCCGACTGTCCCTTTGATCTGCGATTGAAAAAAACCTGGGCTTGCTGTCAAGTCGCCAAGCCGTGACTGCCATCCAATCCTGGAAGAGTAGAAAAATTTTGTTCACGTTGTTCGATTTTCAAAACACCTTTTTCTCGTTTCAAGTAAGTATTTCAGTCATATGAAACTGCAGAAGTTTGAAGTAGCTGCAACGAACAAGTGATGCATAACCTTTTACGTCCGATTCCTGACGATCCACAAAATATACTGATTTAATGAAACTGATGCTCGTTCCTGCTGCTTCAAACTACTCGATGATCGTTTTACCGCGTGATTAGTTGACTAATGTTATTGTTCTCGCAGATAACGTTACTGTACACCAGCCTACTGCACGCCGAGCAAATTAGACTGCAGCATAGCAAAGGTATGTATACAGTCAGTAGTATATTTAATAAAATCTTTATTGCATTTTACCTACGTAAAACCATGGTCATCAAATATATGAGAATCAAAGGGGCTAATATCCTGGTGGTGGAGGATAGCTGCCTTGTTGTTGGTTATAGCTATTTTGTGAATAGTATTGCTGCTGTTGCCCGTATCCACCTTGCTGGTTAGGAGGGGGAGGAGGGCTTGAATACCCGCCCTGTTGGCCGGGAGGGCTTGAATATCCACCTTGACCAGGAGGTGGTGGAGGATAGGCACCATAACTACCCTGTTGTACAGGTTGGGGTGGGTAGTTGCTATAACCTCCAGCAGATGGTGGTGGTGGTGGGGCATAGTTGTACTTATCAGACTGTGGCGGGGGAGGTGGTGGGTAGTTTTGCTGATTTTGCTGATATGATCCCTCTCCATATTGATGGGGCGGAGGAGGAGGTCCACCGTAACTTTGACTTGGTGATGTGCCGTAGTTTTGTGTTGGTGGTGGGCCGTAGCCTGGTGCAGGTGGCGAGCTATACCCTTGAGGTGGTGGATAATTGCCTTGTGATGGCTGGGGACCCTGACTTTGAGGAGGTGGAGGTACAGGTCGATTTCCAGCTTGAGGATGAGCAGAGTGCAAGCTTTGAACCTGAGCGCTCCAATCTTCCTGGGAGGCCGTGGAGGTGGCTGTTCCAGAATACTGAAGTTGAGGTCTATCCGGCACTGACGTCAAGCCAGGTGGTACATTGATCTGAGCACCATAACCTGGTGTTGGTAATCCAAACGACTCTTTCTTATGCGTCATGGAGTCAGTAGCAGCCAAGTTCAAAGATCCTTCAAACTGAGCATGTGGCTCCATATCCCAAAGCTGATTCAGGTTATCATTTTCTTTACGATTATATAGAATAACACTTGCTCCATCTTTGGCACCGTCGCCCTAGATCACCCGTCATGGTCAGTATTCTACAGAACATCAACTCATATATCATCTTGCCGTGCAACATACTTTAATATCCAAAACGAGATTTGGGTAGGCAGCACTATAAATGAAGCCGTTGTCGAATCCGAACTGAAATAAAAAAAAATTAGCCTGGATGTACACACTGATCATGTCGCCGCCGCTTATACACAAACCAACCTGTTGTTCTTGCTTGCCCGGCTTGCGGGAGTTCTGCACAACATTCTTCTCCTTCTTAAAGGCACCTGAGAAAACACATGATCAGGTTTCGCGGTCCTTGCTTCTATATATACCATACGTTCGAATACTTACTAGTACTAATGTCCAATACTACGATGGCCAATAAAATTTTCATTTCGGTTAGCATATGGGGTATTGCAAAATGGAAGTTTCTGAAGCAGTCGCTTTGTGTTACCTAAGCCCGACTTCTTGTTAACAAAGCAGCCATTGTCGTAAGCCCATAGCCTATGAACAGAGACAATAAGCACATGAATCCTAAGCTCCACAACGCAACTTGCAATAACTACTTACTGGTTTTCGCTATCGTTGAACTTTTGTGGCCAGATAATTACATTTGCGCCGTCCTTTGAGAATGTATAGGTTACAACTTCAGTACGAGTGCGGTCAAAGTGAATGGTATATTCGCGAACAACGCATTCGTTCAACGTACCTTTGTTTGTCCGTCAAACACATCGAGTGCCGTGCCGTTCTTTCGAGAGATTATCCAAAAGTTACCTTGAGGGATCGAGGACATTGAGTATGTAAGGAAGAAGCGAGTGGCCAGAGGACTGGCACGCACGTTTGCCTTAGCGTTTAGGCTGAAGGCGAATTACACGTGACTTGACTTGGCGTGCGATTTCAAACCGCCCTTCAAAGATACCTTTCAATTGATGTACTTTCTACCGTAAGTGGCTGGAAGATATTGAATTCAATGACGGTAATAATATCGTTAGGAGATTATGTATCTGGACATCCATATTTTGATTCACTGGTGGTGGAATATTTAAACACAGTAGCATGAACCATGAACTTTGAACTTTGAACTTCCAACATCACTCAAAAAATGATTGCCTCTAACCTTCAGATGTGTTCTTCTTTAATAATCCTGAGAAAATATTTCACAATTTATCGAAGTATTCGTCACGATACGACTTCAAGCAGTACAGTTGTACACACATTTTTTTTTCTTGCAACATAGGTGATTTTTTTAAAGGCAGCGTGATTTGGACAGTCAACGCCAGCAACGGTCCTCCTACCTTTTTCAGATAGAGATAATAGAATCATACTGCTATTTCAAATCCATTTTAGCTAGCTATGTCTGTTCGTAATCGAACGCAGGAATTTCAGGCGTTTGCTTCGCGGTTGTCATCTAGAACTAATCCAAACAACCGTCGCGCTCAAATCAACATTGTACAGTATGTTCCAAAACGTGGAAATTCATCCACCTTCACCTTGACGGCAAAGGAATTAGGACGACACATGAAGACAACCGAAGCAGAATTGGAAAAGTTGAAAAGCTGTACGAGTAGTTATTTTTTCTAGATGCAGCATTACACCACCTTTATTAATCTCCATTTCATACGACTCGGTGTAGTAACAAATCGGCGAGCTCTATTTGATGAAAAGCCTGTCGAAATATCTGTAAGTTTACTACAATCTTCTGGTCTTTCAATCGGTATATCATCAATTATTAAAACTAAATTGGGTAGGAATTGACGTATATTATCAAACAAAATATCACCAAACTGAATCATGGAATCTCAATATTACAAAGTACGACAAAGGCAGGACCAAAGCAACCGCATCAAGTTCGCGAGCATTACTCGGAAGTTGTCAGCAGTCTTCAAAACCGACTTGCAAACATTTCAGTAGGATTTAAAGAAGTTCTTGAGAAGCGAACTGAGGTAGTTATACACTGTGTTGATTACGAGGTTGCTCATTTGCCGTTACTAACTTTTCTGATACCAGAACATGAAAGTTTCGAAAGAGAGGCGGGACCAATTCTTCCAATCAAGTGATACCAGGACACCGTCACCGGCACCACAGGCGCCGTCACCTCCGGGCGGCAATACCTACATTCCTCCCGAGGTCTCAGAGCTACATCGGAGGAAGACATATGCACGTATGTAGTGATTCTCGAAGTTTGGCAACATTCCATGAAAAACATTAATTAAATCTAAAACCATTTCAGCAACGGTTCCATCTCAAGAAGATGATACGACTCTGTCTCTAGGAATCCCGCTACTGACTCCGCAACAGCAACAATTGCAAGCTGATTCAAGATATACCGAACAACGGAGCAATGCCCTCGAAAGCATTGAAAATACCATACAAGAACTAGGGGGCATGTTTCAACAGCTAGTAACGATGGTGGCAGAACAAAGGGAGACGGTACAAAGGTAAGGAAGGAACTACAAGGCAGAAATTTTATTTAGGGGCCACGCAGGTTAAGGCAGGGTCCTCTAACAAGCTTTTTCCCATTTGTAATTTATGTTATTGCAGAATCGGACAAAACACTGAAGACATTGAGAGCCATATTAACGTCGCACAAGGCGAATTACTACGATATTACCGTAATATCTCTTCGAATAGAGGGCTGATGCTCAAAATATTTGCCACTATCATCATCTTCTTCACCGTATTTACTTTAATGTCGTGACCACACACTCAACTTTTGAGACCATCTGAGAATAAATCTCTGCCTGAAACAATTTTTTTTTTCCTTTGAATAGTACCAACCTCGCCATTTTGTCAAACATTTCACTGCCACACATTCTTCCATCGCACTGATTGAATCACATCTCTCCGTTCCCTTCAATCAAGGGAACTGATCCATACTGTTCCCCATATCCTTTACTCTCACTTTACACCTCCCAGCCTACCTTTTGTACTTCTTCCACAATGTTTATGCAACGATCCAACTCTGACACATTTCTGAACGAATCCATCAATGGACTACAAACTGATTTCGGCTCATATGAATCAAACATTGACCCTTTCCTCGCTGGACTTACAGCCGATATGTATATAGACCCCGTAAACGCCAACCAAGCTGGCTCGTCTGATCCAATGAACCTAGTTCACACGCCTACCTCAGAAATTGACATGCCGCTTCAAGACGATGATTATAACCCTTACTCTGCAGAAGATCTTTGGGCCAATATCATGTCCTTTGATCAATCTGTCAACGAGGATGTACAGCCCATGATGATTCCTAATGTCATGAATCCTTCTAACAACACTCAAAACCAAATGGAATTTTCTCAATCATGTCCGCAGCCCATTCCACAACGACCGGCTGCAGGTATGTTCAATTATCCAGTGCAGTCATCACCACTTGCCAATCAGCCGTTTGCAGCTCCTCCGAGTAGCCCAAGCAGACCGGTGGATAGGAAAGGCAGAATGACAGTAAGAGAGCAAGGTGGTATTCGAGCCTTGTTTTCCGGTCCAAGAGCTCAACAATTGACAGACAAACAACCGTTACGGAGATCCGCGTCTGCGAACGGTAAGCTAGGAATAAGAAAGAAATCGCAACTTTCACCTAGAGTTGTGAAGGCCACTCTTCCTAGCCAGGATCCAGCGGTAGTCACTTCCGAAATGCAAGCCGCATACAGACTGAATCAAGAATTGGCGACAAACCATGACTCATATGAACTCTCTCAATCAGTACCACTATCATCATCACCAGTAGCCATGCCTTTCAACGATGGGTTTCATGCCGGCTCCCCCACACCAATTTACAATAGTTTCTCCGGATACGGAGAGCACATACGATCGGAAAGACGTCGATCTACCTCACTTCCACCTGCCTTACCTCCATCGTCTATGCCGGCGCTAGGTGTACCAGAAATGGGAATTATGCACGGTGGTAATGCAATTTCAGCACCTAATACGCCTCAGGCTGCCAACCATTCCTTGCCTATACAAATTCCAAGAACGGCCAAAGCTCACCCTCAAACTGTGGCCATGTCCGAAGAGGAACAACAGAAAAAGCTAGATGAACAATTGCTTAAAATCGATTTTGACGACATCACTGTAGCAGAGCTCAAAGAGATGTTACGAGAAAGAAAGAAGGCGACGAATGGTAAAAAGGCAGATTTAGTGCAGAGGCTTTCAGACGAACGGCGAATGGTCGAGATGAGAAGAAGCCAAGGAAACAGAATTCCTCCTGCTATGCCACCTGCTAATGCCCACATGTCGTTTTCTGTGCCAGACAACTGGTATATGACCGCCTAGGACACATCACTATGATCAAACTCTGTAGTTTAGCCCATTTATTTCTTTAAAACGCTGTTCCATCTGTACAAAACTCTTGACAAATATTGTTTATTTAAAAAAAAAATATTTTGCGCGCCAAAATGTTATTATGATAATACGTCATATGAAACTTGAAAACAATATCACGATACCAGGACAGAGAGTCTTAAATTATGATCGCAACATTAGTTAAGTGCAAGTATGGCAGAAAAAAGAAGAATTTTTTTTAAGCACATATACTCACATATACACGAGTGAAGATATTGCTGTGTTTGAACGGCAATCTTCAGATAGTGGATGTTGAGGGTGGAGGGAAAATGCAAACACAAGACTATACATACCCTTCCATAAAGGATCATTGGTACTCTTGTTCAAACCAGCGTGCCAGCCAGCCGCCGCATCCTGTCCAGATGGGCCGGGCAAATAAAATATAGAATTAATGACTTTGATAAATGTGAAATTTTCAATCCGAAGTTTAAACCCCACGTTTGAAAGGTACACGAAACCAAAAAAAAGGCTTATCATTTTATCTTATTTTTACGAGGGGACTGTATTCATGAATGAAGAGTTAGTAAAAATGGTTCATATATTGGATACGTGGGTTGAGCACATGTATGACAAACGCACCAGTGGATTGTCTGTCCCCGTAGCGAACATAGAGGAGTACGAGATTGGATATGGAGCTCAATATTATCCTCAAAGCAGTAAGTATATGCTACAATTAAAGGATAGGGATTGAGGAGGAATAAACTGGCAAGCGATTACTGAACAGGCCACTGCTCGTCTGCAATCAACTCCTACTGGCTTCGGTGCTGGAAACTTTCATCAGTCCAATGCTTTCACTCTGTCAAGGGTAAGAGTTTCATAATCAAGCTATTTTATTGTAATAGACATACTGTTGTGATTGACATGGTTGAATGTAAGATAAAATAAAGTTCTGCTGGAGATATGAAAGTTGATTGAATGCTGTACATCAATATAGATTAACTTATAAATAATGAACAAAACGGAAAAAGGGATTTAAATATAACAAAAGCTGCTTGAAGAGACTGCTGAGTTTTCAACCCTAGACTTTAAGAAATTGCTATTTACTAATAAGCATGCAGGCGTAAATTTAGACAGGCAGAGTTGCGTATTAGAAAGAAAAGAATGTATATTCAAACTGTATATTCCAAAGTGCACAAAAGTACCGTAACAATGAAAAAACCCTTGTAATACTACAAAATGATGGCCACGCAATCGACAGAGCAGATAATAAGTTAAAAGTTTTGATACACTCTGTCGAATACGATACGTCGACTCAATCCGACCAACCGGCAATCGCGTCCCTATCATGGTGGGATGATTTGACCCGAAATGACTTGATGCACCTCCTGCAGTAATTTTTGTCCCTCTTCCGATTCTCGCGCATCCACCATATTTCTTCCAAAAATTAAACCAAAACTATCTACAAATTGTGGAAGAACGTCTTCTACTGTGACCTTTCGGTTGAGCTGCTCCGATAATGAGGTTGTTTCCTTTGTTGCAAGTCCGCAAGGTACAATTTCCTTAAACCAAGAGAGATCCACGTCGCAGTTTATGGCAAGACCGTGACTACTAACGTACCGCTGCAACTGAACACCTATAACGTGGACATTGATTATTCAGAGCTGTCAAGCATATCACTCCATTCCAAGGCTGACGTACCTAGCGCCGCAATCTTATGGTTGTCATCCACCCATACCCCGGTATTCTCGGTTGTCTTGGCTTTAACTCCATATCTCCTACATGTTTCAATGACGGCCTTTTCAAGATATGATACATAGCACCTAACATTGAGCTAATGCCAACAGCTGAATGAGTATCTACCACATAGTGTACGCCTTTCTCTCTCTACTTCCTGGCTTACCTGGTAATCTCGGATATCTAGAATGGGATACCCAACGAGTTGTCCCGGGCCATGAAAGGTTATTTGCCCGCCTCGAAGAGTTTCAAAGTATTCGGCACCTAGGCCGTTGAGACGTGCTTCTTCCTCTAATTCAGATCTACCCTTGATGCGCCGACCAGCAGTGAATGTCGGCGGGTGCTGAACCAAGAGTAAAACATCCCGAATGGTAGGATCGGCTGGATCGTGGCTTTCATGGTTGAGATCATGGCGCCTTTTTACAAGGTGTCGCTGTAAAGCGAGCGCTTTTCCGTATGGCACTATGCCGAGGGACAGATAGGGTAGAGTTCCTGTCGCTGTACGGGGTGTCGCCGAAGAACATGCACTGAAAGCTCTTCGTAGCATTACGACAAGCCGAAGGACTCTACAGTGCGGAGAGGTCGTGGGCACAAAATACTGCACGCAATGAGTCTCACCCGATGGGTTTTTGACTCATACCCCGCACCAGCTGTTTCTTGCCTATACATTTTTGCCATACAAACCCCCACCCATGTCTTCACTGCTGCTATTGCAAATAATATTTCAGCAAACTCCATAATGCCAGATTCCGTTCCTTTCGATTTTTTATTATTTAAAAACCAACTTCCTCTATTATAAACATAATGACCTGTCAAAACAAGTGAGACACTGCGACAGACCACATGGACAGCCCCGTGTCATGTATCATGGTATCAAAGGACTCAAACATGAGTATTCCACTGTCCAAAAAATATTGGTAAGCATGTAACTGGCATCAAGAAACAAGCGGAATATAAGTGTACATACCAATCGGTCACCAGAGTCACCAATACCGGGACGAATATAACTACAAATGTCTTTGTGAGAAACACGAAAAACATGTTGATTAAATCTGTTAGGAAGAGATATTTACCCATGAGAGTCCAGTACTTCGTCTACGGCTGCCAAGTATAGAGTGATATCTGGATGGGCTTCTTGTAGGTTTTCTACTCCCTGTTTAGACTGTTAGCTAGTTAGTATAATTCTCCGTTGTAGCAAGGTATCAAACGTAAACGAAATTTGACAATGTCTTACGGCAACCAAACCCATGAATCGAATCTTTTCACCAGGAATACCCCATTCCTTCAAAATATGAACTGCTGCAATGGCCGTATTGCCTATGTTCCTGCTTCTTTAGAATGATGCTGTATTGCTTTGGTTGGCAGTAAAAAAGGACCTACCGGTAGCTATCATTGGGTCAAGCACAATGCAGGAGTCCACATTGGGTGAGCTTGGAAGCTTGTTATAGTACTCCACCGGTTGCAAGCTCATCTAAATGGACCTTTTCAGCCAGCTGCTTTACCCACATCAAATCATGGACAGCTTCCAAACAACTTTACCTTCTCTCGGAATAGACCTAGATGCAACACATGTGCCTCGGGAATAAGGTTCAGCATACCTAGAGTAGTAACGAGACAAAATAAGTAAATTTTGACACAACGCTTACTCAACCAGCCAGTAAGACATACCGTCCACGAACCCAAGGCCAGAGCGCAATATTGGTACGATAGCGATATTCTCTTTCAAAACGTCTCCCTGAAACGATTCTAAAGGACTCTCCATCTAGGACAGGGTCGACCGACAGAGTTCAAACAAGGCAGAGAGTGTAAGCGTCTATGTAACGATAACAACACCAACGGTCAACTCAGAATTCAAAGGACTACTGCTTACCGTCTCGCCCTTTTGTAGCTCTAGGTCCTTTGTAACTTCATATCCTAACAGGACAGTTAGATCACGCATAGTGTCACGCACGAGCTTGGGGGAGCTGTTCTTATCCCTCAAAATAGTCAACTTGGTGGCTATGATAGGGTGTGAACTGACGTAGAGGTTGGTTGTGCTTGGAGACATGTTGAAGCAGAATAAGAAGAGATACCAGGGCAAAACCCGTGTGAAAAGGCGGTAAAACTGATAAGGGCAAAAAAAATTACACTCGCTGATGGGCTGGTCAGCTGGCGCCCTTTGCTTACAGTTGGGCCCATTCAATTTAACTCCTGCCGCGGCCCATCAAAGCTGCCCCTTTTCTCTTCTTCTTTTTCTCTTTTCATTTCTAATATGACTTCAAGCGACAGTGACCTACTTCATCAGCTAGTAACTCAAATACAAGCTTTACGGGAAGATCAGCTCAAACTTTCCATGCAGGTATGTCAAATGATCGTCCCCGCAGGTTTACTGTACATCGTCGTCTTCTTGACGCATTGCTTATCCTTTTTATTTGTATAGGTGGAAAAGCTTTCCTTATCTCAACCAAAATCGTCCGTATTAGCTTCCATGGCCAACTCTCAAGCAGATAGCAGAATTCCAGACTCACCCAGTGTGACTGCCACCATACCTCCATCCCCATCTATGACCCCGATGCTGGACGACGCAGCGACTGAAAAGTCAGTGTCTCCGCCACCGTCAATAACAGCAAAGTCTCTGTATTCACAACGCGTGATTCTGACCAGTAAGTTGTCGTTGCATTTGAATAAATTTGATGATGTTTTACTCATGGATTGTTTACAGCCTATCCTGGACAGCACGGTATTCATCCTGTGGCGCTCAATTGGGGCGCCTCGGATGCACATAAGCGAGGTCCAGTTGTAGCCTCCCGTCATCCAGGAAGTATCAAGCTAAGGTAAGTTTATGTTTGGTCAATGGAGATTCCTCTGTGTACAGTTTGTTTAACGATCGTGACATGTTACTCTTTTGTTTGTGTATCAGAAATGCCATTGGTGCCTACGGAGGTTCATACTGTGTGTATAGAGCTTTGGCAGTGGCTATTGGAGACTTGCCTTCCAACCATCGTCCCAACTTTGAAATGACCGAGCCTACATTCAAAATTGGCCCTTTCGCTGCTTGGTTTGATCCCACCAAAATCGTGTCTATTGACCCATGGGGCCATATGACTTCGAGCATTTACCGCGATCAAATAAACGGGGGTTTGGATGTCAGGTACGTTATATATCAAATAGATCCATCCCCATGTATACATTGCTGCAGACTCGCTTAAACTAACATGCTACCCCTGTTCTGGTAGACCTACTATTGCTATTACCAAGGCACACATGAAGCTGGCCGAAATGGAAATGAGTGCCATGCGTGGAGGTTTGGAAGTAGACGGAAAAATTGTCATTAACAACATGGGAGAACTTGCTGTGTCAAAGGCAGCTGTAGAGCCTGTTTGGTATTTACCTGGCGTTGCAAGTCGATTTGGTATTGAAGAAGGTGTTTTGCGACGTGCTCTATTGTAAGTATGACTCCAATTTTTAGTATCCTCTCATATACCGGCAGCACCTAACATTCTCTATCTCGGTTTTTTCGCACGCTTAGTGAAGATACTGGTAAACCTTCTTTTTCTTTTTAATCTCAACCGATATGCGGTTATTCGAGAGCTCACAATGAACCATATCTCAACAGGTGGCATGTACCCAGAGCTTATCACCCGACCTGACCTCAAAGTATTTCTACCCCCGATCGGCGGTATCAGTGTGTACATTTTTGGCAATCCTGCCTATATATCAGGTAACTGTTTTAATTGCTCCACTCAAAGAATGCCAAAGGAACCGCGGTCCTAACCAACAGTTATGACTGGTAAGATCCTACCAAGAAACTCACTCTTAGAGTTCATGATGAATGCAACGGTTCAGACGTGTTCGGAAGTGACATTTGCACTTGCCGCCCATACCTTATCTATGGTATGGAAGAATGCGTAAAGCAGGCACAGCAAGGCGGTGTTGGGGTTATTGTATACTGTACGTATCAGTTTCACAAATTGAAACATCGCTCAATAGTCACAGCTGCTAATCCAGCTTGTCACAGTCAGAAAAGAAGGTCGCGCTTTGGGAGAAGTCACCAAGTATCTTGTATACAATGCACGTAAGTACACATGACTGATATGAAATTACAAAATGCCCTGATGATTTATTTGTGATACCAGGTAAACGGCAAGAAGGCGGAGACACGGCCGACCACTATTTCTTGCGAACAGAATGTATTGCCGGCGTCAAGGACATGCGATTCCAGGCGTTGATGCCTGATGTACTTCACTGGCTAGGCATCCAAAAGATCGATCGTATGATGGTAAGCTTTCATTGTAGCAGTGCGAAATGACGCGTCCTAAACACGAACGATGCCTAATGTATAAAATTGTACCATTTATGTCCTTTTTGCAGTCGATGTCCAATATGGTAAGCGAGTTCAGGTCCGTTTGGCCCCGTGTCTCATCACTCTCACTAACAGCACACCCACTGTAGAAACATGACGCTATTGTTGACGCCGGTATTCCCATTCTTGAACGCGTTCCTATTCCTGATGAGATGATTCCTGCCGACTCAAGGTAAAACGTCGACTCGTCATGTACCCCAAATTTGCGTTTGCTCACACCCTCCTTATTTTACTGCAGAGTCGAGATAGATGCAAAGATCGCTTCAGGGTACTTCTCCACTGCACAGGCTCTTAATACTGAGGACCTAGCAAAGGTCAAAGGCCGTGACTGGGAAGATATTGAACATTAGTTAGAGATGTTTTATTCAGACAGCAACGTTTTTCATGACGTGCAAGAGTGCGTGAATCTAGTTTGGGGCTTTATGTTTAGTTTAGTCGGTCAGTAAGGATAATAAAGGAGAGCAGACTTGTTTTTCAATGCATCATCATCTGGACTTGAGATGCTACTAAATCCGGTCAAATCAACTGAAGTATGACTTTTCTAAATATCAATTACGTACGTTTATGTGCAAAATACATTTTTATTTTATTGATCATTTGCAATGTAAGAAACGTAACGGCAAAAAGGAGAAGAAGAAAATTACAAAGCTGTTGTAGTTGCTATTCCTCGTCAGGGGAGATGCGTGCTATCAAAAGATGGGTATCGATAGTGAAGAAAAAGAAGAAAGAAATGGTAGTAACAGAAGCAGCACCCGGCAGCTTGTTACTTTTTCCGATGCGATGCTTTGAAAAATATATAAAAAAATAAAAGAAGGAAGGGTACTGTTACAAGAAATGGGGGGACGAAAAGTGCGATGAACGTCACAGGTACTTTTTAACCAGAGGTGGAGGGAAACAACAGAAGAGGAACAAAAGAGTTATGGAGGGCGATTATTCACGCCGTGAGTGCCTAGAAGGTGCTCTGTCGTGCTGCTGCCGAGACCTGCTCGTGCCGATGATATGGGGTTCAGGATAGTCTGCGAGGATGTAAAGGGGCGGTGCACTCGGCGTGTACGCTGGAGGTGCATCTTGACTTGACGTAACGGATGAATCATCTCGGAAAGTTGAAATGGGTCGACTACCAGATGGTAGTCCTGCTGACGACGATGGATAGTCTCTAGCTACAAGATGATACAAGTTTGCATGATCATCGTTAAGCTCTTTTGCCGTGGGGGCCGATGGGGGTGGTATGGCCTGAGTATGTGCCAGTGTGCGCATACTTCTTGAAGGTGACCCATCGTGAGATAGACTGGGTATTTCTAAATAATGCTGTCTCAAAGAGTCATTCCCTGGAGTATGCGCCATCGGTAAAGGAGCAAGCATAGGGGCAGATGGCTCTGAGTCAGGAAGACTGTGTGCTTCATCTGGTAAACCGTAAGGTCTCTGAAGTATCGGTCGAGAAGAGCCCCCATCGGAGCCGTCGTTTGGATCGCCTCCTCTAGAACGATGCTCATTTAACTCTATATCGTCATTTCGCGTTTTGTTTCTTCGGCTATGACTCCTCTTTCTCATATATAAAAGGGTTGCTGCCGCCAACAGTGAAACAAAGCCAACGGTACCAACCAATGAAGAAATCAGGACCAGTCGCTTTACACCATTTGGATTTGGATCCGTGTAGTTATCGTCGACACCATCGCTGTTAGGCAGAGGAGATGACTGAGGATTATCGTTCCCTGCAGCAGTGTTCGTAGGTTCGGCCGATGAGGTTGAATCCCCAGTTGCGACTATATTTGGTTTCACATGGCCACCATTTTGCCATGAGTTATCTGAGTTATCGTCGTCGTCGTCGTTAGGGTTATATGTCTTTGGCGTTGCTTCGACGACTATGGTGACAGTTTTTGTTTCTACGGCTTCGGCTGTTTTGCTAGGAAGCAAATCTTTGTCCAATTGCTTTATAACTAGGCCTGATAGTTCTATGGTTGGCGCAGGGGGTGAATGGGCCTGAGCAATGGAGCAGATGACACTTATGACCAATAAGATTTGATATGAAACTACAGCATAAGAAGTGGTATGCCTTCGCTTTGAAGACAGTGTCAGCCGCATGGAAATTCAGGGTTCAAATGCGTGTGTAATAATGTTGAAAAGTATAGATGGTGGGTTAAAGGAAAGGAAAAGTAAATTTAGCTGCAAAGTTTTGGGTGACGCTGGAAACACAAAAACACTGAAAAAAATTGCCTCGACATCTGCGAGTGCTTCTGATTGGCTCTTCGCTCCCAGTACGACCTGTGGACCTGATCACACAAATTTCTGATAACACCAAAAAATCACAGGAAGCTCGTTGGGTAGGTGAACATACGAAATTATGGTAATTATATATCAAAAGAAACTTCTTTGCAGTTCTATAGCTGCTGCTCAGCTCCTGCAATGCCTTTTTGCAAAAAGCAACGGCAGTGATTACAGCGGTTTTCCCGGGATTTGAATACCTTGGAACTCAATCTCCACTTTCCCAAATTCCGTGTGTACAACAATGTAAGAATGTGGGTACTGCATAGAAAAAGGACAATAAAATAGAGAATGGTATAGCAGCTCATCCAACCCATCAACGACAGCAAAGAAAGGACTTTCGATCCGTTGTAATTTTTGAAACCCTCACTCCCTCATGTCTCCTTTTTTCCCTGTCAAGCACTTTCAAAGTGGTCAAATGAAACATACACTGGCTGGGGTCCCGCAGAAATAGCTCAGCCATTATTTACAAGTACGGTTCATTTGCGATATAAGCGGCGACCTCACGTTTTGATATCCTGTGATCACTCGGACCCTTGCGTACTAAAGAACAAACATTGACCTGTGCGTCTGGGAGAAAAATAGAAGAAAGGCGAGCCCTGTTCTACGTTCATATACCTCATGCTTTACAAACGCTCGCAACCATGGCCCTTTGACCCCCTGGAGTGCCATCAACCGCGTCCCTTAAAGGCTTTATTTCCTGCTCTGCACTTTTTGAGCGGTCTGGCCGCTAAATGTGCCATCGACATAAGCATGCCATCGTACTGAGACATGAATCAGCTTGTTTATTTCTTCGACCTCACTTTACTTCTTATCATTCCGAAGCCATAGAACAGAAAATCAAAATTGTATTATGCAAAGGATACTGCTGATATACTTGTATCTAGCTTCTTTGTTTGTACATATAATTGCGTATCATTACATAGGCTGTTATCAGGACAGTTTGAGCAAACCTTTGTTCAATGGTCTTGGCCAAAAAGGTCCATACATCGATTTAGATCTCTCTACAGCGGCATGCGTCGACTATTGCGCTCAACGCAAGTTCTCTTACATGGCTGTGCAAGATGGTATCATGTGCTATTGCTCCAACGTACTGCCAACGGTAAGAACTGTCAATTGGCCGACCAAAAAGTTTATCATGCTATTAATCCTTCTCATACGCTGTTTGATAAAATACCTTTATCGCTGTACAGAAAACTCCCGTCAACAACAGTTACTGCGATGTGTCGTGCCCCAACGATGCTGTGGAGCAGTGTGGTGGTTTAGCATACGACTCTGTTTACTCAAGTTTTGTTCCAGATCACGCTTCATCGCACGACTCAGTTCCAAAATTTCTATCGCCACAAATGCCTGCCACCATCGAACAGCGTCGCCCGGTTCCACCATACATTGTGGTAATCTATTGCGTTGTTGGAATTATTGTAATGTGTTTCTTGGCGTTCTTGATATACACCTGGAGAACAGTTCGAAAGCATACTGTACCCCTGGAGGAGACAAAAGAACTTGAGAAGTGCGAGCCACGCTCCCTTTGGTCGTCTATGCAATTGTTCGTTGACAGGTTTCGGCTATGTACAACTAGGAGGGGGAAGATGGCTGCCACTGTATGATTTGCAGTACTTATCATGGAGATTGGTTATTATCTTCCTATTGCCATCTGATATGAACCTATCCTTGATGAACAGTTACTGATCAGAAGGTATACGGACATAGACTGACGTCCATAGAACAACTCTCTAGCCTGGTGAAGAGATATTTAGGCACAATCATTATGTAAATTACTAATTGCGGGATATCGATACATCAAACGACAACGAACACAGTAAAATTTCCCTTTAATTCTGCCACTTTCAATTTTTTTGGGTGCCTGTTCTCTGTTCTGCGGGGTGCGATCAATGCTAATCCTCCATGTCCGATCAGCAATCACTCGACACCGCGTTCATAGCAACGCGATACTCAGAGTACAAGCAGAACTACTTCAAGATAGGAAGGGAGGAAGTGGTGTGTAGTTTATTTGGCTTGGCTTCTGAAACCACGTCTACTTTGCGCATTCACTGAGCTATGCTTTTGAATCATAGAGTCCTGTCATTACCCCCGCAATATGGGCCGAAATGTCGCTTAATGATCGTGCAATGTAAGGAATATTAAGACGAATTCTAATATCATGAGCCCACATGAGTAAACCTTTAGCATATCCAATTAGAGTCGCTCTATGTGATCTGTTCACGTTGTATCATCAATGTAACCGCGACGCCACTCTTTCATCAAAGTTTGTCAAGTCTTGCGTCAGGACTATAGGAAATGAAGCTGTGATCAATGAAGTAAAACCTATGCTTCCAATACTCGTGGAGTGGTTTATTGAACTCGATGGTAATAATGAAATATCATCATTGGAGGTAAGGTGTCTGGGCAAACGGTTGGTGTTTCTGTTCATGCCTATTGTTAATGATGTACGTGATAGCCGTTGATTAGAAGCTTCGTTTATCTTCCTACTCGAGCAATTCTTTTGGACAGCATACTGGTATATGATGAAACGACGTTTACGAGGGTATGTGGGATCGAACCGTTTGTCTCATTAGTTATTACCTGCTTACCCCATGGCTCCCTTCTAAGATTGTAGATACTCTACTCCAAATTGCAAGTAATGGCTCTAGCCAGCTTACTTTTTTCATAAGGTAAATAGATCGAACTTTATAAAGCAACTTCAATCGCGATCGACAAGTTTTGACAGTACCATAGTGAAAATCTGTACGCGTTGGTTCAAAAATACCCAAGCTACGCATTGTCCGTCAGGTTCAAGCTAGTCCAGGCTCAATTACTCCCAGATCTCGCTCTTCGATTGACGATAACACATATTCACGACGAGGTAAAATAGCAATGGTCTATATAATGTGGAAAGGAAATGCCGCTAATGAAAGACACATTGAAAAACAAGGTAAACTTCTTGAATGGTGAGCTTGCGGGATTACCGTCTTGGATCCTATCGCAATCAACCAACATCGCTCCACTAATTACCACCATGAAAAACAAACTTTTTGAGTTGGCTAAGGAACAAACAGTAAGCGAATTGCTTATCTATGGCATGTCTATAATGCTATACTGACATCGATGAATTTTTGCAAGACCAAGGAATCTCCAACTCAATTAGAAATGGCAAAAATAATGCGAGCTATCATAGGGTTACTTGGATTCTTTGGTATTAAAGCAACCGAAGAACAGTATAAAGTGTGCTTTGATGTTATTCGAAATTCAAACACTGAAAGGTACGTTACATTTAGACTGTACGAATAATGAAAGCAGTCAATAACCCATACCACGTTTAGGACTATGGAGCTTAGCCTCTGCTTCATATTGATATGTGCTGAGCAGGTTCTACGGCTACCTCTTGTGAGTTAACGTAGTTCTAAAACCTAACAAATTCTATCCTTACTGACCATCCACTTTAGCGAGAACGCAACGGTCTGTTAAAACACGTACTGGAGTCAACTGTGACAGAGATGCCGGCACTAATAGCAGTAGAATTTGCTGCAAACCAAATTTTGCAAGTGGAGGAAATGGTACGAGAGAAGCTGAAAATGGGAATCATGATACGTAAGGCTTCAAATTTCCACCTATGTGATAAGGTGTTTAGTCGCTCACTTTGCGTTACAGCAAAATTATACTTGTTTGAAATGCAGAAGCTTTTCAAGACGCTCGAAGTTGATATATATGCCAAGTTCCGTCAAACGCAGGAGGAGTGATTATAATATACACTATGGTTTTATGTATGTACATTGACAAGAACTTTAAACACATGTAAAATAAGAAACCCATAATGCTATTATGTGTATGCTACAATGGAGGATTGATTGTATGTGATATATGCAGGCGTGGTATGAGGGATCCGAGAATAAATAGTGTATTGCGTTGGGGTTCGCAAAGCAACGCAGCGCAGTGCGACGTTCCAGAGGTTATGCCATAAAGTCGTCGTCTTCGTATATTTCATCCCTAACCGCCAAGCATTCTTTAGCTGTTAAAATCGCTTACAGTAGAAAGCTATGTCAGGGCTAACAATGACAATGCTCACCAGTTAATACCAGATACATCATCATCTCCGTTAAACTTTGCTTGCTCTGAAGCTCCCCGTTGTTCCTCCAAACCCTTCATTGGTGCTGTTTGATCAATCGATCATAATGTCAATACCCGCAAAGCAGAGAGTGCCTATCAGTCTTTTCATACACTCACATTTTAATTGCTCAGACGTTGATGTTGAAATTGATTTCGCTTTTGCTTTCTCTTCTTTCAACCTTTTCGCTTCTCGTGCTGCCTTAATCAAGCTGTCGAATTCCGAACCGTATTTACGCTGTAATAGAAGGAAGGTCAAGGATTTACGTGTGCAACGTACATCTATCTATCTATTGTGCATGCATTGCTACGAGTGCTTCAAAAAGGATATTGTGCTGTTCAATGCCATCTTGGTTGATCTTTTCCTCCGTCACGATGGCAAGTCTTCCCTCTTGTTCCAGCAACCTTTTCCGTAATACTTTGACGTCCACCGGGTCTGTTGAATCTACGTTTGCATTATACAAGGAGATCCATTCCTTATGTCTCTTTATGAGAGTGCTTTTGTCTCCCTTGTCGGGCAACCCGAGCTCCTATTCACCAACGTGCTTAGTATATCGTACACCGGTCGCCTAGGTTAACCAATTCCATTATCAACTTACCCTCAACACCTTGCGTAAGCCCACCGGCGTTTCCAGATTGTACACTATTTTTTGTGGCTTCTTTCCAAGATCTACTGCCTTTTTCATCCGCGTCCTGTGGATTCGGCGTGAGTTTACGAGCTAAATACATATAATGAATGAAATGTCGCACTTACAGAGACTTGCTCGTTGAAGGCTGATGTACACCAAACATGACTGGTTTCTTTGCTGATGGTGATGGACTGGACGAGGTAGAAGATGGCTTATCCAGCGAGGGATCTGGCTTACCCTGTTCGCAGAGATCCCAATGTTGATTTAAATGATTCAGGTCTATCTTCCTATGGCAGATATGGCAGTCTACTCTGGTATCTTTCATAGAAAAGGAGACACGTTTCAATTACGGTCTGTATCTCAGAAAGGTTTTCTTTAGGGTTCAGTTCATTTACCTTCTGGCACTGGCGGTGGTGCTTCAGCTGAAGTTTGCGAGGCGGACCTCCGTGATGAGCTTCGAGTTTGGCGAGCTGGGGGCGAACGCTCATCACCATCCGTCGGTTGACTCAACGACGTATCCATGGGACTATCTGACATTGTAACAGCATTTTTATCACGCTCGTTGGCTTGCTTCAGTTGTCCCTCTAAGTCGAGAATCGATTTTCTAGGATCGTACCCGAGATTGCGTCAACCATAGTCGTGCCGTTTTACCTCCATAAATACTTCACCTTACCTGTTGTTCTTCCATACACTGACCAGGTTGTCCACCACATAATTATTATGTAGACTTGTTTCTACGGAATGTGTGCGACAGGATGGGCAGCACTGCTCGACAGTAAGCGATCGCCGTATACATAGAGAACAGAATGTGTGCGAGCATGTTTTCAAAATCATAGCTGTTTGGAAAAACTCTGAGCAGATTGGACATCGAAGATGTTCGTCGACACCTTCAAATGCAGGGTTTGCGAAATCTGTGGGATCATCGAAGTCTTCGTCCATAGTAATATTTGTCACGTCCTGATCTAAAAAAAAAAGTTGCAATTCCACTTACAATTTTTATGTAGTATTTGACTTTGGTACGCGTCGGGAAATTGACTAAACGTCAAATTCAACCGGTGTGATGGACGATCCCTACCTACCCTTCACACCTACCTTATGTTCATGTAGAGAAGCCAGAGAGCCATTAAATCGCCTATCAAGTAGGCTATCAGACGGAAATGTATGGGTAAACATATGCCATACTTGTGGTGATACATGTAAAGCTTAATGCTAGAGCAATGGATAAGTAGACTTCACAAAAACCATTTTTCTCCCCATGCCATAAATTGGTCTCGCACACTATTCTACCAGTGATCTCTATACTCCATTATGCTTTTCATACACAACTTTTCCTCGATAACAGTACAATTCTATTATTCTTTTAAAAAAAAAATTAACAAACGAAAAAATTTACATGATAGCGGTATCTACTTATTCAAGGATATTTAAAACGAATTAAAATGTTGTAGTTAACTCTACAATATGAGCAACTGTACAGTAAAGGGTATCATCAGAGATCCAGGCTGGACCTAGTTTTCGCACTTTTCTGCATTTCGAGCTGTGTGCGTCTTAGATTGTCTTCGTCAGATTTCAACCCCTTCAATGCTGCCTTCTTTTGTTCCTTCTTTTCCTTCTTCATTCTTTGTATTTCCTCTTCAGCTCCTTGAGGGTCACGATCAGGGTCAACGCCATGCTCTCCCAATTCAATGTCTCTTTCCGGTGTACGATTTGGAGGAGGAGTTGGGAAGTACTTGTAATGAGCATTGGAAATGGCAAAGACGCCATATATTACCAGTCCAACCCCAAGAATGACGAGGAAAAATTTGCCACCGTCATTGGTATTCAGTGTACTGATACTCTTGGCAACTACGCTGACATTGCCGCTTGGAATGGGATCTTTCAATGTCTTCCACATGAACGCTGAAACTAAGCAAAAGACACCAGCACGAGCTAAAAATCCAATGCGACCGGCGATATGGACTATCAAGGCTTCCCACTTGCGAGGAAAATCTGGCTCAGATGTTTTCAGATCCCGGATGAATCCACCACCAATACCATTGATGAGCTGGGTGATGGTGGCAATGATGAAAGCAACGCCTACGACGCCTAAGCCAGCCATTCCGAGTTTAGTTGTCGCCCAACTTGCAGGAAACTGGTTGTTTGAAGCGGTTTGTGCCTGTTCTTCCGGTGTCTCGAAAATCATTTTTATAATGTAGTAGGTATATGCTGAACAATTTTGTCAGTAAATCGATTTGATAGAACAGTGTATGTTGGAGTCATTTGCTTACCGATATAAACAAGTCCTGATACGAACGGCGACAGTCGATAGCGGAAGAAATTCTTCTTTTTACTAAATGACTTGTCACTTCCTTGGCCGGTAACAGCTTCCCACATTCTATATGAAGATACAACAATTTTTTTTCTTTAGTACACGCATTCCATTAGCATAGACATGTCTCGGAATTTCTCTGATCTTTACCTCCAAATAATATATGTCAAAAGTCCAATGGCCATGACGATTAAAACCGGTCTACCGATTCCGGGAATACCGCCAAGAAGCAGAAATGCTCCTTGAGGGCTTTCATTTCCAGTGCTGTTGTTGGGAGTTTCTTGGCCACTGACATTTGTCAGAATAAGGACTCCAATAATTCTTTTTGGGCAAAATAAGTTAGGTCGTTGCAAATTTTTCAGTGCGGATCAACGGTCACTTACCCATAAACCATGCCTTTCGCGCAGAAGCCAACTTGACCAAAGATTCGTACGAGACGTCTATTCTTTGAGCTGACTCCACCTGTCCAGCGACTGCGTCTTTTCTCTTCCTGCTTTTCAGTGGCGGCTGGCTCGCTATTGGGATCTGAGCTATCTACATCATGGCTGGCTTGATCCATATCAACGACATGCTGTGCTGTGGCATTCTTTTCGCTTTCTTCTTGGGCATTGTCATGCACTGATCGCTTCCTGTTGAGGCTGAATGGGAGGAAGCGCATTATGAGTTTGGTAGATTGGAAAGGACTCCTTTTGCCCCAGTTGAGACAAAAAGGAGATTCATTATATACGCAATTTGTAAACTATGATGAAATCGACAATCATTATTTCCAAATTTGGCATGCGGTCATTCCAAATCCCCCGCCAGTAACATAATGCCTGTGAATCTGCCAAGCACCAGTCATTTTTCGCTCTTTATTTTACTACAGTGCTGTGAAACAGAAACTCTGGATAAACTGAACCGGAAATGGTGTTGACCTCGCTACTCTTCTCAGATGGCATTTCCTTGATGATACATTTGTGGAGACCTGATTCAGTGCCACCAACCTTTCATACAAATCCTTCATGTCGTTCGTAAATCATTTGGATCACAGGCAGACAATCGTAGTTACCAATAAGCTATATTGAGAGCCTTTAGTGAAATTGTTGGTACCTTGAATCATCGAAAGGAAGTTTCCGTCACTCGAGTGGTTAACTAATTTAGGCGGCGAAGGTCAATTTCTAGATCAGGAAGTACTCGGAGTGGCCCGATTAAATAAATCAAACAATTCTTAGGTGATGCAAAGCAAAATAGACCAGACAACAGTAAACAAGAACTGCCACTACTTGAATTCAAAGTAACGTTGCTTCGTAATTACCATGTACCTTGCTATACATTGCAAGACGTGCAAACAAAACTTTGAATCTCAGATCAATCCAGCGAGACCCTCCGATGAGGTACGCTCATCTGTTCCTGAGCTGGTCTCTCTTGATCAGAGCATGAACCAGGAAACTCCCAAAATATGTCTGTCCATGATCGAGATTAAGTAAACCTGTTTCTGCTAGCGGTTATAGGTAGTTCCAGATAGAGTTTGTGTACACGTTACCATAGGTCTCGAACGCGACTATACCGATTTGGATTTGGCTGCAGGATGTTTACAATGACAGGTAGCTTAGAAATAGAACAATTTGCATATATGCTTTGCTACTGAAAGTGTCATTAGCTATAGATACCATTTCTTTCACTACTTACAGCGTTCTGTTATCGTAAAAAGATGAAATTTGTGGAAAGAACACTGTAGAAATTGAGAGCAATGCGTCATCCAAAAATTTTTCCTAGTTGCCAGTCTCGGAATTCTATCAGCTTGGACAACGAAAACACGAGCATTAGCTCACTAATATTGTCACTACCGGACGATACAATCGGCATTGAGCCAAGACGTACTGATAAATCAAAGACACCACGTCTATGTGGCATTGAGGCGAAACGCCCGGCTAACGAAAATATGATTTTCTTGGTTCAAAGCCTGGTTGTGAGTGCAGCTAATGGTAAGAGAGCAAATATTGTATAACATTGGGCGTAACAGCAAAATGGAAAGAAAGGGATCAGAAGCATTGTTGTTACTTCAGTTGACGGGGTCTTACTTCCGCCTCAGCAACACGGACCAATGTAATATCATCATTGTGCCTTCCAGACGATACAAGTGTCGAACTTGATCGAGTGCAATAAGCGACTCTCACGTGCCCGAGAATGTGTAACCCAACGAGTCACCTACGTCTGGGATTTAAAAGTCCGATTTAGTACACTACCCATTTTTTGTTGTTGAATATACTGTTTTAAGACTCCTGCTGTGTCGTCTCAGACGCAAGATATTGGTTAATGAGCCATAATGGATACTTTGCATTAAATTAAATGCTTTGTATACTTTGGCAAATGAATTTCATACATTCAGCGCACCACATGAGAGCCTAATGACAGGCTGCAATCCACAAAGGTGACATCTCAATTCTTAGAATTGTCTTTATTTACAAAATACTATGTCTAGGCAATTGAACTACATGCAATGAAAAAGAGGATACTCCACGCTATATTATGATATGAAAAAGTTAAGCGTTATATACTTATCCACCATAATGCGAGAGACTTTGTTTATGGTGCAGACAGGAAGCGAATGTACGCTGCAGTATAGGGGTGGCTCTTTATCATACGACTCCTCCATCTTTGACCTTTCATGATGCTATGGATACTGATGACAAAACCATTATGTGGGAAGCCATAGATGGACTCGGCGGCGCTCATGTGGTCACACGCAATACTGGACCCTGAACAATCTGGCCAGATTTGCAGGTCCGAATGACCGTGTGCCAGGATGGGCTACTTCTCAGCTATATTAAATCAAGCAGATGCGATTCAAGTGATTAAGAGGGTGCTATTGATCGCCCATACCTTTCACCATAACCAATGTGACAATACCTGGTTATCGCGTCTCTGGGACAAATTTTGATGGAACAATGCAGTCCATTATGAGCCAATAAAACGAAGCCGCGTCTTTATGGTCTGCCTTTCAAAATTTAAATAAAACGCCCCTCAAGTAACCCACTTGCCCTTTGCAATTACCGAGTAAAACGATGAAACTTTCACTACTGACTTTATTGGGTGCCACTCTCTTGGCAACAAGCACTGAAGCGCTCTATGATAGGAATGGCCCAGTTGTACAACTTACTGCAAAGAACTTCAACGAGGAAGTGATGAACAACGGGGTAAGGATTAGATCTCTGTTGTGTCATGTTAGTAGGCAATGCCTAATACTTGACCTTTACAGCACTTAGTGGCAGTTGAATTCTATGCTCCATGGTGTGGACATTGTCAAAGGTTGGAAATTGGTCAAGATTGAACGCCATTTTCGAATGCTCCCGGCTAACTGTTTGATTCTCCCAAACTGTGTGTAGATTAGCTCCCGCCTGGAAGAAGGCAGCTGCCAACCTTGGTGGCCTAGTCAAGGTGGCTGCCATTGATTGCGACGAAGATCAAAACAAGCCAATTTGCTCGCAATATGGCATCCAAGGATTCCCTACCATCAAGACATTTTCCCCTCGTGCCGACAAGAGCAAGAAGGGCAACAAAAGTGTCGGTGGTAAGTACTGAATTTACTACAAAACTTTTACTGAGAACCATGGCATTAACTTTGTTCCATCCATGTTTCGAATTATGCAGACTATCAAGGTCCTCGTGAAGCAAAGCCCATTGTTGACTATTTACTCTCAGTGCAACCGTCTAATGTGCGATTCGTCAAAGGCGACGCCGCTGATGTGAAATCAAAGAAGTCCATTGCGCTAGACGATTTCTTGGATATTGATGTAAGGATTTAGACCAAAAGCAGAGAATTTCGCTTCCCAGAACTTACAACTGATGATTTTCTTCTTCCACAGAACTCAACATTGCCAAAAGCCCTTCTATTTACCGATAAGGCTACCACCACCCCACTTTACAAGGCGCTCTCTGTCGACTTCCAAGATCGCATGCTTTTTGGTGAGGTGAAAAGCTCAGTCAAGAGAGCTGTTAATGAGTTTGGAGTCAATGGATTCCCTACACTAATTGTTCTAACTCCGGAATCTGGTGCAATCACCTATGGTGGTAAACTCAAACACGACGCTCTTTACAAATTCTTGGAGGAGCATGCAATTCCAGCACCCAGCAAAAAGAAGGGCGGTAACAGCCAAAAAAGCAAAACCAACGCTGAGGAACCTATCAAGGAAGCCGCAGAGGAGCCATGTGAGTGAATGAATCTATGTAAAGGATCATATTAACGCAACACACTCATGCAATTTTTTTTCACTACAGTTGACCCCGCCGTTCCTAGACTGACTACCCAAAAAGACCTTTCTGAACACTGTCTGGATAAGAGCGGAATTTGTGTCATTGGCATTTTACCCACGGTTTTCAAGGAGGACGAGCGATCTGCATCAGAGCAGGCCGATGCTATCAAAGTGATGGAAGGGATCAAGAAAGCTGAACATGACAAGAATGGCAGACTCTCACCTTTTCTTTTCCAATGGGTTGAATCTGAACTTGGACAGGATATAGTCAGCAAATTCGACATGAGCCAAGACTATCCTACGCTAGTCGCAGTGAAGCCGAACAAAAACTTGTACAGACCCTATGTTGGCGCTTGGAGTGACGTTAGCATAAGGGCCTGGTTAGATATGATTTCTAATGGCAGACTTCCAGTTTGGGACTACAAAGGAGATCCTCAGATTAAGGCTGCTAGTCAGCCAGCAAGAGATGAATTGTAAAAAAAAAAAAAACTATTATTATTTTCTGGGACAGATTAAGACCTTCTTGACCGATGCTTACGAATGTACATCTCTGAATAAATGCTGTTTGATTTGATATCCTCCATCTTGAACACAGCTGAGTCCCATGACAACTTGTTACGTTATGTGAATTGGTGCGAAGTTGAATTTCAGCCAGCGATGGGATCGGGACTGAAGCAAAGATTTCAACGGCGTCTGTCATTATCCTGTTTGTGGCTTCACAACTTTAATCAAAAGACTGCCGTCATGAATACAGCCAGCGTATTACCCCGCATATTCAACATGATGTCTACTATAATGCGTAAACAGTAATGTCATCATAGTTGGAACATTCAATTGTATGAGCCCTTTGCATTAAGTGTCGTTCAGACAACTATTCTTTCGCCGTTTCTAGATTACGGAATGTAATTGACAGCAGGATGAACTTGGTTGATGGCTGGCGAATCAACTGGTAGAAAAAAAACCATCTTCCTTTCCACTGCGTTCGATGAACCGAATTGCCTCCAGTACGCTGATTTGTTACTGGATGAATTGGCGGCTAAATCTAGACATTTTAATATGTATGGACTTGTTTCTTGTAAAATCAACAAACGCACAGACTTAGTTACCAGTAATCGGGCTATATATATCTTTTCACACGATCTGTGAGAGAAATGGAGATTTTTGCCAAGGATTAGGCTAGTTTGTGCTAGAGATTGTCATGCAGACACTGTATAGCATACTCCGCAGCTGCAAATTGGAACCACACGAAACATTCCTACCCAGTAAATTTACTTTTACATGCACACGAAGGTAAAAAATGTGAAACCGTTTATTTCATGTCTGTTTGCCGATGCTACAGTTTCAGCCAAGAGCGATCGTATATATAAAGAGCTAAAATAAATGATTTTCGTGTTACTTATAGTCCGATTTCTATTATTTTCCAACACAAACAAAAGATGAAGCTTGTTTCCACAGTCTTGCTATTCTGCTCCATCCTTTTCGTAGTCGCTGCCGACATTATCAAGCCACATCCATATCAAGTCTGGCGTGCTGGTACTACACAAACTGTTCAGATTGAAGGCGACTTCCATGAAGAGGACACCATAGCCATCTTTTTCAATGAAGATCGCGATGCCTTGTTGGCTGGAGGCCCTGCCTCCCAGAAGGTGTTTGAAGTTTACGTTCCATGGGAAGCCAAATCACCAGCTGGAAAGTACTCAGAACTTGTGGTTGTCCACCGTTACCAATACTACCTAAATAATGTTGAGACGGTCTGGGTCAACGTTACCACTCATTGATAATGTAAATCCCTGACATTTATCTTATATATACTACATCACTAGCTAGTTGGCCTATCTGAGGCTCACATGTAATTATCACACCCCAACTGTAAACATTTTTTACTACATCCCATGTAAATTGTATAATTGGACCAATGACTGATATCTAAAAATGAAACTATTTCAAATTTTCCTGGGAATATCGCAAGTGGATGTTTCAGGCGAACTCTTCGAGCAGGGTGGTGCCTTTCTCGCGGTCGCTAGATCCTTGAAAATGGAAGCAAACGTACAATGCTTCCAGTCAATCTGAATAACAATGAACGGAAATTTTTGGTATCATGTTGCAGACCGATCTGTCCCTCAACTACCATCATTGTCTCAGAAAGTTATTGGTCCGGTCCGGCTTAACCCGTACCTCTGCTATGAAGTAACTTGAGACAGACTTACGGTGGGCTCATCTGTTCAGAATGACGACGCTTCGTAGCACTCTTTCATTAATTCATATAGCGCAAGCATTTAACGCGCGCTACAAAAAGGTTCGTCGCCGAAAAAAGCGCCATCAACAGACATTTTGCACGCTTGGCTAATTATTTCAATTTTTTGAAATTTTACTTTTTCTTACTTTTACGGGAAGCTTCTAAGTGAGATGCTCGATGCTTTTGTGATAGAAAAAAAAAACCAAGTTGAAGGGCAGTGACTTGGCACAAGTGTATAACGGAGGAAAAGGTGATATGAATAATAAAAAAAAAGAGCAAAACTCGAAAATGTGATTTTGAAATGGTTAAAACAAGAAAATTACACAACCACAATCATTGCACTAATCTACATTCAAGACCTTCTTCAACTTGACGACAAGAGCCCATTCTTCCTTGCTAAGATCATTTCTAAAGCTCTCCTTGAGGATATCAATGGATTGTCTGGTGATCTTGGAATAGAGTTCATCTGACTCAATAAAGTGTCTACCGTAGGTCTTTGGAGTTTCGTAGACAGCACATTCAATCTTGATGGCAACACCACCACCAGCACCACCACGCTTGACAATTTCCACGGCCTTGTGATTCTGTTCCATAGATGTCACTTTACCAAGGGTGATAATGTCCCTCTGTTTCGTTTCTGGATCAGTTCGAATGACACAGATGGGAGTTCCAATGCGCAAGACACCTTCAACGACATCAACACCAATGATAATGGGGTCCTTCTTGTTGAAAATAGCTTGAGGAACCATCTTCAAAACACATGGGAACACAGCCTGAGGAGCCTGATCCTTTCTCTTTTGTTCGAGAAGTTGTTGATGGTAAGCGGTAAAGGCGTCAAACAAGTGATAGATAATCTCAGCCTTGAAAACCTTGATACCCAAATCGTTGGCAAGTTCTTCGGCTTCCTTGTCGACCTTGACATCGAAACAAAGCATGACAGCAAACTCGCGAGCCTTCTCCAACATGACACTAGCTCTGTGGACATCCTTTTTGTGAACGGGACCAATGTTGATACCAGAAACTGGAATCTTAGATGTCTTAAGGAATTCTAACAAAGCTTCCAAGGAACCAAGGGTTGAGGCTTGGACCCAAACACCGTGACCGGATCGATCAATAGAGCTCATCAAGTTAGTCAAATCAGACATGACTTCTTCCTTCAAGTCATCTTCATCATCATCAGGGCCGCAGACAAGGAGGCGAGAACCAGCAATAGCCTTTTCAAGATCTGGAGCAGAGATTTTGATACCAAGAGCGGCCTTGACTTCCTTGTGATGAACGTATGCTGATTTGACACGAAGTTCACGCATAGGCTGAGGAGTGAGCAGCGCTCGAACTTGCGTCACAATGGGACCGTTAAGGCCACAGACAACGATCTTGTCACCTTCACGCAGCCATCCGTTGACAAGGACAACATCAATTGTGGTACCGAGACCTTCAATGACCTTGACTTCCAACACCGTACATTCGAGTTCGGTAATATACATGAGCTTGTCACTCATACGAGACTGAGTAAGGTTGACCAACAGGTTCAACATATCAGGAACACCTTCACCAGAATGAGCAGAGGTAGGTACCAAAGAAACATATTTGGCAAAGTTCTTGTTGTCATAGTAGAGACAGGCGTTCAAACCTTGTTCAGCAAAGGCAACCATGGTCTGCTGCACACGGTTCTCGAACTCGCGCTTGACGTGCTCTGTTTGCTTGGAAAGAGAGTCTTGGAAACCGTTGTCAGGAATAGCCTTCCAGCCGAACAGACGATCAATCTTGTTGAGAGCAACAATGAAGGGCGTCTTGCGATCACGAAGCAAGCGAATGGATTCCAAAGTTTGAGGTTCCAAACCGTGCATAATATCAACAACAAGAATGGCAATGTTACAAAGTGAACTACCACGAGAACGAAGATTGGTGAAAGACTCGTGCCCAGGGGTATCGATAACGAGCAGACCAGGAAGCTTGAGGCCTTCGCCAACGGCCTTGTCACCGAGAACGGCTGTCTTTTGCTTGATAGCATCACCGGGGAAATAAGTGGCACCAATTTGTTGAGTGATACCACCAGCTTCACCTTCTTGAACGTTGGTTTGACGAATCTTATCCAACAGCTTAGTCTTACCGGTATCGACGTGACCAAGAATACAAGCAATAGGGGAGCGAAGATCATCCTTTGATCGAGCAGCAAGGGCTTCCTTTTGACGCTGCTCACGGCGAGCTGCAGCTTCTTCCTTCCTCTTCAAAGCCATCTTTTGGGTGGCGGTCAACTCCTCTTCGGATGATTCATCATCGGAATCAGAGTAATCAGAGCTGTCTTCATCACTAGAATCGTCGTCCTCATCGTCGTCCTCATCAGACTCTTCTTCAGATTCAGATTCTTCGGCAGCAGCAGGTTTAGCGGCAGGTGCAGCAGGTTTAGCAGCAGCAGGCTTGGCGGCAGGTGTGGCTTTAACGGGTGCTGCGACCTTTTCTTCTTCATCACTGCTTGCATCCCAGCTATCCTTGACTTCTTCTTCTTCGCTCTCTTGATCCCAGCTATCCTTAACATCTGCTTTGTCTTCGTCAGAGTCGGCAGCATTTTCCCAAGAATCTTTTTTTTTTCCATTACGTTAGTATCGAATAGGCATACCTTGAACTGGTATATATTAAAATTCTTTACCTTCTTCTTCGTCTTCTTTCTCTGCAGCCTTCTTGGCTGCTTCCTCTTCTTCCTTGCGCTTCTTCTCTTCTTCGAGACGCTTCTTTTCCTCTTCCTTTCTGGCGGCTTCATTAGCGGACTGAGGACCCTTCTTCTTTTTGCGGTTGTCGTAGACAGGTTTCTTGACCTTGTTGTCGCCATCCTTATTCATAAGACCTTCGACCTTAACACCGGCGTCGATCATTTGTTGGAGACGAAGTTGAGCGCGCTGCTGAGCTTCCTTTTGTGCCTTGGTGAGCAACTTTCCTTCTTTGCGCAATTGCTCCTTCTTGAGCTATAGCAGTAAAGCAAGCAACAAAGGAAATGGCCATGTAAGCAAAAGAATTGTAGTCAAAGCGATATATACCTCAATCATGCCAAGTTCAACTTACTCTCTCCTTTTCCTTCTTCTTGGCCTTAGCTTCTTCCTTCATGCGCTCTTCTTCTTCAGCAATTCTTGCTTCTTCTTCAGCCTTAAGTCTAGCCTCTTCCTCAATTCGGCGAGCCTCTTCTTCAGCAGCGCGTTGAGCCTCCATCATTTTCTAAGAAAGAGTTTGAGAGTGTGAGTTTGTGGATAGTACGCAGTCAAGGCGGACACTTTGGCATATACTTACTCTGAGAGCGGCAATGGGAGCGCCACCCTTCTTTTTACCCTTGGCAGCGGGAGCTTCAGCAGCCTCTTCTTCGGGTTCGGCCTTCTTAGCGCCCTTCTTCTTCTTCTTTTTCTTGTTTTTGGAATCACCCTCTTGTTCGTCTTCCTCAGCAGCAGGAGTTTCAGCTACTGGTTGGGGCTTGGGAGCTTCTTTGGCAGGCTGATCCTTATTCTCAAGACCAATGATCTTGTTGAATTCTTCTTCTTCTGCTTCCTGAGCGGCCTTCTTTTCGAGAGCAGCGGCCTTCTTTGCTTCCTTTGCCTTTTCCTTCTTCAGCTTTTCCTTCTCCTTCTTGGAGAGAATTCTGATCTCGCCGCCGTCAGCATTGTCGTCAGGAAGTGGAGTAGCAGATCGAGAATCGGAAGCTTGGGATTCGAGGTCAACGTTCTTCTTACCCTTCTTTCCTTTCTTTTCCTTGGGCTTTTCTGCCCAGTCGTATTCATCTTCGATTTGTTCATCCTCGTTTGTAGCAGCAGGAGGAGCAGCTTGTTCTTGTTCTTCCTCCTCCTCAATATCGGCGGCTGTTGCCCTCTTATTCTTCTTTCCCTTCTTCTTGGCGGCCTTGCTCATAAGAGCCATCAAACTGTAAAACACATCAGAATAGCGATTAGATCGCCGCAATTCCATGTCTGGACAATGGTTGAAGAATCCCTAACATACCTATCGCCTTCTTCCTCGTCAACGTTGGCAAGCACACCGAAGTCGGCAGTGTTGGTACCGTAGTTTTGAGGAGCTTCTTGGTCATCTTCGTTATTGTTGATAGCAGTAGTGGCGCCAGTGACTGCGGCGTCTTCTGCGAACTCGTCGTCCCTGCGCATCGTGAAGATATAAGTCAATGCCATACGGTCATGAGAACAATTAACAGTGTAGCCAGTAAATGCATCCATACCAGTAGTCATCTTTCTTTCTGTTTCCTCCCTTCTTCTTTCCCATTTTGTTGAGCGAGTATTAAAACAAGTACAAGTTGCTTTGAGGTTGTCGAAAATTGATATTTCTTTCGCCCACACAAAAAAAAAAAAAAAATCCAAACTCGGTTTGTGACGTGGTTCTGTTTGGGCCTTTGCAACAAATCGAAGAAGGTGGAGCTCACTCACCGAAAGACATTCTATAATATTTGAAAAGGTATTTTTAATCATGGCCATGATATTTATATTGCTTGTAAAAAGCAAAAATTCGTTGGAAAACACAGCTAAACTAAAGGCCATGTAGACGCGCCAATTTTTTTTTTTTAATCATTTCAATTCTTGGTCTACAAACGATGTTATTTTTGGAGTATATAATGCATCTTTTTCATATTTGGATTACTTGTTAATGGTGCCAATTTATCGATTACTTCTTCAAAGTGCCAATGATAGCATAAGGAGCGTACTTTTCAACGACATCGGGCTTGTGGAGCATATTGAATTCATCAGTAGCATCACGACCAGCGAAGATAAGAATGGCCTTCTTGCCACCAGGGTGGTCGGGCAAGAAGTCGGTAACGTTGAGAACTTGGCCGTTCACAATCACCCAGCAGTCATCAGGCTTGTTGTGCTTAGCCACCTCTTCCAAAGTATATTCGCCCATCTTCTGGGGAGCATCTTCCTTCTTGGGTTCCTCAGCAGGGGTCTCAACTGCCGATGTTTGTGATGGAGCAGCAGCGGAGGGTTGACCAGAAGAAGCAGCACCGGGCCATGCAATTTCAAAGTTGACCTTGGGTTCGTTAGGGTTGATGGTGATGTTAATACCGATACCACCATTCAAGTGCTGAGCAATGGCACCCAAACGTTGTTGAGCAACAGCATTGCTGTTGTTGACGAGATGGCTGAACAAGTGCTTGGAAGCGGATGCACCAGCAACACGACCAAACACGACGCATCCAAGCAAGGAAGAACCACCAAGACGGTTGGCACCGTGGACACCACCGCACATTTCACCAGCGGCAAACAGACCAGGAATGGCTTTGCCAGAAGCATCATGGACTTCAGACTCTGGTGAGATCTCAACACCACCCATGGTGTAGTGAAGAACGGGTTGCATATGGGCAACGTAGAAGTAGTCGGTCATCTTGATGGGGAAGTTATGGAAATACTTTTTACCCCAAGGGTCCTTTGCCTTGCCATTGCAAATAGCATTGTATTCTTCCAAAGTCTTCTCGAGCTTCTCAGGTGAGATACCCATGTCCTTTGCAAGTTCTTGACCGTTAGCAAAACGCTTCATGAGACCACGTCCAGTATAATGCTTGCAGTGCCATTCGATTTCCTTGGAAGCGGCAGTGTGAAGGACCAGGCGAATAGGGAACTTGTTCTTCCACATCTCACCAGTGACATAATCACGGTGACCTAATTCGTCGCAGAAACGATCACCCTCGGCGTTGAGAAGAATACCACCACAGCCACGAAGAGCCTCGGCAGCCAAGAACTTGACCTTAGCATCAGGTTCGTTAGGATCGACCAAACCAGTTGGGTGAACCTGAACCTTTTCAAGATCGATGGTCTTTCCACCAATAGCTGCGGTCATCTTGATACCATCACCTGTGCAGTGATCACCGTTGGTGGTGGAACTAGTTTAAAAAAGGAGAAGGAAGGGAGTTAAGCGCTGTAGCTTTAGGCAAAAGGCAAAGATATCATCGATATGACAAATTACTTACAGATCAAAGAGTTCTGGGCGGTATTGCTTGAGAAGTGAGTTGTCAGTGAAATCAGCAGCATAACCGCCAGTGGCCAAAACAACAGGACCATGCTCTTGGTAAGTCTTGCCATCAGCGCCCTTGCCAACCAAGGTATATTCAACACCAATAACATTCTTTTGATCGTCTTGGATGAGCTTGTGGACATTAGCTCGCTTGATGATCTTTGCACGTTCAGGCATCTTTTCAGCGGCTTCCTCGAATCCTTCCATGAGTGCATAAGTGATAGTCATACCAGGGAACTGTTCCTTGCCACGATGAGTACGAGGCTGTGAGTGACCACCAAGACGAGACACCAAGCTAAGGTCCAACTGGAATTTATCCTGAAGCCATTCAACAGCAGATGAACTCTTGCCAGTCAAAACCTGAACCAATTCAGGTCTCAAAAGGTCACGAGCTGATCGTGCAGAGTCCTCATAAAAGATTTCTGCAGAATCCTTGATGCCCAACTTGACTTGAGTGCGGGTCAAAGCACCGTTGATACCAGAAGTAGCTTTAGTAGAGTTTCCGCTGTTACGGAAAGCCGAAATTTAAGGTTAGCATAATTTGCGGGGAGGTTCAGCCAGTGTTCTCATTCCGCCCGCCTTACCCAAAGAAAGGATTTTTGTCCAAAAGCAAGACGTTGCCACCTTGTTCCAAGATGGTGTGAGCAGCTGCCAAACCTGACAAACCTCCACCAACAACGATGATCTGGTTATTTAGAGAAGACATTTGAAGAAGAAGAGAAAAGAGAGAGGGGAGCAAGGAAGAAGAGTAGGGAGAAGGAACCTTTTTTTCAGCTTTCAAAATGCCCTCGCAAGTCGGCCGAAACCCTCTTATACCGTCGCTGATCCCGTGACCTGGATAGGGCTAATATTACCTGATCACCTGCCTCCCACTTTTCTCATGGGTGGGTAGCACTTTACACGTGAAGGTCAACGGCATGATATTCCACCACATAATATAAGACACACTGAGACATAAGGAGATAAATAGGTGCCTAGTGCTTTCAAGTAGGCTGCTGGTGATGAGCAAGGTCTTTACAAATCGAAAACGCTTGTTCAAAGCAAAAAGGCATATAGAAAGAACGATGACCACATCGTCTCCTCCACTGCTGCCTTTTCCCCGCATTGGTTAAAGGGAAAGTCAACTCCGAGATAACAGGCCAGTAGCACAGAAAACCAATGTCCAGCCAGCCAGCCAAAAGAACATTAAAAAGTGACAGGTAGAAAAAGAGATTATTTATAATATGTTGGATAGGGTATCATATCAATCGGTCTACAGGATAAAATTGATCAAGTTTGCTAATCCAATCCACCATATCTTGACGGTTGGCTGCTTGCATCAGATATGCATTGTTATTGGTGTACAGTGCAAACACGTTGGAACGCTGTATTTTTCAAAGAGAACATCACATGTTGATAAGCAAAAAAAGTGGAGGGTACAAAAGCGTATCGGCGTTACGTACCTGAAGTAACTCTTCAACTTGTTTTTGATGATCGATTCTAATGGATGCCAGGTTGATCACTCCATGCTCGTCGGTCTCAGAGTGATTGGCATATATGTATATGTATGGTCTAAGTGATGGAAGCAAAGGGATATATGAATGGGGAGTGCTTAGAACGTAAAGTGTAATGCATTGTGGCCTGTTACTTTACCTGCGTACAACAAACCACTTTTTAACCCATTTGTCTTCTACTGCATTCTCTTGATACATAAGGTATCCTTTTTTCGATATACTATCACTACAAAAATCAAGTTGGCTGTTAAATGGCGTGTATCTAGCATGGTCATTTGATTATTCATTTTTTTTAATTATCCTTTACCTTTGAGTGACTTGCTTTACTTCTGCTATGAGTTTGGAATTTGGCCGACTGTGTTGACGAACATCAGGTGATGGTATATCGCTGCTGTCTGGTGGGTCTTGGCTTATGACCATCTAATGTGGGATGATACGGTAAGTAAGCTGGTGGTTGGCGTTGTTACTGGTCATGGCTATGCTTAACTTACCTCTTTACATTTGTATGGCTTGGCACGCCACAGCTTTATAACATTCTTTAGCAGTTCTACTTGTTTTTCGCTATATATGCCGTCTGTATTGGCTTCTACATTAGCAATCTTGAGAGATAACGCTGCTCGTTCATCATCGTCTTGATTCTCTATCATGGCCAAGTGCTGACGAATCAATGCAACTTGCTTTTGCTTTGAGAACAAGGTTTTTAATCTTTGGTAGTCATGAACAAGCGAGACGCCGCGCGGTTGCCAGGAACCTAGACATTCTTCAGCGCGAAGGGTTTTACTGGCAGTGTTCAATCTCCAGAGGTCAGCAACCTTTCTAGTCATGGGCGGTCGAAGGTTGACTAGGAAAATACCACTGCATTTTTTCAACGTTTTATGAGAAGCAAGCAAGTTGCGCAATTTCGATGGGTTGCTGCTATCACGGCCTTGAATTTGGACTGCGATATCCATGTTGAATTTCACGGGTTGTAGACACTTTGTCGCTTCAACCTCCCATTTTAAGTGAAGAAGAATACGACTACTCATGGCGGTAGTGCGATTTAAGAATAGGGAATCGTGCAAAGAGCTATCCCAGATACACTGTATGGAGAGTGTGCTTGTGCCATCGCGAAGGTAAGTCACCTTTTGCTGTGGAAGGAGACGGAGAGGAATGTCTTCATGGGCGGGGGATTCGACAATTCTTCCTTTGGCGTCTAATAACCTGACTTTACCGATGGTGACTTTGGATACACGGGTCCAAGGGAATTGACGGCCAGATGTATGGGATAATGTTAAATAAATACGTCTCTGTAGACCTTGGTGGAGTAAAAATACGCCTGCATCCAACGAGTTCTGTGATAGTAGCTGAGTTGGATTGTAATTACCATCGGGTGTGAGTTCACAAACTTGCACCCAAGCGAGAACATCATGTCTCTCTGCCACTACGAGTTCTTCCTCTGATCTTCGTTCGAGGGCATTATTTGGGCTGTGGTTTCCAGAGGTGTTGGTATTGCCTGCTCCATGGCCGGTATCGGAAGCGTGTATGCTGCCAACTCCGTTACTATTGCCAGTTGCTTTGTTGCTCTTTCCATTGCTGTTACCATTTACATTGCCACTTGCATTAGACCCATTGGATTTTACAGCTCTAGCCTTCTCTCGGGCAGCATCCCAAAGCTCCAAGTGAGCAAGCGTTCGGGGTTGTGCTACACCATAAATTTCAAAGACAATGGGCTCGTTCAGAATCCGATGCTTGACGTTTTCGGTTACAGTAATGGAAATAGTTTGCGAAAAGTTGAACTTTATGGCCGATGCAGCGAAGTCGCCGACGGCCTCGGTGCAAAACAGTTTTTCTGCCACGGAATGAGTGGAAATACTGCCGAACGACGAGAGCTTGAATTGAACGTGAACTTGAGTATATTCTGATTCATATATGCCGTCCAGCTCCTGTATATGCACTTGGAAGGAAAGCTCCTGACCCACTCGAAGCGTGGTATCATCCGTAGTCTGTGAGGTATTCATACTTGTTCGAGCAATAGGATGAATATCTACTGTGAGGGTTCCTTTAATCTGTCCAGTGACCTTACAGTAGACATTCGCCCTGGTTGTAAACGGGCGATGGTACGCCAAGTTGCGTACGGGTACAACTGCGCGGCCAATGAACGAGTACTTTAGACAAGGAATTTCGTAAAATGGATCTTCCCAGTTGAAATGCTTGCGATACTGAGGTTTGTCAACGAAGTTGTACAAGTTGCGCATTTGGTGTAGCTGCATTTTAAGCTTTTCCAGTGACCAAGTGTAAAACGCTTGATGTCGGTTATCGAGGACTCGAATGCCAACACAAGGCTTTTCGGAAGAAACAAGATTGGTATCATCATCGTTGTTGAACTGGTGCAAGGCTGATGTGGTTTCCAAACAAGACAGGGGGTTGGAAGGTTGCTCATCGTCAATGACGGTGAATTGATAGATGACATTTTTTTCGAGCTCACGAGAAATGATATTAGCTTCTTTCAACATGGCCGCATTGGTCAACAATGTTTCAGCCATGATGACAAGGCGTTGCTTCTTCCATTGTTGGATAGCCTTGGTGACAGCCGAGACTTGTTCAGCTGTAAAGAACTCCATGGACGCTGATAATGGACCAAACGAAAGACCGCTGAGCATAGTGCTTCCTGTTGGCGAAACTTGCAACGACATTCGATTGATCTTTTCTTCATACTGCTTCTTTTGAGAATCTAATTGTTGCTGTAACTCTTCTTTTGCTAATTTCAATCGCTCTTCCAAATCAGCTTGGACTATAGTCGCTTCCGTGTCCAGACTTTCAAAACCGTCGTCTAGCAAGGTGCCGTTGGTTGAAGAGCTTCCATTCTGATAGGAATTTCGTGAAGATGTGTCATCTTCGCATTCACCGGCGCGGCTTTCTGATCTAGTCTTTCTTAAATTTCTAATCTTTGTAATATCATCGAAAAGCTTTTCGAGTTCTTCGTCCTTTAATCCACCGAAATTGGATTCAGTATTGTAATAGTTCAACACTGCTTCACGTTTGGCAAAGTTCCAATCCACCACTTCGGACCCAATACTGGCATTTTCCGACATATTGGTAGGTGATTCAGGACGCTCGTCATCGAAATCGCTAGGGGTGCCACTTCGTCGAGTGACAGCTGTCTTTTGTAAATCTCGTTCACGACGCACTTCTTCGGGATGGTTGAATCGAAACACATGGTAGTCGCCTAGGATGATTCGGTAACCGCTGCGTAATCGCCTTGGTTCTGAAATTCGCATTCCGTTGACCATGGTCATGGACTGCTCGTTGGGATGAAGCGTCACAATGCCGTTGACGTTTTCGAATTGACAATGACTGTCAAAGATATTGGGGCCACTCAGTCGAATATCAGCGGGTACTTCACTATCTTGCCGTCCAACACGGATGGTACCTAGTTTGATCTGATACATGAGGCACTCAGACATGAGAGGGTCTTCGTTCAAATTGACAAGATGAGGCATTTTCTTGGGGGTATACACTCCCACATTGTTCTTCTCCACGGCAATACCAAGTTCTTCCAAAGCTTTCTCTCGTTCAAGTTGAATTTGTTCTGTCTTTTTCAATTTGTCCTCCCACGTTTCGTTGAGTTCGTTGAAGAGCTTTTCTGAGGACTGTAGCTGCTCAATGACTTCCTCACGCGTCATCTTCTTTTCAACACCGTGTTGATCCTTGATGACAATCTCCTGCTTCATGTTGCCTAGGGGACGGCCACCAGATGTTGGTGAAATAGGTCCAGAGCCTCCCTTGAGATGACTGCTGTTGGCTGCCATCTGCTCCAGTTCTTCAGGAGCATACACCATCAACTTGTCTCGCAAAAGATCCAACTCTTCTTTGAGTTCGCGAATAAGCTTGGCGTTGGGATCTTCGTTTACTACTGCCTTATTCTTGATCCTCTTGGCTTGATCTGCGTATCTCAGAGTACTTAGCGTTTCTTCGTAGTTGTCCGACGCTGGAGAGATGGCGGCCACCATGGCCGTTTTAGAGTTACCACCAAGTGAATCTTTCAACAGCCATGTCAAGACAGAATCTCGATAAGGAATGAACACCTCTTTTTGTTTCTTTCCCTTTTTGGGATCTTGAGATGATTGTTCGGCCAAGCCTGCGATGACTTTGCCTAGTGTGGTGAGCGAACGATTGATATTGGCTCCTTCCTTTAGTCGCTGACCGGTAGCACCCGTGCTATTAGCTCTTTCACTACCAGCCAAATCGACCAAACTGATTCTTGCCACCTTCTCCGTCTCTAATTTGGTAAGGTCATCTTGTAGTTTTTGGGTTAAAAATAGTGTGAACACAGCATGTGATCGAGAAGACGTTTCGTTCATATTGGTTGCCGCGACCGTTCGAGCCTATCGTTAACAAAGAGGTCAGCTGGGAAGGTAAATGAAGGTGCCACAAGTGGGCAAAGCTGAAGCCAGGTAGGTAGGACACAGAAGTAGTAAACCCCACTCATTGTAAGTTTTTAAAAAAAAAAAAATGCCTCAAGCTTACCTTGTTTCCCTCGTCCATTAAATGTTCAATATCAGCAAATGAGTTTACTGCCACTCGAGATAAATCTTCAACATATGGACCCAAACTTGGATGTTCACGAACTTTAAGGTTGCCTTTGTTTTTAGGATTCAACAAATCTCGTACTTTTTCGTTGTAAATTTCAATATAGGAGACTTCGACTCGGTACGTTAGGTTATTGGCTGTTTGTCGGTTGATTCGATTAAACATTTCGGAACAGGTTCGGGGAATGATACCCTTGTCTTCGCCGTAGCCCATCATAGAATAAGATTTACCAGACCCAGTCTGGCCATCTGCAATAAAGATAGATATTGGGGTGGGTTACTTTAACGCACCTAACATCAACTCTACTTTCAGTCCTGTAACTTACACGCAAAGATACAGCAATTATAGCCACCAAACGCATGATCCAACAAGTCCTCTCCCAGGTCATTGTACACCATGGCCTGATCAGCATATGTCGGATCGTTCTTATCCGCTGACCAGTATGACTTATCGAATGTAAATGCCTTTACATCTTCTTCTTTATCTTTCGAATTCTTGTGTTCGGCTGGTTTGGTGATAATAGTCTGGTTGCCGGACATACGGACCAGTGATGTAGCTCCGCGTGCTAGCTCTGTAATGGACACATCATCAGATTTCAACAGATTCTACACCCCCATCTATTCAGGAACACAAGGTCTAACCTCTGGCATTGAGTGGACGGCATCTGACTACGACCTTGATGTTGCCTCCACTCATGATGGAGCCGGCGGAGTGTTGGTGAGGGGTTCAAAAGGTGGTTTAACGAGAAAAAAAAAAAGGAAAGAGTGTTGGAAAGGGGGAGAACTTGAGACCACACAAAAAATAGATGCTAGCTTGCCTAACGCGTTGGACACTTTTAACAATTTTCACCATGCCTTCAGGCACGCGTCACAATGTTGCGAAATTTTATTTCCATTCAGTCGTCCAGTAGTCAATGGCCAGCATTGTAAAAAACCTTGGTGGCCAAAGTGGTCCATACCATCTAGGACTCATTTGTGCTCCCGCATATCTTTACGCTTCCGCTTCAGCTCTCCGGCCTTAGCCCTAGGGCATGGTGAAGACTACTTTGGTACATCCATCCAGCCTGCCATCAAACTTTCTATACATTTCTACGGCATCAGTAATGGGTACTCTATGACTAATGATGGAGGTTACGGCATATTTCTTGGATATCAACACAGGAAGAAGCTTGTCCATCATGGCTCTTGAAGGGCATCGTCCACTTCTATAAGTCAAGTTTTTGTCGTAACCATCGCCCGGCGTAAATGGCCAAGTCGGTGCAGTGTGCACTCCTACAGAAGATAACACACCTCCAGGTCGCATCACAGTATAAGCCAGCTCAAGAGCACTAGAATGCCCCACCACCTGTAGCACTTGTCAGTGGCACGCTCTAACTTCCTTTTTTTTTTTTGGAAAAAACAAGCTTTTTAACGCACCTCTAGTACAATGTCGGCTCCTCGTCCTCCTGTAGCTGACTTGACCGCCGCATCAACATCTTGACTCAAATTGAGAGGTGTTGCTCCAAATCGATCTGCGGCAACTTGGAGTCGCTCGTTCACGCTGTCAACCACAAACACTTGCTTGGCTCCATATTCCTTGGCTCCAATGCACGCAAGCATGCCTACAGGTCCACACCCAATCACAACTACAACCGCTTCCGACGCTTCCATCTCAGTAAGCGCTGAAAATCCATTCATTGCGCAGAAAAATCCAGTACTGAGAATGTCTCCAAGTAAAATGGCTTCTTCGTCTTCGATGGTATCGGGGAGCTTGAGCAGTGAACCAGATGCTAGCGGTACTCGAACATATTCTGCTTGTCCTCCTTCCAACCCTTTGCCCTGCGATTTCCTGCCACCATCAAATAAATTTTTAGCCACAAGGTTCGCCACCAGAGGTTTAGAAGAGCCAGCTGGCAAGTTTGCGTATCATAGGCGTAGCCCATTCTGGTTACCTTCCACTGACAAATGTAACACCTACCATCCATAAAGCTGACCCTTCTCGCAGCGACAAGTCAATCCACGGCTACAATACCAGCATTCGCCACAGCATGTTGTAAAACCAGACCCAACGCGATCTCCCACTTGGAAGCCCTTAACTTGTTCTCCAACTTCCACAATGGTACCTACGAATTCGTGTCCCATAATCGTCATGGGATCCAAACCCTTTTCGGCTCCTCGGTAAGGGTGTAGATCGCTTCCTATGTTCAGCGCCAGCGTGCCGTGTTGTTGTGAGTCTCTCGCTTTATATACCCCTGCTGGCAAATACGCTCATCATTCCTTACCACAAAGACCGGCTAGTGATACCTTGACAATCGCATCGGTAGGCTCTTGAATCTTAGGCTTCTCTACGGTGGATACAGCGACTTCGTATGGCTTTTGGAACGTAACAGCCAACATGATGAAAAGAAGGTTTATAAGCAAGAAACAGGAGCCTGGGTATTTACCCAGCTTCGTACTAACCCGTCTGCTGAAATTGAAACTGGCGTTGAAAGGAGGAAAAAATCGGTGTATACGCTCAGTTGCAGTCAGATAAAACGGATATCCATGTTGAAGTGTATGTTGAGAAACTGTATATTCTGGCACTAAAGAAGTAGAGCATCTTGTCTCAATGCCATACGCTTGAACTGTACTTGTAGCTACTGTTCATCACAATGCAATTGCGTGCCCACAATAGACACACACTGGGCAACAGACACTGCTCACCACACACCTGCATCGTTATGAAGAAAAACTACATTATAGTCTGGCAAATGTGAAAAACTTGGAAACAATGTTACCCTGCAAATATACCGTAAGTTGTGCACGCATTTCCCCAACTACCTGATCCATCCGGATATCATCCTTAAAACTATGCTACAGTCATTTTAAGAACCGTTACTCTGCCGTTTGTCATTAAGTAGAGCAAATAGGCTTATGTCTAAAAATTTCCTCATCACATTCATTAAAAACATCCTGTCCTTCTTTGTTAAATGGTTTAGCTTATTTATTCCTGAAAAGTTGGTTGCTCCGAGCTCCCAACGGTTCTGGCACCCAAGTCCAAAACCTTGGTTGGCCGTCAGAGGAGATGGTGTGGTTTACGCGAAACAACATTAATCCATCAGAAAATCAAATAAAGCGAAAGTCTCTAGTACAAACGTTCGGGCTTGCCCATGGAGGACTTGATGTACAAAGACTTGACGTTTTGCCAGTTCTTCTTAAGAAGAGAGACAAGGAAGTTGATGGCCAACATGATGTTAGCAACGGATTGTTCCTCAGTCATGTTGACGTGGGCAACAGCGATACCAAGGCAAAGAACCTTCTTAAGTTGGAACTTGATGGTAGCGCGGATCTCATCAGCCTTGGCGGTAAGGTCGTCGTTGTGGGTGACAGGGGTAGGGAACTTGCCAACCTTGTGGAGACCGGGACCGAGAAGACGGGGAATCTGCTTGATGAGAGCCTCGGAAGCGACGAAAGCATCGTACTTCTTGGCGAGCTTCTTGATGAGCTTCTTGTTCTTGTTGAGCTTCTTCAAATCCTCAACAGATTGGAACTCCATACCGGCAGCCTTAGCTTGATCGCAGTGGAAAGCATCACCGAGAACGCAAACGGACATCTTGGGACGGGGAACGTTGGGAAGCCTATAAAACTGAATGTCAGCATCTAGCATATACAGGTTGTTCACAGGTGGGATGACTTACTTGATGGTACCAGAGAAACGCTTGTCACGCTGGGGATCGTAGTTCTTAAGACCAATCTGGAGCTCGATGGTCTCGACGAAGTTACGCTTCTTCTCCTCGGACTGAGCGAGGACGGCGCGAACGGATTCTCTGACGGCGGAAACGCTAACCTTGCTACTGCTCACGGTATGGATGATTAGTGGATGGATGGATGCATGGATGGATGGGTGGATGGATTATCATACCTCATGGTAATAGGGCTAAAAGAGGACGTTCATTTTTTTGGGAGGGAAAATTCTTTGTAGGCAATTGCGGTACTACAAGCCACCGAGTTACTAAATGAGGTGGATCACGTGGATTTTCACTGCTCTTGCAGCCTTCAAGAATAATTCGCAAAGTTGAGTACGAATTGGAGTTATATGAGAACTTTTACATACCATCAACAGTAACATAGTATCCAATGTGAATAATTTCAAAAATCTATAGCTTAAGTAGAATGATATCAAAGGTTAGATTGTTGTATGTAAGGCTGTCATAGATGATATTATCACACCTCTATGCGAGGTTTCGGTACCTTTGACGACTTTTTTGGTTCATAATTACTGAATTTTAATGGTATTTGTGCAAATCGTACCAATTTATGATATTAATACTTGTATCAGAAAATATATAAGCTAGACATTGAATATAGTTAAAGTCGACTTGCTCGCTACCGGTTTTCTTAGGCTATCAAAATGCATGAGACATATTAGTCGCGTCAAATTATTACTCATGGTATAAATCTTGGGAATGCCGTTTTTAATGTTATATCAGTATGGCATTTTGCTGCACTACGACAGATCAGCTCTTATCCTCATTTTTCCTTTGCAAAATGTTTGCACCTGCTGTACTACCTCGTGAGCCAAGCTTCCTTTTCCACGATGAACATTTTCCCACTATTCGTCAAGGAGTTCATTATGCATTTTCAGCAATACGCTAGTAGGCTTCCCGCTTCCATTTAAACAACTTACACCAACCTCATTAGTACTAAAAGTAAGCTAGTGGTTGTAGTGAGAGACAGCGGAATTTTGTGCGCTCGTTTACAACGAGGACACTGAGAATAACTCAAGAATGGGCCGTCTCGGTGATATTTTGAAGGGTTGAAGTAAACTTTTGTATTTTTTGCTATACTATGGAGCCATAGCGGCTAGTTTGTGGAGAATCGGCCATTAACGAAACTTTATTTTACGATTTGCTGTTATTTTCCAGCTATGTTCCTGTGTCTGTTTTGCTGGAGTATTGCACACGCACGCAACTTTATTTAAGTTTAAAAGGCAGTGGCAGGACCTTCCACTATTTTCTCATTAATGAACAATCTTGTAGATCAAATTGTCCTCTTTGGTGTAAGACATTGTCTTTCGTAATTCATTGGCTTCGCTTAAACTGTCTTTAACTCATATTGTTTTAGGATTCCATCACTCAGGTACCGTGCCATGTAGCTCATATTTTGAGCTTTACACTGACATTATGCTGACTTTCTCCCGACATAACAACAGTTTAGCTTCAATGCTGACCTACATGGCTGGGGAGCGTACATTGCGGATGTAAGTAGGGTATTAGTACCTATGCTACAAAGCTGATACGCACTGCCGTACTGACTGATAAGTTATGTGCTAGGCATACCAGCGAAAATTCGATGTCATGAACAGAGGCTTTTCGGGTAAGAATTTTAAGAAGAGAGTTTCAGAAAACAATGCAGTTCGCTAAAGCAGGTATTTGATGTGTTTCTCTAGGGTATAATACCGACTGGGCATTGCCTATTCTGCGTCAACTTCTCCCAACGACCGAAGATCAAAAGAAAAGTAAAAACCGGATTAGTCTGATCACGATTTTCTTTGGTGCAAATGATGCGGCTCTCCCGTTTGCGTACCAACACGTACCAATTACTCGATACACTGAAAACTTATCCGAGATGTTCAACATGATCCAGAATCCCAACTCTATGTTCTACAACCCTGACACTAAAATCATTCTTATAACGCAGCCTCCTGTGAATGAAGTACAGTGGAAGAAGCGATGTGAAGATAATGGAGATCGTATGAATCGAACGGCTGAAGTTGCAAAAGCGTATGCTGAGGCGGCTCGCGAGATTGCAGGACAGCATCAAATCCCTGTGTGTGATTTGTGGACAGAGCTGATGCAGATTGCAGGCGGAGAGGCTGTGGCTGTCAATGGTAAAGAAGAGATTGTAGAGGTAACTTCCAAGACCTGCTATGCGGAAGAGAAGGATTATAAGCGTGATCTTTCCGAGTTTCTGTTGGACGGACTCCATTTAAATTCTAACGGCAACAAGGTGAGCAGTTGTGAAGTGCGAGCAAACAGGGATTGGCTCATCAAGGCTATGTAGTTGTATTAATGCCGTTTTTCAGCTTCTTGCTCAAGTGCTTCTTAAAACCATCGAAACCCACTACCCGGAGTTAGCGGCTGAAGCGGTTGATTTACATCTGCCAGCCTGGCGAGATGTTCCTCAAACGAATTATGAGGAAACGCTGCAGTATAAAACGTCCAATTGACTATCCGTCGAGGAAAAGTGGTTTATGAAATGCACTCTGTTGTAGCATAGAAATAAAACGAAGGGGAGTGATAGGAGATATACTTAACAATGTAATTCAAATGCAACAGGAGATATTTATATACCTACAATTTTAATACTAAGAGAAATGTGAACGCAATGTAATTCGAGGAACTGTGCATATGCGTGTAGTGTAATTTATAAAATAGATCTGCTTATATAATTTACAATTGAATGAGGTATCTGGCGTGGAGACATGTTCGGATTATATCTATTCGGCAAGCAGAACATCAATCTCATGAGCGACTGCATCCAGTGGGTCTGTATGCTCCGGCTTCCATCCAATTTTTCTCAGACGATCAGCGCTTATTCTACTTGTTCCACCTAAAGCGAGTTTGGCCAAACCTGGATATTCAACAAAAAAGGCCGGCATAACGGCTGGGTCTTGAAGCACTTCCTCTGGCATATCGATGAGATTAGTATCTTCCAGGAGACCCTTCTTTTGGAGGACTTCGGCAATTTTTTGAACGACTTCCGCCATACGAACTTGACTAGCTTCTACGAAGTAGTAACCCTCTAATCCATGACCAGCGGTTCCATGCAAAAGTCCATCTAGAAGGCTTATGTACGCAGAGGAGAGATCTTTGATATGGCTAGTGGACCAGATATTGTCGCCTTTACCGACGACATAAGGTTTTCTGTACTTGATTGCAACTCGCTCGTGAGCAATATTGATAAACGATAAGCGGTTATAAGGGCCTCTACCGACACCATAAATATTGCTTGGAGATATGATGGCGGTTGTCACTTTGTCCTGAGGGTACTCTGTAACAAAGATATCCAATTCACGGTGTGGAGCTTGGAGGGGCAGTTCGTAAAAAGCCTGTACGTCTAAATCACTCCATATCTTTTCAGTAGCATATTCTCCTGCGGTGGGTTCTAGAACAACGCCGCTACCGGAAGTTTGAATGAGGATGGCTTTATGATGATGCTGTTGCTTTCCCTGCTCTAGACCCAGCAAAAAAGCTTTTGTGATGCTGACATTAACACTATCTGCTATATTAATAATGACATCAAATCCGGATGCAGTCTTGGTAAGAAAATCATGATCGTCCTGGCTACCGACAACGACCTTGGCGCCGAGTTTTTCGAACGTGCTGGAGCGTTCGTTGCCTCGAATGAGGACATAAACTTCGAACTCCGAGGATCTTTCCAAGAGGTCAATGAGAAGGTCTCCGCCAATATAACCTGTTGCGCCGGTAAGGAGGATTTTAACAAGAGACATAATTCAAGAGAAGTGAATGCACCATTGATAAAGTCGTACCTTGTACCTTTATAACATTTTGGGTCGTGACGTTGGATTAGTAATCTCTGCCTTCCTGGTATTTTCATATTGCGTGAGGCATCAAACGCTGATGCTGGCTACAAGATATTACATTGCACCATACATGGCTTGCATTATACCAAATTTATAAGGAGCTGTTACCAACGGTTTTTTATTGTAAATAGCATCTGCTCAAATACTTTCTGGGTATCGCAAGGTTTTGTTGTGACTGAAAGATACACCAATGGCCGCAAATTTCGCTAGCAGATAATCGAACCGGCAATTCCCCTGTTAAACGCCAGTGGACGTAAATTCCTGATTTTTATTATAAACACCTGGCTCCTGCTAAATCCAATAAATATGATACTTATGATACTTAGTACTGACTTCCAAAAAGTACTTGCGTGGAGGCAGGTACATTTCATCAGTTTCGACAATGTTTCAACGATCATATTCCAGTGTAGTAAAAAGGTAGATCGGTTACCAGATGAATGGCCAGAAGCACTTCAATAATGACTTTGCTTCTACTACGATATTGCCCTGCGTCACTGCTTAAAGTGAGATATCTTCTTCCTTCCAAATGTGCTATTCTCAGGTGTCTTTTCTGGCTTTTCCTTTTTTCAACAACGAATTAGTTGAAATATTTATTTTGATTCTTTTGGAAAAAGAACAGCTACTCTCAGACAAAGGTTTCGTATAGCATAGATAACCTCACCCAGACTCTGACATGGTCTTTAAAGAAACCTTTTGGGCATGGGCACGCCAAACCCTAAACCGAATTGCGAAACCTCCACAAAGTGACTGCGTAAAGTGGAGTGAGGTTGACAAGCAGAAACCCGGAGGGCGTTTTCGATTGTCTCTTTTCCTTTCCCCACTATGAAACTATCTATCATCACAACTATCGTTGCTGCCATTTTGGCTGTATCTCCCACCGAAGCTCTTTCTAGGTTTGCAGCTTCTACATGCTTTAACTAACAGTACTACATGCATATACTGACTCTGTTTCCAGAATCCCAGTTAAGAAGATCAAAGAGCAACCTACTGAGAGACTCGCACGTTATGCACACACCGGTGAATACTTGACTCAAAAGTACCTGGGGGCTGCTCAGCAACGAAAGAATCCCGATCTTCCCTTTCAAATTCAATCCAATGGCTCAGTACACCATGGTGTCCCGCTTTCTAACTATATGAATGCTCAGGTAAAGGACAAGATGTATTGGTTTTTTGTGGTGCCGGAAATTACGGGTCGTTGGTGTCTCTTTTGGGAGTGCTAGTTGGAATAGCAATGAAACATTTATTGCTGAGTGCCACTAACGTCATTTTGCCTGTCAATTGAAATTAGTACTACGGAGAAATCGAGATTGGTACCCCAGGCCAAGCGTTTTCCGTCGTCCTGGACACTGGTAGCTCCAACTTATGGGTGCCTTCGACCCATTGCAACTCAATTGCTTGTTTTTTGCACAGACGCTACGACTCTACAAAGTCTAGTACTTGGAAGGAAAACGGTACCGAATTCGCTATACAGTATGGCACCGGCAGTTTGGAAGGTTTCATTAGCAATGTGAGAAATGGGATAGGTTCGAAAGTGATGATTTATGGCCAGAAAATTCACCCATTATCGTTTTTTAGGATGTTCTAAAGATCGGCGACTTAAAGGTCACTCACCAAGATTTCGCTGAATCTACCAAAGAACCCGGCTTCACATTCGCCCTTGGTCGGTTTGATGGTATTCTTGGTCTTGGCTATGACCGAATTTCCGTAAAGGGAGTTGTACCACCGTTTTACAACATTATCAATAAGGAACTTGTCGATGAACCACTCTTTTCTTTCTGGTTGAACGATGCAGCTGGTGGAGAACAAGAGGATGGCGGCGAAATGATCATTGGAGGAGTGGATAAGAAGCACTACACCGGAGAAATTCATTGGTCTGATGTTCGTCGCAAGGGTTATTGGGAAATCGAATTGGAAGATATTAAATTCGGCGGAGAGTCGATCGACATGGACCCTGTTGGCGCTGCTATTGATACTGGCTCATCTTTGATGGCTATTCCTACTGATCTTGCCGATATGCTCAATAAGGAACTTGGTGGCAAGAAGAACTTTGCAGGACAGGTGAGGGCAATTGTCTGTGGTGAAACCAGTGGGGTTTAAGTATGCATGGTTGTTTGATCTCGTTGACTAAGTCACAACGATATTTCTTGTCCTTTCAGTACGTTATTGACTGTAGCACCATCAAGAATTTGCCAGAATTCTGCCTTCAGTTCAATGGCAAAGACTTCTGCTTGGATCGTAAGTTGTAGCTGCGTATGACTAAACCCGTAGCCGATTGCAAGATACTAACCTAGACCCTATTTTTAAAAACCTCCTCTACCGTACCTTTTGATTTTCCTCTATCGTTACAGCTGAAGACTATATCCTACAAGTTCAAGACCAATGTATTTCTGGATTTATGGGTCTAGATATCCCGGCACCAGCAGGCCCATTGTGGATTGTTGGAGATGTCTTTTTGCGTAAATATCTCTCTATCTACGATCTTGGAAATAACCGGGTTGGTTTAGCAAAATCTCGTTAAACATCTTATAATGATGATTATTTGAACCACTGCATGACCAATGATTTTTTCCGTACATGATGCGAACGATTGTTTGCGTACAACTGTTAATACATATTTTGTCTAAAACCTTGTTTATCCAGTGCTTGATGAGTATATGGTTGAATAGATCTCGGTATCGTTATTTAACATGCTGTGTGCTGCATGACTTTATCATATTTTGAAACCCTCCTTGCCGTCATATTCTTCCAGTCTCACAAACACCCTTCTCATAACCTTTTTATGTTTTATTGATTTGCCCGATTTTTGGTTACAACACACGTCGGACAAACACAAATGTGTTGGGAAGAAAGAAAAACAAGAACAGCGCCGTCACCGTCTAACTTAGAACTTAAGTTGATGGGGGAATTGACCCTTCTTGAGGCTGAAGGTGGAGGCAAGATATTGGCGGAGGTGGGGGACCTTGGAGACGGCTTCAAGGAGAGCCTTGTCAACGTTCTTTTGGTCGTTGGCCTTGGTCTCGGGGTAGACCTTCTTCTTTTGCTCACCCTCAAAGAATTCCTCTTCAGAACCCTTCTTGTTGCTGACAGTCTTCTTGGTGAAGTAGGCATCGTTGAACTTCTCATCAATCTGAGGAAAAATGACAAAAAATTAGTCAATGAACATACTACGTGAAGGAGGGCAACGCTGCAAACGCCGTAAAATAGAGAAAAAGGAAAACGCACCTGAGCAGCGGAAAGATCAACCTTGGTGGAGGTGGCAATGACATAAGCCTGGTTGACACGTCTCAATGGGACACCGTTGATCTTGTAGGGGCCGGAGACCAACAAGAGACCAGACTCAAGGTTCTTGACGCAAACAACACGCTTACCACGGAAACGACCAGCGAGAAGGATAAGGACAGTTCCGGGGGTGATGCTGCTGCGAACGGAAGCAGCCTTGGGGGCCTTGCGAGACTTCTTGGGCTGGGGAACATCCTCAGCGGGGTAGAAGCGGCTAGCCTTGTTGGCAGGGACAACACGCTTTTGACCACCCTTAAGTTCAACAGTCTTGTCAGCAGCAGCAGACTTGTCAGCAGCCTTGACAGCAGGCTTGGGGTGCTTGTGCAATGCCTTCTTGGCATAGACAGCAGAGCGACTAGAGAAAATGGTCGAAGACATGGTCAGTACTGGGTTCATTACGGTCGAGGAATAATTCTGTCGAGATTCTCACCTGTAGCGGCTGACGCCAGGAGCGATGAAGCTGTTTCTGGGAGCGTGAGCCATTTCTGACTAAAAGTGGAAAAGAAAGAGAAAATTCAAAGGTCAATGAAGGGAATTCTTGGGATGGTGGTAAACCGACCAAAGGGAGTCGAAGATGAGTGGATTACAAATGGAAATCAAGGCAAGGAAAGCTGCTAGTCGTTCTGTGCCGTTGGCCATTGCATGGAACTGGTCGATTTTGAATTTTTGGTTCTTTGAATCTTTGTGCAATTCGTTCAGAATGCCAATTCTTCGTCAAGGTCGCAAGGTTGTAGACGAGTCGAGCTGATGCATCTTTATCCATCATTTTCCATCCATTCATCATCTATCGATCCCAAGGATCATCATCCAATTATTTGCAGCAGGACCGTGTACATACCGTTTGGATCGAGAGGGAACTAGCAGATTGCCCATGGATGGCCAAGTAGTTATGGGCGAGTCACGTGGATTACGATTTAGGACAGAGGATCTCTTTGCATTTTCATTGGCCGAAAGTTCTGACAGGATGCACCGCTAGGATATGCTGAAAGGCTACGCATATTAGTGGGGAAAGGAACACTGTTATAAATCATGTACTATAAAACTTGAATAGTTTTCTGTTATTTTGTGCTATTTTACATCGTATGATAAAAAGTACAACAGTTTTTCGTCGAAATAAGCGCTTTAGCTTTTCCCGGGAAAGTCAATCTCAAGAAAGGGTGATCCATAGCGTCTGCATTTATGTTAAGAAAGGAGATCTTGTGTATGAGTCTCGCAAATTTTTTCCTCCTCTTCTTGTCTATATTCCATACCCATCTGTTGGCTCGGATCTTTCGGTCCTTTGGGCTTGAAGGTTTAGTGCTTCAAAGTCACCATAGATGGTCATTTCCTCCAATCAAAGATTTCTTTAAGCAAAGTTCTGCAAGTCTATTAGAACGTCAAATAATACGCTCAGCACTCTCCTGTCACTACGCGCAGCTTCAGCATTTCATACGTCATACCATACAAGAAAATAGGATGTTTATTATACATTATGGGGCGACTTCTAAATTATGCGTTCAACTCTTCTTCATCGCTTTCCGAGATTTCTTCAATACCCTCCATGCCTTCAAAAACGTCGGTGGGCTCCGATGACTTGAGATCTCGTCGTGCTCGAGTTTGTTGTGCCGCTGAAGAACCCGTTAACATCTGATAGTTTTTGCTTTGAAGCACTTCGGGGGAAGCTTTCCTTCTCAGCCATTGCATTCGTGGGCCACTTTCGGATAATTCGTTTATACGAAAGCCAAACAATCTTCCTGTATAGGTCTTTTCTGGTGCATCGGGGACCAATCCCGCGTAAGTTTTGACAAGAAGATGTGGAAAAGTAGTTCCGAAATGTGCACCTATATTTAACTAGAGTCAGCTAACGAGTACGCCCAACCAATACTCAACAAATGAATGACTTGCCATCAATGTTCATAAATCTAGAGCTCGGAGGAACATATATATCCAGGCAGCTAGGGCAAAATAAACGAACACTTTCTTGATTCGGTATGTCGTACCGTCCACACGGTAAGACTCTACATCGGCCACAGTAGACGCGGGGACAATAGCCAAAGTGGCCAGCCTCGTATTTCTCTAGCTTTAATGGCAGTAGATAGCTCGTCAGTACGGTTGTGCTTATAACAGCTTTCAAATCAACATCAAGGCAATGGAGAAAAAAAGTACCATTTGCTGTAATCCTTGTTTGGTTAGTATATATCGCTGATGAATCAATCCATAGAGCATTTCGGCGTGAGGTTCGATGATGCTGACGTCTGGTATCTTGCTCATACTTTCTTCATCTGGTTCAACATCCAGTATTAGCTCCAGAGCTTCTCTATAATACGGAACTATAGCTGGCAGGCCAGTCAGATTGAAGTCATCTTCAATGAATTCTTCGGCAATTTCTGCATAATATTCATGGCCATTAAGGGAACAGAACCAGCTGATCCACTATGGGGTGCACGAGTTACATTATCAATACTTATTTTGAAAATAAAAGAGCCATTGGAGACGGACTACATACCGAAAGCTGATCATTGGCAGAGTCGTTGGAAGAATCTAGTGGGGGGGAGAGAAGGATTATCACTATGGGTACACAGGCAAAATTACCCGTCAGCACGGTGGCAAAACCCTACCGTATAGGTCTTGATCAGGATCGGGCTCATAGAATGACTCCATTAAATCATTTTCCTCGCCATGTGCGTTTAGATTTTGATCATTACGCTCTGGCAGGCCAATTTGACGACTGCTGACGGACATGAGATAAAAATTTGGGCCTTTTCCTCACTCGCCATTTTTTTAAAACTGTAGTGTGTGTCGGCGTTTCAATAGCATGCCTTTTCTCCCAATGGCATTGACAGACGACCATCATCGTGGCAGTAAACCATGTCCATTTTTTATACTATCCACGTTTAACAAAGTGTAGATCAATGCATCATCTTATACACACTATCGAGATATAAATGTATGTCAGTAACTGAATGCCTGTGTCGAAAACGCTCTAGCGGATATCGAATCCAGACCCCTCCACCCTTCACCGACATTGGTTGAACCCAGCAACAAACACGGTTCTGTTCTCCTGCCTTTTTTTCTTTTCTCTTTGCTTTCTCTCTATCCCCTTGTTGCTCTTTCTTAATCTTTGCCAATCCTCTTGTTTTACATTACGCGAATCACTGCTGTGGTGAGATAGTCACTCTTTTTAACTCGTCAACCTTAGCAACTTCATGTCTGGAAATGTCCAACGTTAATTTTGTTTTTTTGTGCTTGTCATTTAGGCAATTGAAATTCCCCTAGAGCCACAAGGGACTCTATTCTGCACTCTATTTAGTATCGCCAATGACCCAACCCACTCATATTTCAGTGGCGTCGAAAAGACATGGTGATATCGCCCTTGATGGAGACCACGCCGCGCTTGAGACGGTGACAACTAGCTCATATTCCGAAGAAAATTATCGCAAACTCAAGCGTAGACTCAAGGAGATTGTCATGGTGCGTATTCTCTGCCGAATAGACCACTTGGGCCTCTTCCGTACTAAATCTACTCTATTTAGCAAAATGAATCGATAGCATATAGCTTGGATAACGCAAAGAAGAAAATTCAACGTCTCCGGAGGGAAAAGAGGTATGTATCACGTACATGGGTCCCCTTTTCAACTTACTCCGACTGATGACCTGCCCCGTTGACAGCATGCTATTGGATACCATATCTCGCTATTCAGAATTCGCAAGTTCTTCGCCCGAAGCGAGCGATTCTTATAGTGATCATTCTATGAGTGACGTTGAAGATGGTAAGTACGCTATGCCTTGTTCCTGGGTAGCCATGGCTTTTTTGTATTTTTTTGACTTTTTTTTTTTTTTGCCCATGCCTTGTTTTCTAGTACCGCAAGTGCCTGTCAATAAGCCACAAATAACTCCTTCCAATACCTCTGCAGTCGTCCGTCAATCCAGTCATGCTTTGGAAACACCTCAAGCGATGTCATCAACCTCTAGACCTGTGCCATCCTCTGCAAAACCGAAGCGCATGCGCAAGGGGCCAGTGACTGTCAAAGTTCGTAGAATACAACCTTTGGAACGGGATCCGATAACAAACGACTACAAATTACCCGCAAGGATCGGTATTCTGACCGTGCACGCTCTTGGGCATATTGTATGGCAGTACGACACTTATCACAATGATCGGTACATCTGGCCGGTTGGTTTCTGCGTAAGCAGGTAAGCTCCTCTGCTTTCCGCGGATGGCCGCAACTAACCTTGTAGCTCAGCGGCTTTGTCACATCAATCACCATGCTTCTAACCACATTTACGGAACCATCACTGCATCATAGAACCTACCTCAGCATGTCGAACCGTGACGTTAATACCAATTATGTGTGTAGTATTCTCGATGGCGGTGAGACTGGTCCCAAGGTATGTTAAGTAGCACGTTCTCATTGTATATTCATGAAAGCTTCTCACACTGTCATACCATACAGTATCATGTCGTGGCCGATGACGCTCCAAACGATCCCATCATCGCGAATTCCGCCACAGGAGCCTGGACTGTCATTGTTAGAAGAGCAAATGAGATCCGAGAAAGAGAACATTCTAATTCAGGTGAGTTGAACCCAGCTGTACCAAAACACATGAATTCGTATGGCCCTGTCAACGTCTTTTCTAACTCGTACATCATCTATTTACTATCGCCTTTCAGCTTCTGGCCCAGATTATTACGGATTGACACATCCAACCATAGCCAAGATGATCCAAGATCTCCCAAATGCGGACAAGTGCAGGAATTATGTATGGCAGGAATTTGAAGTCATGCAAGAACGCACTGCCGCAGGTGTTGCTGCTGCTGCCCAAAAGAAACTGGAAAATCTAGTCAAGATGGGCTCAGCCAACAAAAAACCTCCAGGCTCAGCGCCAGGAAGAACTAGAAAGCCAAAATATCCCAAAGCTGGTCAACAAGTGCAAGGCCATAGCCCAGAAGACTTCCCCAGATCAAATGAGGGCTCGCAAACTCCTATGGATGAAGCCAAGATGGACTCCGTCGACATGATTGAATCACCTTTGCATCCAAATCATTCTCCTACTGACTATGCCGCCATCAAAGTCGCCGACTTGCAGGTTCCTGACAACCACGCTGCAGCCAATTAGACTCTATACGCCTGGAGACGGTGTCTCGCGCTCCCCTTGTGCGCTTGGATCCACTGATCCCACCCACACCCTTTGCCTTTTTCTTCACGTTTGCTTTTTTTGCTTTTTTCTCATTCATCATTGTGCACTGTTTATACGCTGGCATTGTTTAAAGTATGGCCAATTTTCTGGTTGTGGTATTTGTAGAAGACTTGTTTGACTGTTTTACCTTGTTTTCGTTCGTTTTTCTCACTTCATATGGCGCACATTCCCCCCACCACTTTTTTTTTTTTAAAGCCCCATCTATGCTCGTTTACGTTTGCATAGATTGCAGGATTCATACCGCTTTTCAACGTTCTATCATGCAATTCAAATTGTCTCGATAGGAAATACTCATCGTCTTTTCTTTTCACCAATGCAAAAATAAAGAAATAACAACGGAAACTTTTACCTAAAGCTATATAGAAAACATAAGGCAAATTTCAACTCAACTATACGTTGTATGTTCAGGTCAGTGTGGTTCTAACCCACACAGCTGGCGTGAAGACAACTCGCATACACCACAACGGATTCCCACCCATGTCACTTGTGAAGGGAAATATATTATTACGTCGACTTTTGAAAACTAATTCGAAAACCGCATCTAACAGTCGGTCTAATATGATCTTTGGAGTGTGAATAATGTTACAATGATAATATGCAAATGAATGGGGGTGGGGAAATGGAAAACAATGGATAGTATACTAAATTTTGGTACGATTGCAGGAAAGAAAAAAGTGCCATACGCCTTATGGTTCACTCTAGGTTATAAACAGCCTTGGCCATCAAGTTTCTTGATCTGTCTAAGCAATCAATGGTTGATATGTAAAGGGTTGCTGAGCATACGCGGATGGATCCACCTTGTTGTGTTGACAACAAGCTTTGCCGTCGACACGATCATACATGCATAATGCATCGATGCGACTGGCATAAGGCGTGTCGACAAAGCAGCCAGAGCTGACGGCTGATTCGGACTCTTTAACAAGCTCTGGCACGGCATCATCATCGATGTCAATGTGCAGCTTTCGTTCCGTCTTGTAAACGCCTCTTGCAACGGCATCTGCTTCATAATCGAAATCGGGATCTATGTCTTCTGGTTCTTCCGTGAACACACCGAGCTCGGGACAGAACATAGAAATCTCCGGCTCCAGAAATTGACCTTGTCCATTAGAAGAGCAGTTGGTAAATTCCGGTGCAAGAACAGATAGAATAGCAAGATCTGCTGTGCCATCATCAGTCTTATATTCTTGTTCTTCGATGCAAGAAGATGTAATCTCTTCATCGGGCGTCAGTTGTAGGAAAGTGAAGCCAAAATTAAGTGGCTCGAAGCAATCAGAAGTAGCCATTGTGGTAATTGTGATAGATGGTATGCGTGAATGGGAAAATTACAAAGGTGTTGAAAGTAGTGATCATTCACAGATCAAAACCAGCGATGTATATTTAAAAAAATTTAAATCGTCTCAGTTATTTTTAAGAAAAATACCGTTTTGTGAGAAGGTTTTATTTCCCCTCCGAGATTTCCCGATCCCTCCCATTAACTTCCAACACCTAAAATTCACTCAAGTGTTGACATGTCCTCTCCTGATATCTTGATATACTTTTGCATGAGTTTCGTAAGATCATTGAATATTCTATTAGGCATTGAATCAATCCGATCGATTCCCTTCGTCAACAATTAATACACCATCTACCTCAACAGCCATGGCAAAAAATGTGCTTGGCTCCATGCGGTATTTCATCCCGTTTTGCATAAAGGCACGAGTGATGCTCACATTTGTTACATGTTGTTGTCTCCCTAAACTTGTCATCATAAGGAAAAATTAGCAACAAGGCAATATCAACCTTGATCTATCAAACTCCGCGGAACCTAGCTATGGCAAGTTTCACTTGGTTCCAATTAATCGATTGCCGGCTTAGTTTTTATGAAAAAACTGATGCCTAAGGCATATTGTCCTCCGGCAACATGAATGGAAGATAATGATTAAGTTGAGTCATACATATGGATGCTGATTACCCGAGCCAGTCCTGCGAGATCCATCCTTATGTGTCAAAATCTTTGCGTTGTGTCCGACAGACGCTACTTCGCCTCATCCATTTTGGCCAGATTATATTTTTGCATTTCTTGGATCTGACACAAATAGTCAGTTAGCATGAAAAAATATGTCAAGGATGAAAAAATTTGACGAACGTGAGTAAGAACTATTGGAACTGCACGCACAAAAAAATAAACAAGCACCCCTTGCTATACTCTGGCTACTCTACAACGGTATACAAGTATGCTAGAAGAAATCTTTGATGAGCAAATATGGATGAATAAAAGTGGTCTAAAGTAGAAAACACGAAGAATAATACCACCATCGTACAATCGCATATCATCGGATTCTATACAGAAAGCCGCCGTTTCATTCATGGCATCCAGGGTTCACTACCATTTTTATCATTACAGAATATCATTCTATACTTTCCGTGAGACCAACCATCAATCGGAAATATCACCCAGCGTAAATGTCGCTCAAAAATGTTGAGCTTATAGATTGTATGATTTTTTTTCAGGTTCCGAATTTTCCTTTCAATAAGTGCGTATCAATAATGACTTGTCAGCCTTACATGTTTACGCTCGTGATAGCCAAAAATGGAAAAGTACCTGCATTCATGCTCTCCTTCTTCAAACCGTCGACAATTATTTAAGCTTGACAATTTATCCTATGAATACAGCTTCCATTGAATTTCGATAGTATGGCAAAGCAACATAGATAGCCAGCAATATCTTTGCCATGAAGGCTCATAGTCCTAACTATCATTAGTGGCAGGCAAATACATTCCTTCGCAAAGCAGCTCAAGCTCACATCTTTTTACATACTTATTTAAATCATTGGATGATATCAATGCAGCCTTTATTGTTATCTCCCGGAACAGTGTAGAGAGAAACGAGTTGTATTTAAGCGGGCTTCCAAGCGGACTTCTAGAGCCGACTCCTTGTTAAAAAACATGAATATATATACTTGCTGCCTAGACCTATATTATTCCATACGGTCAATATAATAAACCGTTGGATGATATCTACTGATGTTTCCTATGGTGTCATTTTTACAATTTTATCATAAGAATTCCTTGTAATCTAGTGATCTTGGATCAAATATATAGCTATTTATACAATTATTACCTCTATTTTCAGATTTTAGAAAATGGCTCAGCAGCGTAGTCGTAATCTCTCCAATTTGACAGTTGGAAGGTTAGGAGTTCGAGGTCGAGTGAGGTTCCTTTAGATGAGTTGGTTACATCATCTCCTTTACACGGAGAAGGTCGCCGGTTCGATCCCGGCAGGGGACATCTTTTGCTATTTTGGAAGACGATCAAAGAAAAGATGTGCAAGTGTGTTTTTTGTTCTTCTGGTGGAAGGAGTGAAAATTTTGCAAGCTGTTTGACTTCAAGAATTTTAACTATGGAAAGGGGAAAATCACTCCGATAGTCAAGCAATTTTTTTAAAAAAAAAAATTTGGGCATGTTGGGGTTATTCACTGCTTTTAGCAAATATGTGAACTGTTAATTACGCTGTTACTACTTGCTCTGGCCATTTTTGTGCACAGAAAGCATCAGCCCTTATAAACAGTTTCCTTGCAAAGTGGAAAGTTACCTATTGAAGTCTTAATTCCCCTATATGTTCCTTGCCAGTCAATTTAGATTAAAGTTGCAAACCAACAAAAGCGATTGTGTATGCTTTAATATTGCAACTGTATAAGCTCATGAAGTCTACGGATTGCGTATATTCCAGCTGGACTGTTTGAGGATGTCTTCGCTACATTTTACAACCGCTTAGAAAGAAAGATGTGTATCGGAGAAACCCTCGCTTAGAAAGAAAGATGAGCGATATGACTCTCCTCTTATGTTCTGGGACATTCGAAAAAATGTTTTGAAATAACCATATTGTCTTTTAGAGATGTATGTAAGATAATCCCGTAGAGCTCTCAGCTAGTGTAAAAGTTTGGCTAAACGATGGGTGGGATACTTTCATGCATTTGGTATGAATATAATGGTAGGGCTGTGTTCCACTTTAGCACCCACAGCGGCAACCCAAGCTTTAAATTCTTTTTTATTTCATACTTTCTAATCTTATTAATTTATTTACAGCAACTACCTGCGATCTTGTACCATTTTCTTTTCCTTTTTTTTGCACATTCTATATTTATATAGACATAGTTTTTATAGAACACTGTAGTCGATTAGTCAATCATCCTAAATCTCGTAGAGTCACTGGCAAGCCAGGACTCTTCAAAATGATGTTTAAGCCTAGTAAACATTGATTTGCTAGCAAAACTTAGGTTTCTATCCCAAGAATGTGTCGTCCGGGACACTGTGTAGTTTTCACCCTTATCTCGCTCATATTTTATAAAATGCGACTGCAACTGCTCCATCTCTTTACAAAAATAATTCAATTTATTGGGGGGAGGGGTAGGAAAAAAAATAAAGACTGTACAATATACAATAATTAGTTGAGTCTGTAAATGACACAAATTATGTTAGAAATCAAAAATTTCGCATACAAACATTAGAAAAAGGCAAGCATAAAGTGGTAACTTACGTTCCCTTGCAGTATTTACTGCCACACAGGCACGGGATCTTATCAGCTTCGATAGGAAACTTGTAATCGTAAGTGATTTCTTCACCAAGTTCAATATCTCGATTGGCGTAAATCACAATTTTCTTTTGCTTGTCCACTGTGATAATCTTGGCACTACAATTAGGCTGCATCAAACAAAAGAGTATGAGTATGTGAAGCTAAGTTGTCTGGACCAAGTTTTTTGTTCACCATCAAGTAAATCTGAGAACTTACCGAACAACAGTGATTTATGAAACGAGCGACACTGCCCTTTTTGGTAGCATCAATGACAGTGTCGTCGTCTACACGGAATAGATAACTGCTGCCGATACCGCAGCGTTCATAAGCCTTTTCACGATGATCCGCAACTTTTTGGCGAATGACCTCTCCAACATATTCGATAACCATATCGTTTGCGTCGATACGTTCCTGAGCAAACAACCCCCAGTCGTGAATGGGTGACTTTGCAAATCTGAGCTGCTTCTTGCGACTTTTGAGTTGATTGAATTTAAGAATATCAGAGTCTGTAGCAGTCGTCTTCTTGTGCAAGTCCATTCCGACAAGCAATTTGCGGTTGTTGACGCGGTTCATGCGACTGGTCACTCTGGACGCCGCCAGTAAGCTGTTGTTATCAAATACTCTCCTGTTGCGTGGCAAATAACGGGACTTTTCAGCTTCAGAAATAGGATAGTAACCCTCAGTACGTGCACTACCGGATTTGTGTGCCGGTGGCTCCTGGTCCACTACATCGTCCGTTACCTCTGAAACTGAGCACGAGGGTTGAAGTTTGTTAAGTTTTGATACTGAAAACAAATGGCTGTATATCTATGAAAACAACAAAAAAGAAACTTACCAGAGCTACGAATCACATGTGTAGTTTCGGAAGGGCCTGTATCATCAAAATTCTGATAGCCTTGCATAGCGAGTTGCATGAACTTCCTATCTTCAGCATCATGGACTTGTTTAAGTGGATGCCACTCATCTACACCGTTTGTCAACGAAGTCGTTTCAACATCGAATTCAAGGTCACTAAACTCATCAGTTGCTATGGTGTCCACATCACTGTAGTCGTCAACTTCTGAGCTTTCTTCTTCGCTTGATTCGTGGGTTATGTGATGCTCGGTCTTTACAACAGAGGGTACGACAGCTTCGTTTCTGGTAGTAGGCGAGTCAGCTGTATTGTTAGATCGTTGGGAAAGTAATGATTGTGGTCCATCCATAGCATCGACTTCTTCAACCTTGAGACCATTAGCTTTCTTCTTGCTCTTGATTCCATTGGTAAGGTTCTTTGCTGTTCCTTTAGGTTTTCGGGCTGTCTTGGTAAGTTTGGGTCGAGACATCTTATCCTCATACTCTGATTCACTGTCAAATAGTTCCGCCATAGTTTGTTCAATATCAAGTTCCATAGCATTTTCGTCATTATTACCCAGAGCAGATTGCTGGAGTGCCATGCGGTTCTTCTTAGAGCTTGTAGCCTTGGACTTTTTACGATTTGGTTCGCCGTCATCACTGGAGATACTTCCTTTGCGTTTAGAACGTGACTTGGCCGATTTGCGATTCGATTTTTTACTTTTGCTACTGGCATCTCTACCCCTAGCATCGTCTCTGTCGATATCCATCATTCCATCGTCTTCCACAATAAAGTCAGTGTCATCCTGTTCAATATCACTTTCTTCCTTTTCTTGCTTGTTGAGCCTTCGCAAGAAGTCATAGTGATCGTCGCTTTCGTCATCTACATCACTCAAGTAGTCTCGAAGTCGTCTGTGTTCCTTTTTCACCTTCTTAATCTTGGGAGATCGGTTTCTTCGATCCTTTGAATCTCGAGCATAAGGTGATGGTGAACGGTTATGGTTGAGTGAATCAATAGAGACCGAAGAATGGTATGCGTCATCTTCGTCAGATTGCTGCGTAAATGTATTTGACTTGCCACTGTCCCTTCCTCTTGAGCGGTCTCCTAATTCATTGGGTGGGGTATCTCGAGAACGTCTTCGACTGAAATCACCCTCGTGGCTGCTGTCTCTTTGGGATCTGGAGCTTTCTATTGAAGAGTCACGGGAGTAGATTGGTTTGCGCTGACGACCACGTTCATGTATTTCGGAATCAGAACCTGAATCAGAGTATCGACGACGGGATGTAGATCGCGATCGAACTGGCGATCGTCGCCAAGATGGCTTATGACCATTTCGCTTTTGCTCCCTGGCTGAGCCGTCTGCATTCCTCTTTTTGAATCGCGGAAGTTTGCTCAGGTTAGGAAGAGCAGCTAAACCTTCAATGCTACCCAGTAGATCTTTCCCTTTGGACGAAGGTTGATACAGCTCTGCTAGACTGCGTGACTTGACGGACTTTTCAAGAGCTGATGCTGAATGGTGCTCACTAGTGGTGTCAAAGCCGTTTGTCTTTACTTGCATTACATTGGTGACACTGGTTGACGCTTCTGACTTGACTTTGACATCGCTTGTATCTTGTTCCATATCATCATCGTGAGCTTTTCTTGGGCGTAATTTAGGATTTAAAAAGTCATAAATAGATGGAGAGACAATTCGAGTTTTGATGTCCTTCATGAAGACATCGGCCAGTTCCTGAGTCAACATTTCTTTTGCATGCCGAATTAATTCTTCACCAGAAGCATGTTCTTTCTTCCACGAATCGTCTTTGGCGCTGACTTCATGAGATGCATTATGTTTTCCCCAACCATTTGCAGAACCAGTCAGCTCAGGAGGCGCCAAATCGGGGGATGTAAAGTTATCAAGTGATTTGGATACTGGTCGATCAGAGTGAAGATCCGTATTCGAACTGAGGTTGATGTCCATGGTATATTCCATCAGATTCTGCTTGTTCGTGGCCCCAAAGGCTTTTCGCGCCGCACTTAGAGATGTGAAAGTGATGAACCAGTCTTCAGAGTCATGGCAAATCTAATGGTATTCAATGTTAGTGATATCTTTCTTATATAAAAAAAAAGTAGTAAAGTAAATAACGCCTACATCACTGCATTCAAATGCATAGAAAACTTTGCGCAATTCTTCGAGTACACCTTTTTTGAAAGGAAGGCTATTTCTTGAAATAATAAGGCATGGCTGTGGTTCAGGGCTATGAGGTCGTCGTTCCTAAAAATGATTTAAAGAAGAAGCACATATGTGTCAGACACAACGAGGCAAGACAATGTTAGACAGATTTAAGTGAAATGATTCCTACTCTAACTCTTCGTTCATCCGATACTCGGCGATAATCTCGCATTCTTGGGTCACCGCCTCTGTCTCGCTCTCTTTCCCAATCCCAATGGCGATCTCTGTCTCTTTCTCGACTTCTTTCTCGATCCCACATATGCATGCCTCGCATTCTGTCAGCATAGTCTCGTCCAAGACTACGACTGCGACTACGACTTCGACTACGGTATCGCGATTCGACTGAGCTTACGCTAGGACTACGGTGTCTCCATCGTGGATAAGATGGGTGCCGCATTGATTCATATGCCGGTGGATAGTGTGAAGGTGGTGGATATGGTGCGCCACGATAACGGTCATCTCTATAGCGAGGTTCATCGTCTGGATAGCGTTCGTGTGCATCGCGATTGAAATCATGAGGACGTCGAGGTGGTGGGTATCCGCTAGGCGAAGACTGTCGTGACCGCTTGGGTGTTTCGTCGTCAAAAACTTCGCCGTCTTCATGATTAATAGATGATCGTCCTTCGCCGCCAGCAGCTATATCATCGATGTAATGAAATTGAAATCAGTCGGATGTTACAGCAAAAAATCGAACATTAACAAAAAGCAAACACTCCATACCAAAGGGTCGTGACATTGCGCTATCCTGCTTCTCGCCAATGGCCATTTTGAGTGGTTGTGTGCCATGCTTTGCAAAAGATGCACCGAGTTCAGCAGCAGCTGCTTTCAACTTTGTGCCTATAATATCCGAAGTCGTTAGCTGTTGTTCACGATTACATTCTCATTGCTCACAGGAAAGTTGCTAACCATCGGGATCAAATTCGACTTTAACATAGCTACCGGCGCCTATTTTTCTACCGTTTCCTTTCTCCACAGCAGATCGTGCAGCTGCATGACTAGCTTCACGAGTAGGTCCAGTAAATGTCACAGCGGCTAGGCCAAGTGACCCGCCAGTCACTGGGGACTTCTCAATGTCGACCTTCTCTACTTCGCCATATATCGAGAAATACGTGACAATTTGAGCTTCGGTCGTGAGAGGCGAAAGATGTGATATGAGAACGGATGTGGGTGGAGCAGGACCTTTCGAATTTTCATCGTACTAGATGGAGACTGTTAATACAATTCAAACAAGAATTCCTACGGTACCTCCGACTTCACCTACCTCGAATTGAACTGGTATTAAGGTAGGTACCCACTTTTGTCTACCCTTTGAAGTTTGTTTACCATATCCTAGTACACTTATACGTGGATCTGATGGATGAATTGGGATTTCCTAAGAAATAGTAGGATGATGAGTTGCTTGCCATGGTGAATAAAAGGGAATCATACACAAGTTGCCAGATATGGTAGGCTAAGATTGTGACTCAAAGCCATGGCATTTGAGAATTAATTCCATTCAAAGGTAGTGAAATAGCTTACTCCGGGTTTGACGTCGCCATTGAAACGGTAGATAACTTGATTGCCACTTTTTGGTTTCGCACGATCTAACTCTGGATCGTATATTGCAATGTAGTCGCGGAGCTTCGATTGATTTTCAGAACGAGGAGTGGTCAGTTCTTCAGGACGGTCGCCATTTCTGCCCTGTGATGCTTCGCTCGACTTGGAAATGTCTTCAGGCCTATTATAAGTTGCAATAATGGTTAGTAATGAGAGCTTGAACAACAGTAATCCTGGTTACACTAGTCAATGGTGGCCAATTAGAGAGAAATATCTATGGCAAATAGTGACCGATATGATGTCTGCAAGTCTGGAAGACAGGCCATTTAATGCATACCATTTGAAATCCATGAAGGACGAGAAAGAATTTCTCAAAGGGATCTCGAGTAAAGAATTAGGCTGTCTTCGGTTTGACGCTCCAAGAAATTGACGGCGAAAATCTGGTAAAAATGAGGTTGAGCAATCTCCCGAGCGAAAAAATGTTGCTGACGTCATTTGTGAAATTCGAATTTCATGAAAGAAGTTCAACCATTTGGCAGATGTCAAATTCAGTGTGTGGCTGCTGTAGTTCGACGATGCTTTCCTTAAACCAACAAGTTATGCCTTTGTTTCAGCATTCTATCTTGATGCTGTATTTTTTGTTTCTGTACATTAATAGTATAAACAACCATCAATTATTATAATGGAAACGATGAATGGAAACATTTTCATTATCTAGGTAACCTCTATCGCATTCTATGACATGGAGTTCCCGTTACAGTGTAGAACAAGATTATATATAATCTTTATTAAAGCGGTTCAATTTGAATATGTACAAAGTATACGGTGGTATACAAATTTCACCGAGGATTGCTCTTAATAAAGCCAGTTCTTTTGAGATGCATTTACTCTTTCTGTACTTCCATAAAAATACTGAAAGAAGTTGTGATTATGTATATACCGATCCACATCATCCCAATCCACTTATCAATTCTGTAATGATTAAAGTAAGTGACCACAATGGCGGTCATTAAGACAAGTAATAAACCAATAGAAGATATTATGATAGTAGGGGCAAGTTCCAGCTCATAGGTTTCTCCAGTAACCCATACTCGATAAGTCGCAGCACATCCAAGACCTAGTACCAAGTCTGTAATTCGAGATCTGATTAGCTTCTGAGTACAGGAAAGGTACTAACATGCAATTAAATCCTTACTCAGCAAGGGACCTGCATAGCACGCACTAATCGCCATGTTAGGAAGACCCATCTATAGAATGCATGCCACTTTAGTATGACAAGACAAATAAAACTTGTAGCATCTCCAGTAAAATGCTTTTACCTTTGCCATTGATATGTTGGCAACTAGATCGCCAAGGCTGTTGCCCTATAGAGATCAAAACATCAGAATGCATTGGAAATTTGGTGAATAAAGGGAACAAGCGACGTACCATTGCAAACACTGTCAGTCCCAGGATTGCCCCACTAATATCTAAAATGAGACCAAGAGCCTGAAAATTTGGTCAGTTGAAAATCACAAACAAAGACCATAAACATTTAGACAACAATACCTGTAGAAGGCCAACCACCTCATTTGCAACAGTATAAATCCAGTTGAGTGAAACAACAAACCCAGCAAATGCCAGAGAATTGATCCACGGTGGAGCACTATGGCTTTTGGTAGACGCATTCACTGTGAGAGCTAAGCAAACGCCAACCATGACTCCGTACATGATATCGTTAAGAGCTACGACGTCGTTAACTAAGTAACGAAAGCATTAGTTAGATTGTCTGTCATCTTCCATTAGTAGGCAGATACGGGTCTATAACACTTACTATACAGTGACAATGAAACAAATGTCGGGGCGCATATTGACTGTAGAACAACCTGCCACTTTAACCACTTCTGATCTACAGTTTCCTCGAAGGGGTCGTCTAGTTCATTGACATCCTCCATGAATTCATTGGCATCTACACCAAGCGTATCTGAGCTCTGATCGTCATCTGTCTTTACTGATATTACCATATCATCGACTCGCAATGTGTCATCCTCGACCACAGGTAACGTGATTTCCAATAGAAAGACGATTGGAATGGCCAGAATCGAGCTAGCAATATTTGTGATCGACTTTGTATTCCAATTTTGCATTGTTGGAAATAGTGTTCGCCAAACTTCAGACAAGATCTCGCAGAATCCTTGATGCCTTTTCTCAAATGAGCGCCAGCAAAAAATGATTTTCTTGGCACATTTCGTGTTCGCCAGGAAGCTTGAGCGCTCTTCTTGAGCTGTTATCTCAGACATTACTGAACGTATGGAAGGTGAACTGCGCGTGGACATAGCTGATGCTGAACGACTTGTGGCGGGTGGGCGAGCAGAATATCCAGGTGCCAGATTATCAGTAGAAATTTGAAGTCCAAGTGACGGAGAGTGAGGAGGACTAGCATGTAGCAAATTGCCATCCTCTGTTCTGTGCGGAGGTGTTAGACCGTATGTGGGCGAGTCGATGAGGTGGTTGCTGTGGGACGTGAATTGAGTTGGTGGGGAGCTTTTTTGATGATGTGATGTCAATCGATTGGCAGAACCAAAGTAGTCTTCCGCTACCCCTATACTTTCCTCTGACGAAGGCGACAGGTTATGCTCTTGTGACGAAATGACCATATCAGCAAGATCCGACGGCCGCTTATGCTTATTAGCTCGTTTTTGGGCAGACGACTGAGATGTCTGTGATTCCAGATCGGAAGGCGATGTTGCACTTCGTACTGGAAACATATAGCTTGGCATGGATTGATTGCGTCGGTGCCTGCTTTCCAACAAATCGTTCTTGAGTTGCATATTTGCATGCTGAGCAGCATTTAAAGCATTGCGAAACTCGATGGCACCAAAAATGGATGGTCGAATACCGACACGGGGCGTTAAAGGTGGACGATATGATTTGGAGGAGACGGGTGCATGTAAACCATCGGATGTAGGAAGGTTATTGGTATCGATACGCAGAGATATTCTACGCATCATTTTCGGTGATACTGGTCTTATAATGTGGCCAAGGTGGCCAACGTGTTCTCTGGCTTCTTCCTCCTCGCTGTCATCCACATCTTCTTGGTCGTGAGGTGGTTCAAACACAACAACCTTGGGTGCTTTTCTTATTTGAACTGTTGTGGCTAAAGGTGGTATTTGAGAGATATCTTCATATTAGGAATAGAAGGGTAAGGTGATAGACAATGGACGGCCATCACTTACGGATGATAGAATCTTTCGAGATTAAGGGTGTATTTTCTGTAGCGACGAGTGGGCTGACTGGTGCCTCATCAGCCGGTTGAATAACAACCTTGGGTCTGCGCCTGTTTTTCCACCATATTGAGCCCACAACTACTACAACATACAATGCGTAGTATAAGATCAAGCCGACTGCTTCATAGAGATATATCTTTTGGTCATAAACAATCCAACCCACGATGGCGACGGCTCCTGTAAAAAAAGTGACATCCCGAAGGATCACCACACGTTTTGCTCGAAATGGTTGGATTATTGCCATTCCGCCAGCAACCACTGTCACAATAAAGAAGGCGGCTCCAACGAGCTCACCAACTGCCAGCGATCCTGATCCAGAGTTTAGAGCGCTACGAAAAGGTTAGAACCCATGGCGACGATTGATCTGCACAAACATTCATCCAATACCTGAAGGTGGTAAACAAATCTGGGCTTGCATTTCCGAATGCTAAGAACGTGACTCCAGCCTAAAAATAATAGGTTAAGCCAAATGACTTCCAGTATTCTAATGAAACTATTTTGCCAACATACCAAGCTCTCCGATAAATGCAATGAGGAGGCGATCGTCTGCAGATTGGGGCCTGCGTTCCAAATTAGTAAATTAAAGTGCAAATTGAAAGAAAGAAATGTGAAGATAACTTACAGAAGAAATCCGAAGCTACTACACCGATTGCGGCAAACAAGTATGCGAGAAAGGAAAACTGCGTGTAATGTATGAAATTAGTGCCAAGCTCGTTTTCATTTTCACTGACCAATGGTGAAACAATGACGCCGTACCAGAGCAATTAGAATAAGCGGTTTATAGGGCCCAGAACAATAGTACAAGGTCAGGTAATCGACTATTCCAGTGCTGTATTCTTGGCAATTCTGTTTAACAAAGCTGCATTGATCCGGATGGTTGTATATATGCTCACACTTTCAAGGACGAGACAGTGTCAAAAAGTGCAGTTCAACATAGTATGAATTCGTCAAGACGCTTACCGGAATTGGAGTGTCCGAATCAAATGGTGCTTGGTACGCATGGACATAAGAGATTAGAAGAATGAGCAAAATTACTCGAGGTGATAATAACATGAAAGAGGAGATCTGTGAGGAAGATCAGTTGGTTCCCATCCATGGAACAAGTGGATTTCGTTTTGGCGGCACTGCTCCATAATGATATGATGGGTAATCGGAATTTGAAAACCAAAAATTAAAGGACAGCCGGTCAATCCTCTGGGTAGGAGCTTACTACAATGGTTTCGCTCTACTTTATAAACAAGCACAACTTAAAACTTGCTTAACGAAAGTAACTTTTGGTATACAAAAGCACATATTAAAAAAGTAAAAAATCCGAAGCTGATAGTATCGAACAATCCTATGATTGCATTCAAGGCGCTTTCCTGGCGCTTTCCAATTCGGTCATTCCATTCAATAACATGACGTCGGCGTTTTCTACTTTACATTTTTTCGGTGGTGTTCCTGGTTGCGGTAACCAGAAATACTCTTTTGCTACAGACCGTAATGCTAAAGAGTAGCTCCTGCAAGGAAGTCATTTTGAGATGCTCGGTCATCCAAGCTCGAAATGTTCTTGCTAAAGATAGCGTACGACTCTTTCCCTTCTTTGTAACAGTTGTATGCTTACCTTGTTCAATAACACTACCCGCCTTTTTTTTTCTCAACTATAGAATGGACTTTCTGACCCATATGCGGTCGTAACCAACGGAACAGAGTCCCACACTTCTCAAGTTCACCCCAAAACGTTGAACCCGGAGTGGAATTTCTCTTGTGACCTTACTCTTACTTCGAATTCTTCTCGAGTTTCAGTTGTGCTTTGGGACAAGGATCAATTTAAAAGCGACTTTCTCGGGCAAATCTCAATTTCTTTGGCCGATCTCTTCAAGCCAGGTCAAAAAGTCGGGTTTAATGAAGAAGGCAATGAGGTATGTGTATAATCCACTGTCACCTTGGATCTCTGTATTTGCTCGCTCGCTAAGACAATGCATACAGCCCATATGGTATGATTTGCTTGATCGAGAGACCTATCGAACCAGGATTCTGAGGCGCACGAAGAATACTCCACAAAAATCCGAACCAACATCAAATGGGCAAGTGCTTGTTAAATTTGGTATCATCGAAGAATACGGCTCTGCTGCGCCTGATGATTGGACTCATCTTTGGGAAGAGTTTTTAAGCGCCGCATTGAACGATCGCAAAATCAACGCAGCAGACACACTGAGTGTGGCTGACAAGGACAGCAGTGAAAAACAAACAGCTGCAGCCAAGAAATCGCTGTTGCAGAAATACAAGAACACTTCCGATGATTCAATTGACACCAGTGCCATCAAGTTTCACGGCGCAGATTTAATGGGAGTGATGTATATCGAAGTTACCAGTGCTAGTGACTTACCGCCAGAAAGAAATGGTAAGCGTTCATGTGATTCGCACGAAACGCCAACCGTGTTAGTGCAAACTGTGAAGCGACCATATCCCTGACGTACTAATAATATTATTTCTTTCGCCATCCATCCATTTAGTTCTACACACTGGGTTTGATATGGATCCTTTTGTATTGGTTACCTTCGGACGTTCAACTTTCCGAACTAAGGCCATTCGCCATTCTTTGAACCCGACTTGGAACGAGAAACTGTTTTTCCATATTAATGAAAATGACATCAATTATAAGCTTAAGTTCTCGATCTATGATAAAGACAAGGTGTCTGGTAACGACTATGTGGCTGGCCAAGAGATTTCTATCATTGACATTATCAACAAGTCAATCGAATCTGGAAAGCTATCTCTTCAGTCTACCAAGCCTGGGTCGGAACCCAGGCAACAAGACGGCGGAGATGAGCACATTCATCTGACCTTGGGACGAGCTAGCACCGAGACTTCTGCTAAAAATATCGAATCGGATATGGACCTGCATACCATTGACCTAAAACTGAACAACGAAGAGAAATGGGAAGGACGTCACCAGCCAACCTTGACTTTCCGAGCAAAATATGTTCCTTACGAACAAGTTCGACGTCTCTTTTGGTTAACATTGACCAAGACCTACGATAGTGATAACAATGGTCGTATGAGTCGTATGGAAGTCCAAACCATGCTGGAAAGCTTGGGTAGTACCATTTCGGATTCCACTTTGGAGTCATTCTGGGCTTACTTCCACAAAACCGAGGATCAAGAGCTGGAATTTGACGAGTTGATCGACAGACTTGAAGATCATATTGTGCATAACGATCTTCGCCGTCTAGACTCAAAGAGTTCTCGTCAGGCGCCTTCAGAGACTAATCAGGAACCTGGTGTCGCTAAGAACGTGTCGAACTTTTTGGATCCAGCCCGTTACTATCAATACGATGAAGAGATTGGATCTGACAGCGTGACCGATGAGTCTGACAGTGATGGACTCTTATATACTGGCGATGGTCTCACGATGTCAAAGCATGATCACGATGAGCCTTTGAATGAAGCTCACGGTATTCAGTATAGTTTACACGATTCAAATGAACCACTCAACGTCAAGGACGGACAAGATGTGAAACCTCAGGACGGGATCGATGTTCAAGACGGAAGAATCGAAAAAGTTATCCACGTTCGAGAGTGTCCTATCTGCCATCGTCCAAACATGAATAAGCGATCGCAAATGGATATCATTACCCACATTGCAACTTGCGCTGCGGATGACTGGACTACTGTCGACAAATTTGTCATGGGCAATTTTATTACTGAAGCATATGCACAAAGAAAGTAAGTACAAACTCTTCGGCATAGGAAAAGTACAGGTTGGGATTTTTAACTTACACACCATCGTTGTCAAGGTGGTTTGTCAAAATGATTAGCAAAGTAGGATATGGACGCTATTCCGTTGGATCGGTAAGTTTTTTTTTTTTTAAAATGATTCTAAATGCATTCAAATACGCGTGGCTACGAAATGGCTTACAATGTCCCGATTTAGGATAACGCCAATATCCTGGTTCAAGACAGATTGACCGGACAGATTATCGAAGAGAAGATGGCCGTGTACGTACGTCTAGGAATGCGATTGCTGTATCGTGGAAGCAAAAATGCAGTGCATAGCAAGCGTGCACAAAAAATTCTGCAGAACATGAGTATAAAGCAAGGCAAGCGCTTTGATGCTCCTGAATCAGCTGCAGACATTCCTGCTTTCATCCAGTTCCACAAACTTGACATGGGAGAAGTGCTTGATCCTGTGGATTCCTTCAAAACGTTTAACGAGTTCTTTTACCGCAAGCTTAAAGTTGACGCCAGACCGTGCGACAAGCCGGAAGACCCAAAGATTGCAGTCAGTGCAGCTGACTGCCGCATGATGACCTTTGCAACCATCGATGACGCCACCAAGCTTTGGATAAAGGGCCAAGAGTTCTCAGTTGGTAAATTATTGGGAGACGAGGAACTTGGTAAAACATACACCGGAGGTGCTTTGGCCATTTTCCGTTTGGCACCTCAGGATTACCATAGGTAAGATGATTTGTTTGGATGAACAGGCCACGCTACACACACAGAAAATGCTAATCTTCAAGTGACACAGATTTCATTCTCCTGTTGATGGTGTTGTCAGCGAACCTAGGCACATTAGTGGGCAGTATTATACTGTCAATCCCATGGCAATCCGTACCACATTGGATGTTTATGGTGAGAATGTCCGATCGATTTTGACCATCGATTCGCCTGAATTTGGCAAAGTAGCTGTAGCATGCATTGGAGCCATGATGGTGGGATCCATCGGTATCACAGCCAAGCCTGGGTCAACTATAAAGAGAACGGACGAATTAGGCTATTTCGCATTTGGTGGTAGTACTCTCGTCGTGGTCTGGCCTCCTGGTAAAATTGAATTTGACAAGGATCTCCTTCAGAACGCACAAGAGCGCCTTGAGACCCTTACAAGAGTGGGTCAGCATATTGGCAAGGCACCGTAGGTCCACCCCGCAATGCGTATATATAATATATATTTTTTATTGGTACCACCATGGTGATATCAGTTACCCGTCCTAATCAAATAAAAAGTCATGACCCAGGGACAATAAAAAATCTTGACACACTACTTGTGATAAAAGCTCACTTAACCTTGTTGACGGTTTATGGCAATTTGTGGCGAAGGATCTTTTCACTCAACCTTCCTGATTTCATGTGACAAGAACAAGGGCTATATTTGTGGAACTTTGTGGGAGGGTTTTTTTGGGTGAATTTATAAACAGCTTCTGAAGAGTAAGCCAAACGTTAATCAAATAGTGAATGTGCTTGACAAGGCACGTAGGAGAATAGATTATATAATTCGATTGGAAACTCAACAATAGCATGTGGGAATTGATAAGGGGGAGGTCAGCTGAAGTGTCAGTAATTGGGAAAAAAAGGTAGAAAAAATATACTGCTGAAGCGTGGAGATACAGCGAAAGAGGAGGGAGACAAACGACGAGGTAAGAAAAGAAAAAATGGGGTTTTTTGAAAGGAGAGTGAGGGTGAGAAGTAATATTATACAACAAAACGTGACAGTTTGGAAGCTTTGAGGGAACAAGCAAAGGGAAGGTAGAACATGGGGATTGAACTGGAATGGGAACATAAGGATGAAGAAAGACGAAAAAGAGATTTTCTATACAAGTATAACACGCCTTGCAGACCATATGTGCATCGTAAACGAAATAATACAACACGATTGCGTATTGAGTGAGTAGTGCAGGGCGGTATGAAGGGGAGTAGGTTGGTTGAATCATTCATTCCCAAGGGCGAAAGCTTCTTGGTTTGGCTTGCTCATCCTGTTTTTCTTCTTCCTCAACCTCTTCAGTCACACTTCCCCAAGCGTCATTACCACTTTTGCTGCGAACAGATCGTAGTTCTGCACGGCTCAAAGGTGGGAGTACCATTTGTTCGCTTGCTCGTCGCTTACGCTTCTCCTCACTCTTCTGTACATACTCTGCGGCTGATGCTAATAAATCGATGGCCGAATGGTCGGAGTAGGCTGGGGTGGGTGGCAAAGAATATGAGTGTGAGTGCGATCTGCGATGATACGGTGAAGAGGATGTACTAATTGGATTCAAGGCAGGTGGGGTGGCCAATGTGGCAGGGTATGGACCTTGGTGGGTGGGAGTTTGTGGTGCTGAAATGGAGCCTGAATTTCTACGACTATCAAAATAAGCGGCTTGATGGGCTGAAGCTGGAGTAGGGTTGAGCGATAAGTTAAACATATCAGAAGTTGGTGAATATAAAGGTGTAGCATATCGACGATCATGTTCACTAGTAGCACCACCATCCTGGGAACCCAATTTAATAGGAGGAGGAATAGAAAGATGCTTTGAGCCAGACCGATGGTCTCCAGCAGGTGCGCCGGAAATACTTCTAGACGATTCAAGTTCCGGATAAGCTGAAGTTCTTCTTGCAGCCTTTACACTATATTCGGTCGCATTATGAAGTTGTGGAGGCTGATCATCCAATCTGGAGAAAGTGGGAACAAATTGATATTTTGGGTTGCTTCCATTTATACCAGGTGTTAGAGGCGAGTGTTGGAACCGATGTTGCGACTGTGCGTTTTCAGCGTTCATAGCATTCAGTCTGGCACGATTGACCTTAGCACGACGATTTTGGAACCAAACCTATGTGTCACACACACCCCAACGGCACGCAAAGCGACAAGAAAAAAATAAGAAGATTGAAATACGACTTTGGTCAGTAAACCCACACACCAACCTGTACTTCTCGATTCGTCATATTGAGTTGATTTGCCAGCTTTTCCCGGACTTCAAAGCTGGGCGTATCAGTCTTCTCAAATAATGCTAAAAGATCCACCAGTTGCTCTGGGGTGATACGCTTTCGCTTGGCTTTCTTGGCTGGTTGGTCATCCAGCTTAGAGTCTTGCTCAGCAAAGGATGACCTTGGCGGAGCAGAATAACGGCGAGACGACGCTGAAGCAGGAGGCTTTAGAGATGACGCTGCGGAATCTTGGTCTTGAGAAGGTGGATTGAGTAAAGATGAGATAGATTTCCGGTTGTCATTGGCTGACATTGTAACAGAGACAAAGAAGTTATCTTCAAAAAAGGTAGAAAAAAAGGAAGGAAAGAAAAAGTAATATATAAAAAACAAAAATAAAAAAAATAAGGCAAGGTTTTTTTTTGGTCGCTGGGGATATTACTTTGCTGCCGCACTTTCTGCTTTTTGAATTTGCTGCTGGTCATTTCCTGTGTTACCAACCTTTATTTTGACCCATTTTTCTACTGCAAGTACGCTATCCCATTATCCTTCTGATGCCTTGAGATGCTACAAGTCATTTTTGAACATGGTATTACCCTTCGAAAAAAGTATATGAAACATTTTTCGTTCCAAATATTTCAGAGATTCTCAATTCAGAGACTGGGGCCTGCGCTGTAAGTTGCTTACGAAATAAAAAATATGAACTGCTTTATTATCTTATATGAAAAAGTTAATTGCGCTTGTGATATAATGCACCTTTGGCTTGTGTCCAACCACTTCGTTTAGTGCAAAACAAATCTTTGCCTCATCGTATTTTTACTTTTTGATTCTGAGTCATGCAATAAAGCCTTTTGCCTAATTCGCTTGGCTTGCGGAAACCTTCCTTGTTGTCTCTTGTCCAGATATCGGAGTTGAGTTGAACCGAGAGAGAGTAAATAAATAGAATGTGCCGAAAGGGAATGCCGATCGTACAACGTTTTGTCCGACGCAAATAACGCCTTCTGAACTCGAATATGGTGTCAATGAGCCTCGCTTCTATAGCGGCCGTTTGCAAATGTAATAACCCATATACAAAGGTTTCATATTCATTTTCTTGCATCATGTGCATGGCCGGTAACAGAAAGCTAGGTTCACTCAGCTTAGCAAAATTCATAAACCTGAGACAGAGTGTGCATTATACCTCCCTAAGGTTTTAGTGTGGTGGTCGGGTGGCTCAAAACACGACGATATTTGCCTGTGGCCAAACCACGTTTTCTATATTTAAGGAAATCCCTTGGTAACCCGAACTGATCTTTGTAATGTGGTATGCCGTGTTGTGGCCAGGTAGGTTGAGCTCATATCACTAGAAGGTTTTTTTTTTTTTAAAAAAAAAATAAAAAATAAAAAAGTTGATAGATGTCTAAGACTACATACTATTCTGGGATTTGGTGTGTTTATCAAGTTGGGATAGTGCTGTGCGTAATTCACCCCAACCGTGACGAAAAGAGCAACCGTCATTATAACCGAAAAGTTCAACTTGGTTTTGCGTACATAATGGGGCATTGCCTGGAGACAAGTCTCGTAAGTGGAACATATCATAAATAGTAGATCACTAAGAAAAGGGGTAAATTATACTTGGGTAACTGAGTCATGCTGGACTAACTGTGCAAATCGTGACACTGCTAGTGCATTCTTTTGGTTGAACAGCGCAGTTCACCTCTATAGACCGCAGAAGATGCCACTGGTAAAAAGTGTGTGAGGGGAGTAGCCAGTCATCAGAGACGATTTAAAGTTCATTCTGCAGCAGGTCCAACAAAACAACAAAAGACGAAGCAACCATTTCGCCACAATGCTGTAACAACGATTTTGAAACCCAGTCTACATACCAACTGCATTGGGCAGTGGAATTGCTGAAAACACACCAATCCAAAACAACCGCCTCTTCCAATTGGTCTGGATTGATGAACACTTCGTTTCTATGGTGCGTCAAAGAAAAGCTGATGTGAGAAGTCACATACAACATGAAGCACAGCATTGCTATAATGTTGCACACACCCGTTTTTTAACACGGCAATGGTCACTTTTTAATGACGAACACGGTTTTTGGTCTCGCCTGATCAAAGGCTGATGCATTATATTCAGAATACTATTCGCCATTACTTATGAAGAAGGTAATATAATGCTACTCTCTCATTATAATACGTGGCTGTGAAAATCCACAGCCCTACTCGCCGTCTTGGATGGCGCCGCAAGCCATTTGTTGTGGTGTCAGTGATATTCGTGTCATGAACCGCGCCACCACAGTAATGGTAGGGTTGTCTCATTAGTATAAGATGGCAAAGCGTAAAAAATCTCAAATGGGCGAAGGAATATCACAGTGTGTATCAATTGTCTATGGCGACGCAATGAAGCTATAAGTCAAAGTGACTGTTTCTTCCAGTGACGGAACGACAGGTTCCTTTCTCGACTCCTCCATTTTAATACATGTATCGCATAGCGACAGCCGTGAAAGCCTATGGAAGGACCTCGATCTCGCCAATACGAGCTCATGGGTTTAATCAGCAACTCACTTATTCGACTCGTCGAATGCCACAAAATGTTCGAGTGGAACCGTACATTATCGAAAACATGACTGCACCATCTTTACCACCACCAAAAATTCGATATATCCGACCAATTTTATTCACTGCAGTAGCTTCTGGAGGTGTATTTGGCATTGCTATTGCTGAATACGACTATAAACAAAGGTCAATGTGGAAACGTCTTCAAAAATGGGCCGGCAACCGAGAAGTCACACTGTCAGACGCTTGGATGGCTCAAAAGCAAGAGATAGCTTCACGAGTCAATCAGACCTTGAGCAAGTTGGAGCAGCTTAATTTACCGGAGGACATACGTAGAGCTTATATGATCGTATATCAAAAGTGGGAATCATGGAAGGAATCAGAGAAAACCATTGCTGCCATAATCGCCATCAACACCGTCGTATTCGCGGCTTGGCAGATACCGATACTACGACCATTCATGCGCAGATACTTTGTGCATGATCCTTTAAGCGGACGGTCTATTACACTGTTAACCTCCTGCTTCTCACATCAAGAGTTTTGGCATTTTGGTTTGAATATGATGGCATTGTGGTCTTTTGGCGGACTTGTTCATGATTACCTAGGTAGGGAACAGTTTTTGGCATTCTATTTGACCACTGGAATGGCCGCGAGCGCAGTCAGCCACGTCTTTGGGTTGAGTATGCGACGTGTTCGTCCTGTCCTGCCAAGTTTAGGAGCGAGTGGTGCCATCTACGGTTGCTTATCCGCCACAGCAATGCTCTATCCCGATGCAAGTGTCTACGTGGTATTTCTACCTTTCCTACCAATTAAAATAGGGTAAGTATCTGCTTGATACGATCAAAAGATTGTAACTTGCTATAAGCTACTACGCCTGTCATGGATGACTTACAAAGTTTATAACATGGCGTGTCACCAGGTACGCATTGCCAGCACTTATGGGACTAGACCTTGCCGGTATTCTTCTGCGATGGCGAACATTTGATCACTTTGTAAGTATTATGGATGAAAAAATGGGGTCATTGTTTATATTACATTTTTTCTAATCTACATTATTCTTTCTTCACATCCCAAAGGCTCACTTGACAGGAGCTATGATGGGCCTTGGTTATATTAAATATGGACCGACTAATATATGGGCACCTTTGCTATCCAATTACCAGAATGCTTCTCATCATTAGATATACTGTAGCTGTTACATAAAGAAGAATGTATCATGAGAACGTACGTGGCATGTTGAAAAAAATTGCAAAGCCCGATGAATGAATGCCAAATCAAGGTTTTTTTTTTTGGAGAGGGCCAGGTCCAGCTCACAGTTACAGAAATTTATAATACTACGTATACACGAATCATTCATACCCAACCCACACAGTCGTAGTGCTAAATAGTGCGCTGCTATTTTTTCCGCTTCTCGCTCTCCTAATCTTTAGCTTCTCATCTTTGTACCAACATGGGTCTCTCCATCTCTAAATTGCTTTCTGGCCTCTTCGGCAAGAAGGAAATGCGTATTCTTATGGTCGGTTTGGACGCTGCCGGTAAGACCACCATCTTGTATAAGCTCAAGCTTGGTGAAATCGTCACCACCATCCCTACCATTGGTAAGTTCATCTCCTTTTTATTTCTTCATCTTTTGTTTGATCTTTGGTCTTGCGGGTTGTAAGTGCACCATTCGCCCATCTGGCGTTGCTGGATGACGATCTTACAGCTGTCTGAGCCCAGGATGAGGACATAATCCTTATCCTCCTTGGCGCTCACAACACCGCAAGATCGAACTTTCCGCCATTTTCTATGTTCCCCCCATCCTTTCATCTCTGTTTTCCTTTGGAACTTTTTATTCTCTATTCTCGCTCCAAGTGCCATAAGTGCTATGGACTGCATTTTCGACCGTTGTTACCGCTACTTTCGTATTTTCTTGTTGCTTGGCTGTTGCGCGCCAATAACCTCGCCTACCCATCCTTTGACATCATTTCGCGTATATTATTTGTACTTTATGTTTTTCATGTTGCTGACCAAATGGATTCATCAACCAGGTTTCAACGTCGAAACTGTCGAATACAAGAACATCTCATTCACCGTTTGGGACGTCGGTGGTCAGGTATGTAAACATAGTTACGCAAAGTAGCACCGCCATCGATGCGCAATGACGGCTGACAGTTACCTATCAAAATTCTTTTTATTTTTTTTTGGCATCAATAGGACAAGATTCGTCCATTGTGGAGACACTGTAAGTGGTCACTCTATTGGCATTCATTATCTCGTCTTTTTTTGCATGATATCTGACCCCCCCCTCTACTTCAACAGATTTCCAAAACACTCAAGGTATCATTTTCGTCGTCGATTCCAACGATCGTGACCGTATCTCTGAAGCCAGAGACGAACTTCAACGCATGTTGAACGAAGATGAACTCCGCGATGCCCTTTTGCTTGTCTTCGCTAACAAGCAGGATCTTCCCAATGCCATGAACCCTGCCGAGATTACGGATAAGCTTGGTCTTCATTCGCTTCGTCAGAGACACTGGTACATCCAAGCAACTGTAAGTACTTCACCCTATAGTTCTACCCGATATCTGCATCAAACACTTCTCCTTCCCGGTCTCTTCTATATCAGACCTCCATCTATATGCCTTCGCTTTACTAATCTTTTTCTTATTTCTTTCAAAAATCATAGTGCGCGACAAGTGGTGATGGCTTGTACGAAGGATTGGAATGGCTTTCCACAAACCTCAAGAGAAACGCTTAAAAACTTGAAATTGAATGTTTAAAAAGAAGTACAATAGCTGCATTGCGTAGTTTTTCTATGTGGAATTCATTTTGCTGAGTTTGAAAATAATTGATATGTGACTGTTTTACACATTTTTTTGGCATGTGGAAGTTGTGGAAGATACTGTAGACTTGGAAGCATATTTATTGTAAAGTGAACTACCGAAAGGCATTAATGACCCGTGTAGCTCATTATGGTAGATTAAATTAGCACAATACAAAGTAGGCACTTTGGTAAGGCTCCTAATTCACTTTGCTGGCTTTACCTTTTCCGCCCAAACGCCGTGCTCTCATGGCCGTTTTCGATTTTAAAGCCCTTTAGCGTTGTATTTGTTTAACCGAATTATAAATCTGCAGGGCTATTAATTGCTCGTCTCTAGTACATGTGATGCATTGAGTGCAATATCGAGCGCTATAGAAGTACGGCCAAACGAGCATGTTCTAAAATCTTACGTGTATCGCAAGAAATAAGGATCAGCCTACCTTTACATCATATGCTGTGCTCTGGAAAGTTGGACATAAATTATATTGATTCTTGCCGTCTTGACAAAATCAAAAGGTTGTAAATAGTTCAGAGAGTTGTACTTTGGTATTATTAACGATCCAAAACAGTCATTCAGACATTGACTGGTTAGATCTCGATCTGACGATCCTTGATCAATACAAAAAGGGTTTACGTTCTAGACGGTGATTCATTAATGCATAACAACATGTAACGTGTGCTTGCAACAAGATAACCTAGTAGTTAGGCGGCCATTAGCACCGTAGGTTGTGCTATGTTTTGGTTTATTTATTTCATTTCAAAAAAATTTCAAGTCAATGAATTTGGATCGCGATTTAGTACCCACTTCTCGTGAATTATTTCCGAAGAAATTGGAAAAGTTTGTGTGGAAACGACCTTCTATTACTCTTTGCGCCCGTTAGTTGTTTCTCACCACCGACACAAACAGAGCTCATGTCACCATCATAAAGACAGAAAGGAGAGTTACAGGCATAACAGGCCATTCGAGACGAAATTTAGTCGGCGCTATCAGTGTTGTCGCCATAAAAAGTGACCTGTCATATCGAGTTGTGGGTCTGCTTCCATTGTTTGCAATGTTACTTGTGCCATCCAATTACATCTTCTCCCTCAGAATAAATGGAAGCAACCTTCTGATCCATATATGATGACGTGACATCGAATTTCATCACACTCTTGATGGATCTTTCACTCCAGTTTTCTCTAACTGAGATTGTTTCTTCCCATTGAGTTTTCAATCTTACGAGAACGTACGAAGACTTCGAATATGAGGCGTCTATAAATTCACAATCGACTTGTGAAGAGGCCAATTAAACATTTACTTTTGAAAAGACGTAACCTTCAATGTCTTATACTATTTAGTTCCGTTTATCTTCATGAGAAAGCCGGACTTTATACTTGATTCTTCTTTGGTTTACATACTACAAACGGAGTAGCTACAGCCATATGCAAATGTAGATATTTAAGATTTATTAATAACTGTTGCGGTATGGGCATAACGAGATAAACGTAAATTTATCTGAGCATAGTCAATTACTTAAGATCAAACACTCGTCGTCCAAAGCTGTTGATGGGTTTCCAACTCAAGTGTGTAGAACAAACATAGCCGTTGAACCTGAATCTTTTGATAATACTCACTGACGTGTTATAGAATAGAAAAATTTATTTAAAAAACCTATTAATCCCATGGCCGTTCTTCTGAAAGATATATTCTTATAAGCCAATGCTGAACAAAGAGGGGTGCAAAAGTTACTGACACTGGGGGTTTACGAGATGTCAATTTCGGTGACTGCATTTGTGGGAAGGAGCCTCAAAATGGAATGTGCAAGACAAACCTCGGCTGACTTTGTACCAGTAACCGCCATGGCAGGAGTTAACCGTGCTCCTAGACTGTTCGATTTAGACCCACGAATACAGCGTCTCCTAACGCTGGAAAAGTTCAAAGTGCGTATCAATTACGAGAACAGATGCATTGCTCTAGACTAAACCTTGGCTTAATTATTACAGGGAGATGCTAGCAGTACTGACTTTATCGAGGAGATCTCAGCGGGCTTGATTGAACAAACGAAAGAATACAGTGGCAAAGGTATGATGACATGACTTTTTGCCGTAAACCGACACCCGACAATCATCTAACTTAAAGACTACCATTACAGCCATGGATGTGAAGTCGTTCATTCGAACGTTTGAAAATGTGTTTGACCAGCTTGCAGAACTTCGAATTCAAGTAAAGGAGCAATGCGAAGACCTCGAAAATGCTTGCTATAAAGCCGAAACCCAGCACCGTAAAAACGTGAATGATCTCGCTAGTTCCTTTGACGTAAGTTTTGTGTATTCAGACGTCGCTTTAAACTTGCCCAAGTTTGACCATCATAATGCATATAGAATGTGTATCGTTCATACGATACCCTAGAATCACGCGTCAATGAAGTGGGCAAGACTGCTATTAGGATTGGAGAACAGTTGGAAACTTTGGATAGGCAACGTTCACGTACATCTGAGAGTCGAGATATATTGGATTACTATATGGACTTCGAAAATGGAGGATCAGCTAGACTGGATGACCTGCGATTTAATGCCGGCGAAGAGGGCCAGCTCAAAGCAGCAGTCATTCTCCGAAGAGTTAATGCGATCATCAAGGAGGTTGACATGGACAGCAAGGTAAATGTCTGGTAAATGCAGCTTGCATCTGCTCAGCTTATCTAACGTTAAGATTCTCGGCACTTGTCAGACTCGCGGCACCATAGAGAAAGTCTGCGAAGAGTTTGAAAGAGACATGTTGGAAGATTTCAATAGGGCTGTTCATGATGGTGACCCAAGGGCCATGGAGGTAAGAATGAAAAGGCATTGATATCCAGTTATTATATGTGTTGGTGCTCACGTTTATAACCTGTAGCATAGCGCCAAGGTCTTGTTCGAATTTAATGGCGGCACAAGTTGTATACAAACCTATGTCAATCAGCACGAATTTTTCATTTCCAATAGGCGAATGATTGAGATGAGCCAAATCGACATACTGGCAGATTAGTGAGTGTCCCAGCGACCACCGTTTATCCATTCAGATCCAATACTGATATCACATTAGCCAACAAGACATTTCAGATCCTTTCATATCACCACCAGAAGTGGATACAAGCCTTGTCAAGTTATATGATGAAGTCCGTATTACAGCAAGACGGGAAGCTGAAATTATCATAGCAGTGTTTCCAAATCCCGTGATTGTCATGCAGGTGTTCCTTCAACGAGTGTTCGCACAGTCTGTAAGTAGAAACTGTTTCGGGTGAAAATGTAGAAGGAAATGAACTCACATTTATCATTCGTTTGTTCTAGATACAAAATCTTGTCGAACAGCTGCTAGAGCAAGGCGAAAACATTTCACATCTCGCATTCTTGCGAACTCTGGCATCCACGCATGCTGAGACGGTACGATTGGTGGAAAGCTTAAAGTCATTTTGCGATAATGAAATGAAGCTGGCATCGTCAAAGGAATCTAGCCCAAACTGGAACTCATCGCAATCGCTCAGTGCCAGCATAGACCGATGCATGGAAGATCTGTTTGTTCCATACACGGAAGGCGATCGCTATATGAAGCGGGAACAACAGGCGCTATATGAAATATTTGGATCTATCATTTCAAGCTTTCTTCGAACTATGGTAAGATTCGATGTAGACATACGCGACGATCAAATTCGTCATTCTCAACCGATTGTGACTTTGCTGAATCATCCTTCTTTATTCCATTAGCAACTGCGAAAGAAAACCACAACCAAAGGGCAGTCCAAATTAACGCGTGCTCTCAATCAAATTGCCAGCTCCACTTCCTCTTATAACCTTGCCCCCGTTGGCTCCGCTGGCAGTAACATCTCATCTCAACGAGATTCATTTGATACCACAGTATTGAACGGAAATTCATCTGTAGAATCCAGCATTGCAGGCAGTAAGAACAATGACGGCGGCATGGGGTTGATACCTATGGACCAAATCCTGAAGATGCTTCAAGTTCATGCTGAAAGCATTACTCGTGGTGTAGAGCTAACAGATCCGCAAGAGCTGTAAGTTGAATGGGACCAAACTCGTCATGTTCATATTGAGCATAGAAGCTAATAATGTGCGTTTTTGCTAGGCCCCAAAGAATCTCTGCTCTATTTGAGCTATTGATGGATTTCATCGGCTCTAAATATCTTGATATAGCCATGGACACGTAAGCTACAAATCTTATACGGAGAGTAGACGGAATTTACACTAACAAAAAGCTGGTCAGGTTGCACGAAGAAATTGATACCCGAGCGGAACCGGAACTGCGTAGTTTCGCAGTTGTGAAAACCGTCAAAGACATTATCCATTTGTTACAGGAACACTTTGAGATATGCATTGTAAGTGGGATCGAAAATGTTTGATGTTTTTCGGTACATAGATTGAATGTGATGGCTTCTTGTTTAGTTACCCTTGATCGCCACCTCCACTGCTGTTCATAGACAGACTGTCGCTCGAAAGAATGAGTTCATGACTGAGCTGGAAAGCAAAGCGAACTCGATACTTCAAAAAGAAGTCGATGGTAAGTTGGTAGTGCACTTGGGAGTAGAATCTAGTTTGCCCAATAACCAAGTTTTTATCGTACAGCTATAACAAACTGGTTATCAAGCTCGCTTTCAAAACAGAAGAGGAATGACTTTAGGCCTAAGGAAGAAGAAGTGTTTTTGACCCTTACTACTCAGGTACGCAGATTTTTATTCTTCCATAGACGTTCGTCCTTGTCTGGTAACATCCTGTATGTCCTTTCTTTAGCCATGCACACAATGCGTAGACTTTGTAAAACGTGTACAAGCAGCCGTTGGTAACGCATTTACCGGCAAGAACAGGGAATCCATATTGACCGAGATAGGATCTGTCTTCCACTCGTGAGTGCTCTTACAGATTTTCCTTCTTAATGAAAATATATTACTTATGTTCTACTTTATACCACACAGAATTCTTCTGGAACACTTTAAGAAATTCCATGTTTCTGCTGCCGGTGGCTTGCTGGTCACAAAGTAAGTATTGAAACCTAACATTCCGCACCGTATACTATTTCTAATGGCGTTCATGAAGGGATATTGCAAAGTATCAAGAAGTCTTTAGTAGCTTTGGCGTCCCAGCACTTAACGATCGATTTGAAATGTTGCGTCAGCTGGGTAATATCTTCGTGGTCAAACCAGAGATTCTTCCCTCCATATTGAGCAAGGACTTTTTGGCCCGCATTGACCCCAAAGCATTACACCCGTACCTCCGAATGCGTGAAGATTTCAAGAGTGCTAAGATCGATCATCTTTTGGGTATGACTGATAATCCTACGCGACCATCCGCTATGACAAGTGATGGGTCACGTAGCCAGCGTCTATCGATGTATGTTAGCGACCACAATGTAATGAAACAAATGATGAATTCACACTCTAAAGCAGACTTTCTCGCTGCTTTCAACATGTGAAATAATCGAGCTTGCTCTATAAGTATTGAGCACTCGCTACCAGCAATAATAATAAAACTCAGCGACAATGTCCTTGTGAAAGTCAGTGTGAAAAATTTGATTTCGGGCGATGGATTCAGGCTCAGGTGACCCGTTGGTTCCATCTGCAGCCGAGGGTATAATGAAGATACCCTTTGATTACCGGAATCAAATCCCCCAAAAGTTTGTTACGAATTTTTGTCATGAAAACTAACTAAAAGCGAAGCTGTTTGTGTCGCACAGATTTTATCAACCTGCACATTAATTTCATTTCATTCTTATATGCTTGAGTGATGATATTTAAGCCTCCAATTTGTCTTTCATCTTTCTGCAATAGGCCGTCTTTAAAGGCATGCAAACGGGCTGGTGAAATCTGAGGCATTTCGTAATGCATCGTAACCCTCACAGCATACGCTTATCATGCAATAGCCAGCATGATTTATCGTACGTGCGCTCTACGTTCATATGAATATAAACAATGCAAAATGTTTTATTTTCTAATGACATGGGGAACTACAATATAGGGCTAAATAGACTTGCTGTTTCCAGCGACTATCTCTAGTAACCAATATGTTCCATTAAACTGTACTTGATGAACTGTCTATGTTTGACAACAGTTAGTAACACTATCCGAGGTTCGGTGCTTCTTTAGGAAGATACGAAGATTTGGAAGCAACTGTTTAGTCCAGGAAAATCTATGTCTATTTTCGTGTCTGCGGTTACCCCATGCTCAATATATGAAAATTAAATTTCGTAATTCATCTACGGGCCATAATAGGCCATCAGACGCAGCTGATTCGAGGGTTCTCAGGAAAACTTTGAAGCGGGAAAGCGCCACAATTTTCATACAACTTGGCGGGACAACAACCAACATTGCTTTGCTAATAGCCTTTACCTTGTCAGCAGCACAGCAAGTACGAAATTTATCAATGAGCGACACAAAATTACCTAAAAGCAACATGAAAAACTTTCATTACTTTCATGTTATTGAGTTAAGATTTTTGTGCTGGGTATGGTACTTTTTACCATATATTTCTTCATGCACTGATCATCAGCCTGCTTATCAAAGATGATCACGTTAAACGGGTCCAGTTGGGAGGATTGCAAGCCTCAAACTGTATCCAATAACATATTTCATTTTATGTGCATCCCCACTTCTGTCAGAACAACAATTCCTTATGACACGGAGCCTTTAAGAAGGATGCCTTCTAGACACAACAGTTTGTACAGATAGAATTTATGTCAGTCAAATTGCAAAGTGACAATTTTTGTATGGTATATGTACAGTGGCTTTCCATAAAGGTTCTCTCTAACTCAATGGAGAACAGTACCCTAGCTTTGTCGTGCGAAATTACTTTATGGTGATACGACGCTGGAAATGGATTAATCTGGTGTTTTCTCTGTGCGATGCAGCAAAGGGAAAAGCTTACATGATGTAGGATGCACCTATGGGAATAGCAACATCTGTACACAGAAGCCATATGGATTAAGCGGTACTCTCTTTTCCCGTTCAGTACCAGGGCCCGCCACGGTCATGGCACTATATGTCGCAATAAGAGATGCAGTATAAATAAAAAGGCACAGTTTCGTGTCAATTCGTTATAATTTTCACTCTTCCTCTCAAGAAGTCTATAAAACATCATGCGAGCTACTCTTTCCTTGATTGCATCTGCCCTCCTCCTAGCAGAGATCGCGTCTGCCAAGAACCTCGTTCTCAAAAATCTCTGTGGCAAGACCATTCAAGCTGGTGTCTTGCAAAATGGTCAATCTACACCCACCTATTACATGGTTAATTCCGGAGCCTCTACAACCGTTAGCCTGGCTGCTAACTGGGCTGGCCGTACTTGGGCTCGTATTGACTGCGTTTCATCAACCGATCAAGCTAGTAACTTGCAGTGTGGAACTCCCGGAACTCCCAACCCTGCCAGTTTGGCTGAATTCACATTTGAAGGCTCTGGAAACCAAGATTTCTATGATCTTTCCATGGTTGATGGCTATAACTTGCCTATTGAAATTCAACCCATTGGTGCTTCTCAAGGATCTACTAAATACATCTGCGGATCCCCAGCGTGCCAGACGTTGCCCACCTGTCCTAGTGATTTGACTGTCACGACCACCGAAGGAGATCTTTTAGCTTGCCAGAGCGATTGCTCACATTACAATGAACCTCAGTACTGCTGTACTGGCGCATATAACTCTGCTGCCACCTGCAACGGTGGCCCGTATGCTCCTACAATTAAGTCTGCCTGCCCTGACGCTTACAGTAAGTATTCAACAACTAATTGGCTACGATTGTTAAGCATTTATTTAACCATATTACTAGGTTTTGCTTACGATGATGTCTCAAGCACTTACACTTGCCCTTCGGGCACTGCCACTGGCTATACTATCACTTGGTGCCCTAACGGCTCGTCTACTCCAACAACCACAGCAGCTAAGACCACAACAAGTAAGACCACTACCACCCCAGCCTCAACTGGCACTGGAAGTTCATCTTGCGGAGCTGGACTAAGTGCCTGTGGAGCAGCTTGCTACAACCCATCCCAATACACTTGTATCAACGGCAACACCCTTTGCCCTGCCGGTGATAACTTGTGTGGTAAGCATCAGTCGTATTGACAAATATAACAAAGTTCGCTCACCTAACCAATATTTGTTCTATAGGAACTGCTTGCTATAGCCCCTCGCTCTACTCATGCAGCGGAACCACATTGGTCCCTGTTTAGAAATGTCCTTCCAGCATGATGATCTCCTTCCTATATAATATCATATCTTAGTATCCCAGGATATTGTTACATTCGAAATAAATTTATGAACAACTATGGGCTGCGTTTCGTACACCCGCTATATCCCAATTTTTTTTTTTTGGCCCTTGAATTGAAGAAATCAGGTGTGCACCTCTTTGTAAACTAGAAATCTCGCAATAGCTCAATTGTGTTCAATGTCCAAAACGCTTATTTCTGGTAATAGTAAATTTGCATGCTACTTAAATTTTTTTTTCCAGTAATGTATCTACAGCACAGCGAGTATTAGACGGCTGTATCTATGAAGTACAAGTGTGTAGCTTCCTAGACTGCTAGTATTGCCAAAGCTTGCGCTTTATCACCTTGAGGCACGTATTTTTATTTTTTGGCACCATATTCGGCACGTACTCAAAAGTAGCCCCGCCCGCTTAACAGCCGTTAGATATGATACCAGAGATAGCCCAAGCGGACGAGGGTACTTTCGGTGCCCAAATAGGAATATCTCGGGGGATCAACTCATCCGATTTGTACCGTATATTAGGATTTGGACCAATCAGAGGCGGCGATAAGATAGATAAATTCTAGATATCCCACTCTCACGAGATATTATGAGCTTCCGTATTTGTCCTTGTTGAAATATAAAAAGTCTATCTCTCCACAATCTTTCAGCTTCTTCAATAATCCTTAAAATCATGTCTTCTGTTACTCTTAAAGCTGCTTGCTACGGCAAGGATAAAGTTCGCGTCCTCAAAGTTTATCGCGAAGGAGCAATACAAACTGCTGTGGAGTTGACCTGTCGTTTGACTCTCGAGGGAGATATCGAAACTTCCTTTACCAAAGGTGACAACTCAGTCGTCGTCACAACTGGTATGTACACCACCACCATTATCTTTTGAGTCGGTCAAATCGAAAATCTAACACTGTCAAAATTTTAGATACCTGCAAAAACACCATTTACATTATGGCCAAACGCAGTGCCAATGTTGATAATATCGAGGTGTTTGCTCAAGAAATTACTGAGCATGTACTTCGTCAATATAAGCATATCCATGTTGCCCATGTTGATATCATCAAGCACAAATGGTCTCGCATGACCATCGACGGTGAAGAGCACCCACATTCTTTTGTCCGTGACGGCGAAGAAGTCCAAACTACCAAAGTCTCTCACTATCGCCAAGGCGACAAGATCGAAATTGTTTCTGGCTTGAAGGGCCTTTTGGTTCTCAAGACAACCGGTTCCGCCTTCCACGGATTTTACAAGGATGAATTCACCACCTTGCCTGAAGTCTGGGATCGTATCTTTTCTACTGCTGTTGACTGCACCTGGACCTTTGAAAATGCCCCAGCTACTGCTCTGCGACAAATCGACTTTGCTGCTATTCATCAAAACGTCAAGAAGGTGACCCAGGAAACCTTTGCCAACGACGATTCTGCTTCTGTACAAGCTACCATGTACAAGATGCAGAAATCAATTCTCGAACAGCATGATGCTATTGCCGAAGTCTCCTATGTTCTTCCTAACAAGCACTACTTTGGTGTCGATATGTCCAAGTTCAACATTGATAACACCGACGCAAACCTTGATGTTTATCAGCCCGTTTCCGATCCATCCGGTTTGATTACCGCCACTGTTGCTCGCAAGTCGCGTTCAAGACTCTGAACTGGCTGTGTCCTCTGATAACCAGTTCTGTAAATTGTTTCTAAACCTCAACATTCTGCTTGAAAAAGGTTGATCCTTTTCCAACAACCCCTCTATATACCTTTTGTTCTACATTGTAAAATAATTATAACCATACAGTCGCATTGTGCTTCTACTTAAATCCTGGAAAATTGTAAAATAAAAACGATTCCTCACTATCAAAAAGCTCGAGCATGGTATTGCGGTTAGGCACCGATTAGTTCCACAGACCTTTAAGGCGGAGATAGCCCCATGAGTCACCAGAGTCCCCTATTTTATTTTTTTTCATATATAAGTATATTTTCTACCTTATCAATTTGTACTTTAATCTTTTTCTCCTCTCCTCCATACCATGGACCATATACCGTAAGTTAAGCTTAAAGCAATGGGCACTCATACATGGTGCGTTGCTAATTGATCCGGTATATAGAACGGAAACCACTCCATTAGTGGTTAAGGCCGTCAGTCCTCCACAACGAAAACGAGCAACAAAAGCAACCTCAACACACTGGTTATTGTTATTTTTTGCTTGTTATTCTACACTTGGTGGATACTACTGGTATGTACTGAATAGGTTGACGATAGAAGATCTGAGAGTAGACGCTAACCAATCGTCTGTTCTAGTATGGAATTGCCTTCCGTGAGTCCTCTGCGGAGATATCATTTGCGAATCAGCCCTGAGACGATAATCAATTAACCAACGCTTCACCTTTGATTGATAGGCAATCAATCTTCAATTGAATGAACGGCTCGGGTCTTCGTATGAGAACTGGCAATATCAATTGAACCTTCTGTTCGCTGTTGCAACCATACCCAACATTGTCGTACCAATATTTTCTGGTCTGCTGGTCGATGTATTCAGCTTGAGGACGCTTTTCACTATTTTTACAGCTTTGGTGGTTATTGGTCAAGCGATTTTCAGCATTGGTGTCTCCTACTCGAACTTTCCCATAATGGTCTTCGGACGCTTTGTCACCGGTGTCGGATTTGGAGCCAACGATCTTGTTCAGTGCAAAATCACAACCGACTGGTTCAAAAGCAACTTTTTAGCCTTTGCTTTGGCTATGAATCTGACATTTGGTCGATTAGGGACCGCCGCCAACTTCAACATCACGCCAATGCTATTAGATAAGTTCGGATTCGACGAGGCACAGGCTTGCTGGTTTGGTTTAGTAGTTGCTCTGACAAGTGGTCTCGCTGTCCTCGTTACAAACTACTTGGATCGACCGGAATCTCGTGCAGCTGCTGGCGTAGCTCTTGAAGGTGTGATTGAAACCGTGCCTGACAGCGACAACTTCAACGTTGATCATGATAAAGTCAGCTGCTCGGACTTCTCGAGACTTGGTACCATGTTCTTTGCATTGCTGATATGTGTCATGGCTTTATACGGTGCATGCCAACCTTTCTTGCACATTGCGTCGGACGTAAGTACTTTGAAAAAATTGATGGCGTGCAAAATCCCCAACATACTAACTCTTTATCATAGCTTTTACAGACCAAGTATTTCCCGAATGATCCTATACGTGCAGGCGTTCTGCAATCCATCCCTGACATTCTATCCGCTATGTTGTGCCCTATATTCGGCTTAATGGTAGACAGGATAGGACGACGATCACGAATTATTGGATTAGCAGGCTTCTGTCTATGCGCATCGCACCTCATCATCGCCTTTACCGACGTAACTCCAGTTATACCCCTCGTCATGTTCGGCATATCCTACGCTGCAGGAACAACCGCTCTTTGGCCCTCGGTCAGTTTGCTTGTGCCTGCAGATCGCCTGGGCACTGCTATAGGTGTTGGCGAATCGGCACTCAATACCAGTTTAACCGTCGTTCCGATTATCGTGGCTGCCCTCAGTACCAAAGGCAGCTTTTTGAAAGTTGAACTTTTCTTTGCTACCTTGTCTGCTGTGACAGTCATAATATCCGCCTATATGTACATAGCAGGTAAAAAATCCGGCGGAGCAATGGAACAGACCATTTTTGGAGAACCTGTGGAAGATGAGGAACGATAGATCCTCGTGCTTCCCAATATATAGACCCTGTCATTTTTTTCTTTTACATTTTCACATTGTACATTATTATCAATCTGGTATGTATTACTATGATACTACATAGTCTCCTCCAAATACTCAATTAAATATTGCCGCGCCTATTCATCGAACCACTTTATCGGAGGATATGTCAAGCTTGGTGATTTTGCCTACGCACTTCATGCCGCTGTCGATGAATAGCACCTGCGCTCCTAGGCGTAAATACTCTGGTTTGTGGAAGAATCGAAACGCAACCGAGCCTTGTTGCCCAGTGATGATACGGAGATCATTCTTCGCTGACGATTCGACCGGACTAGACATAGATCTGGACATGGTGGTAGCGTGGGATAACGTTGGTGTTGAGGGGTCAGAGGCGGTGTTTTCATTGTGAATGACTTGTACAACGCGTGCATATTGCCGAATCGATCCACAGTGAATCATGCCAGATGCTCCTACGCGTAGTCCACTAGGATGGTATAGTACAATGATATCAGCTACAAATTCTGTATAACTCTCTGCTACGGGCGCTTCCAATAAAACCATGCTTTTTGCTATTCGCCAGTCTGGATCGACTAGCTCGAGAGCTAACGTAGCTGCTTGTCCACAATGCAAATACCTAGTTGGCATCCTATGTCGATGAATTGAGGTCACAGCGGCTCGTGTAAACTTGCCATCGATATCTGGGCCAAGATGAAACGTCCGCTGTTCAAGAGAGCTGTTAACGTTGATCCGACCGGAACAGAGGACACCGCCTACGACATTGCCCACATCTGTAAGAAACAAAAACGGTTATCATCACATATCCGAGCTTACGCATTTTTAATACACTTTTCAAGAAATTACCTGGGACAGAATAAACCTCTTCAATTTGGAACTCAACGGGCTCTTCCAGTAACTGATCATAGTTCTTGACAGGCTTAGGAAGGAGATTGAAAAATTGCTCCAGCAAATGCATGTTTGCTCCCGTTACACTGGACACCAGAAAGATAGGAATTTGAGGTCCTCTTTGCGCGAAATGAGATACACTGACTATCAAATCGTCCTCGTTTTTAACAATGAGTGGGACTTTACAGTTGCCTGGAGCCTTGAGTAAAGCGATTAAAGAGCCCAACGATAACCGGAGTTGCTCTGGTGTAGCGACATCAATCTTGGTCAAAACCACAAACACAGGAACGCCTAGCATTACGGCAATAGCAAGATGCTCCCTTGTCATGTCACTTAGCCCGCCTGCGTTAGCCGCAACGATCAAGCAGGCGTAGTCGGGAGCATGCCCAGTCATTCCGGCAATAGTGGTTTTGAGATATTTGGGATATCCGCAAGTATCCAGGAACGTAACTATCTTGCTGCTGCTTTCGCATATTTGTTCCCAAGTAGAGATATTGGTGGTTGAAAAATTAATCAATTTTCCGGCGGAATCATAACCAACGATTTCATGAGATATTGAAGACGTACGGCCGGATTCGATTTCATGACGATGTCGCAATAGATTTAATCGTGCTCGTCCGCGACCATTATCCTTAAGTCCATACGATAGATAGCCAAGCAAAGTCGATTTTCCAGCATCATGAGCTCCCACAAGAACAACTCTGATTTCCATGCAGGACTGCGGGTCGCTTTTCGTTCGCTTCCGTATTAATACTTCGATCACTTGTCTGCTCTCCTGATCTTCGATGTCGATTTTTACACTCCGTATGATGGAAACATCGGCATCCAGCCTTGAAGCCATGTCATTTACCGTCTGCATTGACAACTCTAACTCGTGATCCGAAAGACCTTGAAAGTCAAGGCGATTTAGCAAATGATACCCCCCACGTGCTTCAAGTCGTGCAGCTACTTGCCGACTAATGATCCATCATCACCCACTCCAATTTCGTAGATTGCCTCACCACCACCTTCGGCCAATCTGTAATTTTTTGGTGAGCTTCTTTGCAAGAATATAGCGAGGGTAATCAACGGTCAATCCATATACCTCCACTTGAGCTGAGTCACTAAATGTTCCAGTCGCTCTTTTGTTGGATTTACTAGCTTAAGCTAAGAGGGACAACATACAAAACAATTAGGTTAACCTTCAAATATTCAATTGAAAATCATACAGCTACTTTTGGATAGCAGGACATAGAATCACCTTATACTCGATGTTACCCTCATTGTCTATTTCTGGCGGTAATGAGCGGGCTTTTGTTACTGCCAACCAAGGCGATCCCGTCTTTACATGATTAAATTGCCCAGCTTGCATGGGAGAAATTGTAATTGAATCGGCAGAGGATATTAGGTAGAAGGCAAGGTAAATTACCGAGCTTTAATATAATATATAGTTAAGAAAAGCTTCGACTTTGTGGGTTGGCAGTCAGAGGGATTTTTAAAAGCAGCGCGAGGTTCCCTGACTCACGTCTGACAGTCACTTGGCTCTGCCACCCACACACAAACGTTGGCAATGAGCTCCCATAGAAAAAAACCATTCAGCGCAAAGCAAAAAAAGAAGCAATTGCAAGAGCGTAAGCAGCGAAAGGCTGCCTCTGGTAAGGATTAGCTATCTATGTATAGTCAAGAATTGCTCTCATTCTGATCCACCGATTGTGTTAGGCAGCGAAACTCGGATCTATCGACCTACTGTGGTGGATCCTTCGCAGAATTTTGTTCCAAGACAAAGACTAGATCGAGAAAGCGACCCTGCAGTTGCCGGAAAACCCATGAAGCAATTCGTACCAGCTCAAACAAGTGCTGGAACATCCAGGTAAGAGCCTTTCTGGCAAATCAACTATTACGTTATGCAACTGTAGCGCCTGTTGTCGACTGATAAAATATTCAATTACATCAGGCTGAGATCCGTTTTCGAGAAACTATCGACAGAAGTCGTTGAGCGTGCACGCCTTGCTAGTATGAAACCACTTCAGCGCTTACCTCAAACCGCTCTTGAAGTAGGCATCACATCAGACGACAAACTGATTGATTTTCCGAAGCGCCCAAAATGGAATTATGGCATGACGAAAGAGCAGCTGGAGCAAAACGAGAAAGACGAATTTGAAAAGTGGCTTAACGACATTTATGAGCGATATGGAGATCACGTACAGGAGACAAGCGATGGAGAGCAAGAAGAGCTGAGTTGGTTTGAGCACAACTTAGAAGTCTGGCGACAGCTGTGAGTATATTTTCGTAACATGCTATTGCCTCCATCCTTATGTATGCTGAACAAAGAAAATTCTATTATCAGTTGGCGTGTTTTGGAAATAAGCGATATAATCCTCATCATTGTTGATATTCGACATCCAGTATTGCATTTACCAACCACTCTTTACCGATATGTAACCGAAGAACTGGGTCGGAAAGTTGTCTGTGTATTTAACAAGGTAAACTATTGTTCAAAAATTTATGTTGCACAAATCATCTGCTTGCATCCCTCGCTGATATTTTCTTGAACAAGATTGATCTCGTAGCTGAAAAAACAGTTTACGCATGGCGAAAATATTTCGAAGAGGTCTATCCTGAATTACATATTGCCACTTTCAGCTGCTTCCCACGAGACGAAAATCTTATAGACGACACCTCCACCTGTAAGTTTTACAGCTCACTACGAACTTTTTATAATTTCCACATCAGCAGCTGACACCTTTTTCAACCTACCAAGATGTCTTGAAAACTCGCTTAAAGCGACCCCGTAAAAGAGGTTATCGTGCAACTGGCGTTCGTGACGTTTTAATAGCGTGCAAAGATGTTCATTTAGATAAACAAGGCGTGACAGTCGACTGGAACACTTTGATAAAAAATTACGACGACGAATCAGAGCTGCCCGTCGATGGGACTCACCTTGAGGATATCAATGATTCGGATGATGATAGCGAAACAGGAAGCATGGATGGCTTGGGTATGTGAAGCTCAGCATTTCGGGGTTATGCAATTGCTTTCGCAGTTTGTAATAATATACTCACGAAATCAAACTTTCGCCTTTAGATGATGAGTTCAGTGGAATATTGAATGTTACGGACCATGAAGTCACTCCTCACAAAGACTATGTCACCATTGGACTCGTTGGTGGGTATTGATTTTTAGATTTACAATCTGTATCTGATCGAATACATCCTCATCACCGTCCTTTCGATACAAACAGGCCATCCTAATGTTGGAAAGAGCAGCTTGATAAATTCTATAATGGGTCGGACTGTGGTTAGTGCAAGTCGTACTCCAGGTATTCTTCGCTTTTATATATAATTTGAAGTAACATGAAATAAGATAGCTAATAGCAATTCGTTAACAACTTGCAGGCCACACGAAGCATTTCCAAACCATTCACTTGACTGGAAATGTTCGGCTTTGCGACAGCCCTGGCCTTGTGTTCCCCAGTCTCTTACCTAAACCACTACAGATTTTAAGCGGAATGTACCCCATTGCCCAAGTTCAAGAGCCATATAGTACCATACAGTACCTTGTAAGTAATTCAGCTTTGCCATATTAAGGCAGGGAATCTGCATGCTTGCTCATTTTATTCTTTACCACAGGCGGAACGAATTCCACTTGAAAAAATACTTCGTCTATCTCCACCGGATGGAGACAAAAACCACTCTTGGTCAGCATGGGATATATGTGAGGAGTTTGCCAAAGATCGAGGTTTTTATACCGCAAAAGCAGCTAGACCGGATGTGTACAGAGGTAAAGGACATCTCAATGTGATTTTTGTGCAAAGTGATATACTACTTTTCTAACCGGTCACCATCCTTAAATAAGCTGCCAACACCCTTTTACGTTTATCTAATGACGGTCGTATACTATTATCGTTCAAGCCGCCAGGTTTCTTCACCACCACTAAATACGAACTTATGAAATTACGAGAGATTGAAGCGCAAGAGAATGAAGAGGATGAAACAGAGGACGAAAGCAGCGACGACGAGAGTGAAGAAGATGATGGTGCTCCTGTAAAAATCACCAATATATTTGAAGCGCTTGAAAATGCGTAAATGCCGTCTCTTATATTAAAAGCCAAATAAAAGTTGAAAAATGCTCAGTTTTTCTCATTTCCACTTTTTCAAAGCCAGTGCGCACCATTACGGCTCATTTGCAGTGACTGCGTGCTGGCTTTTGACATGCACGTCTCTCTGGCAGATCATGGAAAACGATTCAAGCTCATTTGAAGATCGACTTCGAATAAACCAAAAACCTAGTAATGCAATAATAGATCCCGACTCAGACGATGAAGAATCTTATGAATACTGCGGAATGTAAGTCTTCAAATCGGTAGACGACGGAATCGCCCTATATGTTATACATTTCTAATCTTGACCTTTTTAGCTGTCAGTCTATGTCACCACGATATCAATGTCCTCGGTGCAACGTACAATATTGCTCTCTAAAATGCTACAAGGATGAAAAACATGCAGAATGCACCGAAAAGTTTTACAAAGCGCTTGTCCTGGACGAAGTCAATAGCAACAGGCCGCTACCGTCTGAAAACAATCAAGCATTCCTGCAGCGACTTCGAGCATTGGAACAAGACAACGATGGGCTCTTAGACGAAGATGATGAAGGAGATGAAGATGATGATGCAGAAACGGATCTAGAAAGAAGATTTGCTGATTTGGATGTGGAGAACGCCGACGTGCAGGCCCTATGGAGTCGACTCTCGCCCGAGGAACAACAAAATTTTATGCAGTTGGTCAGTTCAGACGATTCCAGGTTGCCAGAGATTTTGGGAAAATACGATCCTTGGTGGGAAACGCCTATGCAGCTGGTGAATGAAATTGATGCTCCATCTCACCCAGCCCACGTCCCTCCTCTTCCAAAGGAATTGCCAGATTTCAAACGCATGTCCCAGCATTCCCCATCACTTCCTCTACTGCTTAATCTACTTCATTCTGTTATGGTATATACCCATATGCAGCGACATACCCTAGGAGGACTCCAGGATTCAGATCTGTTACAAGACAATATTGCATATTTTGGCAAATTATCCGGGGATGTTCTATGCTCTAACGCCCGTCAATTTGTATTCCACAATTTGAAAGATGTAGCAATACACTTCACCAGCTGCGTGGAAACGCCGGACAAAGGGGGCTCCCATCCATATACTCTGGGTATGCAGCTCATCAAAGAAGCCATGTCCATATTCGAACAACCAATGTATTTAAAGGCAACCATGGCCGATTTGTTTGCTTTTACGGTCTCTGCGTCTAAAGCACCGGTTCGCAACAAAAGTACGAGAAATTCGCGTATTAGAACGATGCACAAAGTCAACTTTTATTTGGCAGCAGCACTGGAAATATCCGACCCATGGAAACATGAGTATGATGGACTTAAACAAGAGATACGTGATGATGCAGCCGTCTCTTTGCAGTATCTTGCCGACGAACTGAGCAGCATGGGAAAGCTACAAGAAGCAGCCAAGTACTATCGCCAAAACATGCCCTGAAGTTGGGGAATCTTTTAATTATGAACTTTACTATAGAACATTGATAATTGTACATCAGAAACGCAGCACATTAACGAAACTGTAATTATTGACATTGCAATCGAGGCTTCTAAATGCCTTTTGTACACAATCACTAAAACATGCAATGAAATAAAATAGAAGCTATCTCCAGCTTTTCACTAGAATGCCTTCTCACTATACTCGAAGTTGTTTCCAAAACGCTGAGCTAGTGTTGTCTTTCGCAGTATTTCCCTCTGTATCTTGAACGGTGAGATCACACTTTTGATCTATCAGGTATTGGGCGATTTCCTCCCGTTCAGATAGACAAGCTAATGTGTAAAAAAAAAACAAAGAAATTAGATCAACAATGTCCTAGGGATCTAGTCGCTCGATGCATAAAGCATCACCTACCGAAATGTAAAGGAGTCTCGTTTTCTTCGGTCTTTGTAATGTCGGTGAGAATTGCGCAAATACGACTCTGTTTCCTGGTCAGTTCCGTACTTACCAAAGCATTGACATCTGCCCCACTGCTGACAAGTAATTTTACAGCTTCGATATTACCGCGATCGCATGCGTAGTGCAACATTGTTAAGCCCTGCGGAATTAATTCGTTACATATAAGCGGTCAGCCTTTGTATCCAAATCACGGCGCCATACCTGCTCATCTCGGTCATCTACTGAAGTTGCTGCTTTTTCAATATACTGTGATAGTTTGCTCAAATCCCCTTCTCGAGCAAAGAAAAATCCGTCTTCAACTTCTCTGTCGGTGATAATGGGAGAAATTGAGAGAACTTGTTTTAGGGATCACAGTCTAGCTAACGTGGAATAACCGGTTCTCGATCTTCATCTACTTACTCTTCTTCCGAGTCGCCATCGTAGGCCATGGCACTGACTGAGGCGCCCATTCCTTGTCGTTCCTAGATGTATTGTTAATGCGATTGACTCACCAATCAGCCACTCTTTCCTTGCATACCTGTGTGCCTTCATCTTCAAGCTCAACGTCATATTGCCCTTGCCTCGTCCAGCCAATATTCATTGATTCCACCAATTCAACGTACTGTTCTTTGCCTTCTTCCAGTGATAGACCACGACGGTTGTTCCAGGCATCCCACTTTGCGCGGTCTCGAAACTCAAATAAGGAAGGTTTTTTCACATTGCAATCACCAATGGTACCTTGCTTGTATAATGAGTATAACTAGATTTAGAGATTAGTTTCAAAGGAGATCGCGAAGCTTTCTTAGCATATAGATACTTGCGTTCAGCTTCTGCTCGTTGTTGATAGGAACTCTGTCGGATAAGGAGTTAACAAATTCATATGCGGCTTCAAAATGCTCCATTATCGTGAAGAGGCTGAGAATAAATCCTTTGCTTGAGGAATCGAATATTTTATTTTATTTCTATCGTTTCTTATACAAACATGGCTTCAGCAAATCTTTAGCTTTACGGGCAATGTTATTGGCATTCGCTGACTTTCCACCACTTAGTCCCTTCTTCAATGCCTTCTTCTGCTTCATATTAAGACCTTTGAGCACCTCACTATCTTCGGCATCGACTCCTCCCTCATAGCTTGGCTTCTTTACGAAATCAAGAAGTATAAACATCTTGTTTGAATCGTCCTAATAAGAATAATCAGTATTGGTATGCTTATAGAAACATTCTTAGTAGTTTGGATATATACCTTGTCCATAAACTCAAAGCCAAGTTCGTCCATAAGCTCAATAAAGGCATCCACATCACTAAAGCGACTGATGACCTCTGCAATCTTCAGCTCGCTGCCTTCCTTTAGCACGCGATGAGCCTCTCGTATAAAATCAACATAGTTTGTTCCCATCAATGAAAGACAGAAAACAACAACATCAACAAAGTCCTTTGGAAGAGGAAGCTATAGAGAGGTTAATGGTTAGCAAAATCCACGCAATTGTACATTTCCTGAGGTAAGAGATACCTACCTTTGCTATATCACACGCCACGACCTTATCATTCTTCGCTACCAAGTCAAAGCTAAGAACCTTGTGTTTTGTCAAAGTATGAGCAATTTTTGCGTCGCCGCAACCCATGTCCGCAATGACAGTGCTTGTTGGTAAAGATTGCAGATATTCAATCATGACATCGACTGGATTTGTTGGCCATGACTCGACTTGATGTCGGAAACCTGCATGGTACTGAGTAGTACAGATACATCAATACAACAAGATACAGGGATAGTTATCGATGAAACGAAGGTGGCTTACATGTTCAAATAATTCTGGCTTCTCTTGGAATAAGGTAAATGACTCGTCTCCGGGAGTTGTATAGAGCTGTTCATTAAGCCATCTAAATCTAGATCCAGAAAGTTTATCCTTCATCTTTTGTTGCAACGCAGTTAGCTTTGGTGCAGCCGCTGCTTTGCTGGTTGTTTCTGCTTTAGTTTCTACTTTAGGTGCAGCGGGTTTGACATGCTCTTTCTAAAATGTGAAGTTGCATCAGTCTCCACTTTGTCAAACAGCCCTTCGTTAATAAACATGACATACGCACCTTAGATTCGACTTTACTTGCTTGACTGTTTTCGGTTTTGGACGACGATGATTTTGCTAGAGCCTGGTAGAATGTTGCCTCATTAGAGACGCCTTGAGGAATATGAGTTTTAAAATCATTACTTACCGCTTGCAATTTTTTCTTTTGCTTATCGTCAACCTTCTTAGTAGGCACCGCCGGTTTCGCTTTCGTTTGTCCGTTGATTTCGGGAGTAACATCGCTTACTATATCATCAGCTTTAACTTCAGCTTTAACTTCATCTTTGCCTTCATCTTTAGCTTGCTGTCTTTGTTGGCGAGCCAGTCTTTTCCGTTGAGCTTTACTCAAGGTTGGACCGCTGTGTTCCTCTGTTGCAGTGTTGGCGTTGTTAGAAGTAGCTTGTACTTCAGTACTCTTTTGAGCAATTGGTTCGCTGTTATCTTTTACTTTTTTGTTGACTTGTTTTGCTGCTGGCTTTGCCGCCGGCTTTGGCTCTTCGAGAACCATTACAGACTGGGGAACATAGACATCCTGTGGGTCAGCGGAAAGTACCGAGACGTAATTGCTACGGTTGGTTCCTTGACCCACCGACAACTTGGATTCGACTTCCATATGATCCTTAGTCGACGTTTTTGTATCATTTCGATGCACCGATTCGCGTGCGTTTTTGGAAAATGATTTGTCATTCGTTGCCCTTGCGTCGCTGTGATCGTTGCGTTTGTTATCAAACTTCTGCTTCTTGGACGAGTCCTTTGAAGGCACATTGTGCTGATCTGTTTCGGCTTTGCGTTTGCCTATATCCTGTTTACCATTCTTGTTCGCAATCGGTGTAGGTGTTGAAACCTGCTCTGCTTCTTCTGCTCGTACCTTTGGCTTGCGAGGAGCGGCTTGGCCAAGGGCTACTTCAACCAACTTCTTCCTTTTGAACGCCTTTTTTTCCTGTGACTTTGACAATTTCGTAGGAGCCTCCTTTGCTATGGCTCCCAAATTCCACCCTGGAGCATCGAATAAGCCTTGCATGGTCGCTGAAACGATCTTTCAAATTTCTGGAATGGAAAACTTTCTCAGTCCATAGCCAAGGTGACTACTTTTTTTTTCTCATTTTCATACAAAAACCAGTCATGCCTCTGCAGAAGTGTGTTTTACTCTTCACGTCTGCCTTGTTCATAGACAGCTTTTACTGATGGAAACCGTAGAGATTTCCCATTTGACTTTTCAGACTCGGACTCTTGAAAATATTGGACACATATTTCCTTTCCAATTATAAGACTAGGATCTTGCGCATAGCGTCTTCTCTGCTGGTTGGAAAAGCCAGATCCAACTCCTACATTATTTCCTGTTACCAAAAAGCCAAGTAAATACTTTGCATGTTCGATTTCAATCCATCTGATAAGCTGTTACCTTTGTGCTGGATAATCACCGACGTCATTACTTTTTCAACCATGCCAGTATCTGGCATCCTCATGTCTCCAGTTTCGATACCCTTCACCTCGTACTCAGAATCTTCGTACTGCTTCAGCTTGAGTAAATTTCGGCTGTAGGTTAAGAGAACCGTTGATTAATACACTTTCGTTAAATTCTTTGATTTAGCCTAGTCAGTCTTCTATACCTTCGTTTCCCTTCGTAAACTGTGTCCTTCCTCAGCATTATCCCCTCCCATCCATTATCCACAGCAGTTTTCTCCATATTAATCAAATCCTCATTGTTGACTAGTAATGTCTGAGGCACAGCGCGTATAACATTTTGATCTGCTGCTTGAACAATTTTCTGAAGCTGTTCGAGTCGTTTGGAGAATATGGTTTGGTCATATGCATTGTTGAAGCTGTCGATGGGTATAACGTCGAAGATCTGGTATACTGGTTTGTCCATTTGTTTGTCCAAGGTTTTTATTTGCTTCAATGCCGACACAAACGTCTCCAGGTGTTCACTTTCTTCATAAACACATATCTCGCCGTCGAAAACAATATTGGGTCCATTATAATTTCGCAACGCATCTTTCAAAGCACTCTGAACTTTTTGAAGAGTCATAAATGGCCGCCCAGTTCGAGATCGACAATCAACGACCCAAGGGTCAGATAATGTCATTCTTGTTGCAGTAGCTAGGCACCTGACACCGTCCAATTTTCGCGAAGCATACCATGGCTCTCCTTTACTAACCACTGAAGATGGGTCGCCTTTGAACGGCATAGCTAAAGCCACGCGAAAGTCTGGCGATGCATTTGGAAAAACGCGATTCAGCGTCTGTAGCGATACTCCCATTCGCATGTTTCGGTCTATTACTTTGAAGAATATCTCACGAAGTTCAGAACTTTGGCAATAGGATTTTAGAAAGGCACAGGCAGCAGCTAAAGCGTTGTTTCCAGTCAGCTGCCGAGAGGACAAATTATCCAAGAGATCATCTAGAGACTTGAATTGACAATCAATTTCCTCAGCCTTCTCCTCATATTGAACTATAGCACGAGAAGAAATCCAGAATCTAGTATGCGGAGCGTATATACGTTTGAGAATATCAGCGCAGCTTGGGTATTTGGCTAGAAGTTCATGCTTTGCATTGGTACTTGGCGTCTTGTTTATGAGATCGGTCAGCTCTGCTAAGGCTGTAAGTTGTTTGGTAACATTTTGCTCCGCTGTTTGCGAATAAGAGAGCAATGTATGAGCTCTTGGCTTATGACGAACAATTGGCGTGAGTGTCCTAGAAATCCGCTGTAGCATTTATGTAACTGAGATCTCTCCTTTGCAGACAGCTGGACGAACAAAAATCAATGGCTAGCTCCGCTGAATTTTAGGTGTATCCTTTGAAAATAAGGTGGCCGTAATTATGTCTATTATCTATGATTACATACGGCTTCAATTTTCAAATATAAACTATACTCTGCTCATCTCCTTTTTATTAATAGCTTCATTATGTTTGAAACTATAGTCTAGGTCACAAAGTCAACGCGACAGCACAGTACATATTGGCAGCAGGACCTACCAAAATCTCACGTGGCATCCTTTCCCTTTACAACTGAAGGTACTGAAAGATAATGGAAATTTCAGCTTCTTCTTGAATAGCTCGATGATCTGCGTATGATACTCTCCTATATCGAAATATCCTTATGGATTGCGACAGCATTTTTTATGCTCTCGTCGGCATCATCCATAATGCAGTCTCATATACATGGTACGAGTAGACTTGACTGGATCAAGCAACATCTAGGAACGAAGACACCTTATACGTCTGAGGTAGAAAACATTACTTCGGTTGATGAACCAGGCTGTAAATTACTACAATTTCATTCAGTTATACGTCATGGGACTCGATGGCCCACAGCCAGAAATACAGCCATAATAAGGGACATGGCATCTCGACTTCTTATGAGCAATAGCGATAAACTCCAGTGGCTAAAGCACTGGGACGACCCTTTCTTGGCAGGAAAAGCCGGATATCTACACATAACAGGACAGCATGAGATGTATCACATGGGTCGACGAATCGCTAAGCGATATAAGCGGTTACTGGAGAGTGTTGATCTCGACACAGACGAATTGCAATTCGCTTCAGACGCTCAATCTAGGACATCTCGATCGGGATCAGCATTCCATCTTGCTCTGCTAGAACAGACTGGTGATTTAACCTCAGCTTTTATCTCGCCCACGAGCTGGTCCATATACCCGAAAGCAACCGACTCGTATATCCATATGGGATATACTTGCCCTAGATGGCTATCTGAAGTGTATACAAACCCAAATGCCACGTATCAAGCCGATGCCTGGATTGAAGTGATGCTGCCACCAATAGCAGATCGACTATCTACAGAATTTGAAGTCGAGTTAAGCGTATATGATATTAAAGCGATATACGTTGCATGTGCCTTCGAAACGTCATTTTTCGGAAACTATTCGGACTGGTGCAGCTTACTCGACCCGGACGACATACTGACATTAGAATACGCCGAAGACCTGGAACACTATTATAAGTTCAGTTATGGACATGAAATTAATCGATGGGTAGCTACAGACCTGATGAGCATGCTCATGCGTAGGTTGGAAAGCAACGAGCCGCCTAAGATGAGCTTTCAATTTGGACACTCACAAACCATTTTATTTCTCCAAACCTTCCTGAATTTGAACCAAGACAGCGACATACTTCGAGCAGATACACCAATAGACATGATACATGAACGTAAATTTAGGACAAGTAAAGTATCTCCTTTTGCAGCAAATATCGGTCTAGAGCTCCATGATTGTAGTGGCACTCGATACATTCGTGCTCTCTTGTCGGAACAAGAGGTCATCCTGAAGGGCTGTGAGGAAGCTATGTGCCCGCTTGACCAGTTCAAGTCGTGGATTGGCGAAAAGTTGAAGCAAGATTACGACATGGTTTGTAGGTTATAGTCTAGAGAACAAAGTTAAATTATCCCATATTATATATCCTTCGCATTTATTGGAAGAGGTTACAATCAGGGAAAACGATGCAAAATACAAAGTGGTAGAAAATACAAAAACAAACAATAATATGCAATCTATGTTCCAAAGTGAGGCTTGTAGAATGATGGGGGTAGCTTTTCCAACATACTGAATTTTGGTCGCTCAACCACTACCATCTCATTAGCATCTACAAAACCAGTGTAGAGTATCTGTTGATACTTGTTGGAGACCAAGAAATTGGACTCTCCGAATTTGTTCTTGGCGGCCTTCACTAGGCCAGACTTTCCATATACCTCATCTTCGTTTTTGTTATCCTTTCTCTTCTGTGATATCAATTCAGCCTGTTTGTCGGCATCCTTTCGCTTGCTGAGACTTGAGATGGAATTCCTTTCACCAGTTCCTCGCGTCAGATCAACAGAGCAAAGGTATGTGCTGCCATACACGATCATGTTATCAGGCTGAGCAGGGTTGTAAGCAACTCCCATAATTCGATCTCGTAATTCCAAGAAGTACTTTGGTAAGTTATGTGCGTTCTTCTGTGACCATTCTGTGTGTCGCTTTTTCTCAACATCATAGATGTAAAACTCGTTAGAAGCTAATGCAACAAGTAGATCGTTGGGTCTATAAGGGTTGAATGATATAGCTGTGCAGGGTGTTTTTGATACTGGTAACTTTACGTGGGGCTGTGAAAGAGAGATGTGGGGGTAAGTAAGAGATATAACGAGGTGTAAAAAGATATAAATGCCGCATACCTTGAGGCTATCCAAGTTGAAAACATTAATTCGGTTCAAGTGATCTGCCGTAGCCAGCCACTGTCCATCAGCACTGATGGTCATCGAGGTAAGGGTTCCGATCTGGCGTTTCGCGTTGAGAGTCTTACTATCACGATGATCCTGGAACTCGCAGAGAACTTCGAAGTCTCCACTTTCCCATTTCAGCAATGAACAGACCAATATCCGAGAGTCGGTAGTAGCGATGATGAGCCTATCCGATCCAGGTGTAAAGATAACATGATGGGCACCAATGACCTCTTCACTGTTCAAATATGCAGCCAAAGCATTCTGAAGTCGTGCCTGCTTCTTAACCTTGAGTTGACCAGGAGATTGTGGCTATATAAAGCAATATCAGTCAGCATAACAGGTACCAAGCCGTTGTAATATGGTTTCAACTTACATCCTCTCGAATTCTAAAAAGCTTGACATTTTCAATATCCGCCACTGCAATCCATTGACCATCTTCAGACAGGGCACCGGACGTCAGGTAGTTCTCGTCCTTCAACTTCAATTCTAGAACTGCTTGTTGTGGCTCGACCAATTGAGGATCAGCACTTGCGCTATCACCATCATGGTTACTGATAGCCTTTCCTAACCGCCAAACGACAACAGAGTTGAAAAAGGTGCACATCATTAAGCGCTTGGATTTGCTGACACTTATGAGATCCTTCTGTGGACAAGGTGGCAGTTTGTTTTGGATGAGATTGGGGAAATCAGCAGCGGGAACAGCGATCAATTGCACATCGACTCCTCCAGAGACTAAAGAGTCGACATTACGATCATCATGTAATGCGAGGGCGCGGATATCATGAGAATGGTAGCGACGGTTACCCGCAATAACCCATTTCAAACGACCTTGGTTGTTGATGATCTCATTTCCATTCACCTTGCCGCTGTTGGTATTTTTCTTGGATTTCTTCTCATCTGTGACATCCACCACCTTGAAGGCAACTATTTGACGGTCAACACCTGCGGTATAGACACGCTGTCCGTTTCTTGAGGCAACTACTGTCAAAATATCCGCTCCGTGAGCTTTAAAACTTTGTTGCAAGGTTCCTGAACTGGCTTGCCAGAACATGACATTGCCGAGCGAATCTCCACTGACTATAATGCCATTGCTGGAAAGAATTAGGAAAGCAGTTAGCTTTGATTCGCGCTAAAAAGTCATCAAGATATTGCCAGGCTTACGGTAATGAAGCAATGGACCAAACCAAGGTATCCTCCTTCTTGATTCTGTCAACAGTCATGCGCTTCTTCGCTCTTCCTGTCTTGACATCCCACATTGTGATGTTACTGTGAGAAGAGCCGGTAACGATGCTATTGTCATCGCTGGTCCAAGCTATTGAAAGAACACGGCCCTTCTGCTTTTCAAATGCACGCATAAATTCGAGATTTCCGTCAGCAATATCGAAAAGACGAACTGCTCCATCTTCGCATCCAGCAGCGAGTATAGTTCCAATACTGTTGACTGCCATGCACCAGATTGCACCTCCGTTTGAATCAACAAAACGCTGTGACTTGACTATTAGCTTGATGAAATGGTTCGATGAACACAATATATCTCGTCACATACCTCTGCACGTAGTTCAACAGTATCCCATTCCACAATGTAAGGGTTCAAGCCCGATGTAAAAAGTCGAGGTTTCTCGGCCAGTTGACGCTTTTTTGCAGCCTCCAATTCTTCTGGAGTGTCGTAATCATCGGTATCAGTGAGTACAGTTTGATGAGACCATACCAAAGCTTCAACGGACATGTTAGCACCTCCTGGAATGATCTATTTGAAGAATCAGTATAAACGTGGCATTGACGTTTCTTTGCCCAAGTTGAACGGCAAAGTACCTTTTCAAGTCTATACTTGTGTCTAGGATCCCAAATCTCGATATTTCCATTAGCTCTACCACAGGCTAGGCGTGGCACACTGACACTTGGTGGAGTAAAGTCGAGAGTGTTGCATGCCGCAGGCTGGTACTCTACGAATCGGCAGCGGTGGACTTCCATGATCAGCTATAGATCCTTCAAAAAAAAAAAAAAAAGTCTTGCTGTAGAAAAAAATTCAGGTTTACACTGTGACTGTGACCTCCCTTTTTTTTGCTCATAAAAATAACCCGCTGTCAAAAGAAGTCTTGTTCCACTCTCTGTTTTATCACCTCTTGTTCAATTATGCAGCAGCAAAACACCGGCTACTCTTATCCACCTCCACCAAAAATTGTAACGCAAGTTCCTTCGGAAGAAGAGTTGCATAAAAGCGCACCACCTCAACCACCACAATTTGCACCAGATCATGATGATCACCCGATTGATCCACCGTTTGTAGCTCAGCGCAAAATGATACAACAGCAATTTGGTCCTATTTGTCCAAGCGGAGGCTTTCACGAGCTTCGAATGCACTATACGAAGAGTACTTTGTGCTTTGCAATCCTGGTTTTTCCATATTTTTGTGGATACCAGGGTAGACGTGAGGTATGTTTGCTGTTGAACGGACGACTTCGTCTGAATGCAATTGAAACGGCATAGAGACACTAACCTGTTTACAGTGCGTATGTACCAAGTGTGATACAAAATTTCCCGACATCGTTTTGCCCGAGCCATAATTAAGCCATCCGTTGTATGACCATCTCGTTCCTCGTTACAAGTCTCCTCCAATGATGTATTTAACGGTTGCCGAAAGGCGTTCTTTAATGCGGTTATGCAAAATTATACACATGTATATAGCGAAACTCTATCTCTTACTTTTATCTTACTATCACTGGCAATATATGAAATTCTGTGCAATGATAAAACCTTGTTTCATTATCCTTACCTACTGGCTACCCACTTTGTGGTTCTAGTTTTTGACATCAAAATTTCCGGGCTAGCTGACCACATCGGTCAAACAGAAATTAGCTAGCAGACATCTGTTCTTTATTTAATTCACTTCAAATCCTACGTTCATTTGAATTTACAGATTGCGACGCTTAAAGCCCTTTCAGTGAGCTGTAAGAGGCGTTGCATCAGTCGGAGCCACCATGGGGCAAGATTTCGAACTGAAAATTGAAACAGCGCTGTAGGCAGTAGCTGCCAGCTGCAGTCAACGAAGATGATACTGGAGTTAATAGCTGATAGCCTATTAAGAACCTGGTATTATTTTGGTAGTGATGTTGGTACCTTCTGAGACTCGATAAACGAGCTTTCAGAAAGCCACGAATACCGCAGCAACCACAACTTGATCTCGACCTGCTTGACTTACCTAATTTTTCCAGTCACGAAATTTTTTTTTCTTTATGATTCTTCTGTTATTTCAGAAAATATGATGAAAGCAGGTACTGAACGATTTGTTTCCTTCGCCGCAAGGTGGGAAATGCGTGACGAGAGGCGCTGGCCACCAACCTTGTTATAACAGCGTCGCCTGTGATCTGAACCTTTTATCATACTGTAGTTTTCGAGAACTTTGGTATTTTTATTATACAATTTAAATAAACACTCCGCGCTCTTTTGAGCCAGGTCTTTCTGCTAAAATTTGTTTGCCAAGGGTTAGTTGAAATGTGATCAATAATATGCCAAGACGATCCTACCTCTTGGCTGACTAGTCCATGTACTGCACTCAATAGTAAACACAGAATGGGAGCAATGAAAGTCGTATTAATGACGACAAACTACAAAAGGGCCTTTTGCAGTCAAAATACCTTTTGATCTGCGGGTTTCCTTTAATTATGTCGTACATTTTTTTCGCATAATAGTGACAGCAACAATTTTTCCGCCTAAATGAGTGTTACAAAGCAGGAAAAAAAATCCAAGGATAGCTGTGAGCTCTGATGCATTACATCAAAAAAAAGCCGCCTGAACAGTCTGGAACACTACAAAATACGTAAAAGGTAAAAATATGAGCTTGGCAGCAAGCTATAAATGGCACGTTACCAGTGAATGTTACCGCAGTGGCTCGTAGATCAAACAGTACCTGGGACAGGAAAAATGATGCCGAGCGTTTCCATTATATCAATTTGCACGGTTACTTAATGATAAATTTTATAGAAATTATAGCATTATATCAACCTTCATGTGAAACTTTTTTTTCGCTTTCATAGCCGCCTTTATTCATGAAAGGATTGGTCAGATCAAGCACGTTGCAATGCAACCAAACAGGAGCCATCTCCTCATCGAGACGTCAGGACCTGACATGGTTACACCACAAAGACCAAAGTGCAAATTTCTGGTGCTGAAAAAAAAAACTGATTACCGCATATCTGACATCATGATCTCACCTTGTCAGGTCCGTAATGAGCAAGTTACACATTGGTGCCAGATCAAAGTTTATAAAAGGCTCTGTAAGTCAACACTCTTTTCATTCAGAAAATCACCTCTTCACCTCTACAAAAAAACAAAACATGTGCTACGGAATCGAAGTTATCGCTTGGGATCTTTTGGTCGTCGTTGCCATCATTATGCTGATCGTTTGGATCTTGGGTCTCGTCCACGTTTATACCATCCCAACTGGAGGTCTTTTCCACATCTTCATCGTCTTGGCAGTCATCTTCTTGATAGCTTGGATCTTCGTGCGCTGCTGTGGATGCGGTGGTCGCTACAGACGCCGTCGTGCTGGTGGCCCCATCGTATAAATCTGATGTACACTACTCTAATCACTCTAAATCATTTTAAACTTATATATACGGATCGCCTCACTGCAAATAATAAATGAACTGAAATCATATTTTGAAATCAAACCTTTGCTCCCTAAAAGCCGTGGATAAATGGAGGTGTAGGGGATCTTACCCGTCGTCAGTTTTGTGTTGGTTTAAAGCAACAAGTTTTGATACATATTGGGAGATCAGCAAACTAACATGCCATCACCTGCAAAGCAATTGACCGAAAATGAACATTTTAACAGTATGTCACCCATGGACTGATTTATTGTATTCGCAAATCCATTGCCACTCAGTGATAACATAAATTTTATATGGCTGTCCCAATTGGGGGGTTAGCTATGCCAGTAACTGCAAACTTGCATGTGACAACCCATCCAGCTATCGTTTCGGTTCATTCTCGGTAGGAGCTTTCAGATGTTTGATGATTTTTGCGGGGTTTCCTCCTACCACGACGTCAGAAGGTACATCCTTAGTGACAACAGCTCCAGCCGCAACAACACACCTAATTGTTTGGTATCAAATATTTTTAGCGCTAGAGTTACTACCTTCATGTAAATACCCCTATTTCCTTACCGGTCGCCAATTTTTACACCTGGGCACAGGATAGCACCACCACCAATCCAGCACATATTACCGATGGTAATCTCCTTTGCATATTCGATGCCGCTGCAACGTTCAACGGCATCTACTGGATGGGTGGCCGTATAAACTTGAACGTTAGGTCCAAACATGGTATCGTCGCCTATTCTGATCGGAGCGCAATCTAAAAACACACAATTGAAATTCGCGTAGAAATTCTTGCCAACATGAATGTTATAGCCATAATCAACTCGCAATGGAGGCTCTATATAACAATTTCCTGAAGTGGTGCCTAAAAGGTCCTGCAGTAACATTTTCCTGGTGTCCTCGTCGCTGTGCGCACTTTGGTTGAAAGAAGTGATTTTATCGCGGGCCCTTTTTATGTCAGCCCTTAGCTCAGGGTCCATAGCGTTGTACATCTTGCCAGCTATCATCTTCTGTTTTTCGGTTTCCATGGTGAGTGTAGGTATTTGGAAAGAGGGAATCCACGGTTGTGACCATCGAGCAGGTTTAACGGCAAAATAAATCAAAGCCCGTCAAAGACCGGTCAATTCACGACTCAACACGTCAAACAACAAACAAGTTTTTGCCGGCTAGCTTCAATTACAAAAATGTCTGCTCAATACTATGCAAAGATCTTCGGTATTGGAGCCATTCTCGGTGCTGGCATGGAAGTAGTACTCATTCAGTCCAACTATTATCAAATGCTGGCGGCATCAGAAGCAAAATCCAGAGCCAAGAAATTACAAGAAGAAATGGAAGCCGTTGAACGGTATCGAAGCATGCACCAAGACGTAAATAAGGAAAAGTAGTCATAAAGCGACCAACTCCTGCTCATCACACCAATTACCACTGTACAATATGTCTAGCGACAACTCCATATGGCAACATATTTGATTTTCATTCAACTCGCAACCAAAAATTCATTACATTATTCTTTAAAAAATAAAACAATCTACTATTTCCCGTACAAAATTGGACACATTAGTTGTCCAGCAGGAAGTTGGTTGCTTTTTCCAAATCGTTATCATAGCGACGCAAGGCGTCGACAGCCTGTGCTCTACTGAATCCCATGCCAACCAATTGCTTGATTTCCTCTTTATCATCTGGCTGGACCTGTACGGCGCTAGATTCTGCATTAGGTGCAGAACTTGGCTCTTGAGCTGCTGATGCATCGTTGGTTGTTTTCGTGGGAGGAGCATCAAATGCTCCAAATGCATCTTCAAAAGATAGCGATTGAGCAGATGGATTGACGTTGCTTTGTCCTGCAGGGATACTTGGTGAACCGAACAGAGAATCGAGATCGTCTTGTACATGGCCAGTGCCAGAGCTAGCATCCAGTTTTTCCTCAAAATCGCTAAAATCAAAGGCGCCGAATTTTCCTTTTTCATTAATGTTTGTAGACTTTACTTCATCGGCCTGGTGAGGTTTTTCAAATGAGTCATCAAATTCGTCAAACGTGGTGCTAAAAGCTTGGTCGAAGTCTTTGGCTCCCGATGTAGGAGCGACTTGCGCCTCACCGAGTTTGCCGTTGAAAGCCTCATCGAAATCATCGAATCCAGACTGCTTGGGAGCCTCTGGCTCTGCTACAGGAGGTGCAGCAGATCCAATATTGGCGGTATTGGTATTAGGGCTGCTGACCATTTTTGCTTGAACCTTGCTTAGAACTTCTTCATCGTCAGAGCTATCATCTTCGTCTTGAATAGCAAGATCAGTTCCTCTTTTGCTTAAGAAGCTGTCATCAAATGCTGAAGATGAAGGTTTGGGAGCTTCTTCCTGAGGTGGGGCAGCAACATCATCATTGGTCTCTTCAAAATCTCCAAAAGCGTCATCAAAGGAGGTAATTGGTTTCTGTTGGCCCATTCCAGGAGCAAATGGATCTTCGGTCGAAGGTTGTGCTTGAGTCTGGTTAACATTTCCATCAACAAGAGGTAGAGTGGTCGTCATGGATGCAAAAGGACTATAAGGTCTCTCTTTAGGTAGCGACGTGTTCATGGTGGGAGATGCCAACTCTTCAAATGCGGCATCAAAGCTGTTCATGGTCATGGCAGGAGAGGTGACCGATTCACCTCTAGCTGGAAAAGCGGATCCAAACATTTGATTGAACGATTGCGCGGTAGGTGGTCTGCTGCCAAATGACATTGGACTCTTCTCCGCTACAGTGTGTTCATCTTCGCCTTTCTCGGGCTCATGCGATGGTTGAGTCTTGCTGATGTTAGGGAAGTCTGTAGGATCCCTAGGCGCTAAACCATGCTCCTCTCGAATCTCGTTCAGTTCTCGTGTGGCGGCCGATTTGTCCATATCAGCAGCTGTGACCTGTCTTCTGTTGACATCAAGCATCATATCTTGCTTTCTGGAGCTTGTTTGCAAATTTTGGATCTCCAGTTTGAGTAGTTTTGTCTCTTCCTGGATTTCAGTCACTCTGCGACGCAATTGCTCAGATTCTATGCGACCGTCGTGGATCTTACGCTCCATATCTTGCTTTTGATTCCTCAACAAATTTAGGTTAGCCTCTGCTGCCTCAGCTTCTTGCCTAATCCTTTGCAGGTCAGGTTCCTCATTACTTAAAGTCTCTTGGAGTTTCTGTAAATCCCCATTTTCTTGGTTGAATGCTAGCTGTACTTGTGCCAGCCGCGCCGAATATTCCTGCTTCTGCTTTTGGAGTTGTGCAAGAGTTTCTTCAATGGATAACTTTTGATTTCTGATATTACTTGTAGATGAGATGGTATCTGAGATTTGGTTTTGAAGTTGGTTGACCTGATTCGTGTCCGCTGTGATCTGTGTGTTGTTGTCGAAGTCACCCAATAGATCAGCATCGTCCATAAGCGATTTGGAGGCTACTGACAAATTACGGGTTATCATATGGACTATAAAGCGACATATAAAAAGGTACATTACTTACCCTGTGGTTTGGGTAAAACAGAGCTTGAAAAGGCAGGACTAGGAACGTTCGCGAGACTGCTACTTCCAAAAGTTGGTGTAGCTTGTGACGCTTGTAGGCAAAAGAGAGAACCGAGTTTAATTAGCATGACTGTCCTGAGGCTTTCGTAGCTGTTTTGTAACAAGCGACTTACCAGGACGTAAACTGGGTGGCGTTAAAGTAATGGGCAGTTGGCGTGGTATCGGCTGACCACCGATACGCTTATGAATTAAATGCATTGCAACTGCAAACTCTTCCCGTGAAAGTTTACCGCGCTGTTGAGTATCGGCCAAGTCCCAGATTTGTGCCAAATCTCCTTCAGGCAAACGAGAATTCTGAAAAAACTCAACGGCATCATTTCCTATAATGTAAAGCTCGATTAGAGAATGGCTCTACATGAACGCATTGTAGGTCCCGTAACTCCAATACCTTGTATGAAACCGGTTCCTCTGGTATCGATTTTATCAAAAAAGTTATCGAACTTTTGCTTTTCCTGGTCTGTCACGTCCCAATGGGTATTCACTGCAGTCGGTGCGGTAAATGCAGAGGCAATGGACAGACTGGCTTGCGCTTGGAGAGGTGAGCCGGTAAATTGTCGGTTTATGGCTTGTTTCTGGAGAGAAGGAGAACTGGAGGGAAACCGATGCCCGAAGGAAGGTGACAGAGATCTATCTCCAGAAAATTGTCGAGTGACGGGCGATGTCGGTGTTGATCTTCCAGCAGCAGAATTGTAGATAGCCGGAGGCAAAGACGATGGTAAACTGGTAATGCTACCATCCATAGTTCCAGCAATATAATACATAGCAATAACAAACTCTGCTTGATTCAAAGTACCAGAATGACGAACATCTGCCAGGTTCCAAATCTGAGCGAGTTGATCCACCGATAAGTTTGATTTCATAAAAATATTGCGTGCACTGTCTGCATCAAGAACTCCATTGACTGGATGAGCCATGAGAAACATTTTGGAGTACTTTTCTCTTGCGGCTGCAGAAATCTCTCCAGTAGTACCACGAACGTCCTCACTGCTGGTTCGAAAAGGCGATGCTAAACGTGGAGAATTCGTGATCGTAACACCATCAAATTGTGGGAGAGGAGTGGCTATAGAACAGATTCTGTACGTTAGTCATTTAACATATATGCTAAGCCTATCCTTACCATTACTTACAGGTAGTCAATAATGGTGACGATGGCGCATATCCATGCTGTGCACATGCTATGATAAAGAGATGATTAGATACCAAACCAACACTAGCAGCTCTAGTTCTTTTAGCCATACCAATAAGTTTCAATGCCATAGAAAATGATTCCTGAGTGAGGATACCGCTATTGTCTTTGTCAACCGCCTTTTCACGATATGAGTACTGTTAAGTAATGTAACGTAACGTTTACAGAGCATTATCGTCGTCTAATGACGAATTTCGGGCTTACCTCCCATATCTATGGAAGTGGGCAAAGGTAAGACTTGGAATCACTCGGTAGCATTTCAGTCTATAACAATAGATTGTACGTACCTCAGCTAGGATCTGATTAGGAACTCCAGATCTCGCAAAGAACCTCACAGCTTCGTCGCCTGTAACGAACCCCTTGTTGTCTTCATCAGCAAATTTGAAGAACTGCGCGTATGCTTTCTTGTCTTCTGTAGATAGAGCACTGTCCCATACTGCAGTTGGACTGTTTGACAGTCTCGGACTATGTGCATTGTCAGCAGAACCGAATGTGTAGCCACTTCTGAATGAACTCATCTGGGCAATGAACGAATGGAGTGCACAGTCGGAGTACAGTCGTATTATAACAATTTGGGAAAGTTGGGCAATGGAGAGCCGACCGCCAGCGAATTTATGGCTGCTTTGTGCTGCCGGTCCCAAAACTTTTATAATATTCAATCGGTACAGAGTCAAAACTTTCAACAGTACAAAAATGAGTTCTTCTATGCCTATATGAATACGAGATGCGTTTCGTGTCTTTTCCATGGGAGGAGGGATTTTTTTTATGCGGAAAAATGAAGAACCGGAAGTGGGTCGACTGGAAAATGGTATCGCAAAAAAGAAAGGTAAATAGCGCAGGTATTTAAATCAGGCCAGCGGGTTCAAACGATGGTGCGTCAAGATTTAGCTGAGACATTTTACGTGTCACAGGAGGAATTCGTGAAGCAAAGTTGTTGTCGAGCGAAGGTCCAAGAGGTTGTCTCGTAGGATAAACCACATTTGGAGTGTTACTGCCAGTAGAGTCAGATAGTGGACTAGAAGAGCTACAGCTTGGTGAATAGACTGCTCAACCGTTTTATCACGCTAAATATAGTCGACTTACATGAACGACCGTCTATAGTTTTCGCGTCTGGGGGGACTGCCATTATCAGCTTCTCTTATTCTGTCTTGCGACTGACTCTGTCTAAGCCGATTGCGACCACCTCTCTGGGACGTCTTTCTGTTGACTCCATCACCACGTAACTGTGCCGCATTTGCTGGCTTTTTGACGACATGTAGTTGCCGCTCCGATCCATCACCTTCTGAATAATGAAATAATCCTAGACGGTCCGAAAGGTAGTGTATTATTCGCCTTTGGTTTGCAGTTGTGGTCTTTGGATAGACAAAAATGTCGCGTGAAGGATCGCTTCTAAACTGAAATAATTGATCGTAGAACAACAATGTGTCCGGATGGTTCAGGTCCAAAGGGCCATCTGCTTCTGATGTTGTAAATTGAGGATATGTTTAAATAAATGCATCACCATCATGATCTTATCCATAAGCTTATTCGAACGCGTACCGTCATTGTATGCATTTGATCTTCGAACATTTTGATCTGGATTGGCCTGAGGCTTTGGGCTATGCCGAAGTTCTTTCTTCTCGTAATTGCGGTCCTTTTTCCCGGGGAGTTTTGAGGATGGCGTATTAACAGGCTCTGGAATGTCTTCGCTGCTGTAAAACATTTCTTTTTCCTGTCCAGGCAATACTTTCTTGTATTCCACTCTCAATTTTCTTCCTCCAAGTTCTAATCCATTTAGTGCCTGTACAACAACTTCAGTCTCTTGAGAGTTACGGTAATTGGCAAATGCGAGTCCTCTAAAGACACCATTATCAAAGTGGTAGTTGAACGCATAAGGTTGAGGGATGTCCAATGAGTTCTATAATATTATCCATTAGATTACAATAACAATGGCGAGACGATAGTAAGTGAAACTCTGAAAGGTGTTGATCGTACCAGAATCCCCATTAGAGCGTCCTTCTTCACAGAGAAAGGAATGTTCTTTATGACAATTGCTGTCGGAATTATGTCATTTGGATCTGAATATGGCGTATTCGAACCAGAATATCGAGTATTTGGTGTTCCTGGTGGAGAAGGCGTTGCTGATGCAGACATAAACTCGTCGTCAGCTTCTGCATTCCGGTCGATCGTAGATTGACCCTTTTCAAGTCAATAGTTTCAGTGCAGTCCTTTTGGAAAAACAACGTATTGAACAGAATAAAAATTAAACAATACCCTATGCCTTCGATGTTCTCGAAGACTTGAATGGCGACTGGGCCGTGGTGAGCCTCTTTGTGGTGAATTCATTTAGCATGTAACGAAGAAATCAAAAAACTTTATAAAAAAAAAAGTCGAGCGACACAGACAGTATTTGCAATTCACATCCGCCGCTTCTCCTTTTTCATGGTCCGCCGCTTCTCCTTTTCTCTATCGAGCTTCTGCTTCTCTTGTTGTTGTAAGATGCGCTCCTTTTCTCTCTCACTGTCTTGTTTCATCTTCTCTCGTCGACGTTGCTCTTCTTCTTTAATTTTTGACGCATTCTGATTCTTCATCAGTAACGGATCATCACCTATGAATGGTCGATGGAAAATCAGTAACTTCAACCAAATGTTCATTAACTTTCAGAATATCCTACCAGTAGACTTCTTAGATCGATCTTTATACAAGATTTCGGTTTCACCATCTGCCCCTTCTACAACTTCTTCAAGATCGTAGCCATATTCTCTCATTAATCGCTCTCTCTGAGCTTTTTCTTCCTTTGTTAGCTGCTTTGGTGCCATTCTTCGTGACATGGTTAATGGCTCTTTGCCATCAACAGTTGTACTTTCGATACCCGCTGCTAAACTCTTTTTTTCTCGTTCTGTGAACTAATGTTAGGTACTTAGATATCAAAAAGGCAATTCAAAAGCTCCTTACCCTTCGCTTTAGATGCTGCTTCGGCCTTAGCTGCCTCAGCTGCTTGCTTTTCTTTCTCTTGATCCTCTGTCCACCGGATAAAGAAACTGTCTACCAAATCATCGGTAGGCTTGTCCTGAGTATTCGTTAGTGCCTGTACTGTTCAACCTTATTATTTAAAGAAACTCACTGTTGATTCACTAAGGAATTCTGCTAGAGCTTCTCTCTTTTCAGACTCTTCCAGAAATTCTTCGCTGACGATCCCGGCTACGTACTCCGAGATCTCATTATCTGAAGCAGAAATGTAAGAGTAATGTCAATGTGGCGAAATGTACATCGTCTTCTTCTTTACCTTTCAGGTCAACCGTAGCAAGTTTCTCGCTTATAAAGTCTACCAGTGACATGATCAGATCTTTTTTTAAAAATTCAGAGACGTGTGGTCGCTGTCACTTTGTTAAAAAGTTACCGTAATGTCGGAGTGGAAAAATTTGCAAAAGTATCTTCTGTTACAATTGCCACCTGGTTTTCAACTCGACTCACAACTATTTCGCTTCCATGATACTTAAAAGATCGGCTTACACCTGTATTAATGATAATTTCTACATAATCTATTTTATTCTATAAATCGAGCATAAAGCTCTTTACCAATTTCAATATACATCTTTGGAGTCCCAACAGAATTTGTGACCGGAATGGAGATCATCTATGGTCGACATATCATCGTCGCTAATTTGAAAGTTATACAACTCAAGATTTTGTCTTATATGATCCTCGTTTGTGCTTTTAGGAACAACTGGTACGCCATGCTGTATTGACCACCGCAACACAAGTTGAGAAATAGTGGTGCGGTATTTCTGAGCTAATGCTGTTAACACAGGATATTGTTCTGCGTTGGTAATCAGATGCCCTTCACCAAGTGTTGAGTATGATTGAAAGACAATTCCTCTGCTCTGGCACCATCGGACAACGGGATCTTTAGCCAGAAGGGGATGATATTCGTTTTGCACGACATGTGGCATTATCATGCCGCTACTCTCTAGTTCTTCAAGGTGGCGAACGGTATAGTTGCTGACTCCAATAGCACGAACTTTTCCATTTTGATACAGCTCTACCAGTGCTTTCCAAGATCCATCTCTCGCAATTTTGTTGTTGGGATTTTCCACTTTTTGGCCAGATTTGCCTGGCCAATGTATAAGGTATAAATCCAAATATGTCACCTGAAGGTCGTCAAGGGATTTTTGGTAAGCCTTCAGTGCTTCTTCATAACCTTGGAAATGAGGCGACAATTTGCTGGTTAAAAATATGTCCTCTCTGCATGACAGCTCCGTAAGCGCATTGCCAATTGCAACTTCGTTCCGATAGATTCCTGCAGTGTCGATCAGTTTGTACTGACATTGCTCGATCGCATACTTTACGACCTTTTCTGCCTTTTCTCCTTTTATACGGAAGGTACCTAGACCGATTGCTGGAATAAGAACTCCATTCGACGTAAGGAAGGAATGTGCCATCGAAGGTAGGTTGTGCGGATTGGGATAAGAAACTCAAAGTATCAAAAAAAAAAAAAAATGCGATGTATGTGAATGGTCACCGCCACTGGTTTTCCATCACGACAAATATTGTCACCAATTTCATACTGTCCATACAAAACGAAGAAAACGGCTAATAATTCGTGTGAAATAATTTAACTATTATAATAGTAAAATATCATGCTTCGGTATACATAAACGACTAGAGTCCATGGCTATCCATCAGCAAGAATGTAGCCTTCGACTCGTTTATTTTAAATAATTATGAGGCAGGATGCTCAAGAGCGAGAAGGGCGAAATGACCACCTACAGCAGGACGAGCTTTGAATCCTTCGGTAGCAGCCGACGTCGTATTGTACCAATCAGAGAAAGGCACTCTTGATGATGTTGTTTGCAAAAACTTGGAAAGGTCATTAATGATATTCTTTCGCAAAACTGGATTTGCGTCACCAAACGCAGCAGCTGTCCAGACTTCCCAATCTAAAGAAAGTTATGTTTTAGTGTTTTTACCCCATTTATAGACGCATAACGTGTTTAGCACTTGCCTGATTTTGTGTAGTCGTGAGTAGACACAAATGGCATACCATATGGTCCATCCTTGGTTAAATAGTAATCGGCCTCTTCGGTATAAATGCTTGCAGGAACTGTCTTCAAGTTGAGAAGTTTGTCTTGGAAAGCATTATACTTAAGTTCGTAGCCGTCAGTCACATTGTATTCAAGCTTAAGATGAGATTTATCTGCGCTCTGAGATTCCGTCACCCAGGTTTTAATGTATGAAGCCGAAGCATTGCTATAAAAGGCCGTTTCGTTCTTGTTACCAACAATTCCAGCAATATTCGAAAAAGCCTTCATTGCCAATATTCCCTTCAGTGCTAACCCAGAATTTAATTGTGTTTGGCCGATGAAGTCGTCAGTGGTGAGTTGATTGGTAGGATATAAACAGTTGCCGTAGAGATAGTCAGCCCAGCTACTTAAAATTTTGTAATGCTTGCTTCCGTAAGCCTTGGCATCAGCCTTCTTGGTGGATGGATTGAACATATAGTTGGCCACCATGAAGATCATGTCTGCAGATTCTTCGACAGGCTAAAAGGTACAGCTTAGCGTTAGCACATGCCTGTTTTCTCACAACTTGAACGTAGATTCTTACCATATCTTCTTCGTTTCCATCGGCGTGTCCAGTAGCGTTAGGATAATGAGAACCAATGTCGTGAATAGAGAATGCCTTTGGCCAATAACCATTTTCCATTTGATAGAACAAAGGTTCCATAAGGTACTTCAGGAGATCAGCGTTAAGGTAGTAAAACATAGGTGAAGCAGGGAACATAATATCAACAGTCTGCATGTTTCCGTCACTGGAGATCTCCTTCAGGTATAGGACTGGACTAGATTTGTTTCCTCCAAATTCGGTGGCACCCATGGCTTGTCTCAATGAGAAGGAAATAACGTCCGCGTACGCTTGTCCTTCAGCTTTATAAGCATCCTTTAGAAGTTTGGAATCCAAAGCATTTGCATGAGACTTTGATGTCGCTGCATCGTTCCAGAAAAACTTGATCATCGAGGAAGCGTCTTTCCAGTAGCTCTTCCATAAAGCATCTTGAGGTTCATTGAGCATTTGAGCATTCTGTTCACGAACGTGTCCAACCACGAATTGGATAGGCTTGGACGCTTTGGTTACATTTCCTAAATCATACGCGAAGCCAACAACGGGCCAGCTGCATTGGGCACATCGGAAGTTGTTGTCATTGGTGTTATTCAACTTTCCAGCCTTCACAAAACTGCTTCGAATGTCAACGTCAGCACCGGAAGCATAAGTAGCGTCTTCAGAAGTTACGTAAACTGCTTGTCCCCAGTCTGGATAGTCATTGCTTTCGCCAAATGAGACAGGTGATTCACGTTCAATTGTCCAAGTTTTCATTCCATTCGAATTAGAGATATTCCAAGTAACCACTTGACTCAAGTCACCGGTTGCCCATTCACCAGTAATATCAGAATAAACTTGAACTGCGTGAGATTTCCCATCGTTCGATTCAGCAGTGAGGAAAACAAATGACAAAGGGATGGATTGGCGCTTAATATCATCATACTCTACAGGAGATAAGAATGTCACATTCACGTTGACTGGACCAGCAGTCAGAGAGAAGACTGTTTGAGTTGGTGTAGTGGTGACAGAGTTTTGTTTTGCGACATGACTGACAGGCGGCGAACCACCTCCGCTTGCAGCACCCATCCATTCGTACGTAGTCCCATCCACACGAATCATGCCTTCCCAGCCTTTGACGGCGCCAGTCCTAAGTGGGTTAAACGATACATCAACATACAAATCTCGCATAATGTATGCCTACTGAATTTCAATAATTACCAAAATGTGGGCCAATTTCCAGACAAGCTGTCCGCTGGAAGCCAGGTGGATACATAAGGTTGGCGAACAGCCAAAGGATACGAAGGTCCACGAATAGTGCTTGCGTATTGGGCGAGAGCTGCACAGCTAACAGCCATAGTACTGACTGTCAACAAGACACTAGATTTGAGCATGCCCATGTTTGACTTGTTTAAACTGTCAGACCAATACAGAAAACCCTTACATTTATATACCTTCAAAGGACCACTGGCTTAGCGTCTCACGTGCACGCTTATTTTTGGATATGAAGTAAGAAGAGCGATTTCAATCAAACTTTGATAGTGTAATCAATCGTCAAGTAGATTGCATATGGACTGAATATAGTTTTTCACACACATGTATAAAGATACAAATTCTTGGATAATAAAGTAACTTACCTTCCATCAACGCATATCGTTATGTAATCGTACGCTTGAATAGCACCCTGGCACTCATCCGAACTTTATTGAAAGCTCCAAACCAAAGTCAGTATCCGAAACCGTGCATTACATTCATTTCATTAAGCCGGTTGTGCCACCATTTTCTACCGCTATTGCCCAAAAAAGTCTAAGCATCTATTAGTCGCCTCCCAGGGTCTAAACACATTGATCATCCCGCCAAGCTCGGGTAGGACATACGGGACAGAAGGGAACTTTTCCTCGGACTGGACAACCAAGTTGTAACACAAGCTACTAGGGATATTGTGGGGAACAGCGTTAGTAAATTGGGTTCATAGGAATGGTAGAGTCCAATTGTTTTCTAAGATTTGAAGTTGACATGTGGATGAGTGCAATGTGCTAGTCTTCATTCGTAAAATTTTGGCAGCTTCGCTATATTGCTTTAGAATCTGCCCGACCGAGGCAGAATACATAAATTATGAATATCACCATCCTGGGAACCGACTTTCGTTCCAAGGTATGTACTTTTTCTTATGTAACTTCCCTTTAGAGTTTTACGGCTTTATAATCACTACAGCTTGCTTACAAAGTCCAATATAAAAGTTTAGTGCCTGGCAATGAAAATGTCATTCGCAGCAAAGCTGTAGCAAAGGCCATTTTGGCAAAACTAACCAAGACGTAGGGAATACGCACCAATTAATTCAAATTCAATATACGCTTTAGAGAATAAGCGGCTTTCAGGAGTGAGATGTAGCTTATGCTTTAGGATCTCGCAATTGCATTTGTGTTTATTGGTACTCAGCGGGTGTTCGCTTACGAGGTTTGATCACCAACCTTAAAGAGCTGATACCAAAAGGCTTACGGTAAATAGGAAAATCAATTGAGTGCCTTCTCAATAGGAAGGCTCAATAAATCAGTTCAACCTTTAACTTTTATTCGCACGTCTACAATCGTATGTCAATAATTGGTGATAATATTGGCGGAAGTAACATTCATGATAATGTGTCATACGAGACTATAGTCCAGTTGCACTTCCCGAGTATGTGCCTGAGTCTGTTATTGTTCGACTAGACTGTCGTAGGCACTGGATTGTGAGTCCATGCGCTTCAATAATTCATCCAGGGTGGACTTCTTCTCATTCTTGCTTTTCTTCGCTTTAGCTTTGTACTCGGGTGTGGAATAATTTGGTGATCGTATTCCGCGGTAGTCCAATAAACTTTCGCACTCCTTCACGCAGCGTTGCTCCTAGCCGATGAGCTTGACTGATACCAACACCGTGTAGCCGCATGTAATATTCAATTTGAGGCAGGTCGTTGCAATCCAGTTGCACTGCGCAAATATGTCCACGAATCCGTGAGAGGTACTTGTCGCACATAGTCATGGTTAATCTTCAATCGGATGTTGCTATCTTGCTTTCGTTTAGTATGCCTACTTGGTAGGGTGGCTGAGAAGCAACATTTGGAAGGATTGAGTTTATTTCTGTGACTATGCATGTACTCAGTGACATGTTCGTGCAGTTTGCGAAATTGGTGGGCGTTACTCGACATAACGATGATGTCGTCCGCAAACATTAGATGGTTATGCTGGATGCTTTCAGTGGTCGAACGCATATCGTTCAGAGACAGAGAGAGATTCAGCAGACAGATGTTGAAGATCATAGGTGATAGCGGGTCACCTTGTTTGGTGCCTCGTTGAATTGTAATCATGCCAGTGGGACCAGTGGGCGTATCAAACTAACCTCTGTTGATCTCCTAGATCGATTTCGGCTTGCTGAGCTTCGGCTCTGGCTGCAATCTCTTGATTCATTTGGCTGAGGTTTGAACGAAACACTACATCCAAAACCATCAGTAGTCATACCTATGTGGTGAGTCGCCGCTCTGAGTTTTTTTTTAAAGCCATGTCATTAGTGCATTACGGCTGTGATCTTAACCTTTCAAGTCGGTAAACATGCTGGTTATGATGTCGATAGAACGGTCATCAAGGCCGATAAGCTCCAGTGACTTTTGTATACGTTCGTACGAGACGCTGCCGAAAGCATCACCGATGTCGTAAGAGCATATTAATCTATTGCAGAGATTATATGCTTAAAATTGTTGTATTTGTGCTAGACTTTTAACGTCTCTCGCAATGCTCGAATAGTCTTGCTTATAATACGTAGAGAGGGGTTTCCATCAAATCCTGGACAGCTGGATTTGTTGAAGTGTTTGGCTGCCTTTTCGACATCATGTTCATCGATGTCTCTGATATTGGTTGTCCGGAAGCGTTGCTGGACACTACGGATGACTGGTGTTACATGTGTTGGGCGACTTTAACGTGCTGTGAATGATTCTTCAATAGTTGCTTTAGTTATCTGACATGGTTGTTGCTGTTGGTTCGTCATGATCTGATCATACGTTAGTTTGGCTCGGTGCTTGTATTGGTGATATAGTCTCGTTGACTTTCTTCCTTCACAAAGGCGGTTCCGTTGGTGAAGTAAATCTGCGTCGGTCATATGGTGATAAATTCGGTGCAGCAAGGGCAGCGTTGAGGTCCTCTTCTGAGTCAAGTTGTTGAAGGTCTGGGATATCGCGTGGGCGGTGTAATCAGCTATCAATGCATAAAGTTCGTCATGGAACTGGTTATTCTTGTAAGTGAGGATTTCTTCGTCGTCACCATCTTCATCTGGCATGTGTGTTTCTACCAGCTCCATCACCGCCAACTCAAATGATTTTCGGCTTTCTGCATTTGCAAAGAGTGGTACACGTAATATCCGACTAGAGCTTCGTTGGGTAATTAAAGATGCAATTGTAGGGTAACTACCACGTTGTGTTGGTCGTCATGGTCGGATGTTGGTTGCTGTAGTTGGAATCATCGGTGTTTGTTCAACAGTTTCTCCTTCGTCAGGTGTGATATCCATGGGGATCTCATTGTTTGGCGATGGTTGATCAGACTCTTTTATCACCTGTGGCTTCACAGCATTATTTTGAAAGTTCTGTCATAATTGTCTCGATTGAAATATCCCCAGCAAAAGTCGAAAGAGAGATGAGCCGCGACTTGCGTTTGGATTGTTTGCTGGGCTTGTGACTTCCTTTGTATCAGAAGAGGCATATTGTGTTGCCATTGTAGAAGACATTGGTTCGTTCAGAGAGGCGAACGGAGCAAATCCAGAAATGTCAAAGGTCGTTGATGCTTCATTGTCGTTTACATCTGCCTCAGCTTCATGCACAGGCTTTACCTTTGGATAGGCGTTTAGCAATGGGCAACAGTAGGGGTGAGCAGTCGTCTCGTAGCCTTTTTATGCATGCACTGGCTGGTTGGAAATTGTCATCGTCAGAGTCATCAGAGTCGAGGTTGATGGTGAGAGGTGAAGTTGACCTTCGTGGAGGTGAACTGTTTGTTGGTGTATGCGGACGAAAGTTGTCCTGACCAGCGTTTGGCTTGGTGAAATTTTTGGCCAGCGGACTTGTGGACCATGAATGCTGTGGCCGTTTTGGTGCAGCCGTAACAATGGGAACACGTACACCTTGCTCTTGCGTCGTTTTCAATCTCTGAATGGCATTTTCAATGATTTCCGAGGATAGCCAAAATCGTTTAGTGTGTAGGAATCGTACAATATTAGCTGTCGACCATCCCATGGCGCCAATGGCTTCACGGACAACTTGCAATCCATCGGTTTGAAGTGGTGAGTCGTATGTGCTGTTCATTGCGTCGATAAGGCCAGGATGGTTTGAAATGTGCGACAGAAAAATGTTCGTGGAAATTGACAGGCCACAACCTGGGCAGCTTCTTTCGATCGTCAGTTGGCTTATTGGTGCAATTGTAATTTTGGTGAAATGTGTGAAGACGTTTATCGGTACATTCGGAATTTGGGCATTTCCAGAGTGTACGTATTGTAACGCGATGGTCTTTCATACAATGAATACTAAGTTTGTCAAGGGCAGAGCATTGATTGCACGTGTATCGTGTGACTGTGGTTGGTAAGACGAGGCCGCGGTAGGACATCCTGGTATAAATGTTGGTAGCGGAGGTATCGAAGGGATGTTTTGGTTGATCGTCCAAATGTGGACTAATAGATTTTCTCTACTGGAAAATGTTTCAATGCATTCGGTGCAGTTCCATTGGAACACCGTTGGAAGTAAAACTCTATGTTTCATAGTATGATGATGGGACAGAGATCGCGGAAAAAATGTCGTGTGTGCGCACGTTGGACAGTGAAAGATGGCGGTTTCAGCGTTACAGTGTATGGTGTGGTGTTGTAGTTGCTTGTTTAATGGTGGAAGGTGCTGCATTGTTTGTGCTGGTGCGCCCGCGAGGGGCCGGATCATGTTTGTTATGTTTGGTGTAAACTGAATTTGTGGGAGCATGATGCAACTGTTTTTCTTTTTTCTCGTTTTCTATGTTTTTTGTCATTTTTTGTTGGATACTAATTGATATTGCTAAGGAGAGATAATGATATTGAGGATATTGAATGGCTTCACCAGTACGCTATAGGCAATTTGTATGATGAATTTCGCCTTGTTGTTTAGCGCGCAACTTATTTGTCGGCTGGCGGATGGGAAAATTTTTCGCAGATTTCTCAATGCAAAATGCCGGAATGTCGAACAGAATGCTGACTTGCTATCGCACAGTTATGTGGGTAGTGTCAAAATTTGCTGCTTCTTCAAGACTCTTTACTGATATACCTTTTTTTGTCGTTGCTTTGCTAGTTTTCGCGAAAAATGCAAAAAAATCTCCGAATCGGGGAATCGAACCTGATAAAATTTATTTGAAGATTCAGCAATTTGGCTAATTGTTATGAAAAGAAAAACCCCACAGTGAGGGAAAACAAAAGTTACATTCGTAACTGAGCTAAGGATGAGCATTGCTGACAGGACTCTGGCGCGTTCAGTTCGGCCGTGAGTTCAAACAAAGAAAAGTACATAAAAGGAAATGAAATAAATTGGGATCTCTTGAAAGTAAAGCAGATGTCAGAAGTGAACACAAAAGATTTTCGGCATTGGGCGTTAAGATCGTCCGTGGTTGCACCGAGCTAGCCATAGGTGATGTCCTGATCG